GTTAATCCCCGAAATCTGTAATTATACTATTTATTCACCTTAACCAAATTTTCTCTATCGTTTCTTAACCCTTCTTTTTCAATTAAGTTAATATTTTAGAACCCCTTTGGTACACGAGCATTGGTGGTGTAGCGGTAGCATTGGTGCCTTCCAAGCACTAGACCCGGGTTCAACTCCCGGCCAATGCATATGTCTTTTTTTTCTATAATTTATTACTTCAATAAAATTATTAAGTAAAATGAGATTAATTGAATTCCGTTAGTTAAGATGCTATTGGTGAGATGACGATAACATTTTATCAAGATTTTGGCAAAGAATATAGCGAATTTAACATCATTAATCTTTGTTAGTAAAGGATTAAGATTTGTTTTCATACTATTTTTGTCATCTTGCCATATAAACAACGTATGATTCATAGCAGTTTACGATCCAAGATATCGTGTTTTACTGTTTTCGAAGGTGTTAGTCTCGCAGTTGCTCTCTTAGCATTCTTGTCAACACATTCTTTTTGTCTTTTAAAAAAAAAACAAAGATAGATTATTTTTGATTGATTAAAAATTTACTCAAGAATGGAATGCCCAATTTGTAAAGATCCTTTCAGGAATGGAAGATGTCTACCCTGTCATTCGAAGCATATATTTTGTGATAAATGTCTTCAAAAATACGCTAGATTAAAAGATATAAAGGCTGGAAGTTATTTCCTATGCCCACTTTGTCAAAGGGAACTCGAATGGCCTAAAAAAGGAATTAAATCTTTTGAAAAGATAAAAAATTCAATGTTTTATTCAATTTCACTTCGTATATTAAATAATAGAGAAATATCCAAGGAGAATTCTGATAGTACTCGCTCTTATCAGCGAAAAAAACGAAAGAACGTTATCATTAAAAATGTTTCTACTCTTAATGAATACGGAAGGCAAAATACTTCATCATTTAACGGAAGTCGTGATAACGATGAGGACGATTACAATGAAAATGACGATTATAATATACGCCATTCAAATCGGCAAGATCGTTTAGAAAGTTTTCATTATCATGTAAACTTTTTTGCTAGTCTTTTAAACGACCTTAGAGGATTCTTTAGATAAATTTAGATTAATCAAAAGTGGAATATAACGATTTTTACATACCGACTATCTATTATTTATGTACTGTATCCAATGTATATAACTATGCAATATATACTTATTTATAACTTTTAATGATTTTTTTTAAGCCTATAACCTCTATTTTATTTCATTCTTTTTTTTTTTAGTAAAAACAAATCATACGTAATAAACATGACTAGATAATCCTTAAAAATACACAAATTTGGTCTAAAACTGGTTGTTGTTGTTTGTTTTTTTTTGTACATTATCCTCTAATTGTTTGTTTTTATCTTTATAGCTTTTCGAAAGTTTTTTGAAAAGGAATATTTTGTTTTCTAAAGGATAAAAGGACAATTGAAAGAGAAAGTTTTTTTGGTTTGCTTTTGTTTTTTTAAAAAAAAAATAAAAAACAATTTTTCTTTGCTTTTTCATTTTTAATGAAAATGACAAAACTTTTTTCTGGTTCATCGTTAGATGGCGCAGTTGTTACTTTATTTTCTAGACAATATAAAATTGACAAAATGTGTTGAAAATAATTTTTCGGCTGTATTTGTATCTATATGTTTATATAACAAATCAGTTATACTTTGAGAAGATAGCTCTTAATTAAACAATGTTTACCTGCTAACGATTCGCACAAAATGCAAAAGTGGATATCATTGTCGGTAACAAAATAGCTTATTATTTGACCTTCCTGAAATACATTTCTTTGGGGATAGGCAATAGCAGATTTATTGTTCTCATTCAAGATGAATACAAATTGTTCATTAGATAGTAAAACTCTTTCATTCATAACAATTTCTTCTATTATATCGTTTCTTATAGATATTTGTTCGTGATGAATATTTATGAGTATGTTATTTCCAGGTAATATTTTATCGTCAATTAACTTACTAATAGGAAAGTATTGAAGATTTATGCTATCTCGTAGAAAGTAAATATCCCCATGACTAATGTATTTCGTCTTCCAGCAGGAAAGGTCGTAATGCAGATCAATGTTTATTAGTTGACCAGTTTGTAAATCGAATAGGACAAGACTTGTTTGATTTGTAAAGACTAAGAACTTTTTACCATTTATTTTAACCTCCTCCTCGTTTCTCTTATTGTAGATTGACTGAAAAGATTTATCTTTGTAACACCATTGCACAACCGTTCCCCGTTCCTCTCTGTTTTGAGGAAGCGTTTTATAAACATAAAATTCCTTATTACTATTTATAGCACCATCGGTAAATTCAACGCCACCTGCATGACGAATATATTCGTTGCTATTCCACTCAAAAATTTGCCTATCGTACACAACCAAAAAACAATTATCACCACCAAATATTCGAAAAGACTCTGGCATTTCTCTAAAGTATTCTTTAACAGGTTTTTCCTCGTGTTGGAATTGTAATTTTACATAATTAAGTCTAGGCTCCGAGAAGTTTAATACAATGTTCTTCGATATATTATTATCTACTGAACTAATTATTGTCTCCTTGAAAGTTATTAATTTTCTATTTTGAACAGAGTTTGTATAGAGAGCCTCCGATTTTAAATAATCTGTAATATTCTCTGCAATTTGACGATAGCTTTCTTTCATACCATTGTAGAAATTGCATATTTTATAACTAATACGTGTCTCATCATTATCAATTGATTGTTTTAAACATTTAACATGTTTATTTAATTCATCAATATCCGCTTTCCTTTTTAAATTCAGTCTTTCAGTCTCTCTATTAATCTCATCTTTGTAATTTTCCATACAAGTCTTTTTTGTATCAATACTCCTAAATGTTTCAATGCCACCTTCAGGATATTTTATCGGGTGTTGACAAATTGGACACGAGAAATATCCGCCTATATCCTTTCTTTCTATAATATCTTTTAAACAGGTTGTACAGAATACATGAGACCAATAGCAAGGTAGTCTCTTTGTTTCTTTAGAAGAGCAGAGATTCTCTAAGCAAATACTGCATTCCATTGCAAAAGTCCTTGGCAAATTATCTAGGTTAAATAGTAAATTTTTCATAGAAAATATATGAAACCAATATTTATCGGTTACTAAAGTGCATATATTGATTAGAAAGTGGTCAATACGAGATTTCCCAGTAATCTTAATGAATACTTAATAACAGCTAATACATTGTAATGTCACGTAATAGGAAAACAAACAATTAAATTAATAAAGAGTGTAAAATAGGTTAAATTCTCTTATTTTCTAGTAGAATATATAGAATAAACCCACCTACCTTTAAATAGAAGATACTATCTGATTAGGCTCAGCTATTTAGTAATATATATATATATAAGAAAAACCCACGTGGTTAACCCCTTTTCAAGGAGGTTATAGCTAAATGACTCACGGATTACTGTGGTTTTTCCCATCTCATTTCCTTCTCCGCTCGTTTTAATTTCAAATCAAACCGGTAGCCATATTAAATTTTATCTTCCTATAATTTTTTTTATACTTTATCTAAATGAAAATATTTCTACCTGTTTAAAAATGAATAATTGACTAAAATTGTTTAATTGTTTCAATTGTTCTTTGTGTAATAATTCAATTTTCTTTTGTGTTTTTTTTCTTTTTTTTTAAAATTCACTTAATAAAACTTTTTATTGTTTTTATATTATTTTTCATTAATAATGCATTTTTGCAAAAAAAAAATTTACGTTGATTAAGAAGATAAGAATAGAAAAAAAAAAACCGGCTAATTTTTTTTTTTTAAAAAAACAAAAGTATTTAAATAAAAATTTCTTTTATGTTTTTTATTTTGGTCCTTCTATCTTTATTTTTTATTTAAAATTTATAGCATTTCATTAAATATTGAGTGCTTTGTGAAATATTTGTTAATATACAAAAATGAATTTCGGTTAATGATTGAAAATGAGCTTTTAATTGACCTTCTCTAAAAAGATTCTTTTGTAAATAGGCTTTAGCACTTTTTAAATTCTCATCCAATAAAAAGACGTATTTTTCATTGGAAAATAGTATTTTACCATTTCTTAATTCATTAATTATATCTTGTCTAATTGAGATCTTTCCATCTTGTATTTGAATAAGGACATTATGACCTTGATAATTTCTTGTTGTAATTAGATTTTTCATTGGATAATATCGGAAATCGTATCCATTTTTAAGTATAAACCAAGTACCATTTTTGAATTTGGTATGGCAACTGTTTTTGAATTGGTCGTATAATGGTTGACGAACAAGTTTAGCTGATCTTATATCGTAAATGATAATGTCGTTTTTATGGCGGAAATAGACGAAATCATCCCAATCAATTTCGTCAATTGACGCTCCAGTTGTTGGATATTTATAGAATAGTTTAGTATTCTTATCCCATTTACAAATTTGACTATGTAGCAGAGCAGTTTCGTCTTGTGTGAAAGTGAATAATGATGAATCGTTGCTTATATTAGCGCTTGAAAAATTAATTGCATCGTAGAGGAGAGCGTTAGAATTTGAACATTCGTAAAAACCGGAAACAGTTTGAAGAAAGAAACAATAATTACCTCCAATTATATAATGAGGACCTTGTTGAACAAGTCCGTATTGAAAGGCTGGCTCTTCCTCCTTCGAGTAGGTAACCTTACATAGTTCTGAGTGAGAATTTCTCTTTTCAACAGAAATCTTCTGCCTTAATATATCTTTTATAGAAATATTCAAATCTCTTTCTCTGTCCTCTTTAGACAATTTACCTAGATTTGGTAAATCGATTAGTTGTGTATTGTTCAATTCCTCAGCTTCCTTCTCTAATCGTTCAAGATTTTCAATTTTCTCATCATAAAATCTATTCAATTGCTGTTCAATACAAGCTTTCTTATCTAAAAGTTTCTTTATTAAATAATTCGTTTGTTCTTCTAATAGATCAAAATTTTTCTTCCGCTCTTGTAAGGTTTTCCTTCTTTCGTTTGCTAACATTGAACCAAAATCACTTTCCGATAGAGATCTTCTTAGAAATACTCTTTTCAATGATTCTACCCCATTTTTTGGCCATACTATTTCCGTTTTACATATCGGACATGGCAAAGAATCCCCAAATCGAATCCTATTTGATTCGGCGTATTTAAATAGGCACTGATAGCAGAACAGATGACTAGAATGACAGGGCAACTGTCTAACATCCTTATCGTTTAAACTCTCCATACAGATCGCACAATCAGAAGCCATATTCCAAGATTTATTATTTAGCTTATAATCCGTTACTCTATCAGCTACTTTAACCAATGAAAATTCGGAATTAACTTATAAGATAGTTGGAGAAAAAAGAATGCCAAATCTCATAGCAGGCAATGCTTCTACAGCAAATCGGCCTACTTGCCTATTGTATTCGATATATTTATTATTGAAAAACTGTACTGAATCATAAATGTCGTATTGAAGAATATTCCCGCAGTTTAACCAACATTTTAAGCATCTTTAATTTTTGTATTAATCAATATAGAAATGTTTAAAAGTAATAGATAATTGATTAATTCTATTACAAAAGCAAAAGATTATCTCATTATTAGATATAGAATAATCTAAGAGCTTCTCTTCAGGGAAAATCTTTGACATAATTATAAAATAACTTTCTAAAGTAAAAGGATTTAAAATAATTAACTTTCCTCCATGACAGAAGAGAACCTTTCCGTTCCTTAACTCAGTTATAATATCTTTAATAGATTTAATTAATTTTCTATTTGAGTTAATTTGAAAATTCTTATTACTTTCATTAAAACTTTCGAATATTAGGCCAGTTTGATTGAAATATTGATAGCACGTGTTCTCGTTAATCCTATTGGAAATTTCTCCACTCCTATTTTCTCCATAAGTCCAACAGAAGAATAATTCTATTGTTTCCTTATTAAACATTAATACTTGAGATTTATCGTGAATTAATATAGTATCTTTCAATACTGAAAATGTTGCGTAATCCGCAGTGAAATGTTGAAAATTTATCTCAAAATTGTCTTCAACAGCATAATTATTCTCATTTAGGATGAAAATTTTGATTTTCTCCTTTGAAAATTGACAATACGATATCATTTTATCAAATGTAATTGATAGATCATCAATTCTATCTTTAGTTGTTAATATAACCTTATTATCCTTTAATTCGAATATTTGATTTCCATTAAGAATAGTAAAAAATTCATTTTTATTGCCAATAATCTTTTCGATTGGAGTTTTCAACTGAATTGAATATTCTTTAAAAGGTTTTTCGTCAATCGATACTGAAAATTTACCAATTTTTATATCATCTAAATATTCTGATGGTCTAAATACGCCTTTCTCATTTGAAATCTTCTTAGATAGTTCCTTTATGCAATCAATCATTGTCAATAGTTCATCTTTAAGAAAATCAGTTGAAATTTTATCATAAGTCTCTTGTAAAATATTAACATCGGATAGATATTGTTCTAATATCTTCTTCTTATTATCATAAAAATCCTTAAGTTTCGTCTCCATCTCAATTTTCTGTCTGCTAAGTTCATTATTTAAAATATCAATTGAATCTCTTAAATTTTGTATTTCATTCTCCATATTTACGTCAATACTATTAATTCGTTCTATTAAACGCAATTTAAACTTTGAGAATTCATTCCTATCTATTATTTTATAATTATTATTTCTATTAAAGAAAGTATTACATAAATAATCGGCGTTTACTTTAGACATTTTTCTATTATTTATATAATATCTTGTTTCAATATTTGTATATTAAAAAAAATCAGTACTCAATGCAGAACAACACACAGCAAAGTCTATTTCGTAACAAAAAAAAAGAACAATAAAAAGAAATTGTTAAAACTTTTGTTTTTTTAAAAAAAAACAGAACAAGGTGTTAGACTATTTATTAAATGGGAAAGGCAAACTGCTTTGTTTAGGCCTAATTTGTATTCAAAATTGATTTTTTTTTCTGATACTTCCATTAAAAAATACAGAATTTTATATTTTAACTTTTATTATAATTATTGAGTACATGTGTTGTCATTTTTTTGCTGAATAACATCTATGGAAACACGTGTTTCATTTTTATTTTGTTTCATTATCAAACGAAAAATGGGGGAAGTTGTTCATCCTTCTGATAAGCGATTGAACGATGAAATAGAATTCTCTGAAGATGATTTTTCATTATTTATCAATAAAATTCAAGGTAAAATTGAGAAAATCGACGAAGAAAAGCGGATAGCCTTACATAAACTTAATACGGAGATTACGTCATTAATGATAAGCATACACGATAGACAGGAAGATATTCGAACTGAAATTGAATTATTCTACTCGGAAAAGAAGGATAATCTTAAAAATATTGTATCGTATATTGAAAGATTATACGAAAATCGTAAGAAAATTCCAGATAAGATATTAAAAAGTGATTTTTCAAAGATGATTGAAAACGTTAAATACTACGCCGATAACCTAATGAGAAAGAAGGGCGTTTTCCAAAAATCCGATTCTTTAAATGGCCTTGAAATTGGCAATCTTAAAATACCAAATTTTGAAAATCCAATTAAAGAAGAATTCATAGAATTTCATGATAAAATTGATAAAGTAATATCGAACGAAAATGGATTTTATGTTCTTAGAAATTCATGCGAAATTGTTGAATTACAAAGAAATCAGGTTATTTATAGTGTTGATGGTAAAATTGATAGTATAACAATGACAAACGATAATAGAATATCTTATATTCAATTATTGAAATCTTCAGCAACTGTATCAATTATAACAAAACCTTTCTACAGTTCTGAATATTATACTATTCAAAAACAATCTAATGAGAGATTTACTGAACAATTTGCAGTTTTAAAAGATTTTATCCTTCTCTATCAAAATTCAACAATTGTCAAAAGACATAAAAAAACAACGGAAACTGTATCCTTATCAAGTAGAATAATGAAATTTGAACATAATATTGTTATGGAAAATGTTTTATACAATATATCTGACAATCTATTAGTATTTGCTGATTTAGAGAAGAACGAATGGAAAGATATTATCATTCAAGAATTAGACGAAGGAGGTAATAAATCAGTATTACGAAAGATAATTGATTATATAACAACAAAAGGATTTCTTGTTGTATGCGCTAATGAAAATATTATTCTTATCTGTCCTCAAAGTCTATTGGCAATGACAATCAAAATGGAGAGAGTATTCCCTCAAGAAAGATTATTAAACTATAGAATTGATAACGAACAAATTATCTTTTGCCTATCCTGTTTAGAGGATGAATCTAGATTAATATTCAAATATTTTCCAATTAACCTCAATTATAACTTTGTTTAATATATAAAAACCGATAAAAAATTGAAGAAATATACAATAAAAACAATTATAAACTTGTTTCCTACTCTCTCAATAACTTTACATATTTTGATTAACTCTTTATTTCTTACTGCTCCTATTTGAATGTAAACGAATTTTTCGGCTCTGCGTTACCGAAAGTAAATCCTGATCCAAATCCTGCTATAAATACAAATAAACAAATATTAATATTTGTTTATTTATAAACAAATATAATAAATAATTTACCAAATTTTACTCCTTCAAAATTCTTAGCAACTTTTTCAATTTTTTTCTTCCTAGGTGCAGTAGAAATTAATTCCTTTGACAAAGGTTGTTTATCCGGGGATGTAGAGAACATGTTATTTGCTTGTTCACACTCACTCTTATTCTCTATAATATTAATATAGTAAAAAAAAAGAAAAGCTTTTTAATACATTAAATTATATGTTCATTTAAATTTACCTGAATTCGCTAAGCTTTTATTATCTTTGTCTGATGATAATATATCATTCAGGTCGAAAAGTGGCTTCCTGTTTCCCGTAAATATTCCAATATCAAACTGTTCAAAAGCCAAGCTCTTTTGAAATACACCGGTTTTGTCCATCAGAACAGTACATTCTCGCCTTAAATTGCTCATTGCCGTTGTTAAATCACTTTGAAGTTGTAACGTAAAAATTTGATCTTGAATTTCATATAATTTCTTAGCATCGTTCAACAATTGGTTCAAGGTGGACTTTTTGTCAGCGAAATATATTTCAATTTCATCTTGAAGGGCATTTTCTTGCTTCTTAATTTTCGCTATCAGCGAAGTTACTTCGTGATTAAGTTTATTTATTTCTTTGTCCTTTTGATCGTCTAACTGGCTGATATATGTATTTAATTTTTCGGATAAATTATCATACTCTTCCTTAGCCTTAGCCTTTCTCTCCTCTCTCTCTTTCAAAACGTTCGAGTTATTCTTACTTTCGCTATTTTCCATTTCAATAAGATTTGATATAGTAAAAAGAAGTTATGTATGGGGCAAAATAGTCATACCAGTTTTAGTGTGAGTTGAAGCGGAAGTAGATTTTTTTAGTTACGCCGAATTATTATTCTCGTTCAGGCCCGATCATATCAGGCGCAACACTAAAAAAAAAACAATTTAATCAAAATGGCGACTTTTGATATAAAAATTGAACGAATACTAATAATTTATTTTAAAGAGATGACTATTTATCAGATAAAGGGCCTAATTATCTTCATTAATAGTATTATAATAATTTTAAAAGACTTTTATTTCCATTTTATTAAAAGATCATTTTCATTTTTCAATTTAATTAATAAACTTTTAAAAGTTTATTAATATAGTTGTTTTCTTGGAATTCTTTATTATTTTTATTATTATTTTACTCCAAATATCGAATATCTTTAAAAGATTGGCGTTTTATGTTACTATGTATGGGTATTACTGCTCAATTACAACAACTCACAAATGTCGCTAAATAAGTTACAATACTGTCTGTCTGGTTGTTTTTATAGTTCTAATTAGGCTAAAAGAAAAGATAATTATTCGAATATATATATGATTTATAGAAATATGTTTATTTATGAAGACGAGAAAAAAAACAAAATGAATTAATCAACTTTAAGACAACTAATTTTTAATATTCTTTTTCTTTTTTATAGAGAAAAGTTCCCATCATCATCATCATCATCGTCGTCGTCGTCGTCGTCATCATGATCATGATCATTATCATTACCTTCTTCGTCATTGTAATAATATTCATAATCGTCTTCACCTTCCTCCTCATCATCGTCTTCTTCTTCTTCTTCTTCGTCGTCATCGTCGTCGTCAAACAAATTCGTATGCAAAAGAATCGTTTGTATAATAGACATAATTGTATTATTTAAATTTTCCAATTCTATCTTCTTCTGTTGTTCAATTAACGCAATCTTCTCTTGAATTTGTTTTGCCAACTGCAATAATTCTTGTTTATTGCTGTTTTTACTTTTCTCCAATACGTCACAATAATCACTAAATCTTGCCATAGCAACTCTATATGAAAAATTGGTCAAAATGAATAAAAATCAATTTATCATTTATTGAAATTACTTACTTTAATTCACTATGATGCAATATTTAATAAACTGTTCAGACGTAGGTTCAAACCTAAATTTACTTGTGTTGTAATTCCGCTTTCTTTTATATACAATGATGAAAGTACTCAGCGTCATATTCTTCTCAGAGGATATAGCTATACCTGCCTAAGTATTTGTCAAGTTGTTTTTATTATTGTCGACTTAGATGTTGGATAAAATTTAAAATAGGTCTAGATTAAAAGTCTTGTTGATGATGTATTATACAGTAGTTATATTATATAAATCTATAGATAAACGTTTATGCAATGACTTATCAATCTCTTCCTTTCTGGAGAGTAGGTAACATTCTATCAATTTACTATCTGATCCTCCCCTCTCACATTCTTTTCAGTATTGTTATTTGATTTCATCAAATTTCTCTCTAAATCAGTTCGAAGTATAACATTGAGTTGCTTCGAAACATATAAAGAATTGTACTAAATGGTGGTTAGTGTAACTACACTAATCGAGGATTAAAACGAGGCACACCATAATAGATTCTTCTCATGAAAATCAGTTTTCCAATCAGTTCTAGAGGATTTCTAGAAAAATGCTAAATTTATTTTTCCTTCTCCTTGCCAATTGACTAATATCCTACAAGAATAATCTCCTGATAACTCTTTCAATCCAAATTAATCCATCTATATTGTATAAATTACAACTATATCAACTGAATTTGTGCGATTAATTTCATTAGTAAAACTATAGAATTGCTTCTAATTTCATCGCTATTGAATCGAGGCAAAGGGAGGTAGATTACAAATAAAGAAAATAATAGCTCTTATCATCTGGTTGTAGCTTCTTTTTCTTTTTTTATACAAAAGATACTTTTTGAGAAATAAAAGCTTAAGACAATGGAAAGAGATAAGAAGAAATGAAAGTAACTGATAGGATATTTTTGCTCTAAACGAAATAGATCTATTGTATTATCTTGTATTGTTCTTTATTTATTAGATGGATTTTGACTGGTTTGGTTAGTTGGCATAAATGTATGGATCATTCTGATACTAGATTTCAAAGTACCATGGATAAGCATGTTAAATATGTTATTTGTAAAAATGGTCATAATGTTTGTATAGATTGCCTTACGAGCAATCACGAAAGCAATGAGATCTCTGTTGATCATTTTGTTTGTCCTACGTGTAATAAACCTTCCGATAGTCAAGATAACGATCAAAATGCGGAACACTATTATATAAAGGCAAGCGAACAACTTAAACTTGAAGTCTTAACACATCTAGACAAAAATAAGCTCGATATGAATAGAGAATTGAGAAAATTGAACACGGAAGCCGCTGATGAATTGAAAATAATAATGGAACGTCAAGCAGTTCAAAGAGCCGAAATAATTGAATTCTTTAATAAAAGAGGTAGAAACGCTCAAGAATTATTGGACAATATAACATCGTCTAGTAAGAAGTTTACAGAGTCGAAATCGGGGAAGAACGATTCAGAATGTTCAGAGTTAATTTCTAAGTTTCAAAAACGTCTTCACGACCTCCAAAAAGAGATATTAGAAAACAGAGTTTTTTATCAAAGAGATCATAAAAGGAATAAATTTAAAAATAGTACAGTTTCTATAATTGATTACCAACAGCCTATAATCGAAACTAAGATCTATTTGAATAAATTTCCAAGAAAAGTCATAGTATCAAAAAATGAATTTTACGCCTTTACATCCGAAATAGAACCATGGAGGAATAGAATATATAAATTATCAAATAACGAATCAAACTATTGCGTTAAATGCGCAGTTGAAGATCTTAGTATTGATGAAGAAAATGAAGATATATATTTCCTTTGTCCAATGTTACAAAACAATTATCAAAGAGATAAAATATTATTAAAAGTAGGAGCATTGGAAAAGAGACCGGAAATAGTTGTTTTTAAGACATTTTCAACTTTAGAATCGTTTAAGAATGTACAGTTTAAAAATTCAATTTGCTTTTCAACATTTGAAAACTTTTGGATATTTAATAAAAAAGAAAGATCTTTAAAATTATTGAAATTTTCAAATTGGATACAAAATTTCAAGATAATAGGAGATAACGCCTATATTCTTCAACAAGATAAGAAAGTATATAGAATCGATAGCGAAAATAAATTAACTTCTACAATTGACGTTATGCTATCTATTGGTGATTTTTCAATTAGAGAAGATATCATTAATAAATTGGATATTGGAAATATACTCCTCACCGATATCGATTACGTTTTTATCGTTGATCCAATAGCTAACTTAGCCCGTTATTATCATCATCAGAAAATCTTTGAGGATGGGCGTATTACCAGCTATTTGTTAACCGACGACAAAGTAATCTTTTGTCTAAGAAATAAAATAAAACCCGGCGAATTAATCTTCAAGCACTATGAAAGGAAAATAAATTAATCAGAGCAGATAATAATGACCTAGAAAAAAGAATGAGAATAAAACAAATGATAGCGAACTATTAATTTATATATTTGATTTTATTATTTCTGGAATGTAATTAATCTATTATTAAATAATTTGGGAATAATCAAATTATTCAAATCCTTCATAATACTCTTAAATTAATATTATTAATTAACTAATTGATCCGTTAATGAAATTTAATCCATTCTTCATAAAAAAATATACTACCAAGTCTGATTAGAAAAACCATACCGGAAGTAGACTGGTGATATGTTGAATAGGTTAACTGCAATTATATATTTACGTTTAGTTAATTGTATTAAAGTCGAATTTTAGTGGTTATTTTACTTACTTTTTACTGATTGGTGTTGATGATGATTGCTTGGGACGTCGGGTTGTTGTAGCTTTTGACGAATTGGATTGTGAAGCTCTAGGAGTAGCCATAAGACAATCTGGTAATGTAACTTGTTCAATTTCAACTTCTTTTACGCCATCTTTTTCCGAATAAGACATTTTCACAATAAGATTCTTAGCAACTTGAAGATCAACTGGTTCTTCATTTTCGGCCAATTCGTGTAAAGTTGTTTCGCGGATGTTGTAGCGTTGGCTGAAATGGTTATAAGTTTCATCCAATAGATTTTGCATTCTCCTCTTCTTCTCTTCGTTTAGATATTTAAGATTCTCTTGTAGTAATTCACTTTTCTTAAAGAGTAAATCTTTAACTTCCCGATAAGTATTATCAATTTCTTTCAACTCCTTTTCCTTCTCTTTCTCCAGTTCAATTAACTTTTCATCTAATTCTTCGTCAAAGAATACATCAGTGAAATTATTTAAATCATCGTCTCCTTCTGTTGCTATTTGCGGTTGGACCATAGGTGATGTGGCTGCTGCTGCAACGTTTTGGTATTTGTTTGACTTCTGAGCGGACTCCTGAAAATAGATTTTTGTAGGAGGAGGTCCGTCATTTCCAGATTTCAATTCGTTAGCTCTAGATTTTCGTTTCTTTGAATTTCTAGGGCCAGCGTCAGAACGCTGTTGACGGTTTCCTGCCATATCTATTTCAAAATTGTTGGTAGCCAGACCAGCCACAAAGTGAAGTTTCTTTAACCTGGATATATAATACAACTCTGTCTAGAGTATTAAAAAAGTACTCAATTTTAATACTTTCAAGTCTTTTCGAAGAGAACGTTTACAATATTTTCTGAAAAATAGAATTGAAAAAAACATAATTCATATTCTTCATCAAAAAAACATGGCGGAAATACATGAAAATTTAATAGAAATGAATGTAAGGCAATTAATCAATTATAGGGATTTACCAAAACTCGAAAGCTATACGATTCTTAGACAAATGGCTATAGAAACGTTACAAACGATAGATATTGTAAAACAAACTGAATTGTCTAAAATTAATAATGAAAAGATGAATTTAATAGAGAAACTACAAGGTAAAGAGAACAGTTTAAAAGATGAAATAGAGAAATTCTACACCAATAAAAAATCGTTATTAAATATGTTTTTAGATGAAATAACTACTTTAGAAGAATATGAAGAGAATCAAACAAATATAATAAACGATATAACAATTAATGAACTACACGAAAAACTTGAGAAATCTTTAAAATTTTGCATTAAAAATAAGGCTATTTTTGAGAAAATTGATAATTTGGTGGATAATTTCCAAATTGGAAATATTTGTTTTCCAATATTAAACAATCCAGACGATGAGGAATGTTATACATTAAATATTAATATGAAAAAAATCATTTCAAATTCAATAACATTCTTTGGATTATCTCAAATGGGTAACATCTTTGATCTAACTATGAAAACGTTCTATAGAACATCGCATTTAATTAAGGATATATGTATAACTTATAATGGAAAATTATCATTTATCGCTAATTCTCGTTCGGGTAGACTTACCCTCTACATCCTTTCGGATTGTAATCATATTACTCATACAATAGCTATTCCAACCGATAAAAAGCGTTTCTCCTACGACGTTCTAGAAAGGGAATTTATACTTTACGAATCGAATTTAATAACATTCGTTAGCCTTTCAAATGGAAAACAATTAAGAAAATTGGAACTAAATGATACAAGATTCTATAATCATAGAATCTTTGGAGATTCTATGTTCATTTCTCTTCAAGACAGGATTATTACAATTAAACTCGATTCGTTAATAAGAGAGGATGTTATCATTAATATGAAATCTGAAAACTTCAACCTTCGAAGAGCTATTGTTGAAAAAATTAAAAATGGACAATTTCTCCTATCAAATCCAACTGACTTGTACGTTATTGATCCTATTAAAAAATCAGCTTCGTCCTATCAAACTAATAGAATATTCCGTAATGAAAATCTACTAGATTATCGAATTACTAATCAAAAAGTAATCTTTTGCTATAGTTCTCTTCAATCCAATAGAATTTTTACATTTAAACATTTTAGACTTGATTTTATTGATTATTCAATGTAAACTGCAAAAAGAAAGAAACAACAACTTTACGCTTTTAATTCCTTTTATCATTACTTTATTAATACTTTTCTTTTTAAACTATGTCATTTAGAGGGAGCATCCTCTGCAATAAACTTTACAGAATTATTAATTATTTTAATACAATTACGTAATATTTAAAGAAAACATTTGACTTAATATCTTATTATTCTACTATTGTTAAGGTTGCGACAATATTGAATAGACACATATATTTGTTATTATAGTATAGAGATGTAATTGCATATTGTAGAATATGAGGTTCTTGTCAGGCCAAAACGAATATATACGTGTATCTATAGATATATATATATATATATATAGTTACATCCTTAAAAGAGTAAGATTATCTTCAACTGAATATCTTTACTCTTTCGTTTATAAAATGGCGGAAAAAGAAGAGAAAACTGATATAAAAGTCCAGAGTGAAATATGCTTTCAAGATTTTGAAAAGAAAATATTTGAAGAGATGGAAAAAATTGAAAAGCAGAAACATTGCGAATTGAATAAATTAGATGAAGAAACTTGTAAGTTTATGAAAATTTTCAATAGAAAACAAGGTATTCTTCGTGATAAATTAGAGGATTTCTACGAAGAGAAGAGACTAACGATAAGGAGAGTATTGAAAGAAACGAAAATGTTTAAGGATGTTCAATCTAAAACTTGTAGTAAAATGTTTCAAAATGACGTAACAAATATGATGGATATGGTAAAATATTCATTAGAAAATTTTATATCAAAGAGAGCGATATACGAGAAGTCGAATTCATTAGAAAATTTTGAAATTGGTTCAATTGTAGTTCCGTGTTTTGAAAAACCATTTAAAGATTATTCAATACTTTTAGACGAAAGGCCAAAAAAGATTTTAGCTAATGAAGATGGATTCTTTTCATTTGATTATAACGGTCAGATTATTAATATAAACAACTTTAATAAATTATCCCTATGGAAGGGTGCTATTACTAATGTATCTATTACTTATAACGGAAGAATGGCTTTCATGGAAACACCTCGAAAGAATCGTATAAAAATTTACATTGGTGAAGGTTCGAATACAAAGTATGAATCTGTTAAGATTGCTATTAAAGATGAGAAGCCTATATACGATCATTTTTTCATTCTTCAAGATTTTATCGCCATTAAAACTAATCAAGAGATTATATTCTATTCGAAATTAACAAGTAAAATTTCTTCTAAATTATCAATTTACGAAAATAGAATACTTGATTTTACTGACGTAAAAATTGATAAGAATACATTTTTTGCCGCCGATAATAATAAAAATGTTATATGGTTTAATATAATTGAAGATCAACTTGAAATTATTCAGATTCAGGAAGAATATGATAATTTCTCAATTGGATCAAATATTATTGATAAATTGAAAAGTGATCATTATTTCCTCTTAATAAATCAATATTATATATTTGTTATCAATTCAAAAGAGAAGAATGGAAAATGTTTTCAAATGGATAAATTCTTTCGAGATCAACGATTATTAAATTATATGAAAACGGAAAATGAAATTATATTTTGTCTAATTAATCCTAAAGATCAAGAAAAGGTCACTTTAAAGCATTTTCCTCTAGAGTATTATCTTACATGAATAATTTAAATATTATATGGTGTGTTCTCTTCTTTTTTATCTAATATTTATGCGATGCTTAATATAGTCTTGTAGAACAACAACAATAAAATATATCGACCTTTGACTTTCAGACAAAAAACTAGAATTATATGCGTTTGTCTGTGTTGTTTTTTTTTTTTTACCTCTAAATGACCTTGTTGTTTCATCTATCAATAATATAAATGTTAGTGCTTTAATTATTTTTTTTTTGTCTTTAAACTAAATGACTATTATTAACAACCCATTTCTACATCTACAGTATATGTATATTTAAAAATAAATCTCTAATTGTCTTTGAATTTTTTTATCTTTACTTTCTCTTTTAAATATACTAATTTAATTATAGTTTTAGAATTACTCCTTTCAAATGAAAAGCTACGTGGAGTAGTTTAACAAATCTTTCAAATTGTCTAATCCCACTTTTTATTCACTCGTTATTGTGCTAGTTTCCGGTTCCGGTTTTTGCTTAACGAAACTGTTTCAAATTTATATTTACTATTAACTATGGATTCCGAAATAATTGAAACTGAAGCAAGTTTACAAACATATAAATCACAGGTAAAAATTATTACTGAAAGCTTAAATCAGTTTCCTTTCTATTTCATTTCTTTTTAAAAATTTAAATTAACTGTGTATTTATTATCTAATAAGTAAAATTCTCTGAGCGATAATATGTTGTATAAACTAGCTCGATCAAGTTAATCAGGCAATCGAGGTGTCTACTGAAGAGAATGAGGATCTAAATGAATTGCAAACAAACTTAAAAGAATTAGTTAAAATAACTGAAGGTTTGGTTTTGCAATTGAAATTAACTTTGAATTTTGAACCAATATTTTATATTTAAATAGAAAGTCTATTATCACTGAAAAAGAAGCAATTAATGTCTTTATATGTTGATGAGGGAGAGACATCCAGTCCAAAAAAGAAAGATGAAACGGATGAAGATAATGATATATCTGGTACAAAGTGTAAGGCACCTTTCAGATCATCATGGGGAGCTTTAGAGTACGCAAATGCAATAATAATGCACGTAGACGAATCAGCAGATTTAGATGATCCAAAAGTTATCGTTATATTCTGTACACCAAAATATCCTAAAATGCGAACATGTCCACATTTTATGAATAATAAATGTAGATACGAAGAAGAAGATAAGTGCAGGTAAAGAAATTAATGACATTTTAAACAAACTATATATTAATCTAAACTTTGCCTACGATACATAGATTCAATCATGGTTATTCTGTTAAAGTAAACGAATTGAACGTATACGAAGAGCCAGATTTTGAGTAAATAATTATCATGATAGCAATCATTTGTGTTCTATTGATTTTCTTTTAGTTTTGTTTCTATAGAATCAAAATGTCTTGCAATTGATACCACAGATGAATTGTGGTATCTTGCAACAGTTGTTGATTTACACGAAGATAGTTCAATATCAATAACGTTCGATCAAGAACATCCTAAAGTTGTAAGAAGATTGGAAAGACAGCAAATTTTTCCTCTTCATCATGGTTATATTGAATATTTTTTGTGTTGATAATTCTTTCATTATATATACATTGTAATTCTTATTTAAGACTTTGAAGAAGAAAGTGAAAATTCAGATAACGAAGGTAACGAAACGTGGTGTCCAACACGTACAATTAAGGAGGAGAATGTAGACAACTCTCAAATAGGCTATTGGGAAAAATATACAAAGGTTAGTAAGAGTATAAAATTAATAATACTTACTAATACAATATATTATAAATTAAAGGGTATCGGTTCAAAGTTAATGCTTAAAATGGGTTACGTAGTAGGCGAAGGATTAGGAAAGAGTAATAAAGGAAGATCTGAACCTGTTCCAATAGTTGTATTACCACCAGGTTATATTATTGTTAAAAAATAATAATAAGTATAATTGAACTATGCTATTTTCTAGGTAAATCTCTAGATAGAATAATGAATATGAAAGAAAGGAAATTAGGTAACGTCGATACTACTAATACACGAATAAAAAAGAAAAATCCCCTTCAAAAGGACGTTTTTAAATTTCTTAATAAGAAATTAAGTACTAAACATAAAAAAGGTAATGTCTTTTCTTATTCTAAGTTGTAAATATTATTCTAATATTAATTTTTAATTAGATAAAACTACGACACTTCCGTCCGCTCATAAAACCAGAAGAGAAATTAGTGAAAAAGATCTAGAGCAGAGAAATGATAAATCATTAAATGTTCAAGTAATTATTTTTTTTTTAAAAAAACAGTTACTCAATTAATTTCAAATACGTTTTTTTCTTTTATTCTCTTTTGACAGATGTTCAAAACTGAACAAGAGTTAAGAGTTGTAAATAAAGAAATAGATAGATTAGAGAATTCTATAAAAAGAAACGAAGGAAAAGATACAAGAGTCTATAAACATATGATTGAAAAATTAAAGGAAACTCAAGATTATAAAAGAAGATTAGAACAATCAAATAAAACAATAAATGCTCACAAAGAAAAGAGAAATAATAAGAAGAAAATGACGATTTTTTAAATTAAACATTTGTTTATTTGTTGATTTGTTTATTTATTAATATTTTACAGTATGAATAGCTATTTAAATGACTTAGATCAATTTACTATTATAACTATTACTGGATTAATAGCAATTTCTTATCTATATAAACAATTGAAATATTCCAATTATAATGTTAAAAGTGATAATTGTGTAATAAATTTAAATAAGCTACACATGGAAAATGAACTAAATGTTCCAAATATAAAACTACCTGATTATATTAAAAATGAAGCTATAAGTAGTATTGAACAGTTAATTAATAATTATCTACCAGAATTTAATGATAAATTCAATATCTTAATAAATTCTGATATTAATTTAGTACTTTCTAATAATGATAATTCGGCAATTTGTATCGGTAATGGAGCCTTTTATCAAGTGTTTCTAGCAAGTTTTAATGATAAACCAGTTGCTATTAAATTTATTAAGGCTCATCATAGAGAGGTTAGACATGTGTTGGAAGACGCCTCACTATTAGCTATACATTCTTATGAATCGGAGATTATTACTAAATTCTACGGATTGTTAATTGTTCCTTTAGTATCTCCCACTTTTAGACAAATAGCAATTGTTACAGAATATATTCCAGCTGTTTGTAAACTTTCAGACTTACAAAACGACTCAACAAAAATTAACCTAACAAAAAAACTATTTAAAACTATTCAAGATGACTTTCATAGGTTGAATGGCGTTCAAATTTGTACTCAGAATGTCCTAATTGCTAAGAATAATAAAGGACGTTACGGTGCCGTCGTCTGCCAACTGTTTAGATCATTAAGAAATAATAATAATAATTGGTGTGAAATATGTTCAAAATTTCAAAAATTTAAAGAATTCTCTTCATTTTAATATGAATACAAACAATTTATGTATAATAATAAAAAACATATAAATGAAAACAAACAAACAAACAAACAGATAAATTAATAAACTATGTACTGGTATCGTTTATTGTTTCGTTTGAATCGGATGATATAGATAATGTTTGAGTAACATCTCTTGTGCAATTATCATCTGTTGTACTAGTAGATCTTCTCCGTTTTTTTACCAATACAAAAATAACAATACCTAATAGAACGGCTACAAAAACGCTTATAGAACCGGCAAGAACAGGAGTATAACTCTTTCTTGGCCGTCTCACACCTTCCATTAGCTTGGCGAACCTTTCAGAGAATGTCATTAATTTCCTTCTCTTTCCTATGGAAGGTGCTACCGAGTGACTCGTGGAAGTACTCTCGTTTAAAGGCAATAGAGTTCTAATCCGATTAGAGCTTATATATGTGACATTATTACCCATAATTATTGTTTCTTCCCCCAAAGAAAGAAAAGCGTAATAGATAAGGATAAAGATAACAAATGATTTCATATTCTCCCTTCTACAACTATTCCTTTAAAGGAGGATTTTTTAAATTAACATTCAAATGAAAAACTTATGAACGAGATATTTTCTATTTCTTTTTTTGAAATGAATATTACCTTGTCATTATTAATAATTTTTAATTGTCTATGAATATTAATGAGATAAAAAAGACAACAAAAAAAAGGTTACTGGTAAAAAGTTAAGTACTTTGCACTAATAGAGAAAACATTCATTAAATATTACTGTACTTAACTAATAATAAAAAACGCTTATAACTACTCGTCTAGTTAAAAACTGATCAACTCAATTTTCTCAATAAATAGCCGCGTCTTTCCATCGTCTAATTACAGTTCTTTTTGAAATTTGGTCGAATACATTTGGCGAATATTTTCAAACGAAAAGATGGAAACTATTGAATCTATGAACGAACAAACTCCTCAACAATCTACGAATACTGTTGTAAATTCTGGAGAGTCTAATGGATTTAATATGGAAATATTTAACGGTTTCTTTACAAACGATTTTGTAAAGATATTAGATGATAATATGGAAAAAGCGAAAATTGATATTACGAATGATAAATACAATCAAATTAATAATTTGAAAGATGAGGTATTTAATATTCAAACTCATGTTTGTAGGGAATTTACAAACTTACGTATGGATCTTGAAAATGTTTTCGATGAAAAATTATCTACGTTGAATAAACTGGTAAAAGAAATGAAAATGCTTAAAGAATATTACGATAGAACAACTAATAAGAATCTTCAGAATGATATTAAAAAAATGGCTGAAAAACTGATTTATTGTATTGGTAATATTTTGAAAATGAAAGCCTATTATGAAAAATGTGAACCGGTTAAAGGCGTTGAAATTGGTAAAATGATTATTCCACCTTTTGAAAATCCTATTGGTGAACAGATTGTCGATTTAGAGTTTGTTCCCAAAAAGATTGTAGCGAATGATGATGGATTTTACTGTACAAGCGAATCGAGACTATCAATTATAGATATTGAAAAGAAACAAATTGTTCTGAGTAATACTTTTGCTATTGGAGATATATCAATAACTTACGATGGAAAATTGGCGTTTATAGCTCATTCTGTTTCGGCTATTCCTGCAGTATTTATTTACTCTAATAGTACTCACTGCTTTAAAGAACTAACTCTAATTGACCAATTAAACAAAACCTATACCAATTATCTACCCTACTTTCATATTCTAAAGGATGATTTGGTGTTGTACGACACTGAATATAAACTGTCGATGAAGAGTAACAGGACAAGATTATTATCTAAATGTCAACCTGCTAAAATTCCGGAGGATTCAAAAATCATTGATAATGTTTTGTACGAAACTACCGAAGTTGGTTCCTACATTAGCGCAACTTCTGATGATAGAAAAGCCTACATTACCTGCTATATTGGAAAACGTCAGATATCCGTTGTGAGAAATCTAATTAATGAACTAAATAAGGGCAAATTTCTATTATCGACCAAATGCTTTATCTTTATCGTCGATCCATCAGAGAATTCGGCTGAAGTTTACGAAACTCAAACGATTTTTGGAGAAGAATATCTTGTCTCCTATAGAATGACTGAAGAAGAAGTAATCTTTTGCCTTGGTACATCGACAAATGAAAAACTTTTCAAGTTTCGAAGATATTTCCGCCGTTGCATTTGCTCTGAATGAATAATAATAACGATCTAATCAATTTCAATATTTCATGTTTCAAATACTTTCAATACATTTATCTTTTTTCTTTCAACTCTATATTATCTTAACGAATTAATTGACTTTAAAGCCTAATACTAAACTCTTAGATATATGCTGTAACACCTACTCTACATTAATGTTACTTTATACATATAGCACACTTTTTTCTTAAATAGTCCTTCTTTTTAACATTATTCGCGAAAGTAATGAATAACACCAACATCTCAATTCTGAGCAGTATTGAACAACATATTGTTTATATTCTATATTTTTAGGTCTTTTATTTAGTGTTTTGTTGGTTCATCTCTTTTTTACATTTGTTGAAAAAGTACAAAGAAAGCTTTTTTTAAAAACAAATAATTGAGTAGGGAGAATAGATAAGAAAGTTTACTTTTCTATCGATTCTAAACACGGGGTTTTTATTATTTTCTTTAACCTAATTTCGTATTGGGCTTTTTGACTTTGTTATTTATAGTCAAGTCATACGATCATACTATTTATATGTTTAGTAATTTCGTGTTAAGCACTTAAAATTAGAAGAACAATAAATGTATCATTTCATATCATTATCTCATAACTAACAAAGGCCTATCTACAGCAAGGGATTAGACTAATTGTTTCAAGTTTATTGTCCAATCATTTCAGTCGTAAGTGTCTTTTAAATTCAAAGAATACAGAGAAATATATTCATTTCAAATGTTTATTTCTGTTTAATATATTACAAAAGCTACAATCATCAACCAAATATTTCCATACTTTCATTCAAACAAAACCTTTAACCTTAAACTAACAAACAAATATACATACATACAAACATACATACATATATGTTATCAGCACAATAATCAAGTTAATAATCATGAATAAGTTGAATTTTTTCATCTTCAACTCTTTCAGGTGAAATGTCTCATGATCTAAAAAATATATTATTAAGAAATCAATCATCTTCAGCGCATTAATCGTTGGGATTAAGAGGGTAATGTCTAAAGCTTAGCTTCATTCGATCGGTCTTACTAGTTAGACAAAAAATAACTTGCTTCCCAAGAATACGATACGTTCTAAGTTGTTCACCCGGAAAAAGTGTCTCCATATGGTACGTTTTATCTGTTTCTCTAACTGGATCGACCACGTGAATAATCTGTTCCATTATCAATATTACGCAATCATCGTTAATTTTTCCAACAATATCTCTTGCAATAGAAATATTTTCAACGCATCTTTTACTAGTAAGAGTTGTAGTCGTCTTGTCGATTGAATTAATAATCATGACGTAATCTTCGGAAGCAACATAAGCATTACAATCTTTTGTTTCTAGTACAACGGGCTTGGAATCAAGTAGACTCCATTCAACCCAATGAACCATATCGTTTTTCTCGTAGCATCTTACTTGGTTCTTCGTTGTTAAGAATATCACATCTTTAAACACGCCAAATTGTGAAAAAGTACAAGGTCTCGTATCTGAATAGATAGTAAAGCTTTCGAATATATGATAGTGACTTGATAGAATCGTTAGCGTTACAGACGTATTTCCATCCTTTACTACGTAGCATAGTTGTTCATCGCTTGTAACAAGAATATTTGCAACAGAATTTTCTTTTGAACAAATTAAATCATTACTATTCACGCATAGGATTTCTCCTGTTGCAAAAAGGCCATAGAACCCTCTTGAACTTGAAATAATTGATGTTAATTCATCATTTGTACAAATCTCATAACTTTTTAATGGCGACTCAAAATCAGGAAGAGATACACAACCAATATCTAGATCATTCACTTCGTTCTTTTCATACGTTAAATGCTTCGAGCAAGTATACTTAATGGAATATTTAATTTTGTCCGCCATTTTGGATAGTTCTTCTTGAAACGCTTTATTCTTACATCTTCTTGAAAACTCGTTTATATGCTTCACTTCGTTTAATAATCTAATTAACTTTAGTCTTTTATTATGATAGAACCTAGCTATCTTTTTCTCAGTGTTATATTCATGCTTTTTAATACCATTCATTAAATTAGCAACAAAGTCATCGAGTTTCTCCAGTTCTCGTTTACTGGCAGTAAGAAGTTCTATATAGTTAGACTCAGTTTTGTTCTTAATATTTAAAACAAAGGATTTATCAAGACCATGCTTCTTTAAAACACTTGACAAATCAAAATCTCTCTTGCGCAGATTGGACGGTTTACTGATTATAAAACTGCCGATTGTAGTAATTTCAACTTCATTTGATACAGTTTCATTTTCCATTTTTTCTTAATAAGCTAACTATATGAAATTATTACTTTTATGACCTATAAAGAATAAACTTGAACTTACCTCAGTGAAATTTAAATTGCTAATGCGCCTAGAAGACCAGATCTAGTGACTTACACGTTGCGCTGCTATATTTTTCGAGAAGTGTCAACTTTTTATTATGAAAGTACTCTAGTTTAACATATCAACGATTTGCTTTATCGAATGGGGTAGGGAAAATCTATCAACTACACGATTAGATACTTGTTTTTTAATAAGTTTTTATGTTTCATCAAACTCCTTCATGTTGAAGTTTGTTTTTTATTCAGTACATATTTACATTTATATATATATAGAAAAAAATACAGTAAAATTTACATTTATCATAAAGTATTCAAGAAATAAAGTTATCAAAGTTTACATGTATGCAACAATATACATAATATCATACTGTACACAAAAAAACTATATATATTTATATACATATATCAATTATTCAAGTGTTTCTCTACATAAATTTCATAAAAAGTAGAGTATTAATGTAATATGTACAAATAAACAATCTACAGAAAACTTATCATATCAGAAATACGACTCCTCTAAGGGAAATTTTTGAATAGATAAATCTTTAAAGTCATCTTTGCTCCTTAAGCAAAAGATGATGCTGGCTTGAGTGATGTAGTAACTCAGCAAAATTTTATCTTCAAAAGTCGAATTCATCAAGTAGTAGGAACAATCTTTTTTATCAGGATTAAATACGTGTAAGTTTTCTGTAGTTGTAAGTATTCTAAACCCATTTCGAACGAAGTGAATTAGCTTTTCTACTGAGAAGGTGTCAGTTCTCAGTACGCTTTCGTATATCATAGTGTCTCTCGTCTCGCTATTGATTTCCAATATTCTATCATTCTGTACCAAATACATGTTGTCATCAATAACCATGCAGTTCTCCGGCTTGAAGGTTTTCAATTCATAGTTCCAAACGTTCTTCGAATTTTTTAAGTAGAATCTGACTTGATCATTCGTAACGAAAGCAATAGTGTGCTCAAACACACTGAAAAATGGGGTACATATTTTCACTTCGGAAAGGACTTTAAGATTTTCATATTCCGCGAAATGGTCGGTTAGAATACTTATTTTGGCAATGTCTGTCTTCCCTGTTGATAATAGTGCCAGCTTTCCATTCCAAGCAACTGATAAACTTTCAAATTTCTTTGTATAATTTACCAGTTTCTTGTCAATCGAGAGGAATCTCCCAGTTTCAGATATGGCATAAAAGCCTTTGACATTGCCTTCAACCCGCCCTAATTTATCTTTTAACTGAAACTGGTGTTCCTCTATTGGAGTAAGCCAGGATGTATAATTTAATGAACCAACGTTTTCCATATCTATCTCTGGTGTTATTAGATTAACAAACGCTGGTTGATGATGCACACATGACTGCTTCAGCTTTTCTGCCATTCTTCCAAGTTCTCGGGAAAATGCACGATTCTCGTCCATTTTGAAAAAGTCATACAAAGCTGTCGCTCTTCTACATCGGTGCTTTAAAGCTTTTTTCTTTATTCTTGTGTCGGTTTTAAGCTGGTCTTTAATTGTCTTTTTACCTTGGCGCAGATGGTTGGTTATAATTGATAATTGAGCCCGAAGACCACCCACTGCCACCTCACTTTCATGCTCAAGTGTCAAAAGCTCTGATCCTACCATTTCCACATATTCCCTAGGTAAAATGTCAGAGTCGTTCTCATCGAGAATATGTGGAACTACCACACGAGACGTTTGCTTGTCGTCGTATGTGGCAGGATCCTGTGCGCCAAAAGGTATAAATTCTTCCTCGTCAGTAACCAGATCATCATCTACCTGTATGACGAGTCCTTCATCATCAGTTGAAACGAAATCATCGTCGGACGACAAATACGTTTCCTTTTCGGAATCATAATCAGAGCTGTCAGAATTATCGGATGCTGGATATCTTTGTAGTCTGTTCAAAAGCTTCGCATCCTCTGAAGAAATAAATCGACTTCTTTTTTCTTCGATTTGAGAAGACATTTCTTTCGAAACGCCCGCAGTTCGCTTTATCCCGGGCTTTATCATATCAGCTGATATTACCCAGTGTTTTTGTTTCTCTCGATCGTTGGATGCTATCACGACTTTGGGTAAAGTCAAAGTGAACTCTTTTTTCTCTGTAAAAATAGTATTTATATTGAATAATCATTGCTAATAAAAAGAATGTAGAATATTAGCTTACCGTTATGTTGCATACACATCCAGAACTTCTTCTGAGGCTCTGATCGTTTATTGATGATAGCTAAATGTGAAAAATCATTAGTAATTGATTGCTTAAATGTCTTGTTTAGCTTACATCCTGGCAAATTACTCTTCGATTCATCAGATTGACTGTCTCTGTTAGTTTCACTAACTTGTTCAGATCCCAGTGTGCTCTCTTGAATGGTTGTCTGCAATTCTGTAGAAAATGCTCAATCAGTTTTTTGCTACTTCAAAATGTTAAAACTCTCGCCTACCTTCTGACGTATAGATGTCTTGTGATGCATTAGACGAGTCATCAAATGGTTTAGATGTAGAAATTTCGGTAAAAACCAAGTTATGAAGTTGAGGATCCTCCATGGGAGCAGCTTGAAAAAACATTCAATCATTATTTACATGATAATTTGTATTTACACATATGTTCATATATTTACCTTCAACTACATTCAACTGAACCGCTTTGTTTATAAATTTGTCAGGATTTCTAGGTACAGACATCTGCGTGTAAACCACCCTCTCCCCCAAGACTTCTTCATCTTCACTGTCATCAGCTATGAAAAAAAAATTGTATTTACCTATTGGAGATAGTTATGTTACGCGTTAACTTACCCATAGCATCTCGTGATCTCCGATTTTCATCCCCAGTAGACTGGGAGTATGTGATTGCTCGTTCATCATCGTCCGAATCGTTGGATATGCAACGTTTACGTGTTTTCAGGATAGACTTGATCTTACGAGGTGGAAAATGCGTCTTGGCACGTTTTACAATAGACGCCCTCCCTGTTTCAATCTGTGTTTTACATCTTAATTGTATAGGAATGTCATTTACCTCCAGATTGTCTAATCAATTCATCAACATCCTCAGGTGAACTATACCGGATAAGAGTCACAGTTTCCTCCAGATCCTCTATGTCAGCAGAAGACGCTTTGCCAGCTTGGAAACCTGGTTTTACTTTTCCGTCTCTCATTTCTAACCTACCTTCAGCGACGGAACCTCCGGATCTTTTCTTGTGTCCTTCGGTATCTTTCGTACGGTGAGCTTGGATATTGTCAAATACTTGTTTCATACGGCTCTGGATCAAACTTGACTTACCTCGTCTGGCAGAATCCAGGCCTTCCGGTGTTTCATTTCCGTCGCCACCTTTATGTGGACAAATATTATTAATAATTATTATATTCAGTATAAGAATTCGAATAGTTACTTTCAGTTTCACTTCTGCGTTTCTTGGCCCTTGTTCTTTGCCCGGCAATTACTACCGATCGACCCATTCTTCCCAAATACGTCCTCAAGTTTAGACCAGCTAGTAAAATGGGTCTCATTGTTTTTTTTGTCAAATAGTCGAAAATTGCGTCCTTAATTTCTTTCAATTCTTCAGACATTAAGAATTGCTCTTCCAAGAAAGACAGCGATTTTTGTTGCTGTCTTTGCAATTGAAGCTGTTGCTCGTTGTTGTTCATAGTTAAGAATAGGATCGGTAGATGATAAATTTGAAGACGAGAAGGTTTTCAAAAGATTTTTGAAACGTTTCGTTTTGCTCTCAAAACAAGTATGGCCAAGAGGCTTTCGCGTTGAGCAATTTATTACTTCTTGGAGAGGATATCCTGTTTTCTCAATTGAAACATTTTCGTAATACATGAATAAATAATGAAATCTTTTTAAAAAAATGAAATCAGCATTGAAAATTTTTTAATGAAAAATTCTTGAAAATTATGAAAATATTTTTGAAAAAACTTTTCGAGCGTCTTTATGAACAAGTGAAAAATTAATAAAATCCATAATTAAAGCTTATTCCAAGATTTTTCTCAAACTATACATAATTTAGTTCATATTGTATTTAAATCTTCTTGAAATATTTGAAAATTCTACTTTAAAGTGTTGCATTTTCAAAGAAATTCATTTTTCATCCGCCATTATTGTTTTGGTGAAAAAAACTTATACAACAATATGACTGCGTCAAATTTTTTATATATTACAACTTTGCAAATGTTTTAACAACAAATAGCAATTCAGATGAATTACTTATTCTACATTTATTTTTTAAAGTACAAAAAAGATCTGAAAAGAGATCTTAATACACAAACATTGGCCGTAATTCAGAACACGATTTTCAAAGTACTGATATTTCTTCCTTTAATCTTTACCATTTAGACAGTTTCCTTCAATGTACATTACAAATTGCTTATAATCTATAAAATAATTATAAAATTTGCTCCAAAAATGATATTTTTCAAAGACCGGAAGAGGAAATATGAAGAAGGAGTATAAAGTATAATCTTTCACATTTAACCAAGATTTTTTGTTGCAATTTCAAAATCTGCTTTTTCATCAAGTAATCAATTATAATACTTTTGATAATCTTTGAATAAATGCATCAGATTTCAGCCCGAATTTTTCATTTCAATAATTGGAGGTAAAACTTTCTGGAAATTTCACCTAAAATTATAACAAATTTACAACATATTTCTTATGAAGATAGATTATTTCTTCGTGAATGTTAAGAAAACATGAAAAATAAATAAAATATAGTTATTGAGATATTTTATTGAGTACTCTTTGAAAAGCACGTGCTACTTCTTTTCACTTAGAAAACGATCTATTTGGAGGTTGTTTTAGAAATTTTGACCTCAGCTTAAAGGAAGAAATGGTTGTCAGTTTTATATAAATGTGCTTATTTATATTGAAATAATGTAAAAAGTGTGCTAAAACTTGTAAAACTTTTGAATTGTAATCTAGTTTTTGTATGGTTCAATATTTCGCAGGCTAACCCTTCTTTGGTACAAATATATAAAGAGCATAGAGAGGCAGTTCAATCCGTTAATTTTCATCCTTTTATGAAACAACTAGGTAAAAGTTTGGTTAAGTTATAGAAAAGTCATTTTTTCATTATTGAAGTAATTTGAAAACAGTATCTGGTGGAATGGATTGTTCTGTATTTCTTTGGAATTTAGGCTTGAAAACTGCTGTTCATAAATACATTGGCCATACGGTATTCATTTAAATTCATTTAGAATGCTAAATAATATATGTAATCACTTTTAAGGATACAATTACATCTGTTACATTCTCACCTTCGGGTCGTCTAATTGCATCATCGTCAAGGGATAAGACATTAAGATTATGGTTGCCTAATGTGTATGTTATAGTGAATTAGTATTCTTAAAAGCAAGATTAAGAAATACCTTTTTAATTGAAGAACTTTAGATCCGAAAATCTGCAGAGTTCATAGTGCTACAATTCGAAGTGTTGACTTTGCACTGGAGGATCAAACGCTATGCACAGCTTCCGACGATTCGACAGTCAAGGTCATTCATATATTTCTTAAATAAATATTAAATAACAAATATTAATTTTTCTACTTTAAAGTCTTGTTTTTCTTTCTTAATGTTTAGATTTGGTCGGTTGAAAGATATAGCTCATTATTGACTTTATCAGGTCATGGAAACTGGGTACGACGTGCAAGGTTCAATTTTCCTTTCTTCCCTTAATATATAGACCTTAGTATTTACATTTCGAATTGAATAAAGATTTTCACCTGATGCACGTATGATTGTATCCGGAAGTGATGATTTAACAGTTAAATTATGGGATCGGGATAATGGAGACTGCATTCAAACACTAACCAATTTATCAGAGTAAGACAACTTTATCCACATTTTTATTGATCAGTTCTTTGTTAACAAAATTCTTAATGACTTTTTTATTAGCTACATTAACGACGTTGCTTTCCATCCAAGTGGAATGTTAGTTGCGGCCGCATCTGCCGATTGTTCAGTTAGAATATGGGATTGTAGGATGAGAAATAAATTATTACAATACTTTAAAAGTCATTCAGGGCCAGTTAATAGTATTTCTTTCCATATATCTGGTAAATATTTATTATCGGCTTCTGACGATTCAACTTTTAAAGTTCTAGACCTAATGAAGGAGAAAGTCTTATTTAACGTTCAAGGTCATAAGGTTAGGCTAAAATAAACTAGTGTTGTACTCTTTGCTTAATCTGATTGTGCTATTATCTCATTCGCAATTATGCACCATAAGGGACCTACAACGTCTGTTTCTTTTAATCCTAATGGCGGTTATTTTGCTACGAGTGGAACAGATGAGAAAATTCTTATTTGGAAAACTAACTTTGATGGAAATACGGACAGAGATAGTATTATTCCTAGCAATCTCACTCAAGAAAGATTTTCTTTAACAAACGACCCTACAAGTAGTACTACTCGCTTCGTAAGATGAACGTGTTTCCTTGTTTAAAGATACTAATAATCCCTTTTTACTCCATTATAGAAACATGACGGTAGTACACTAATTCCCGTAAGAATTACAAAAGAAAATAGTGATGTAATACTTTAATTTGAAAGAGTTTTTTAATTATAAACTTTAATCTATTTTTTAACAGAATATCAGACGAAATGAGACTTTTACAGCTAATCATTTTTCAAATGAAATTCCACAGAATGAAAGCAAAGCTATTAACTCTTTAAAAAAATTGGCTAATCAAATCGACATAATGAATAATGTATATATAGATATATATACTGTATATATGTATATGATTATATATATAATATTTGATATAATTCATATAAAATATTTCCATATTTATTTTATAATTTGATGTTTATTCTTATATTTTTATTTCATCTTAGACAATTAATCTCCTACAAGAAAGACTAATTACAGCGCAAGGTATATTAAAGAAATGTACAACAAAACCGTCTTAGAAATCTTCTGCTACAATTAAAAACTAATAGACTTTTTTATATTTTGTTTCTTTTCTATTAATGCGGTTAGTTATCTTTGATACTTCATTAACATTTAAAATAATCTATCTTTATTATTTAATGAATATACAGAGAAAAATATCCACAAGAGGGAGACTAATAAAACTATCTTGTTATGACCGTTGTAACTGTTATTCACTAATGTTACTGATACACTATGAATAAGCGAATATCGGAAGACAATTATACCCCCTTACTCTAATATCCTATTCAACAGTTTTCAAAATAATTAAGACCCTTATCATACATAAATCACTTAGGAATATGAATCAATAGCTATTTTTTTATATAGTATATTATATTAAATACTGACAGCAATATACGTGTATTTGTACAAAGCCTTATATTATACATTTGTAACTATAAATAGATATACTGTACATGTACAGCTATTTTTTTATTCCTTGAAAGCAGTCTGTTTTTTTAATTAGCTATTTTTATTTATAATTAATTTATATAAAATTGTATACAATATATATACAGTATGTATACAGTATATATGCTGTATATATATATATAGATAAATTCATATTAAACCTAGAATGCACTTTGTATCCCAGGCAACAATTTAATTTACATATTTCTATTACTGACTTATCAAATATCATTAGAAATGCACCTATTATATAAAGTGGTAAAGAAAATAATAGAAAAATATCATTTTAGATATTTATTTCACGGTTATGAAAGAAAGAATGTCTTAATGGGAAGCGAGAATGCAAACAGGGGGAGGAGGGAGGGAAGGTTTGAGACAATCTTGTTTAAAGGACTGTTGTAAAGTTTCTCTTTTATCTCATATAATCTGACAATTTATTCCCTCTATTGAGAGTTTATTAAGAATGTTTCACTGACTGTACTATATTTGAAAAATCTCTCATCCATCTTTCTTATTTAACTAATGCTTTTATTGTTCTTTTGTATGATTTCTGTCTATAGAGCTATTAAGATAATCTTTCTTTTTTACTATGTATGCTGTTTATCAAGTTTAGTCTCATTCTAGTCTATTGAACTTTGTCATTTGCATTATATTCTATCAAATTCATTAGGCGGAAGTAATCGATGTGTATCGACGAAAACAAAAGAAATCCCCCTCAACGGGAAGCTTGAATAAAAGAATTCAGGGACAACGCCTAATTGTCCAGACGTCATCCGCTTTCCTGTACAATAATCTATATACTGGACGTGATCTGAATCGAAGGAAAAAGTTCGTTTAGAGGGAAATCTGTACAAATAAGGCAATTTCTTTACCTCGCTCTATATCTACAAGGTCGATTTCCAGCGTAATGCCTCAATTTATCATTCTTATTTGCCGATAAGTCATAATAATGAAGCTTTAACCATATTGGAGAATAAGGGATTAGCTAACTCCCAATTAATTATCGATATTAAAAACTAATTAGCATTATTAATATGTCTATATATTATCCTAAATTACACATAAATTGATAAGAACGCCTAAAGCAAAGAAAGATTATCGCATCTAATGCAAATTATGAAAAAGAATATAATAAATGAACAAACAGGAACAAGTTATTATGTAAACAAATCAAATAAATAATATTCTATAAAACTATTAGTTTTAATAATCATAGCTAATCATTCGATGAAAAGAATTGAATAATTTTTCTTCATGGATTATTGGATTAAGTAGTAGATTTATAAATCAAATAGAAAATATTTCATAAGTAACTTTATCTTATTATTATTATTAGTAAATTCATAGTTTATACGAATACATTAGTACATTTTTTATGTATAAATATATATATAATATACTTCTTTTTAATACGTCTATATCCTGCATTATCAACCTGTTATTCGTAAAATATTATAATTAATTTCTATCAATGAATGTTTAAATAGCTGTACAATTGTATTTAGCTATAATATGCATTGAAGAATCGAACTCACTTTATACCATTCATTAATATATATAAGTGGACCTTTTGTTCGTTTCAAAAACCTGCCCCCCCCCTCCCCCCTCCTTTCTACTCTCCGCCCCACTCCCCCTTCCTCCCATATTTTTTTGTTGAATAAAGGACAATTGGTAAAAAAAAAGCAAGAAAGTTCTTTTAGGATTAGCAGTCGAACTTTATACACCAAACAAACAACAAGAAATAAAGAGATATATACAGGATATAAAGAAATATTGCTTATTCTATTTCATGTTTATTGCCTGTTGTTATTTTTATGTTTGGAAATTGGATATGTTAATTAGAGATAATTAAATAAGGGAAATATTTAATCGATTTTATAATAAAGATAATGTTAAATAGTAATAAATCTCCTAGAAGAATTTACAAGGGATTATCGACGTTAAGAAATAACAATTTAACGCCTGTGAAATCACAAGCGATCAACGATATTTATCGAGGAAGAAAGAAAAGGGAGACAATTGGCTTTTCTAACAAGTTGCCGAAAATCAATTCTGGTTCGAATAGTTCAATAACAACGCCCAACCGATTTCTAACACCTTCGTATATATTGAATACTAATCTAATTAACGAATTGAATGATTATAGATATGGGAATCGTGTTGTTAGAAACCTTCAAGGCTATTCGAGCCCTCAACTATCAGCTGAATCGTTAACGAATCGTTATCTTGGACCGGCTAAAGTTAAGAACCGGAAAAGAATTTTAGTTCATCAAGATCGAATAGCCGAACAGGATGTTTTTAAAAAATGTTCCGAATGGATAAATTCTTTACCGAGAGAATTTTCTTCAGCTGATAGTTTTCTTCTCGCCGAATAGACTCACATTTTGGAACTAACTTTCAAATGCTTTATCTCAATAAAACCGAAATGAATTATATTCGGCTCTTTTCTCTCTTATTCCTATTTATAGAATAGTCGGCGATATTGTCATAAATTTATACAATGTATATTCGATTCATTATTATTTATCAGTTCTAAATGTTTTACATTATTGTGACGTCACATACGAAAATATTGTGAATGTGTGTATTGGAAAGTGGCGTTAACGGGTAGAAAGAGCGTCGCATGAATAATTCATACTATATATAGAGTCGAGTAAAAATTAACTTGATAACCTCGCAATTCCCAATGGAATAGCGTCGACAACAGCTGTCACTCTCAGCAGTACGGCGTCATGAACGAAGCAAATGAGCAGGACTCTCACGTAGACGTAGTAAATAAGACAAAACTTACAAGTTTAGATTCAGGTATTGGAGCAAATTTGAACCAAGCATCCTTACAAGAACCAATATTTCAAGTTTGTTTATTATTAAATCTGCATTAGTTATATTTTACGGGTTAAAAACAAGCTGTTTCCCCCCTCTAAACAATTCAGTGGCAAGTTATAGAATATGATTTTCCGGACGAATATAACTACCCATCACCACCTAATGATCGACGGGAAGTACATAAGAAATTCATTCATCCTTTTGGTACAAATGATAATATAATTGAGGCGCTACTAAACGGACCAAATGAAACTTTCTGTAAAGCTGAAAAAATCGATCCAAGAAAATTACTATTTTGGCTATTTTTGACGTTATTTATGGTTGCTATTAGTGGAGTCATAATATTCAGTGCAGGTAAAAGAACATATTAATTAAAGTCTTGTTGTTGTTGTTTGATAATTCATCAAAAGTAATGGTCAGTCTTATACTCTTCTTTAGAAACCCACGACATTATATCTATACTAAAGAAGAATAGTACGAGCAAACGTTAGCAAAAAAAAAAAGAAACAAAAACCGGAAATAGCAAGAGAAGTAGTTTGCTTCTTGATACGATCTTTGTTTAAAAGTTAATAGAGGGAAGAGTGACGTTGGAAAAGAAAGGTTTCGGAGTAAATTTATAACACGTGTTTATATTACCCTTCAATTGAAATAAAGTGGTTAGACAGCTATAAAATGTTCTAAAAATAATTCTCGAACTGATAGAAGACCTATTAATGATATAAATATTTACATAGCCAAAATACAAATAAATATATATATATATACAAAAAGATTTTCACCTTTCTTTTATTTCTCTCAACCTAAAAATATATCAATACAGTATTTATATATATATATATATATATATATATAAATTTATATATAGGCTATAGATAAAGAGATAGGGGAAGAGAATAAGGAGGAGGATAAAGAAGAGAATAAAGAGGTAAAAATATCGGTTGATTTCTTTTTATCCGACTAGATATAGCAAAACGTAATGAAAGTGATACAATTTTATACATTTAGCTTATCAAAAAAAACAAGAAAAACATCATCAATATATAAATACACTTGTTTCTTGTTCACACAACTATTGGTCGACAATTTACTTATAAAATTAATTATATGAAATAGAATTTCATATTTTGTAGAACCGTTATTGAAATATTGAAATGATTTTTCTGTTTTGGCAAATTTCAATTACGCGTTTGTTTGTTTGTTTTTAAATCCCCTGTTCTATCTATTTGATTGTAAATTTCAGAATGTCTTTCATATTTTCGTTTTCTTTTGTTTTTCGTAAGTTTTCCATCACTTTTCTCCAATTTTAACTACAAATTCGGCATGTTAACTCTTTCTGTTCAGGATAAAAGTCAAAAATTCAATGGGTATTGATAATAAAGGAAGTATATATACCAAAGGTTCAAGTTCTTTCTTTTCAACCAAATTGAATTCGGCAACGAAATAGTAAAAATGTTTATAGCAAGTATTGATATGTGGTTCCTGTTTAGGTAAATGTACAAATAGAATAAAAAGAATGTTTTACCCAAGTATAAACTAGATAACTTTTTTAAAGATACATACCGCTCCCATATCTGTTAAAACATCAAAATGATGTATGTATACGTGAACGAAAACACGGAATAGTCTTGTTAGTATTTTCTTAACGATTGAATTGTAATTTTTAGGGAAAGCCACACCTGTTGAAAAATATAGAAAAAAACATAATAAAGATAAAAAAATATTCGAATATAGAATGTTTTATTAATAGATATAGAACGTAATTTTATACTACATGTTGTGTATTTAATAGAACACGTTATAAACTGTTTACTAACCAACTTCAACAGGAAAAATATTTTCATTATTTATCTGCGATTCTACCCAGTCCATCAAGTAGGAGATATAAGTTGGTGCTGGCAAGGATGTCGGTTTCTTATATTTAACCCCATCACACCATTTATACTCGTATTTTTGTCCACCGGACATTGTAGGACACGTCTCCGGTGTGCAATATTCATTTACAATACCGTATATAACGTTTATCCGATTAAAGAAATCGACGACATGAACCGCTATCCAATCATTCAGATCTTCGCTGTCTGGCAATTTCACAACGGATCTTAAGTTGAATCCTTGATTTAGGGAGGCGTTGGCTCGTTTATGAAGATCATATCGAAGTGTTCCTTCGATTATATTTTTCTTCTTTTGTTTAAATGTCTAAACGCGATAATAAATATTAAGTTGTTTATTATTCACTACAAATAGATAAGAGAACACTATAATACGATACCTTATCCCTCGAAAAGAAATTGGAAAAACTAGAGGCCATCTTTCTATTAACGGTAGGACTTAGCTGACAAATATATAATCAACGGAAGTTGGTAATTGCTTAATTTGTTGATTTAATCGATATATTCTTTTACACTGTACGCTAGTATATCAACGAGTTTTTTACAAGTAAATATCCATGCTGAAATCACAAATCTCGTATTTTATCGCATAATCTCTCAAAAACTCGTTGCCTAGGTGGAGCCATAATAGCCTTTCCTAGTTGTTCTTTCATCCTCCCCCCCCCCATTCCTAATATACTTTACCTCCCCCCCTGTTTTGTTAAGTTCGATAAAAGTTCAACATTTAACACGGAAATCCGCTAACCTTAAAATCATTTAACAAAAAGAGACCAGAAAATTTCTCATTTCCTTTAGAATGACTGAGGATGATTAGACGCAGGCTGAATAACGAATAATGATAGATATCCATTGCGGGTAAATAGGCCTATTCATGGAACTTTTTTTCTTTTTTGTTCTATTCACTATAAATTTTCTAGAATTTTGAACATTTAATTATTCTTTTATATCTTTCTAATAAGTAAAATATTAGTAATTAGAATGAAGTTTCCTATTGGATATTAGAATAAAGTAATAAAGAATGAACTATTCCATAAAATATTATCATACTTCTCGGAAACTTTTGACTTTATATAAAAGTATAGCAAGATGTATTTATATACTCCTACACATTTCAATGATGTGTAATAACAATATTTTTATTACTCTATTGACCTTATCTGCTTTCCACATTTGATAAAATAAAGGAAGTTATAGGATTTATACTAAATTAACTTACTTATTTAAATATTCTATAATTAAAACATTTTTTATTGATTAATTAATTTCTATAGGCTTAATTTTAGAACACTTTTACCTTTCTATTTTATTTGTTATGTTCTTGATAATAATTAAAATAAAAACCATACTGACCTCTTTTTATTTACTCTTACATTTACAAGCCTATACAAGTTTTAATCTAAAATTAAAGAGTTAAAAAAAGAAAATGAATGTAAAAACAAGACTACCAAGAATATTAGAAGAATGGTTAGAGAGAAGGGAAAAATTTTTCTTTTTCTTTTCTTGAATAGTTTGAACAACAAATATATAATGTATAGGCTTAAAAAAACAGTAATCTCTTTATAAACAATAAAGGTAGTAGAACAGCTTCAAATGTTTGCACAAATATAAATTAGCTAAAAGTCTAACGTGGTAATGCTACATTTTCTTTTTACCTATTATAATTTGAATAAGAGGAATCTGTTAGTTCAAGTGATTGATTCAATCCAATTTTTTTCTAATGAATATAAATAACCCTTGAACAGAGTTAATTCTAAAATTTACGTAGAATGAGTAGAGTGAAATAGCGAAAGACAGATAGAGAATTACCTCAATCATTACACTTGAACAAAAAAATACATATAAAATAGGCCTATTACTAGTTTATTCTAACTTATTGCAATTAAATGAGAATCTAGAAAAGAGCTTATGGTCATATATAACATAATGTAATTATTTTGAAATAAATTGGCAAGTAAGATTGGTCTTGAGCGCTTACAAGAAAGTTTACGAACGATTGATAATTATACATAAACAAACATTGCCACTTATGACAGCGGCACTGTCGGTTTTGTCCGCTTATGAATCGCACCTTTTTTTATTGGCACTACGAGAAAGTTTACAGGATTAACGAACCTGACTAGAGTAGATTTGCCGATTCCTAAGATTCTCCTTTTCCCTCCTTTCATTGGATTATTGTCACACTGCCATTTTCTTTTTCTTAATCTTTCATTACATATTGTTTCCTTTTGTGATAGCAAAAAACCACTTGGCATTTCTACTTTGAAATATTAGGAAAAAAACACTGGTGGTATAGGAGTAGCGGACGAATAACAAGCGAATAACACCAATATTTGGCCAATGTATGTTATGTCGAAGAAAGACAAGCTGCGTTCGCACTACGGTGGGCTAATTACAACTTCGAAAACTAAACAATCTCGACAACTACATCACTGGAATTCTTGGCCAACCTCCAAACTACTACCACCAATAATTCGGCAGGTATCCAACGGAAGAAATGGTAAAGAACATAATGATGGAAAAGAAAAAGACGTACTGAAATGTCTACCGAAAATATCATTTACGAAGAGTAAGGAGCCACCCCCTAGACCTAGATCTAAAAGTTATGATTATTCGACCGTTGCTTTTCTTCCACCTTTCAATTTAAATCTAACGCCAAAAGCGAGTCCAAGATTATCAGAAGAATCGTTAGCTAGTCGAACGAAAAGTGTGAAACCTGTAGAACGTTCGCCTGAAATCAGGAGATCAGATGCTGATTCTGTTTGCAGTCAGGAAACATTCGAGAAATGCTGGAAATGGATCGAATCTTTACCCAGAAAATTCTCTGGTCTGAGTGACGTTATATCTAAACCAGAGCCGGACTTTTAGGCTTGTAGGTAATTATTTCCTCTTGGTTTATTTGTCTGTATTAATAAACACGAAGATTTTTGCTGAGACAGATCGTGTATCAATTTCGTGTTCAATCTATAAACAAATGAATTATAGGCGTGGCCTTGTTTTGTTTCTCTCTCTCTTGTTCTTTTTCTTTAATATTTTTTCTTCCATTAATGCTGTTTGATATCGATCAAAAACATGTCCAAAAGCATTTTGAGAAGAATGAAAGAATGGGTGAGCTCCTCTTTCACATCAGGTTCAGAAGACAGGAATGAAATGACTTCACCCGAACAAACTGATATTGAAAGCAGTATGGAAAGTGGCCACAGACCGCAAAGCGTACGTAAACTTTTAAATCATATATTTTGTCCTATTTATTAAGAATTTATGTACATTTATTAATCATAAAGAGGTGTTTTCAATTCGTGCAATACATAGTATTTCGAAGAATCATTCGTGTATCGTCTTCAAATACGCAAATTTTCACTTTTCAACTGTCGCAATTTACTTTCGTCCCTTGTTAACTTGTCTACCTGAGTTGGAATTAGACGCACCTATACATAGTTTAATTGGTTATTTGTAAACGATACGTTTCCTCTCTTCTTTCTCGTTCCTCTTCATAAAATATTCCGCAAGATTATTGGCAATAACAAAAGCAAGTGACGTCACAATAACAGAAACATTTTTCAGTATGAAAAATGACTTCGGCAGACGAGGCAGGAGATATCGGTTTAAGAAATAACGATTTCAAGGTTTAATAAATTATAAGAATTTCAGTCTGAACTTAACAAGCTTGAATGTTTTTTTTAAAATATAATTATGATATTTAATCATATTTTCATCTCTCTAGTTTCTATGTTTCTCCCATTCTTTCTTTCTCTAGCTCTATTTCTCTCTTCCTCTCTCTATCTCTCTGTTACACACCCTTTTCTTTTGCAGTTGAAAGTCACTGAATACGACAATCCAGCATTTAACATTGAGTGTGACAAATCCACTAGCTCTGAAGATAGAATAAAATTCTCAGAACAAACTCTCAAAGAATTGGCCGAATTGAGGCGTTCAACATACGTTCATCCATTCGGCAACAAAGTTGGTGTAGTGGAAAAGTTAATTTACGGTATAGAAGATGTTGAAAGGTTTAGAGCCGACAAACTTGATCCTCAAAAACTTATATTTTGGTTTGTCCTAACTGCCTTTCTGTTGGCAATGAGTGTTGCTATAATATTTGCAGCAGGTATAAGCTTTTTAAAACGAAAAAACATTCTTTTATCGTCTCTTTCTAATGAGTTTCTTTTTACTTCTTATGCTTTGATAATATACAGAACGATACGAAATACGGCCTACTTTTCGCCCAAGAAACACCACAATTTAAAACTGTCGCAAGAATATTTGTAACAATTGATTATATGTAATGGATTTATTTATTTGTTATTTAATTCATGGCATGCTCCATAAATAGTTTTTTCACTGGTTCTAAAGCCTCAACACTTGTTAAGCCGAAGGTTCTTGCCAAAACAGAAGGAGCAAAATCCGTACTATATAATCTATTTAAAAAGTCAACTAGAGCAATCGTCGGCAAAACGTGCCTCTGCCTATCGGTTTCGTACTTTAGTAAACTTTTATAATCTGGTAGTTCGCTACCGTTGTAAACACTTTCTGATAGATGGTCAATCAAAACACGTACATCGCCAAATCCCAAATTGACCCCTTGTCCGGCGAGAGGATGGATTCTATGGGCGGCATCTCCAATCAAAGCTACTCTAGGTTTTACGTAATGTGTCGTGTGAGTAACGCCAAGAGGAAATGATGCCCTTTGATTGACTTCTATAACGGATGGTGGAAGAATTCTAGTAGAGCTTGGTTTATTTACTCCAAGGTTGCTAATAATCTGATTTAGGGTCTCCAATAAATTTTGAGCAGCGTCATCTCTATTCTCATTTGACCAAAAAGCTTCATTTATGGCATCCTTGAAGCAGTCGTCATCCAATTCCATTAATCTTTTGGATTCGCTGACAGATGTTGACCAGACTAGAGAACTATATTCGTTGGATAAGGGTAACATGGCGATAGGACCATTTTTAAGGAAGCGCTGCCAAGCTACGTTGTTATCAGTCGGATCACGTAGCTTTAATGTCGCAACAATTGCCCTTTGATGATAATCCCAGCCAGTTGTGTGCAAGTCACATTCTTCCCTAATCTGCGATTTAGCGCCGTCGGCACCAATTAAAAGCCTTGTTAGGATTTTTTCCCCATCCTCTAAAGTTAATTCGACCAGATCAGTACTTTCGTTAGATGGTATAGCGAACTTTTCAACCCTTGTTCCACTCCTCATGGATACATTCTCACATTCTTTTATTTGTTCAACTAAGGCATCGACAATAACGTCGTTCTCTACTATGAAAGCAAGATTATGTTCTGGATTCGGGTTATTAAATGTTATAGTAGAATCTGAAGCAAAGTCCCAAACTTGCATTCGCTTTACAGGTTGATATCTGGAGGTCTTTTCAATTCTTTCCCAAGCTCCTACACTCTTCAATAATTCTATGGAAGCCGGACTGATCGCTGATACCCTATTAGAGAATACATTTTGAACTTTTTCAGTAGGTTTGTAGGCCTGCGATTCTAGTAAGAGAATGTTGAGATGATTGAGCATGCTTGTTTTCCCAAATGCGGCTGCAGCAGCATTTCCTACCATTCCACCTCCGCAAACAACAGCATCATAGATTTTGGCTCCTAATTCATAAGCAAATAAAACAATTCAATTCGATACAAACTAACGGAAATACGATAATATTTAAGAAAGTACGATAATACGATTTGTGAAAGAATGTCATCATAAACTGCTGACCTTCATCAGATTTGGACGATAAAAATCTGAGACTGCTTAGTTCTTTTGATGATTTTAATCCTCTACAAAGAAGATTTTTAACTTGTAGGTTGTTAATTCGCGCACAATTCCTTAAAAACATACTCTTTTGGTATATATGAAATAGTGAGCGATAATTGGTAAATAACCGCAAATATCGCGCAATATTCCGAACCACCCAATTAACTTTACTTACTTTTGACATTTAAAAGAGTAAACATTAAAAAAAAAACAGATATAGAATGATTTAAAGTATAAAACTTTATAAATAACTTTAAATATAAATCAGTATTAGTTTTTTTAATAAAAAAAAATAATATTAATAAAAATGTTCTTTTTTTTGTTAAAAGTTATTGAAATAACACTCGAATAAACTATTAGCCTATCCATTGAAGGAACTTTCAAAAGAAGAGGTGGGGCAGAAATGGATCTTAATTTGTTCGCTTAGCGAATTTCAAGACATTTATTGAAGAGGAATGTTATCGTAGGAGGATAAATGAAAGAAAAACACAAGTAGGAGTTGTCTATAGATAATTTAAATAGTAATTAATTGATTTCTAATATCTTCTCTATTTGTTTAAATTATACTTTTAGTATTTTATCAAGGTGAAAAGAGCAAGTTTTGCAAAGAATTTACGCATCTCAATTAAGGTTTGCAGACCTGATTCTTGGTCTGACTTTTATCTATTCTGTTCTTTTTTTAACGCATTAAAAGACCAAATCAGAGGAGTAGATTATGGGGATTGCATTTAATTTCTTAAAGAAAAATGACATTAAATTCTATTGAAAAGGCATAGATTTGCAATTCTTTTATCTCTTTGAAATAGAATAGCTAAGAAGCCAGCAATTATTGTAAAAATAAAAGTGTAGATAAAGAAAATTCAGATGTATTCATAAAATAATTTTATAACCCGAATAAAATGAAACTAATACAGTTTGTGAGCTTAAATTGTTGGCTACGAAGTTAGTTTTTAATCGTTTAAAGATTAAATCAATAGGGGAGAATCTATACCAGAATGTCCACTGGCAACGCCACCTTCATCTACTTTTTCTGCTTTAGTTCTTAATAGATGTCCTCCGTGATTATTTAATATTATATTTTGTCCATTTCTACACGAAAAAAAGATATAATTAACAAGTAGGAAAAAAGTATTTGAATAGTCTCTTATTTTTTTTTACCCCAATGCACAGCCAAATATTCCCAATTCATGTATCATTGATAGCCATTGAGGTGTGGTATTTAATTTAACCAGACAATTATTAAAAGTTGGAGGAAATATTCTTTCCATTAGAATATAGGCTTCCCTCTCTTTTGGCGTTAATTTGCGTAATTGAGCAACCAACTCATCACCATAAAAGTTGTTACCTATGGGGAATTTATAATAAGAACGTGACAAAAAGCTTCTTTATTAATAATTGTATTTTACCTCCGCCTTCTCTCTGCGGTTTCAACACGTACTTATTTGGTGATGCAATAGCTATCTCTACCATTTTATTCGACTCTTCTCCAATATCCAAACTATAAAGTCCCACAAATGTTTCCTTTAGTTGTTCGATAACTTCTTGGTCTTTAATAAATCTTTGTAATACATTAGGTTCTGCCAATTTCTGTTGAACACGCTTAGTCCCAGCTAACTGAAGGTGAACAGATGGGCATTTTACTGCTTGAGATCTCTCCATGTCGAATCTAATATTCCAATTCTAAAAAAGATTTCTTCATTTCATTCATGAATAAATTAATAAATATATAAACCTCTTCATTATATTGGTCTGGCATATAGCCATCCCTCAAATAGATAACCGCAACTTCCCGATCTTTGCTATTTAAAAGATGTTTTTTCATTATTATATTCACAAGTGAAAATTAAGTGTATTAATAAACGTACAAGAAATATTTTCCATCATTCGCAACCCTTGCTTGAGTTTTTAAGTCAAGCCAGCATACTCTGATAATTTCTATTGAAGAATTCAACTCTATAACACCATACTCTAAAGCTCTCTGATCAAATTCATTCCTTTCGGTGTCTTGAACCAAAAATAGTACAACGGCTCTAATGTTTAAAAATCATTTTAATATATATGCATAAAGAAAATAACCATACTTTTCAGAATTATAATAATCATATGCTGCTTTTATGCCTTGGCTTAGAGTTGGAATTGCCAAATTTTCTGGTAACTGTTAGTAAAAAATGAAAAATACGAAAATACTTGTAAAATGTAGAATTGAATTATTAAATTGTTAAATAATTACACATTTCGCCAAATGATTCAATTTCCATCTGTACAAAGTATGTTCATGACACTTTCTAATCCGAGTAGCTAGACCTCCAAAACTCGAGGAGATTGTATTAAATTCAACTTGTGCCAATTGTAGTCCGTTATCTTTTTCATTAATCATATAATCTGATCTGAACAATCCTAAACTTACTTTCTATGGAGTTGTAAAAAAAGAATTAATTAATAATTTTATTTTAAAATATGAAAATAATGATAATCAACTTGTGTTGTTTCCATTTCAATAACTTTATTGGCAATATTCCATAAACGTCTTGTAAAACTATCTACTTCTATTGTACTAAAAATGAAAATTAAATTTAAACATTCAAGTGTTTTTATATCTTTGATATGTTTACTTTTTCAAGCATTCGTATAAAAATTCTTTATCATGTGCAACTTTTATCATTAATTCGTTAAACGGCTGTTGAACTTTTAAGGCTTTCTCATATAAGTCTTTTGGAAAGGGTGAAGGTAAAAGTGTTGATGTCATGGTTGTTACACTGTCATTATTTAGCTGTATTGTCCGAATTATTGAACCTAAATGTAATATCATTGACGAAATTGTAATTTCTTTTAAAGTATGTTTTACCATAAAAATATTGGCTTGTTTTAAACTTTTCAACTTCTTCTTGAAGTTTTTCTTCACTAGGTTTGTCGTAAATCCGCAAAGAACCAGCCATAGTTATGTGGTTAATATAATTTTAGAGTTGGAGCAGACGATAAATTAGGTATGCCTAAACTTGGAAAGGAAACGATAAAAGAATAAAAACATTGTTAGTAGTCCCATATTTTGCATTCAATGTGATTCCAGTAAACTTTCAATGCTAAAGCATTTGACAAGTCAATAATCGAATAAAACTGTAATTTATAAAAGAATAAAGAAGTTAATTAACTATTAATTAAGATATTAAATTGAGTTTATTTGATTATAATTTATTTTATTAGGGAGAAAAGCGTTACTATCAATTTCAAGCTAATTTATAAGATTATTAACAAAAAACCACATGATCAATAATTACGTTCCATATTCAACTTAAATAGATTAATAAAGCTGAATGAAAACTTAAAAACGTGACTAGTTTACGTATGAACGAATTAAAATTGTCGAATTAATCTTGTCAACATAAAAAATAATATTTTATCGATTTCAAACCTTCTCCATTTTTACTACAGTATTAGTTCAAAGATGGCGTGAATTTTATGCTTATATTCATATATATATATATATATATATGTGTGTGTGCAACCAATATCTGTATCAAAAAAATATTTAGAGGGCACTACGGATGGTATCAGGCATAGGCCTACAAAACCTCACTCTTCAATAGAAGAATGATGTTGCCAATTGTTGAATTGGTTCGACAGTTTCTATTTACTGCGCAGTTACATTGATCGATTTTTAATCGTCTCATATTCGTATGAAATGTTAGCGATTAAAGGTTTCAATTTATCTCTGCATTCTAAAAAATGGAACCGAATAAGCAGAACATAGCTTAAGGATTTGCAATTGATTTTTTTCCCCAGTATGCAAGCAGAAGAAAATGAAACAGATGATGAGGTACAAGTATCAACTGGCCTCTTCCCAACATTCTACTGGTTGGAATTCAAAAAGATATTAAGTTTGGCATGGCCCACGGTTTGCAAATGATTTTTATTTAAGTTTTATAATTAAATTTTATTCATTAGAATCTTCTCTATTCATTTATCTTTTATCATTAAGTTTTCTTCAGTAGGGAAAATAATAACCATTGAAGGAGATATTCATATTTTCTTTCTTTTATTCATATCATAGAACGCATTAGAGAGACGCCATCTCACGGTTCATTAGTTTCTTGGGCTATTTTTTTATATAAATCTTTTTGTTTTTTCTTATATCTTTCCAGTCCTTATCTATGCTATTCCATTACCTAATACAACCAATTAGCTTAATGTTCTGCGGTCACCTGGGTAAAACGGACTTGGCTGCCGCCTCCCTAGCAATTTCGGTAGGCTTAATTTATTATATATAAAAAATTTCTATTCAAGAGATTGACAATCCTCATTTCAATAGGTCATTTACATCGTTTGTGTTAGTGTTGGCAGGGGTTTAGCTTTTGGAGCAGACACATATTTTTCCCAGTTATACGGGGGAACAAACAAGAAACTTGTTGGTCTTTATCTGCAAAAATGCTTCTTTTTAATTTTACTCACATGCTTCCCAATTGTTGCAATATTCTTGAACATTCAATCGTTGTTGCTTTTGCTCAAGCAAGATGCCGAAGTTTCTGCCAAAGTTCAACAATACGTCCTTTACTTTTCACCTGGCATTTTGGTTTGTTATTCTTAAGTTTGAATAGGATATATTTCTATTATGTTTCTCTAATAAATATATATTTAAATGAATATCTGTATACAGGCCTACTGCTGTCTATTCACACTCATGCGATATTTACTTTGTCAGGTATTTATCCGTAGAAAATAAATTATCTCTTCTTTATTTTTTAGTTGGTTTCATGAGATTTAATCTTTCCAGAACCGTGTTATTGCCAATTTGATCATCTGCATTATAAGCTGTGTAATTAATGCCATACTCCATTATGGATTGGTTTATCAAGCTAAAATGGGCATTATGTTAGTTTAAATTTCAAATTGAACCCTTTAACTAAACAGTAATGTTTAAAAATCTATTGCAGTGGATCAGCAATATCACTTGCTTTAACATACTATTTGACAACTTTTCAATTATTCGCCTACATTTGGGGCTGTAGAATATACAGGGAAACTTGGGACGGTAAATCAAAATTGTTTATAATTAGTAATTTCGATAAAATGACTCTACCAATTTAACTTTTAATCTATTAAGGATGGACTTGGGACTGCTTGAAAAAATGGGGTCCAATTTCAAAAACTGCTGCTTTATCTATATTTATGACAGTTTTATTCTGGCTGTGCACTGAATGCGGAACGTTTTTGGCGGGTAAATAAATATTTTCGTTAATTATACCCAAATTTATTCATAAAATGAAAGTATCACATTTTGGTAGGCGGATTACCAAATAGTAAAGAGGCTATTGCCACATTTTCAATAATGTTCCAATTGGAAGGCTTTGCCTTTATGGTTCCTTTGGGTTTAGGAGGTGCATGTACAGCGAGAGTTGGACAGCATTTGGGTTCAAATAATCCAAATTGGGCAAAAGTATCTTGTAGGGTATCCTTAATAGTGCAAGGTGCTATCTCCCTGATATTTGCAATGGCTGTTTACATGTTAAAAGATTACATTCCCAAAGCGTTTACTTCAAATCAGTAAGTGCCTATCTTCTCCAAGAAGAAAAACCTCTTTATTCTAAAGGAAAAAAAAACAAATATAAATTTTATTGCAGGGAAACTGCCAACTATACTGCAAGTATGATGTACTTAGTTTGCATATTTATTCTACTTGAAGGAGTTGGGGTAAGTAGGCCTTCATCGAAATAGAAAACTTAATTTTAATATACAAGTATATAGATCTATAAAATAGAAGCAAATCCTATTTATTAGTTAGATAGGAAATTGAAAAATAATGGAATTATTACTATATTTTTTTTTATTGGCAATTTTACAGGGCGTTGGTATAGGAATAATAAGAGGGACAGGTCGTCAGGGTTTAGGAGCTATATTAATATTCACGGCCTACTACGTATTAGCTCTACCAATAGGAATAGTTCTAATGTTTAAAACGAAACTAGCGCTTCTTGGTAAGTATTTTGATAAGATATATATATATATATATAACTAATTATGTAATCTCATAACTAGTGCAAATTTGTAGAAAATCTAATCAGTATCTAAATAAAAACTATATAACTATTATTCACACTTGTAGAGAAATTATTTGGGAAAAAAGCCATTAGATGGCAGCACTATGTAACTATTACCATCAATTTTTTCTATTAAAATACTTATTTATTTAGTGTTTATAAGAGATAAAATATATTATTATACACATATACACTTATAGGCTTATGGCTTGGATATATAATTGGAATATTTGCCGAAGATTTATTTGTCTTAATATTTGTCGCAAAACTGAACTTTGAGAAGGAAGCGGCCAAAGCTGCTGAAAGAAGCAATATAAGTAACATAATAAATGAGGAACCAGTAGCATCAGTAAATGATATTAATGAAAATATACGTAAGTCTTCGAATTAACGTTTATTTTCCTGTTGTTTATTATAGTAAAAGATTTTTTTCATTTCAATTCTCTATATAGCACTATTAAATAGTAACAACGAAGAATCTAAAGTGAAATTGATAGCCCTACGCCTATTAATATTCGTTATATTTGCATGTTTGCCTATTTGTGGCTATATTATCCGTCGAAATTTTCACGTAGATATTAAATGGACAAAATTATGTGTATGGAACAATTCAACTATTTCATCTAATAATTTACCTCTCTGCAACGCAACTCTGATGCCATCTTCTGCTTGATTATAGATAAAATTTATTTTATTATTAGTTACAAAGTATAAACTACTTGAGAGATAATACAGCTGCAGAATTTTACACATCAATATCCATCTATCTATCTCTATATACAGTATATAACAACATATAAAAATTTATATGTAAGGTTGTATACGCCTTATTTCATTCTCTTCATATAGTTAAAAAGGGGATAAAGACTGTGTATAGGATGATAAGATTATATTAATGTCGTTTTCCACCAGTTTATATTATATTTTATTAGCTACTCGTCTCAGTCTCGGCCTTTCATCTATTAAAACTTACATCTCTTCCTATGTAAGGTAGGAAGAGATGAGAATAATTCTTTTGTTCTTTCACTAGATCTCTCTCTCTCTCTCTCTCGTTCACTTTCCTATACATCTTTTCCGTTTGCTTTTCCCATCTCTTCTTCTTCTCTTTCACAGATCTTTATATAGACAAGATATACTTTCATAAATAAAGAAATAAGGTTACATCAAATTGTTAACATTCTTTAAGTTTGGGAAAAAAGAAGAGTTTTATCTTATTCTTTCTTTGTTTCTTTTCCTCTCTTTCTTCTTTCCTTTACATTTTATTTTAAGGCGAGAAATATCGATAATTTTTGACAAATTACGAATATAGCATCAACTTATATATCTTTCTTAAATATCAAAATAATCCAAAAATATAGCCGCTCTACTTAAAAGTAATCGATTTTGACAGAATGTTCTATTTTAAATTTTCTTTCCCTTTGTGATTGCTAATACTTCATTTTATTAATGGCAAATGCTAAATTTCCGATAATATATGTTCACATGTATGTAGGCTATATTGTATTTCTTATATGTTCTTTTTCCAAATCTCTTTAAAAGCCTATCGACGATACAGAAAAGGTCAAGGAATTAGTGTGGTTACTACTCATAACAAAAAATGACCACTAATAGCTTAGTCGGAGCTTCTACCTCAAGTTTGGGAAATACCTTGTTTCTAAAAATAGATAACGTCATTTAGGATTCTCTCATACGCCATATTGTTTAGAATTCTAGTTGGTTTAGCATCTTGGTTTTTGAGCGATTTACAACGATCAGGGAACGTACTAACCAGAAAATTGCACAAAAATAACTACAAACCAAATTCAGTCTTAATTATATCCTAACTACGGTAAACAATTATTTTTACGAAAGTTTTTAAAGCTTTTCTATACGTGATCGTAATTGAATAATATTTTCTATTATAATCACATTGTTGTTTGCTTATTCCTTGATCGAATGTTAATCCAAAGACATATATTTGTAGGGATATGAATGGTTACTCTCGTACTGAAGAGCAGAGGTCATCTGTTCAATATTGTTGCCTAACGGACGATGGAAGGAATTGCCGTCGGCCGGCTGGTAATGCTGTATACAATAAGCGTATACAGAAACAAGCTTTACAAAAACGTTTGAAGTTGAATATTGACAATTCTGTAAGTTGTTTTCTTTAAATAATAAAGTAAATCCTTAAGTAAACGTTACAAATATCATTTTAGCACGGACACATCTACATTTGTGATCACCACAAAAACATGATCCAAAACGTCCGAGTAAAAAGGAAGAGAAAAGAGAGCGAATTGCACACGAGGGAAGAAATTTCTGTGGTATTTATCTTTCATAGCATTTCACCCAAGTTCCCTATCCTCTTCATTTATCAAATTATCAATTATCTTTATATAGGTCGACTTCAATAGCATGCCAATGAATATGTTAAAACGTTACCGACGTCACTTTAAACTTCCAATCAAACAAGGGAGCAATAAATCTCAACTGGCTGACGTAAGTTTATAGGATATCTCTTTGATTTTGTAGTCGAATTTCTTCTTTCTCTTTCTATTTTCATTTTAAAAACTTTGAAAATATCGATAAGAGATTTTCTTTTTTATAAAAGCGTTTGAAATCTAAATATTAAAACACGTGTGTATATTTTGTTTTCTTTTTCTCTTTTCACAGTCAGTTGCCAGGCATTTTCGTTCAATTAGAGTGAATGAAAAGGAAGCTCTAACCTATTTTATCTACTCAGCAAAGAATCATAAGTCGAAATTTGATACAATGAAGGGAAATGACTGATTTTTTTTTTGATAGTTTTTTTTTGGAACGGAAGACGTTCTCTGTCTATTTTTAGTGTGATTTGTGACTGTTTATAAATCAATGTAACCTCTTTTAAAGGGATTATGTATTTCGACGTTTTTTATAATATGATAAAAACACAAAATTCGTGAATTAACTTGCGTTAATTATATAGTAATTATTCGAAAAGTTGGCGCGAATATTAATAATATTGCGAAATTTTTTACACCAGTTTATAAAATACCTGTCCTACGCATGCGTATTGCAAAGCGGCAGAATCTTGTTTTTGGCCAAACATTATCTTGGCAACGGTGATAACTCTAAGTCACTTATTAAGTTACTTGTTATGTAAGTACAATTTTTAATACTAGCATGTAAAATAAATAAAAAAAAATGATTATTTAATTAAATTTCCAAAAACATTTCGTAACGACTGATTTCCTTTATATTTTTTATGTAGTTTGAATAATGTCTGAGAATCAATCAGTACAATATCCGTGAGTATATCAATTGGCGAGAAAATATAGTCAATTTAAAGGAGATATTTACATCTTATTAGAAGTCCATCAGCGGGTGTACCCTTTACGAATGTAAGGGGTAAAGTTCGAGTCCCACGCGGTTTCCAAGCATTGCTAGAAGGATTGGCAAGAGAGGTGCTAAGGACTCAGCCACAAGATATATGCGCATTTTCAGCATTATATTTCGAGAAATTATTAGAGGAGAGAAAACGTAAGTCCAATTTACTATATTACAAAGTTCTCTGTATTGTTTCAAAAATGGTGTTGTCCAATATTCGGTAACCAGATATTGTTTATCTAGATACTGTATGTGTTTATTTTAGAGTATACAATTCTATACAGTTGTACCATAAGACGAAATGTAAAAGGAGAACCTAAGATAAAAGGCATTTTTCGTTTTATTATTCTATTCTCTAAAATCCCAAATCTTTTTGGTTTAATGTTTTAAGTGGTGTAAACTGACGACAGAGGCCAGCACAATAGAGGCCTTTCTTTTTTTTTTCTTTTTTTTTTACATCTGCAAGCCCATAAAGTCTAACTCTACGATGATGGCTAATATAAATGAAAGATTCATATTACGTCCAATGTGCAACTATTTATACGAAGCATCTGCGAATGTAAGATGGGGGTTGCAGGGATTAAGGGCAGCGGGTTAAAACGTTGGCGTTACGTAATCTCAAATGTTTTTCGAAACGAATATAAAGATAGAAGTGGAGAGAAGATAAAATGGAACCATTTGCCATTTATCTTTGTTCTAGTTTAAACTGTTTTGAGTACCACGACGATTGAGGAATCAACACAGCGGCACTAAATCACTTTTAGTTTGTAATCAACTTCTGACTCCTCTTTATCAACGTCTTATCCTTTTGCTTTTTCGAAGAAAAATAGAACGAGACGATTTATAAGAACTCTATACGATAATTTCTCTTTTTCCCATAATTATAAAACAAAGCCAAGAGATTAGAGAGAGCGAGAGAGAGAGAGATAGATAGATAGATAGAGAGAAAGAAGTAAAGGAGGAGAATAATATATATATATATATATATTCTTGTATACTTGTATTAACTGCATGTTAATCTATCTTCCTACTCTCTCCTTCTGTCATTCCTATCTTAATTTTCTTCCCTCTGTTCCCTCATTCCAATGCTCTTTAACAGTTATTATAACAATTACTAATTGATTTCGTAACATATAGCCGCCAACACGTTGTAAAAATAGAGTTTTTTTTTATTCAAGGACGATACGAATTTGACGGGATCGTTAAAAAAAATGCCCCATTCCCTCTTTTATTCGTATTCTTTTCATATATATATATATACATACAGTATATAGTTTATGTCAATTTAATAGTATAAGGAATTGAGAAAGAGTGAGAGAGAGATTGAAAAGGGGAGAGGAGAAAGAAGAAGGGAGGCAGTGAGAGTTGAAAAAGTTTTTTTTTTTAATACATCTAAACTAGACAAACGGAAGTTTGGAGCAAACATTAGGCCTAATTAAAGTGATTTATGCGATAAGAGAGGAGACAAGCGGTGGTAGGCGTGGCGCCTCGGATTGGTCAGACAAGGAGTGTTTACTATCATTTTCCCCGCCGGCTGCGAGTTGCACACTGCACTTTGTTGGTGCTGTCTTGTTTTATAACTAGTTTTACAGCCTTATTCTTATTCATCAAAGTTTAAATAGCAAGTAATTTTGGGGAGATTACAAATTTTTATTGAAATCTCCTGACTAAAGAAGATTATTTGATAGATTATCCTTGAAAAGAATCTATTTATCAAAAACAAAAAATTATAGAAAACTGACTTATATGAGCGGATTCTAACTTCTGTACAAAAGTTTTTTTTTATTCGAAACACCTGTTACAAGAACATAAAGGCAGGCAGTCTGAGCGGCAGAGAACTTATACTGGCAAGTTTTTGTAATTTTCTGTTTTTAGTAATAACTTCGGAAAATTAATATGGGTTGTACGGGAAGTAAAGAGGCTGATGAAAAGAATATTAACGATAACGAACCTCAAGATGATCAAATAAAATCAGAGGAAGCCGGCAAACAGGAGAAAATTGATAAACCGGTAGAAGAAATTTGTAACGATTCAACTAATGAGAAAGAAGAAAAACCTTCTGAGAATGTTGAAGAAGATGGAAAAGTAGAGAAACCTAATCAAGCGCAGGAGGTGACCGTTATACGGAACCCGGTTAACAAGGATTCGCAAGGGGAAGAAGTAAGAATAAATGATGCAAAAGGGTCGAAGACAGTAATATCGTTTGTCAGCGAAAAGGAGTTGAAGTCTACTATAAGAGAGGAAGGAAACGATGAGAGTATTTGTAAGGAAACGATTGTTCATCAGGTTATAAAAACTGAGGGAACAGCCAAAGGCGACGATGAAGATACATTAGAAAAAAGGGTAACCATCGAAACGGATAAAACGATTAAAGAAGGAGATAAGGAAGAACATAAGCATTCTACTAGGATATTTGATGGGGAGCATGTAGAAGACGAAGAAAATGATATTACCGAAAAGAACAATAAAATCGGTATTATCGTAACTCAAGCAACGGACGATGAAGGCGTGGTCAGTAAAGGAGACGAGAATGGTGGGTGAAACAATAGCTGTATGTTTATAGAAGAACAGCGCTTTTTTTGTGCACTGTATTCTATTAACACGCTCTAATACGCCATCTAGTAAACTTTAATGAACGAACCGAAAGTGAGAGATTTCTATTAAATCAATCTATTCCCAAAATTTTACGTCCTATTCCCCCAAATATTTATCTCTTTACCTCGTAGTCTTATTGCCCAACCCTAATTAAAATTTACTACTAATAAAGAGTAGCTTTTGCTTGAATGAAATTAGGCATATATAATCGTATATGTATAATTGTTATATTTTAATTAATTTGTCAACAAAGAAAGACCTAATTTAATTTTAATTTAACTTTTAGGAAAGTTAATTAAAAAAGTTGAAGAAAAAGAATTGAAAATGTCTTTCTTTATCTTTTTCTTTTAAGGCTTTAGACTTTAAAGTTCTTTTTTCCTTTTGATAAGTCAATCACTTTATCAAAAAAGGATGCATACATATATATATATATATATATATATATATATTTGCATATATCAAATTTAATAATTTAATCAACCTAAAAATAAAAGTGACGCTTGCGACGCCGCCCTTCCCTCTTAAGTGTTTGCTTAAACTACCTCTTTCTCTTTTCGTGTGCATTGTATGTATGTATGTATGTATGTATGTATGTATGTATATGTATACAATGTATATATCTTAGTACGTATGCATACACATATATTTATGCATATATGCACACCTGGAGGAGGATGGTGACGTCACTCGCTTTTACCTGTTTATATGCGGTATTTGTTCTTTACATCAACGCGATTCACATTGTAATAACAATTCGTTCTACCTTTAACTATGTATGAATTTATTGGTATACCTTTACCAATCAATTGGTTAGCGTAGCCGTCAGAGTGCTAAAACTTTTCGCATTAATATCGCAGCTTTATTGAGATAGCATTCGTAAGTTTTATTTCAATTCTTCCCTTTATGTTTTTAGGAGGTTTTTTTTTGTTTAATACTTAGATAGATCAACTCATTAATTTCTATTTATATTTGAGGAAAAAAAAAGGAGAAAAAGGTTATCCTTTTTCTCTTATTCTTTCTTCTTATATTCTTTTCCTTTTCTTTCCATCTCTCTATCATCTTTAGTATAATTTTTTTTTCTTCAACCATATCTATTTGTTCTCCTAGAAAAAAATTAATATATCCATTTTCTCTTTTTTTTCTATTTATATATACGAACGCTGTATATAAATTTTGTTTAAACCTTTTTTCTCTCTCCATCACCCTTTAGTCTTCAAAGAGATATAATTAATAAAAAATACTCTCTTCTTTATAATAATTAGTTTTCCTCTAACTATAAAGTGATAAGAGATTTCCTAAGGTTTGCTTTGTATACAGTTTATTATCTAAAGAAAGTATAATGTAATTGACAAAACTATAAAGTAAACTATTTATATGCAAAAAAGTGCCATTAAAAATATTTTGCCATTCAGAATTCAATAGGGTTTTTATAAATAAATTAACTAAATATGATACCGGTGGCATATTAATTTTTTTTATATAGCGTTGGAAAATATGAAAGAGAGACATTGATAGAAAAGAAACAAAATATTACATTTTATTTGTTTGTTTCTCTCTCTCTCTCGCTCTCTCTCTCCCTCCCTCTCTTTATTTCCCATTATACATGTGTATGTGTGTTTGTATTTGTGTATATGAGACAGGTTTTTTAGCAAAGTAAACTAAAAAACAGATATTTTTATAATTACAATAATTAAATACAAGTATACATGTATATATAGGTTGTAAACTAACCCTAAGATTTTAGCAATTGACATGCTGAGTTGCACTGTTAAATGCAAGTATAAACGCTAGACTGTACTAGCTCGTAAAATATTGATTTTAGCAAAATATGCATACATATAACAATATTAGATATATTGGGAGGAAACACTTCTTATCACTTACTAGGCTGTTATGAAACAAAATATCTCTTTTATAACAATCTTCACCTTTTCTGTCATACATAGTTTCTCTTATTTATTTACTTACTCATTCTTTTCTTTAATTTATCTCTTTTCCTCTCACCCCTTCCCCTCATTGTCTCTCAGTCTCTGTCTATTTTACCCTCTTCCTTCACCCTCCAAGCACAAGATATATCTCTCTTTATCTCATATTCCATTTATAACAATATTTTTCACACCAAAATTTTGTTACTGTACAAAAAAAGAATTAGGATACGAAATAAACTGAGTTGATTGAATAATTTTCTTTTCTTTTTTTTCTCATAACGAACTTTACCACAGAATTTACTAAAAGAGAAGACATCGCACAATCTTTTATCTATATATCTATATGTATATGAAAGAAAAGAAAAAGAATTGAATAATTCTCTCTCTTTCTCTCTCTCTCTCTCTCTCTCTCATTCTCTCTCTCACCTCTGCTCTACATTGGTAATAAAAATATTTTATGATAAAAGATTGAAAAGAAGATCCTTTATTTTGCTGATATTTCGCGACTAATATCAGTTTACTTAAGTAAAGGAAAGAGGAACACTTTAAAAGGAAGGACTATTATCTTTTAAAGATAAAAGAATTGTTTGAAGAAATTAAAACATATAAAATTTATTGGAAAAGTCCAAAGAGAGCATTATTTTGGAAAGAAACGTAGAATCCTTATCTACTTTTCTTTCGTAATCTTTCAACTCTTGTTTTGCCTCCCTCTCTCTCTCTCTCTACTTGTCGCTACTTTATCCTCTTTATCTATTGACCGTAGTTTAAAGGATAATACGAAACGAGACTTATAGCTTATACCTTCAACTTTTACAAGAGAAAGAGAGGAGATAAAAAAAAGAACTGTTAAACATGGGACAAGCATTATGTCCTTGTATGTTTACGAGAAGATATACAATAAGTAAAGCTGGAAAGAGTTCATGGTCGAAAGAAACTAGAGGAGATGTTACAACATCGCCGACGTCAATGGCTTTAGGAAAGCATACGGATGATAATGCTAATAGTATGTCAATTTTAGGAGAGAACTCTAGAAATGGGCCAATTAAGAATAGTAATACTAAAAATGGTATTATAGTAATAATTTATAACTGTCGTAATAGTAATAATTAGAAAGAGTTTCATATTAATAGTTTCTTTTCTTTTTTTTTTTAAAAAAAAAAACAAGCGCCAAAAATAGATATTGAATATATAAGATATATATATTTTTATTAGAAATTATTACATTCATTAAAATAACTATGTATAATTTCTCCCCTCTTTCTTTATTTTTGCCTATTCAGTATAGTTTGTTACAAGTCTCCAGAGAGGCCTATAGCATGAGAAAAAGAATGAAATATTATTATTATTATTATTTCTAGGTTGTTCATTGATATTCTTTGTTGTGAACAAATTGCATGATCGATATTCACAATTATAAATGTTAGGCCTAGCATGTCTTTAAATATAGCTAGATTCTATATACAGTATATACATAAATATAACATTCAGTATTGTTGGTGTTCTTGTATGTGTATTTGTTGTATTTGTATAAATTAATTATAGGCCTTTATTATTATAATTAGCTTAATTATCCATTGGATTGATACATTAAATAATACTTTCTACAGTAAAAAGGGAAAACAAAAAGAGAAAGATATTAATTTTCATTTGAAATTATCTATTCATTGTTTTTATTTTTGGTTTTTTTTTTCTTTCCTCTCCTCTATTAGAAACCGGAAAAGACCCTGCTGCTCAGGCAGCCTCTTTAGAAGATCGTCAATATAATAATAAAGCTTTCCAGGTAATACAACTTTTGAATATATATTTTTATCTTTATTGTTTTCATTAATCCTTTTAGAAACCAGATATTGATCCAAGCAATCCACAACAACAAGATGCAGCGCTCAAAATACAGACTTCGTATAGACAATACAACGCTAAGAAGGTATGTGAGAGTACTATTAGGAGATATTACCTTTATTTGGTTGTTTTTCTCTTCGTTCGAAAGGAGAGGACACAAATAACTAGTATTCAGAAAAAGAATGTATTTCTATGTACAATTATTCATGTGTTTATTATAGGTTGTTGACACTAAACGACAAGAAAAAGCAGCAACGAAGATTCAGTCTTCTTATAGAGGCTATCATGATCGTCAGGTTGTTAAAGAGCTCAGGTACGTTTTAATATATGAGATTAGTACGTCTGTCACTCCCATCCCTCGTTCTCTCTTTCTAATTGCCTAAAAATCATTATTATAGGGAGAGTAAGGCAGCGGAAAACTCTCAACGCGACGCTGAACCAGATGTTGAACCAGTTACTGAACCAGAAGGTGAATAGTAACTACACAGAAAGAGACCAATCGTACAATAGATGTTTTGTTTTCCAGCACCAGTAGACTCAACTGACGGAGAAACAGCTAAAATCCAGTCTGAGGATAAAGTAGACGAAGAACAGGCTCAAGGTGATGAGGTAGGTGGATTTTTTAACTTTGTCCCTTTTTGGTTCCATCCTGTTTTCACCCTACTAATTGATATTTTAATTGGATTAAAAAATCATAAACGATTATGTGAAAAAATTTCCTCAGCCCCTCCCCTTAAGTAACATTTTGTCTTTTTGTACTTTCAGTGTATTTAGTTAGCTTTTTACCAATTAATTAATCACACAAAAACGCCATCTTGTGATTGCACGAATGAATTACTGTATAACTAATATATATAACGCCCCCGTAGCTAAAAGCTATCTCTCTCGAAAAATTGCCTCTTTCTCCCATCTTCCCCATTCCAGTTTGATGACATACGATCGTTAGATGGATAATTAGTAAAATAATTGGTAGTTTGTAAAATCTGTAATTTTCATTTTCTTTTTACGCTTCCGGTTTTAATAACTTGCCAAGTGAAAAAAAAACGAGAGCAAAAAAAAACTATGCATTCCCACTTCTTTAAGATAATGCTATTCGTTTGTAAAATCGGATTTTGTCAAAAAAAATTTAGAGAGACGTCCGTTCTTAAAGAATTAAGCTTTCATAATAGAACAGCTAAGAACATCTGCCGGTACAATATTTAAACATCCCCTATCCTTTTCTCCTCTTCTCCTGTCTAAAAGGTTATGACAAAAACAAAGTATACCAAAGTTTGGCTCGTTTATTCTATTGCGCGTAGGTGTGGCGTTCTAAGCAGAACGGCTACGAGCGTTGTGTCTGGTTGGTTGCAGAACCGACGTCTAAGCGTCATTCACTACTCGGCGTCTAACAGGTGATTTGTTAGCTCTATCGGCATTCCTTTTCTCTCTCTCTCACACTCTTCATCTATCAATTCGATAGTTCAGAATACGTAAGTATAATTTTCTCAGGTTTATCTTAGTGCATTATTTCTATAATGCATTTAATAATTATATAGTTAAATTTATTTTCGATGTACATTTAGACGTATTTAATAGATATTTAGGCAGTTTATTGACTCTGTACACGTACGCAGGTTTGTTTTTCATTAACTTTTGAAGCGAAAACGCCTAACATTTCTTACCTTTTGTCCATTATTTCAATTTTCTCTCCTATTTCTCTCTCTCTCTCTCTGTCACTCTCTCTTTCTCTTTTCCCCTCTCTGTATCTCTGTCTCTTTCTTTCTTTCTTTCCTTTTCCCACCCCCTCTTTTTTATGTCTATATTGGGGATTTTATAGATTAAAAAAATTGTTAAGTTTATGCCGTAACTAGACGCAAGAGGCTTAACGACAGAACTCAATCAATGTAATGAACGTCTAGCATTATTCAAATTATTACTTATGCATTAATATGAAGAGGCGGCGTCGAGCGTAAAAATAAATAAAGATGATCGGGATGATCGAAATGGTTAATTTACATATTCCTTTTCCTAAGCTATGTAAATTCTTTTTTCTTTAACCAATTTTACATCCGTTTTTCCCCAATACCTCTCTGTCAGTCTCTCTGTCTGTCTATCTCTCTCATTCTCTCTCTCTCTTTTCCCTTTCTCTTTCAACTTGCCTGCCCGTTTTCAAGTCCCTAATATATCTTAGAAATAAATTTAATCGGCTTATCCTAGAGACTAGTTTGTATGTTTGTTCGCCAGCACAATTTTTGCATTATTAAATCCATATTAAGAGAAATGGGTGAAAAGTCGAAAAGGCGAAAAGTCGAAAAGGAACAAGCGAGATTGAAAGAGAGAAAACGCAAATGTTATTTATGAGCAATAGGAATAATTCGGAGTAGGAATTGATTGATGCGCTTTACTACCGGTTTTTCCTTCTCCTTCTCTCATCTATTCATTCCCTTTATCCTCGACGAGCACGGAAAGAACCCTGTCTCTTTTTTCCCCAGCATACCAACTTGCACAACTAGAGTTGTTTTCTTTCTAAATGTTTTATTATGTGAAAATTGATTAAGGCGGTTTTATTGAGCGGCGTTGCGGATAAGATGGTACAAAAAATTGATTTTAAAGGTTCACTTATATTGCCAATAGCAATTTCAGAGAGAAATTGTAACGATTTTAATAAAAATGGCAACTTGCATTATTGAAAAGCTTTTGAGAATTTTCTAAAAAACCAATCGATTCAATACTCTTCCTTCTTTCTAAATATATATAGTTTATCGTCCTTGTCCCTTAGCAATGAGTTCGCCGAGAGCGTTTCTTTTAAAAAAAAATATATATACTGTATATATATATATATATATATATGCAGATGCTACGCTCTCTATTTCTACTGTACTGGTATTCGTAATAGGGAAATTCTTTTTCGATCGATCAGACGCCTTTTCAGTATAAAAAGGTGTATTTAAAGGCTTATATTACTAAGCGATCGCCCGCCACGACTAATGCCACTTATTGATCATTTCTAATTAGCGAACACGATCGACAAATGTCGCTAGTTGCTTAGAGGTTCGTCATTTTAGCTTTAGGTCACAGCAACCAAGCTGAGCGACTGTTTGTAGCTTAAATCGCTCCCGTCACTCTTTACATTGGCCCTTGCCGCCTTACTACAGATTTTTTGTGCTATTGCTACCCATAATTGTATTAATTATATAGGATATTGTTCATAGTGAAATAATTTGACAGTTTTCTTTGATGTACATTAGATTATTGGCAGGAATAGGGTTTATAGCTTGGTTTTTTATTCAATACGTTGCAGATTTTTAATTATATTGGCTGAATAGCCAGCGTTTCTAGTTCGTTTCCGTTCTAATTGATTTGCGTGCGACTTATCCGATGATTTATTGACTTTAGTGCATAATCGCGTACGTGTACGGAGAGATAAGGTACAAAATTAAAAGTCGTTTTAGTGTATTAGGAAAAGGAGACGCTTTTTTCCCTTTCTAAAACTTAAATTGGGTAAAATTGCGTTTAGATTTATTTGTTGAATCGATACTATTCGTTTTTCTCTATACAAACAAAAAAGGAATGGCGGAAGCAGGTAAAAAATCGGATACGGACAAAGTAGGAGCGGTCGAAGAAGAAATTGATATTGATTTAAAGGATCCAGAAGTTGAGAAAGCTGCTCTAAAGATTCAATCGAAATTTAGAGGTTTTAAAGGCGGAGCAAAGAAGAGTGATAATGCCGTTAAGAAAACCGAACAAGGAGAAAATAGTAGTGCTAAGAAGTAAAATAGCATCAGTCGTTTACACGGGATCTCGTAGTTATGCATGATCACACACAGCTTACTCTTTTTTCCTCTTCTCTTCTGTACGTTTTATCTTCATATAAAAGAAAAAAAAAGGAAAACTTTATCTTCTTCCAGACTGTATTTAGACAAGAAAACGAATAAAAACAATGAAGAACAAATAAACAAACTATAAATCAATCAAATCAATCAATCAACCAATCAATCAATCAATGAAATTTGAATAATAACAATAGTATTATTAATAAACAATCAATAACTGTCCTCCACTTCCTCCTACTTTTACGATTATCTCTTCCTTATATTTCTGAATGGCCCCTCCATCTACGTCTCTCTCTCTCTCTCTCTCTCTAAATATCATACCGTTTTCCATTTTGTAAAAGAGAACTATATATTTTTTACATTAAAAACAAACTATTACTTTTTTTCCGCAATGCTTAAACAACGCTAAAAGAAACAAAGAACTATGTTTAAGTTGTAATATTTGTGTAATATATATATAAATAGATATTTATATATTTCTCCAACTGGAATGGGTTTTGAGGCAAAATAAAAGAGATATAAAAGGTATTTAAATTAGATGTGTTTCTTCTCTCTAGACCTTATTGATTAGTTTATATACTATATAGTATATACAGTATATATATATAAAAAACAATCAATACTCAAAGTTGTTGTATGTCTATTAGTTTTTATTTTTTGAGTTTGCTTTGTTTTATTTAAAAAAAAAAGGCAAACAATTTTTAAAAGGAACTTTGTCGTCCTTTTTTTTATCGTTTGACTAAGGACTATTCTATGGTCGAAATTCCAGCGGGGAACCGACTCTTTATTCTGTTCCCTAGGCGAGTTTCGTTAATATAATCGACCCTTTTGCCTAAATGGCTTTCTCTCGTATCAGGTCCTAACTATAAATCCATCCGTTCGATACATCGAAACTATCTTTTACGTGTAAACATTGTATTCTTTATTCTATTCTTTCTGGCCCAATTCCTAAACGAATAAATGATTATATTGTTCTTCTCGTATTTATCCTCTTTTTATGCTATTTCCCATTTATGCATACATTTTGTTTTTGTTCCCCCTTCTCTTTCATCAGCCCTTCCATTTTCACCATTATTATCCATATACTTGTTTGTAACACTTCTCTCTGCACAAAAATTGTATGAAAGTCGATATTGTAAACAGCAAAATGCCGAAAAACATCATGAAGATGTTGAACAAAAACAATCAGACGTAGCTGATGATGCAGAAAAGAAGGAAAAAGTAGAAGAAGCCGAGGAAATCGATATAGACCTGGACGATCCGGAAACGGAAAAAGCTGCTATTAAGATCCAAGCGAGTTATAAAGGATTTTTAGCACGAAAGGAGATGAAATCTTTAAAGGTAGAAAACAACAACCGATCCTGTTAATTTGATGGGATGGGGAAAGGGAAGCTGCATTTAGTAGTTACAAAGAAAGAAAACTCACTCCTTAATTGAGAGAGAAATAGATAACCTGAGACAACGACATCTGCATTATATATTGTATTCCTTTTCTCAAACTATTCTTATTTCAACCTTGTTATTTTTGCAAATCAAAATTCCTACAGTGGAGAAATTAAAACGCTATTCTTCCTCATACTATTTTCCCCTCTCACTCACATACAAACTCGCTCTTGCTTTCTCTCTCTCCCTGCCTTTTTTCACTCTCTTTACTCTCTTTACCATTTCTCCCCTTTCTTTTTCCCTCTTTCACGACAGCGACATGTAATCGATTTTGGGCGCATCTCTTTAATAGACTTTTTTTTTAATTAGACAAGGCATGAACTTTATTTCACTTATATATGTATATATATAAATTTATATATATATATATATATATAGATTATATATATATATATAGATTATATATCTATATATAGATTATATATATATATATAATTTTTAAAAGCTTTTTAATTATCCTTCAGTTCTTGTATTTTGTTTTATTTTTATAGATTTTTTTTATTCTAATTAGTTTTTTGTTTTTTCTTTATTTTTGATCATTACAAACAATTTTCATTTTATTGTTACCGTCCCCCCGCTTAATGACAAACTACAAAACAAAAAAAGAAACAAATTTGCTTTATATATTATTTAATTTACATACAAATAGTATAATTTCGATTTTTTTTCTCCCTCTCCCTCCTGTTTAATTATAATATAGGAGTCTAATCAAGATGGTCGTGTTGGTGAAGAACAAGTTGAAGAAGCGGCTAAAGAGGAGACCACTGATGATGGAATGGCTCGATTTGATCCTAACGACCCCGCACAAGTTGATGCAGCTACAAAAATCCAAGTAATATTTTAAGTTTATCTTTCAAATCGGTTATGTTTGTAATAAATCTCGATTTTCTTTATCCGAAATTTAGTCTGGCATGAGAGGACATTTAGCTAGAAAGAAGGTTGCGTCTATGAAGGATGCAGCAGCAAATAAGGATGCTGAACAAACGGAAGAGCAACAAAAACCAGAAGAAGAGGAAATTGATATCGATCTTGAAGATCCTGAAACTGAGAAGGCAGCCTTGAAAATCCAGGCTGGATTCCACGGTATGATGGCTAGAAAACAAGTTAAGGAAATGAAAGGGCAACAAAAAAACGAAACTCAAGAAACTTCTGAGGAAGTTGTGGTAATGAATACCAAATTAATTTTAATTCTTTTTCTTAATTCATTATTTTCAGCAACCGGAAACCGCCGCAACCGAAGAGGCTACACCTGAACAAACTTCAGAAGATGCTCAAAAAGAAGGTGACTCTACTGAAAAACCAACTGAAGAGGAGGCAGCCGCCGTAGAAGCAGATCAGGAAGCCCCCAAAGAAGAAGCAGAACAAGCATCGGAAGAAAAACCAGCAGAGGAAGAAGCTAAGGAAGAGGCTTCTGAAGAGAAGCCAGCTGAACCGATTGTCGAAAGTGAACAAGCTCCGGCTGAAGAACAGGCTCCAACTGAAGAAGAAAAGCCAGAAGAAAAACCAGAAGAACAACCAGAGGATGCTCCAGCTGAGGAGAAGAAGGAAGAAAGTGAAGAAAAGCAAGACGAAACACCAGCTGAAGGCGAACAAAAAGAAGAACCTGCTGAAGGTGATAAAACAGAGGAAGCTCCAGTAGCAGGCGAACAAGAACCAGAAACTGAAGAAAAGAAAGAAGAGGAACCAACACCAGAAACTGAAGAAAAGAAAGAAGAAGAACCAACACCAGAAACTGAAGAAAAGAAAGAAGAAGAACCAACACCAGAAACTGAAGAGAAGAAAGAAGAAGAACCAACAGCAGAAACTGAAGAAAAGAAAGAAGAAGAGCCAGCACCAGAATCCGAAGAAACGAAGGAAGAACAAGCCCCGGCTACTGAAGAAGCGCCAAAAACCGAGGAAACGCCTGCAGCCGAATCTGCTCCACAAGAGTCTAAGGCAGAGGAAGATGATGGAATGGTTTAAAGATAAAATATTTTTCATGAAAGTAGCAAGATGAAAGAAAAAAAATTTTTCACCAAATTTTTTTTTATTAAAAAAAAAGATGAAAAAAAAAGAAAAATATTCTTATATATATAGAGCTTTTATTTGGTGCTTAGACGCCATATAATACCGTAGAGCGTTTTTTTTTGGCGATGTTGTTGTAATACACTACAATCGTTTATTCTTTCTTGAAAATTAGCTGTTCAATTTAGCCATTGTCTCATAGATAAACAAAGGTATTATTACGTACATACACACACACACACACACACTTAAACAGTATTTGTAGGTATTTAAGAAAAATAGGCCTAAAAAGGACCTGTACTTTTTTATAATCGAATTTAATATTGAACAAAATTCAATGGACCGTGTCGCGGCTCTGCAATATAATCTTGTAGACCTTCCCAACGTTATTTAGTCATTCTAAACCACGCCTGTTGAAAATGTCGGCAGCAGCAACTATGCAGTGGTCATCGCCGACTAATCAAACCGCTTCTACTACACTGCAAAATGCCTTTCCATCTTTTCAAATAGACTCTACTTTAGATAGAAAAGGAGATATTCGAGTTAAGGCTAGAGCACCTTCCGGAAGAATAACAGAGACAACAGTTCGTGAAGAAGATGGAATGTTTACGGCTAACTTTCAGCCAACGGAGGTTGGCGATTGGCTTGTGTCCATTCTTTACGATGGAGTAGACATTGAAGGGTCGCCGTTTAGCGTCAGGGTATATGACGCCGCTAAAGTGAAGATAGGAGGTTTAGAGGGCGGGGTCGCTGGAAAAAGTTTATCATTTTCGGCCGATTGTACAGGAGCAGGAGAGGGTAGCCTCTCTGTGGAAATCAGTCACGAAGGAGTACCAGTACCGGTTTTTGTGGATAAAGAATCTCCAGGCATCTATAAAATAACTTTTACGCCCTCAGGAGCTGGAAGATACTCTATACAAGTACTCTTCGCTAACATTCGCGTACCTGGCTCTCCATTTACTGTCGAGATTGTTGACGCTTCAAAAATCGAAGTATCAGGCGAAGGCATAACAACATGTATGGTTGGTCAATACGCAAATTTTCTCATTCACGCCGATACACCAGGAGCCAAACTTTCCGACTTATCTGTAGAAATTACAGGTAAATATATATTAGTATATATATAGATATATAGATATATAAAAGAAAACAAATAAGAAAATCTCACCTTAATTCAATTTATAAGTCGAGCATAAAAAAAACATTGTTTACTTTTCAACTTATTTGACTGAGTACTAACCCATTTTCTCTTTCTCTTTATCTATCTTCCTTTCCACTACGAATATTCTTTGTATTCTCTTTTTCTTTTAACAGTCTTTTCCTAATTCATTTTAAGTTTTTTTTACACACATGAAAGAGAAGTTAATATTGACATCCTTTAACACAGCTCCAAACGGAATTACCTTACCATCAAAGATCCAACCCCAACCTGCGGGATACTATAGAGTGGAATATATACCGAAGCAAGTTGGTTCGTATGATAATTTAATGAATGTTTCTCCTAGCGAAATTAGTCACAATTATATTTTATCACTTCTCTCTCCGTGGAATAGGTGAACATCTTATTGACGTTGCCTTCATGGGCCGACCTGTTGGTGGGAGTCCATTTCGTTCTCAAGCTTTCGATCCACGGTCCATTACTCTTAGCAATCTAAGTGCATCGAGTGCAGTTGGACGTCCAGTTGAATTCGATATAGACGCCTCCAGAGCCGGTTCAGGCAATTTAGAGATAATGGTAAACGATGGGCAAATAAAGTGCGCTGCCCAGGATGTGGGTAACAAACAATTCCATGCTGTCTTTGTTCCTATAAATCCGGGATTGCATCACATTCGTATGAAGTTTAATGGAATAGAGCTGCCCGCTAGCCCGTGGACTATCGAGATAAAGTCTGCTGCTTTAGTTCAAGCATTCGGCATAGGCCTAACTGGCCCTATACCTTGCCAATTTCCAACATCGTTCGATGTCAATTGTGGTACAAATAACGAGGGAGTTATTTCGGCAAACGTTATCTCTCCTAATAAGAGAAGTTTACCAGTTCAAGTAACGCCTTTGGGAGCTGGGGTTTTCCGGCTAACTTACACTCCGCTGGATACTGGAATACATACTATTGACGTTAATTTTGAAGGATCGCCCATCCCTAATTCACCATTCAAATGTTCAGCTTATGATACCTCGCTAATAAACTTTAGTGAACCTTCCCAGGCAGTTGTTGGTAAGCCTGTTGATATCAGCATAGACGTCTCTTCGGCCGGTAATGGTAATTTGGCGATTTCGGTCAACGGCGGTCAAGTGCCGAACACTATTAGAAAAGCTTCCGAAGATCAAAATCATGTCTACATTATGACATTTGTACCGAAATCTCCTGTTCCCCATATGATCGATATGACCTTTAACGATGAAAGAGTTCCCAGGTGTCCCGTCTACATACCCGTTATAGATACGAATAGAGTATCGGCTAGGGGCGAAGGATTGTCGAATTGCACAGTGAACAGCCCAAGCACGTTTCAAATCGATGCATCAGCTGCAGGCGAAGCAGATTTATCCGTAACAGTAACCGGTAATAAGAAAATTATTATATTTTTATTTATATTTTTTGTTTTTTTTTAAAAAAACAAAAAAATTTTCAACTTTTTTCATGCTATTTTACCTCATTAAAATCCTATATTATCAACTTTTTCTTATCTTACTTAACAAAGTCATTTCTCTTTCCATTTTATTCTATCTACTTTTCTGCTCTTGTTACTATTTTCTTTATGTTTTTTTTTATAATTAGAAAGGAAAAAGTAGGCTATGCTTTGTTTTTTTCCCCTAATACCTTCCAGCTCCCGATGATACTCAGTTGCCTTACAAACTAACTGGATCCATCAGTGCCGGATTTGAAGTTACTTATACACCTTTTACTGTTGGAAAATATCATATATCAATAATATATGGCGGTGTTGAACTACGTAGAAGCCCTTTTGTGGCCAGGTGCAGTGACGCTTCTAAGATCACCGTTTCCGAAATAAATGATTGTTATGTTGGAAAGAAAAGTTCCTTTATAGGTAATAAGAAAATGGTCCTTTATATATTTCCTATTTTACTGCTTCACATCTTTTTTCTTTGTAGTTAATGCTGCAGGCGCTGGAGAAGGAAACATACAAATATCAATTGGAGTTCAGGGAAGAAATATCAAAAATATAGTACAAAATCTGGATTTGCAAAAGTTTGAAGTTCTATTCACACCAGATATTGGAGATATTCACGAAGCATCTGTAACGTTTAATTCGGTTCATATAACCGGAAGTCCTTTCAAATTTAGGGTATTCGATGCCGAAAAACTATCTATTGATGGAAATAAGCTAGTACAATGTAATGAAGAGACGTCGTTGACGCTAAAAGTACCAGCAATTGGATACAAAAGCGATTTGTTCGACTTTGCTGTTACAGGTTTGTACATATACTTTAGCTAATAGCCAAAAAAAAAACACCATACAATAGGCCTATATAATGGGGAGGAAATAATACAATATACTGCACTTGCAGTTTTTTTAAAAAGCTAACCTTTCCAGCAAATTGTGAACGTTGCCTTAACCCAGATAAAATAGAAAAAAGAAAGTAATTAAACCGTCCTAATCCTATAGCAAATCTTTACTTTAACTCATCTAGATACTTAAAAGGTCTGAGAGAGTGAGTGAGATTGAGTGAGAATGAATGAGAGAAAGAAGGAAAGAAAAAGAAGCATAGAGGAGGAAAGGGAAGGGAAAGATCGACAGATAGAGAAAGATAACAGCGACAGAGAAACAGAAGGAAAGATAGATAGATAGATAGATAGAGAGAAAGATCGAGAGAGAGAGAGATAGAGAGAGAGAGAAAGAGAAAGACCAATTAATTAATAATATAATAAATCTATATATACTAGATATTTACATTGTAATTAGTCCTTAATTAGTGTTAACATTTTGGATAAAAATCATAGTATTAAAATTGATCCGACTACGTTCCTCTCCTTATTTTCATCTCACTGTAATGCCCATTCCATAATTAACAAGTTAATCATAATTTGTTTTCTTTTAATTAAATAACAGATCCTGAAGGACGAAAATTACATACAAGACTTGAGGAGATAAGAGATGTTGGCTTCAAAATATTCTTTACTCCAATTATTGTTGGTAATCATGATATTAGAGCTAAATTTGCGGATATGCTTGTTCAAGGTTGTCCGTTTGTTGTACAAGCGTTCGATTCGTCTAAAGTAATTATAAGCGAAATTGAAGGGGCTAGGGTTGGGGAGGAAGCCAGTTTTAAGATAGATCCTACCAATGCTGGAAAGGGTAATTTGGAGATTCAAATAACAGCGAATGATAAGAATGTTCACAACGACTTTAAAGTGGAGAAAACGCGTATCATTCTTGTCACATTTACACCAGAAATTGCTGTAAATCATATAATAAGCGTTAAATTTAACGGACACGCTATTCAAGGATGTCCATTAACTTGTCCAGTAACTGATTCGAGTGTGGTTAGCGCCTACGGTGAAGGATTGAAAATTGCTGCGGTCCAACGAACAGCATCCTTTGTGGTAATTTTCGAATTTACATATAATTTTTATTATTTAAATCATTTTCTTAATTAATGAATAATTAAACAAATAAAACAGATATCGACAGCCAAAGATGGACGTAAATCGAAAATCGATTGCGAGATTATTTCGCCTGATGGAAAGAAGTTACATTCGCTTTCTTATAAACAAGTGACGAACGGTTTTCTAGTTGAATACGTTCCAAAGGTAGTTGGACGTCACGTTGTCGAGATTAAAGTTAACGATGTAGCAATACCCGAATGTCCTTTCTACCCTGAAATATACGACGTTCGAGAAGTAAAAGTAGGCTCTATAGGACCGGGTGTTGTCGGAAAGCCAACTGCCTTTCATGTTAATTGTCAGGCGGCGGGAGAAGGTACAATGACGGTTGATGTAAGATCAGAGAATCAATCTCGAGCCATAACGGAAATAGAAGACAAAGGAGAAGCTATTTACGAAGTCACATTTATACCCCGCGACAATACGCCTCATTCAATTGTTATAACTTTCAACAACGAGCCAGTCGTAGGTTCACCTTTCCTTTGTCAAATTGGAGAAGAATCGGTTGTTGCCTCAAACTGGAATAATGTTAACCTAGTACCCGTTTCAAAAGTTGCTAGCTTCAATATAGACCCATCGTTATTTTCTTCCCAATCGTATATCAAGGTCAAAGTAGTCGATCCAAGAGGTATCGAGCAATGGGGTTCTGTTGATAAGCATGGCAACTCTTTCCTCGGCCAATTCGTACCCACAATTGTTGGAACTTATTCGGTCAGCATTGAATCATCCGGACAAATTTTATCTGGATCTACGTTGACTTATTCAGCTTACGATGCTAGCAAAGTGGAGATTATTAAAATCGATTCAAATGGTAAAGTCGGAGACGAACTTGGTTTTACTGTCGACACTAGTAAAGCAGGAGCCGGTGATTTAGATGTTGAAGTTAATTGTTCGAATCAATTAATAAGAACAGTTAGAGATAAAATTTCAAACACTGAACATAGATACCGCTATATAGTCCAGAGGGCAACAGACCATGAAATTAACGTCCTCTTCAATTTAATACAAGTACCTGGTACAAATTCCTTTTTTTTTTATCATTTCAATTGATTCCCTTTTTCTTTTCTATTTATATATTTAATCCTCAACGGTTTTTTTTTCTTTTAAAGGTTGCCCGAAGAAAGTCAGCATGGCCGATCCCGGAAACGTTCTTTCACTCGACGCTTCTTCACCAGATTTTGTAGCATCTAATCAAACTGCTTGGGCGTCTATTAAACGTCACACCAACGATATATCCGTAGTCGATTTAGAAGTTAAAGTACAAGGTTAACACAATAATATCCAAAAAATCACAAAAAAGCAAAAGTCTTCTTTTTTTTTTTTATTAAAAAAATCAACTGAGAATCAAAAAACAAAAATGAATTATACTACACTTACTTATGTTTATTAATTTATTCATTTTTATGCATATTAATTAATCGTCTAATTAATTAACATATATTTTTTTTCTTAGAATTAATATTTGTTTTTTATTATAATCGATGTCTTTTTTTTTATGTCGATGTTTTTTTTTTCTATATTAATATTATAAAAGAAGCTTTTACTATCTTCCCTTAATCTCTCTCTTTTTATCTTTTACCCCTTTTATCTATCTCTCTATTGAATATTTTTTATCTTTTAATATCATTAATATTCATAAGGAAAGGGAATTATTACTTATTCTGGTTCTTTTTTTTCTTTTTACCCCTATTTTAGCACCAAATGGAGAGAAAGTTCCTGCCAAATTGGCTCTACAAGCGGATGGTAATTATAAAGTGGAATATTCGTCAATTTACACTGGGGAACACACTATCGAAGTTCGTTACGCCGATGTTCATATTGCGGGGACACCTTTTAGAGTGCAAATATTCGATCCTAATAAAGTGAAAGTTGAAGTTCCGAATATGATACCTATTGGTCAAAGAGCTCAAATAGCCATACATACCGCTGACGCTGGTCTTGCCGAGATGGGATTAACGATAACAACGCCCAGAAATGAGCAAGTCAATTACGAACAAATTAAGACAGATAGCGGTTATATTGCCAATTTTACGGCTTTCCAGAGTGGTGTTTACAAAATTTACGTAAGTAATTAAAGAATAACAGAATATTACGTGTTTACTAATTAATCAGCTCATTGTGTTTAGGTAACGTATGGAGGTCTAAATGTACCCGGATGTCCTATATCCATGCAAGTGGAAGAGGGTAAAGGTTGTGATGCTGTTACCGTAATTGGGGAAGGCCTTTATCAAGGTGTCTTAGGAAAGCAAGCAACATTTAAAGTAGATACTCAGAAAGGTGAATTATTGGTAAAAGTAGATGGTCCTAACGGTGCCGCTAAATGCCATGTTGAACCGCATGCCGATGGTAAATATAGCATATCCTACGTGCCAGCTGAAGTTGGAACGTATCAGGTAGTAGTTAAATTAAACGGACAAGAAGTGCCCGGTAGCCCTTGGAAACCGAATATTGTTTCACCGTCTAAAGTAGAGGTTACTGGTGGATGGCAATCTCATATGGATCCCAGATCTAGAATTGCTTTAAAGATTAACGAACCGAAGGAGATAGAATTTGACGTTACAGGGGCTGGATCCGCCAGTTTAGCTGTTGACGTGAGGGGGCCGGCTGGTTCATTACCAGTAGAAATTAAGGATATCAATGAAAACCTCAAAATAGTGCGTTTCACACCCCAAAAAACTGGCGAGCATTATATCAGCGTCTCTTGGGGCGGTATTGAATTAGCTGATTCGCCATTGACCGGTTTTGCCATATCAGATAAGATGTCAACAGATGATTTGGAAAAAGTGATTCTAACTGGAAGAGGCCTACAAGAAGCTACAGTTCATCAAGAGGCATTCTTTCAGATTGACGGTAGTGCTGCAGGACCTGGTTCCCCTGATGTGAAAATAGTTGGCGTAACGAGCCACGTCGATGTTAACGTTACACCCTTGGGTAATCAAAAGTATCGATGCTCCTATGTTCCATCCCGTCCAGGAGCTTATTTATTAAACGTTAAGTGGGGAGATAGAGATGCCGTTGGTTCACCCTTTAAGATAAATGTTTCAACACGGTCTGATGCTAAAAAAGTTCAATTGGCAGCCAGGAGTTTGCAAACCGCTAGCTACGGTAAAGAGATATCGACTATTATTGATACGAAGGGGGCCGGACCGGGACAACTAACGGCTCATTGCATGGGACCAAATAGAGTAGCTTACTGTGACCTCATCGATCAGCACAATGGAACTTTTAAGCTTAAAATAAAAACCCAGGAGGCTGGAAAGCACATACTTCAAGTTAAGTACTGTGGTGAACATATTCCCGGAAGTCCATTCGAAGTGAAAGTGCAAGGTGCTCCCGACCCCTCAAAGGTTAAAGTCTCAGGACCAGGAATCCAACATGGTATATTGGCAACCTTCCTTTCGAGATTCCTTGTCGACACCACAGGGGCCGGCGCTGGTGAACTACTGGTACGAGTAAGAGGACCTAAGGGTGCATTTAATGTTACTATGTCGAAAGAAAACCCAAAAGATCGCGTTATAATATGCAAATACCATCCAACCGAAGTTGGTGAATATTTGGTATACGTTAGATGGTCAAATCACGAAGTTTCTGGTTCTCCATTCAAAGTTCAAATATTTGATTCAGCCGACGAGTTACAGTCCTATCTTAAGAATCATCCGAATGAGGTAGGAAACGCAAATACAATGCCAAGGTCATGGGCAAAGTAAGAGAATAAAAGAAACCTAAAATATTTATCTATACATTCGATTTGTTTTACATTGTGATAAACATTTAGCTAAGCGTCAATACTATGCTCTATATTTAATATAACTACATTATATATTAATACTTTTATCCTATATTTTGGATACATTTAATATTTCATGTGGAAAGCAAAGATATTGTTTTTGCCTTTTCTCCCTCTCTCTCTCTCTCTCTCTCACTTTCTCTCTATCTACATTACATGTGTTTTTATTTTTTTTTACTAAATATTTATATGTTTTAGCTATTCAACCTGTGATGCCCGTAAAGTTTGTGCTATTTTATTATACAAATACAATCGTATCGTATCGGATTCTGTAGTCATCCCGATAGAAAAGTAGCCATACATATTCATAGCTGCTTTACAGTAGGGTATTGAATAAGATAGAAAAGAACCAAAAAAAAATCTCCTGTTGAAATCTATAAAGAATTAGGTTTATAGAAAACACATATTCAAGTCTGCCTCTAAGAAGGGATTAATGAAAATTGGTAAGTATGTTATCACTGTTATTGTCGTCGTCGTCGTCGTTGTTGTTTTGTTGTTATTACTTTAAGGTACTTTATCCTTAGAATACAATATATTGTTTTTTAACGTGAAGATATAAATGCTTATGTAGACCTTTCAAAAGGATATCTAAGATAGCCTTTGTTTTAAATAAATAAGATAAGTTTGGAATATATATATTGATTACGTCTCTGAAAAATATCAAGGCTGGGTTTATTTATAGACTTAGGAATTAGTAACAAAAATTAGTAAAGGACAAGGCTTATTATGCTTGATAATAAATAACTAAATATTGTACTTTCTTATTATTTTTTATTAAATAGATACTATTTGATGCTAATGTAAATAAATTGTATGATAAAAAGATTAGAGAGAATACAAATACCCTTTTTAGTTCCTTCCCAATAATTTTTTAGCCTATCAACTTTGAATATCTTTATTCTTAATATAGCAGAAAACTATAGTTGAAAAAGAACTTTACTATTTTTCCCATTTCCCTCTAAAAATAGATGAATATGAAATAATAGAGTAGATACTAAAAATAAAGAAAACTGAGAAAAACAATGTCGAATCTTCGTCTATATTTACATAGTAAGAAAAAAAAAAAGAAACTAGACTATCTAAATCCCATATAGTTGATAATACGAAAATTACTTCTTTTGTTAGTCAGCTATTCGTTTATGCTTCTTTTTTACTCATGCATGCTTTCTTTTACCGATTTTTCCCCCTCGCCCTTTACTTGAGTAAGTCATTCGTTAATTCCTAGCAGGGGAATTACACTAACACATGATAAGAAATTGAAATAAATTGAGAATTTCTAAAAATAAAAGAAAAAAGTCATTACGTATTAGCTTTGTTTTCGTTTTGTCAACGTTTTAAAATTATCCAATCAAAGTGAATTATATAGAGAATAATCATAATAATAACAGACACAAAACGTGAGAGAGAGAGAGAAACAAAGGAAACAAAAACTAAATAGAGACAGACAGACAGACAGAGAAAGAGAGAAGTAATAGACAAAAAAAAAAAGCTGATAAATTATGCGTAAGCAAAAATTCTATTGCGTCATATCTTTTTTATCCTAAATCGAATAGTTTTATTAATACAATAAAATGAAAGTAATCTTACATCAACAACAAGAAATAAAGAAATTATTCTGTTTACAATACATTTCTACTTTCATTTTTGGAATTTTTCTGACCCTTCAACTTATTTACACTACACCTTCCTTTTTTATATATTTAAAGGGTAGAGAATATTGTTATAACAATAAAACAATAAAAATATATGATAACATTTTATATATTAACAAGAATATACATATTGGCATATACAATGACGTAGTATATTTTTTATTTTTGGTCATCAAACTCGTCTGGCCTGATTTCTTTTGCGGTTATAGATAATTAAAATTTTTGCGTGGTATGATAAGTTGACAAATAGGCCCAAGTATATTATACAAAGTTTCATAAAAATCTAACTGCAATCTTTTATATATAACTGAAACAAAGTGTTTACTATGCAAACTATACCGTCGAGTTTTAGCCTTCTCAGTTAATCAAGTTTGCATCGATGCATACTGTTTTTTAGCTTGCAATTCTTTACCTCCGGCTGAGGCGAAACCACCGCCCAAAGTTCTCATTGGAATAATGTCTTTTTCAGTCAATTTTTTACCATCTAAAGGATTTATCATATCCTTTCTAATTAATTTTTCGACGCACTCCAAAGTGACTACGTGACCGCTTGTTCTTAAAACTGCACATGCTACATTATTACTTAAAACGTCATTTGTGACAGGACAAACGTAACGTGCGTCTTTTAAAACGACATTCTTTTCCTCGCGATCTTTGATTTCGGTAAAGATTATGTCAATTAGATTCTTCATCTTAAGAGGTTTACCAGACATGGGACACCGTACCTTCTCATCAGGCTTTTCGATTTCAGCTATTTTGGCCGACGGGGCTTTAGAAGGAACCCAGAATGCCGGCAAATGATTTTTCTTATCACCGGATACATTGGAAATTGATTCGCTGTCGGGGGTACTTCCTTTGTCCGATGATTTAAATGATTTCGAGATAATTGATCCCTCGTTTTCTGCAAAATTCTTGACTTCCTCTTGGTATTTTGAAGCAACTTCTTGAATCTTTTCCACCTAGTCGAGAAATAATTTTTTTAAAACCGATAGATAGCGCAACTTGTCATGAAAAAAACTAGCGTGTTCGTTAAAGTAACCTTTTTTCGCTCTTTTAACTTTTCATATTCCTTTAGTTTACGGGCAATTTGTCTTTTCTGGTGTAAAATATTCTCTAATATAGCTTGTTTATCATACAAAAAACCATCTGGTGTGAGTACGGGGTTCTTGCATACTTGCTGCGTTAAACAACAGCAATCAAAATTTTGGAGGGAATCCTTACCCAAGCGAATTTTTTGATCACCATATCCTCCAATTTTAGAGTCCTTCTTGCGTTCATGGTACGTATAAACCGAACTCGCGTTGTTGTTCTGGGCGTGTCGACCCATTTTTTGACTTAATAGTTTAAAAATAGGGGATTTTCGAGATCAAATACGTAATATATTCCAAATGAGTCAGAAAGAGGGACAGCCAAAATGACGTACCGGAAATCCAAGAGAATGATACAAGGTCAACTGTAAGTTCTAGATATTTACACGTCTTGTCACGGATGCATCTGTAGCAACTAATTAAAAAAAAGGCATAATCAATTTTTTGAATTTCGCTTGAAATTAAATTTTAAATATTATTTACTTGATTGGGTTCAAGAAAATAAAAAAACTCAACTAAATTCTCATTCTCTCCACACCAGTCTACGCGCCATCTAGTGTGATTTACTTCGAGTATATACGATTACGCATTTGTCGGCGGTTAAGCGTATGGTGGTTCAGTTCTTTGTTCGGATTCAGTGAGAAAATGGAAGAATATCCTCAATTATTCGTAACGTTGTAGTATTATCTGTGATTTGTTAATAATATAAGAATTTCACAAGAGGACTGAAAACGTTTCGGTTTCACGTCGTGACGTAATTGACTCATTTTTATAAAATAATAATATATCTAAAAAACATTTTGAGGCACGGAGAGCATGCAAAGCCGAAATAAGGCGAATATCAGGAATAGAGGTCCTCCACTCACACAAGGAGCTTTTCATGCCGCGTCCGCAATAACGGAAGAGCACGTTGAGCAGGAGTTTCAGAATAATTCTCCTGTACCTACACCTACTATTGAGTATCAAGCTCCATGTTTTCCAAGGACATCTCTATCGCCATCTCCCGATTCGAACGAACCTTCATTTAGTCAAAATGTGACAAACTCGAGCGAAAAGAACACTATAACAGACGACAAATGTTTACCAATTAATGTTGGCCGTTACAAAATTTACGAGCAGGTCGACCAATCTTTTAACGGCGAAATTAGAACATGTAAAGGCATAGATAGGATAACTGGAGAACAAATCATATGTAAAGTGAGTAATTTTTAACAATATATAACACGGATTTTACACTAGGTGAGATAGAAAATAGAAATAGGAAGATATACAGTTATTTTAATCTATAATACTGTCATCAGATGTTAACGAAATACAAAAAGCTCTTCCTCAATTTGACATCATTCTTTTTCTCCTTCAGATTATACCGAAAGAAAAGGAAAGAGTATATACTCAAGCCTATTTACGAACTTGTCATGAAAACGTGGCGCGTATACGAGAGTTATTGAAGGACTTAAATAACGATAAATATCGCTATATGATATTCGACAGGAATTACGGAGATTTACATAATTATATTAGAAATAAGAAAAGATTGAGGGAACTAGAAGCCATGTATTATTTTAGGCAGATTCTCGAAGCAGTTCAGCATTGTCACGACTACGGTTTGTCTCTACGCGATCTGAAACTGAAACGATTCGTTTTTGTTGATGAAGAACGGTAAGAGTGATTCGTTATTTATTTTCTCCCTCAACTCTTGGGAAAGAGAGAGTTATCATTTTTTTTTCTCATATCCCTATATATATATATATTCCTATTTCGAGGATCGTTCGATCTCTACAGTTTATATTGCGTCACCATCAATATTAACAATATAGGTTCGGCTTAACGACCTTGATCATAGAAAAACTTAGTTTTCAAGGATTCCCCAAAAATATGACCTACATTGTAACACTCGGTCCTATAACTGGTATTTTCTACGAGGCGATTATAAGTTGCCATTATCAGGTACAACAATCGCTTTCACCTGACCGACGAAAAAACGTGACAGAACGCGCGCACCTGATTATGGCTCATTTTCCTTAATATTAACTTTATCCTAAATATTCTATTCATTTGAAGTCGTCATCAATAACCTCTTAAAACGTTTCATAACCATAACGAAACTGTTTCAAAAAGTTTTGACATTTTGTTGTAGGCTTAAGGAACGGAATTGCGTAAGCAAGCATTGTGAAAAATGTAGTATGCAATAGAACACAGCGATTGCACTTAATGAATCATCGGCGTTCGATGAACGATTGAACTACGCAGTTCTTACAATCTACGCCCTTGTTTTTTTTTTTTTCTACATCGGATACTTTAGTTGAATATCTAAAATTCCTTTATATTTTTTTTAAAAAAATACCATTTTAACTGAATGCTCGGTTTTGCTGATTAAACATTATTTATTCTTAGTGAGTCTATTTTCCTCCCTCATTGATTTTTGTAGCTTTAACTTTTTAATACTCCAACGTGTAACACTCGAACTAAATTCTGAGGTTGTCAAGCCTGTTTTTTCACGTTTTCCTCGCTTTCGATTATGCGTAAACAACGTAGGCAGAATAGACGCCTGCGTAGAAAAAAAAGCACAGCATAATCGGATGCTAAATCATCAATACCATCCTATACCGTTGCTCAGCAACGTCGTTTGACGTCAAAAACGCGCATGCGCTCGTTTCTGCTTGTACACAGCTGTATATATTGTGGGTTTGCCTTTGACCTATGAGGGCTGGGTTGATTCTGTAATTACATTTACTTGTAGTTGTATTATCTGCCAACAACTCTAAAATAACGTTATAAAAACAGTCTTTTTACAATCGATCTGTGTTCTGTAAAACTTTCTACGTGCCACAACGTCAGCCTCTATAAAGTCCAATAATGTCAGCTTAATATAGGCTTAAAGAATGTTCACCACCTCCCTGTAAATATATGCTAATATTGCGCAGCATATTTTTTACTAATGTCACTACTAGTCCATTTGTTAACTAAACGACCCAGAAGTAAAAAGTATGGCCTATTTATAAAAGATCGATGAAAATATTATGGTTGTTATTTGTTAAAAAAGATTAGAATTTGAATGATTTTTACTCATTTAAGAGCGCTTATATCTAGTTATGATAAACGTAGTTGTAATTATAAATTGCCTTTTTTTCTTATGTAGATATATAGATATACTGTATAAGAAGTAAAAGTTTATATTTGTGAATAATTTCTCGTTCAAAAAGAACCCGTATAAGCGATATACTTGTGAAGATTTATAATCAAGCAAAAAGCATAAAAAAGTTAATAGGTTTTGATAATTTCTTTAGATGCCTTTATTTTCTGGGGTACTTGCACTATAGAGCATTGTGTATCCAAAATCTAGGTGTTTTCTTTTTCCCTTCCCTTCCACTCAACAGTCCGCCTCCCCTTCCCTTCTATTCCCTTATTCACTAATATTGTTGCCTTTCCCTCTCCCCCCTGCCTCACTTCCTTTTAGCATTCTTTCTTTCAGTTTACTTTATCCGCGCCGCTTTTACAGCCTTCTCTCTCTTTCCATTACTCCCCAAAAAATTTTATAAATTTGTACAACGCCATCTTTTGATGAAATTCCTAATTTGTTTCTGTATAATTTGCAGACGAAAAATTCGGTTGGAAGGTCTCGAAGAAGCTAACGTGATTGATAATGATCAATTAATGAATATAGATAGAGCTGATAAGATAGCCTGTCCAGCATATGTGTGTCCAGAACTTCTAACTCTGGAAGTTGGTAAACCTTTTCATGGACAAGCGGCTGATATATGGTCTTGCGGTGTTATGATGTATACTATTATTTTAGGAAGGTATCCATTTAATGGTCAAAATCCCATCCAAGTCTTCACCGCAATTAAAAAAGGAGTGTTCGACATACCTGATACAGTCTCCTCTAGGGCGAAGTGTTTAATTAGAAATATGATGAAAAGGGACCCTCTTAAAAGATGGAAAATATCAAAAGCGTTAAAACATCCGTGGTTCGAGAGAATAACCTACGCTAATCATGAGCACGATTGCAGAATTCCAGATAGACAAAATACCGATATGATACACATTTATAGATTAGGTGATGAAGTTGACGATGACGGTTTCTCAATTTATGTCGATCCTGACGAAGATTTATTGTCCATTATGAATTAAGAATTATTGTTACATGATATTTTTATGACATTTAAATTGTTTGATGGAGAGTTACTAACAACTGAAAATTTCACATCTCCAATAGGCCAAATTATTAGCCAGATAATAAAAAAATGTTTTTAAACTTTATTAAAGAGAACCTAGGTCACAAGTCGGCATTTCTGATAAATCTATTTCCTTCGGAATGCTTTCCTTTATACATATATTTACACTTTCCAAACGACGTTTTCTTTTCGGATGTCTTTAACATGGGTAAAGGTGTCAATTTTGATTTTAAGAGTTCCTCTTCTGAATCTTTCACCTGTACAATTACAGGTCTCGCTATTCTATAGAATTCCCCATGAGTATGACTTCTCTGGAGTTCAGTTATTTTAACAGGTGAGGAGTCTAGGAATTTCAAGCTTGGCAGCTTATACAATACATAGCACCGATAACGTAAAATGTCGTCATCTTCACTCTCTCTCTGTAGGGTTGGACATATGGGATTGCCGAGTAGACTTAAATAGGTTAGGCCAGATAGTTTGTCGGCTATTTCGTCCAAAAACGCGTTCAAATCATCCAAATTATTCTTGTTCAAACATATGGTCCTTAAACTGTCCAGTCGAGGTATTTTTAGAGGAATTCTGAGTCTATTATTATCAGCTACAAGCTCTTGTAAATTGGTAAATGCAAAAAGGAATGACAAATCTTTAAAAGCGTTATTACTTATGTCCAATTTAACGATGTTCAGGCTCTTTTGTAAATATTTCGATGGTAATTTTTCACTATTTTTTCCAACATATAAGATGCAATTTTTTGGCACAATCGCCATTTTTGAGAAATAAAAAATTTTATTCTAAAAAAATATTTAATACCTCTAAAAATAGTGATTAGATGGATAACTATAATATCGTTCAGTATCAAAAGTCCAGCCCCCTAGCGGGATGGAATGTCCAAAGAATCTTAACTGTGGTTAGAGTATCAAATGCATTTTTTTCAAGTCTAAATGTCTTCCTATTAAGGGAATTAAGCCCATTTTTGGAAAAGAAACTAAGTGCATTAAATGCACTTCACATTACACCAATTCTTTATTGTAGTAGTCTCGTGTTGCGCATAAATAGTGAGATTCGAACAACTATGTTCTATTCTAAAATCTCTATAGCTAATTGAAATATTTATGTTATGTACTCTCTATATCTATTTATTTATAGTTTTGAAGAAACGAAATAACCAGAAACGAAACTAGGTAAATTTTTCCCCAAAAGTTTAGCATATGTTTCTAAACGCGTTCTGCAAAATAACATATGTTTTCTCTTCGTTACCATAAGGTATTATTAGTTAATTTTCATGGAGGAAATTCCTTCCTCAGGCGCTGCGTACTTTTACTAGTTCAGCTAGGTATTGGGGGGAAAATGAGAACGGGGTGAGAGTGTTTTGAAAATCCTGTTAATTGCCTGCTGTTTATCGGACTATGGCTTCAAAATATTTTTTACCATGGTACAAAACTTGTTTGTTTAAAACATACCAGGAAACCAGTCTGTCGTATCGAACGTAAACAGTATTTATATGAAAACGAAATGACAACGGATAGGAGAAGATCAAGCATTAATTCAAACAAAGGAGAAGAAAATACTTTGGACTGGGATTTCATTAATCAAAGTCCGTCCCCAGCGGCCTATCATTGCGCATGTGTTATAGATAACGCTATCTACATTCATGGTGGGGTGTTTTCGAAAGGCGACAAAAATCCCCTTAATAAGCTTCAGTCTTTCGATACAAGGACTTCCAGATGGACTGATTTAACGACCGCCCAGTCACCCTATTTGAGTCATCATTCGTCTGTCGTCCTAAGGGATAGGTATTTTTTACTGATTGGCGGTTGGGATGGAAAAGTTCGGACGTCCGACGTGCACTCCTACGACACGGTAGAGAAAGTTTGGAAGAAAGTTCCTACTTCTGGATTTCCTGAGGGAGCTGGGTTAAGCTCCCATACGTCAACCTTACTAAGCAACGATGATATTCTCATCTTGGGAAGGGAGGGAGGGCTTAGAATGCAAAGGCGGACAGGAAATGCCTATATTCTAACGGGAAATTTAAATGCCTTCAAATATCGAGTCAATCCTATGGGGCTGAGTTCGAGATCAGGTCATACGGCTGTTATTATTAACAACAATATTGTAGTACACGGCGGTCGAGACGATAAGGCTATTGAAGAACATGGAGGGTATAAGAAAGGTTATAAGCCATGTTCATGTCTTAAAGCATTCGTCAACACTGAAAAACTATCGCAAACAAAGAACATTCCAATCAGACGACACCATAGTGCTATAGAAGGTTGTGGTATGATGTTAGTGTTCGGTGGGGAACCATTCTCAGGTTTCTTGTTCCTTTCCTCTTTCCCTAACCTTAAAATGTAAGCTTAATTATCCCTTTAGGGAGAAGTATTGTGGAGCCAAGCGGAGATATTTTCTTAATAACTTTTAAGCCGAATTTAACCTGTTATAAATTAGCATCAAGTTCTATAGCGAGGAGCGGTCAAGTTCTAATTTATACTGACAATGACATTTACATACACGGTGGTCTAATACCACGTGGTGGTGTATCAAGTGGCCTCTTTAAATTGAAAAAAAATTAACAGCCCCGTCCACCTCGGTTAACCATGGAAGTGACAACCTCCATGATAAAAAGTAAAATAACCTTATAAAAACATATATACTGTGTATACTAGACGCTATTAATTGTTCTTCGTCAATAAACTAATCACAATTTTTTATAGGAAGGTAATATACTGATTAAAAGATATAGGGAAAGTAAAATGTTATTATTGAAGAAGAGGGAAAGGAAAAGAAAAAGCATCAACAGGTGTAAAAAGTTATGAAAATCTTTATATTCTACAAATTTCAAACTGAATAAGGAAGTTTATTTTGGCTAATTTCTTCCCTTCTTGAAAAATTTTGATACTCTCTTTGAAAATACTCTCTAATAAACATCCGGAATTAGGTCATTAGTCAACTGACATTTAGTAAACATTATTTATAGAATATTGGGAAAAAACTTTCATACTTAATAAGAGTGTGTTTTACACAGGTTTCTATTGAGCTCAGGTGTAAAGAACACTAACGAATCATGGGAGTTCAACTAGCTTTTTTAAAAACAGGAACTTCACCAGATAAGATTCGTTTAATTCATCACTGCTCGTTAAAATAATCGCTCTCAGTGTCTGAAATTCGTCATATCTAACATCCTGAGTCAAGATATTAGTCAGATTTGGCTAAATGTCAGCAATATTGATGACTTGATGGGAGAATTTTCCCCCCATCCGTAGTTCATCGTTTCAGAACATTGAGTGAAACATACCGTTTTACCCGTTTACATAGATGACTCGCACAAAAAGAACTATATTTAAACTTAATGAATAATGTATCTATTTATATATATATATATATATATATATAAAGTACATTCTTTTAATTAAATTAATTATTTTTTAAACAGTTATATTTAAATCCTGAGACAATTTTTTTAACGATGAAAATATAAGACAGAACATATATGAATTATCGTTCATTAAAAAAACTAACACTTTTTTATATTTATTTTATGTTTTCATATACAGTTAAGAAAATATACGAAAATAGAACCATATGAATATTAATAATAATTTTTCTAGAAATTGCTTTTTAAAAAAATAATAGAAAATATCTATTTATGAGTATTTTTTCTTTGTAATTTCCTAACATTTTCTAATATTGCGTCCATTTCTAATTTAAAACGTTCTATCTCACTATTTTTCTTATCTACTACACTTTTCCAATATTCTATTTGATCTTCTTCTTCATCTTTAATACTTTTTGATAAAAGAAGATGCTTTATTTCAGACTCTCTCTCGATATGTCGACTTTCTAAACGTCTAATTTTTTCTAATAATGAATCAATATGACGCCTTTCAGCCGTATGGCTAGATCTTGCCTCCTTAAGATCTTCTGAGAGTTGTTTAATTTCATCTTCAAGAGCAGTCTGTCTTTGCTTACCAAGTGAAAGTTCCTTTTCTAGCCGTTCAGTCCTTTCAATTTTAGGTGGATTTGAGTAGAAAGTCTGCATGGCCAGGACGTGTTCATTATACAATTCAGCTGTCTGTAAAAGTAATAATAATAATAAACTATAATGAATGAGTAATTAAAGTTTTAAAACAAAGAATAGCTATTGATTTAATGACTAAACTTTGTTTTTATCTTTTCTTTTCAATACCTTTTTTTCAATTTCCTCTTTAGTTTTCCTTTCAGATTCAAAAGCTTCATGAAGCTTATCTTTCCATCTTTCGCGGTCATTTTCAAGAATTCTTTGTAACTCCTTATTCTAGATAAATGACATATATATATCCTAGTATATATTTATAAAGCAAATAAGACGTAAAAGAAAGATACAGTTATATAATTATCATTGATAGATTTGCCTACTGTTTTCTTTCCGCTGTGGATAAAAATAGACGTGATATGTAAAATAGTTTTCTTTCTAACAATAAAAACGAATTAACAGGATAATTTACGAACATCTCTTTCTTTCTTTCTTTCTTTGTCTCTTCGTGATTTTGTGTGAATGGAACAGCTGTAAGTCGTCTAAATTAGATATACGTGTTAATTAAGGTTTCAGACGATAAAATTTCCTTTGCTTTTTATATGATAACCGATACGAAGTCAATTAAGCCTACTAGAAATTCTTTTTTCTTACGTAATTTTCGAATAGTTTTGTTTACGTTTACTTTCGATTTAGTTGAAAAAGGGAAAAGATTAAGTTGCCTACTTAAAATATTTTAACGAAAAAAGGAAGTAAGCTTATGATTCTAAAATTAAAAATAAACAATTTCGTTTAAGCGTAAATATCAACATTGGAAAAATGAAAGAATGAGAGAAAGAGCTAAATGATAAATAGTCACCTCTTGTTCCAAGTTTTTCTTCTCTTTTGTTAAAATTTCTACATCCTTTTCTAAATTTGGTATATTATTATCAATAAGTTTTGAATTCTTTGGCATTTTCTTTGAAGATTGCTCCTTTAGATGAGATATTTCTTTTAATAAATCATCAATTCTTAGTTTTAATTCTTCCCTTTCTATCTTTAATTCTTTAATCTCGAAATATAATTTATTCTCTTTTTTAGTTGGAGAGGAATGTTGAGGATTTTGTGAAGATTTTAAAGCTAATTGTAATTCATTTTGTAGCTGTTCAATTTCGTTTTCAAGTTCGACGACTCGTTTCCTATATCTGAAGAGTTGAGATAAAATTATTTGAATTAGTCGAATAGGAGAGTTAAAGCTAATAATATAAGTATTTGTGTCATTGGTAGAGGGGGGAGGGACGCGAGGGCAAAAAGGACTTTACATTTTCTTTGTATAATGCACTTGAAAAAAAAATGAAAAACTTTTAACAAATACATATTTTAATTTCTTTATAGTCATTGTTAAATGGACAAGAGATTTAAGGGTGGAGGGCGATTATTAAGGTGAGGGGTAAACGTATTTTTGTAACAATTGTTAATAATGGAAAGGAAACAAAAAAAACATGAAGCTTTAAAAATGTTGAAACTGGAAAGACGTCATTCCATTGTTAATATATCACGAGTTTCATGATTTTACACCTTCTTGCGAATATGATATGTATACTTTTATATAAATTTATACTGTATATTAGCCAGGATTAGGGCGTATTCTGACTAATAGATGGCGCCAGTAAATGGTAGTATCTTTTCTTTTTACAATAGAAATATTATTCATTGACAAAGAGTCCTTACCTTTCTTTAACGCTATCCAATTCCCTTTCTAAGGCTTTCATATGAGTATGTGGTCTTTCTGAACTACCTTTAGTTAAAGCGCCCAATTTATCATTTAAATCTTCAATAGTTATTTCATAAGTTCCCTTCATTCTCTCGAATTTTTGTTCTAAAACCCTGATGGATTTCTTTTCTTCATCATCCCTTTCTTCTAATTCTTTTTCCAATCGTTTGCAACGATCTTCAAGAAATTTTATAGATGGCATATTTGGATTATCCTGTTTTTCTGACGACGCGGCCCACATTAAGGACGCTATCGAGTTCGGATGACGTTTTTTAATGATATTCTCTAATTCTTTCACTTGTCTCTCTAAATCTCTTATTTTGGTTAAATCTCTTTGCTTTTCCTTCTGTCTTAACTTTTCTAGCCTACCTTTCTGATATTCCTATATAAAAGAGAAATATAATAAATTTGCATCAATCTTATAAAATATTGACTAATAGAAGAAACATACATCACTTTCCATATATTCTACTTTTTTTTCAAGTTCTTTTATCCTTAGATGTTGTTCTTTCAACTTAATTGAGTCTTTGTCAAGTAATTCTTGATTTTCAGCATACCATCGTATCTTTCTTTCTAATTTTGAGTTAATTTCTTGTAATTTTTCAACATCTTTCTAGAAATTATTAAAAATGCATTACATAAATAAACTATATATTTATTTATTGTTTTATAAGAACTAACTTTATTTTCTTTTGAAATATTATTTCTTAGTTCATCTTCTTTCTCCTCCATTCTCTTTAGTTTAATAACAGTCATTTCAAAGAGTTCGTCGGCCTCTTTCTTCTCTTTCTTTGTTAACTCTAAGGCTATTTTATTCTCTTTCATTTCGCCCTAATAAAATATTATATATATATATATTTTTATTTATTTAAGTTGGAAAGAAGAAAAACTAAACGCATTAAAACATTACTTTAATCTGCTTCAATTCCGTCTCCAACTGTTTAATTCTATTAGAACTTAATGAATGATCTATACTGGACGATTCACCCTTTACCAATCTCTCTCTGGGTAGTGTTTGTTCCCTAGAGTAAAAAGGATGTATAAGACATATTTTAATATAAAAACGTATGGTAAACTTACTTGATATTCTCTAATTCAGTAATTAATTTTCTATTTTCTTTGATAAGTCTACAAATAAACCAAAAATAAACAAATTGTTGATTAAGTTATACAATTTGGAGATAAAATTGAAATATTCTACCTCTCTTCATTAGTTTTTCTATCAATTTTCATTAATTTCATCTCTTGATATAATTTCTCATTTTCAACTTGATATCCATTAATTAACTTTTCCTGATCTTGAATTTGATTTAAGAAGTTTGTTAACTTTTCATCGTCCGATTGCCTAGAGATAACTTTGACCTTTTCAAACTGTTTAATTTAATATAACTTAATTAAATATTCAATTAAAAAAAAGTACTATTAGTAATTTAGCTACTTTGTTCATTAATTCATTATTTTCTCTTTTTAATTTAACAATTTCCTCTTCGTATCTTGATTTTATGTCTTCCTTATCTCTAATCCATTGTTTTTCTGAATGAATTAGGCTTGCACTTAATTTATCAGATTTTACTTTCTCGGCTTGCCATCTAAGTCTCCATTCGTCCATTTCTTCACAAATTGCGGTCGAAAGCATTTGAGTTGATAAGGTTTCTTTACCCTTCTTCGATTGGGATTTAATGAGCTTCTCGAATTGTTCTTCCCTGTCACGTCCGTGATTAAGTCGACGATTTTCTTCCCTTATAGGTTGTTTTGGGGGTTTTTCGTAATCGGAGCTCTTTTGATGTTTTCTTCGCTCTTCTGAGACTCTCCCATAGCCTGAACTTCTAACATTCCTGTACTTGTCATGCCTCTTTTTTTCTAATTAATAGACAATATATTCGAATTAAAGCGATACAATGGTTTTATACCAAATTAGAGATACTCTACCCTTCTTTGTACTCGATAATCGTTCTGTTGATGATCTAGTTCTAGGCAAAGCCTTTGGAGGTGTATGATTAGCAATAGGACTCAAATCTAAATTTGTAAAATTCTCATCCAAATCCGTATTTCTACTAATTTTTTCATCTTTTAAAATAAATTAGCAAGTAAAAAAGTAAATTTAATTAATTACGCAACTTGTAATATACAGTAAATACACTCACCATACAAAGTCTCTATGTTTTTGCTTCTGTCGTATAGGTCACCAACCTCATCTAGTTCGGATTGACAAATAAAAGAAAATAGTTCATTAACGTCATAGTTGGACTATATTTAGACTACAAACCAACTGTGGGTTGAAGACCTGTTCCTCCGGGTGGGGTTATATATCCCGTTTCATCTTTCGTGCTGTAAGACATACCCTGTTTCAGATGGCGTTGGTACTCCTCCAAAACAGCATTAGACGAATCGGTGTCTCTTAGAAATTTTACTTTTTTCTCATCTTCTTCCTTTACTTCCTCGAGTTCTTCCTTACTTCCTGAATCGTCCTTTGATATCATTTTCGTGCCTCCAGATGATTCCAGAGAGTCGAGTAAAGACACTAGAAAAATACATCATTTTTTTTAAAAAAGTCCTTTAACTATAATAAGTAAAGAAAATATTACCTTTAGACAACATACTGGGTTTCATATCTCTTTTTCCAACTGGCCTAGGACCTTTTTCTTCATCGTCTTCTTCTTCTTCTTCTTCTTCCTCCTCCTCCTCTTCTTCGTCTTCATATTTTAGTGTACTCTTTCCCTTTTTCTGTTCTTCATTGACATTATCCTCTTCTAGATCATTCTCTTCATTAATCGTAGGAAAACCTTTAGTGTCGCATTCTTCTGCCAGCTTCTCAAATTCCAAAGTTTTTCCTTCCTTTTCCCTTAAATTTTTGAAAAAAGCTGCTTTATCAGCTTCCTCCATTAACGTTTCATTTCCTGGCGCTTGATTACCGTCAGTCTCAGATTCGGCAAAAGATTGAGAGGTCAAATTTAAGTTAGGTATTGTAATACTATCTTTCGGTTTCTCGGTTTTCTCAAGAGTATCATCTAAACTATCTTTGCTCAGGCGTATTTTATCTTTGCCCACATTCTATTTTAAGATTTGTGAAAGGAGAGAAAAAGACGCAAAGTCAGCATATTAATAAAAAAATATTAAATATAAATATATAATTAATCTATTTTCTATTTAATTAACATTACTCTCAACGGATGTTGAATATTATTATTTATTTATAATTAGTTACCTTCTCTTCGATAGATTCTTTCTTTTTCGTCTTCATAAAACTCATTTTTGGTTGTGTCTTTTCGGCTAATAAAAGATCATAATTAAACATTCATTTCTTAGTAATCAATTAGAAATGAATTCATTTTTTAAAATAATACTAACAAGTGTCTCCATCTTCGTCCCACCATAGTTTATCTTTCTTATTCATACGTACTTTTGGACCATATGATGTAGAATCTTCAGATATTGACTTAAAAGATTGTAAAATGGTCATATTTATTAATTTTCAATTAGTATTTGAATTGAATAATTTAAAATAGAATCATAATTAATCAACAATAGTTTTTAATACTGTAACATTCTTTCCGAATATTGACATTCGTTTAATAAATAATGTAAATAGTTAGAAAAATTAGACAAACCTCTTGAAGGAATTTTTCAAAATCATCATCATTTGTCGACTTTTTAGTCATTTTAGTTAGAAAAAGTCATGTAGGAACGTGTATGGAACAGGTAGTGATAAAATAGTTTTCAACAAAGAGTCGATTGTTTAAAAGAATTTTGGTTTTGGATTTTTTCACAGAAGATAATATTTATGTTGATTATACTTTTATTCAATTCTCAATATTGAATAGATGTTTAATATCAATTTTCATTGACAACAATTTGGTTCGGCTAGATTTGTTTATATGCCGCCATTTTAGAATAGTTTCGTTTTACCTGCAGATGTCTCTACCTATCAAACTTTATTCAACTTGAACAATTTATTAAATATTGAGGAAATGTTTGAATAATTTATATATTTATTTAATCTCAACGGAATAAAGAATTTTAAATTTAATAAAAAAAAGATGTTTAATCGGCGTAAAGTACACAAAATAGTCATTCAGAACAGTTATGGTGACAATACATGTAACGAGATGTCGTTGGTGTTTCTTATTTTTGGCGCGCTTTTAATATTCACCTAATTTAGGAAGACGTTTCTTAGGTAAGTATTTCATTAATTCTGGAGTGGCTTTCATTGAGTAATTCATTGCTTTCATATCAGGGTGGGGACTAAGTAGACTCGACCCGAATCGTTGAATGGACGGATACCTATTGGGTGAAGTTTTACTTCCCGTAATAAACAGCAGGCGGTCAGTGAATTCAATAATTGAATCAACGCAGTACTTGAGCATTCCGTCGTTTAATTCTCTAATTCCAGCTTCGATATCTAAATCGCTAAACATCTCTAACGGGCTCGGAAACCTAGAACGTAACTGATTGAACCATTTAGCTTTGGGCATTCTTATATTTAGTAATTCAACTTCCCAAGAAACATCAGCCCTTGCAGCCTGAAGACATTTAATTATATTCGAATAATCATGTTTTTCCAATTCGTTCTCCATTAATTTATTCTTTGCTTCTTTAAACAATGGCAAAGTATTCATTTCCGGCTTTCGTTCAATTACAACTAGACGTCCGTCGTCTTTTAAATGATCCATAGCATTACAAAGAAACGTACCCAAGTCGTCGATAAAGTTAATTGAATAAACCAGAGCAATTTTATCGAATTGATCGGAACTTTCTTTAAAAAAGTCTTCTGCTCCAATATTTGCTAAAGGTATGGCAACTCTCCTCTTTAAATGGTCTTCCTCGTATTGAATACGACCAGGAAACACGACAGTTGGTTCTTGCAAAAGACCAAACCTGTTAGTCAGCAAAGGCGCTAAACTTCCTTTATCCTCTCCGATGTAGCAAAGTTTATCGTTTGTTCCTAATTCCAAGTGCTTATGAACTAATTGACACATGCGTAATTCATAATCAATTCCAAAAGAGTAGATATCGTCTTCCATGCCATAACTAGGCAAATCAGAAGATGAAGAAGCACCGGATTCCCTTAATACCGCGAAGGGACGCGGCGATTCCGGTCCGAAGTAATGAGTCATTTCCGAATGGAACTTTTTCGACTACCTAATCGAATGGAGGAGGAAGGGACAATTTGTAGCTAAGGCGATCCGTGTTTCCGTCGGCAGGGGGCGTAAATGGATAGGGGGCCTGTTTTTACCTTGAAGAAACGAATAAAGGCTTTTATAGATTGATTTGTACTATTGATTATAGCAACTGTTTAACCGGTTGAGCTTGATAATCTGAAAATCGAAATAACTTATTACTTATTACTATATTCGTTAACCCTCTCCGCTATGCTGTATTTCTATAAAAACCGCAAAAAAAAAGCCCCGCGTAAAAACAATCTAGTCATTAACTTTGTAAAATATTTAAAAGATTACAAATTCTTCCTTTTCCATAAAAAAATTATTGTATAACTAATTAATCACGTATTTCGATAATCATTAATTCATTAGACGTCTATACTAAATTAGCATTTGGATTTCATGTCTAAATTGTGTAAAAGTTGAAAAAGAAAGAAGAACTAAGTAATTTCATATTGATTTGGACGATTGAAGAGAGAGAGAGAGAGGGAAGGAGGGAGAGGGGAGGGAAGGGGGATAGAGGAGAGGTGAGAAAGGAGTGAAAAAATTAATTAATTACTCTATTTCTGTTCTCTCTCTCTCTCTCTCTTCAATCCCCCTCTCTTATAAATCACAGTCTTTTTCCAAGTGGAAGTTTAAACAATTGTTAAATCTTATTACTCATTATTTATATAATAACAGAGTCAATAACGATTTCTTTTTTCCTTTGTTAAAAAGAGAAACAACGAAAAGAGAGAGAGATAGAGAGAATGATCAGGAAAAGAGAAAAAAGCCTGAATTAGTCTTGTTTATCTCTTTTGTTATAGTTTGTTTGCTTTTTATTTAACATCATCCTATACAGAGAAAAGAGAAAGATTAAACTCTATTAATTTTTAAGTGTTTTCTCTCTCTCTCTCTCTTTATATATATCTCGTAAAATGATAAAACTTTTAACTCAATTACTAATAAATACATAAAAATAGGTCATTAATGAAAAGTATAAAATAAATAACGATCAAAAATATTTTTGTATATATTGATATTTAAAGAGAGAAACAATGAATAAAAACAGCATCAGCAGCAGGAATAATAACAGCAGTAATAACAACAATTAATAACTAAACAAAAGTTAGTGGAAAAAATAGCCAGAAATAACAACATGTTCAAAACATTAGATACTCGACACATCTGGTGCATTTTGTATAAATTTTAATTGTACTGCATTCAATTACCAAGTAAAATACAAAAAAACAAAAACGCAGAGTACTCTCTGTTTTTCTTATTGTTCTTAATTTTTTTATTCCTTTGTTTTATTATTGTTTAGAATAGTATTCAAAAGAGATATCATTTTCTTTATTATTAATATTCGATCGTTAGCTCCATCTATTGGAATTATTTTCAAATGAAAATACGAAAGTAATTAAATTTAGCAGACAAGTTGTTTTGGAACGAAAATGAGTTTCTGCCGATTGTTTACATTAATATTATTTATTTGTTTCTTATATTTAAACAATTGCGGAGCACAAGAATCAAATTCAAAAGATACACCGGTGAGAAATGCGATTATTGCCACTGTAAAAAATAAAAAATTACATATTAGATCACTTTGTAGTCGTCATGTGAATGTGACTCAGTAATAATTTCCGTATTACATTTAGTAATAAAGCAATGGTATAATTAAATTTAATTAGGCGTCAGAGACTATTGGATTTATATTGATATATAAGAAAGACTTGCATTCTTCTTACATTAATGTCTAATTGAACAATGCACCCTACAGCTAACTACCGAATGCCTGTCAGGAACGTATCCGCCCGACAAAAAGTAATACAAGCTAAGACAATAAACTCAAGTTCAATTACACTAATTTTCACTTATAGAACGATAGTTCCAAACTACATCGTTAATTTGGACGATCCACCCGAAAATAGATGGCATAATGTGGCTAAAGACAAAGCTTCGGATGTTGGAAAAGAAAAGAAAAAAGACAATAAATTACGTACATAAAAGTTTTTTTTCTTAACAGATTACCAATATTATGGGTGTGTTGCGTTCCTTTCTCCATGAATTTGGATATATAGGAGATAAGATATTCTCCTTTGTCAACAGTGACTTGGTAATTAATTGATAAATATTATTAAAAAAGAAAAAGAATTTCGAATGAGTTCAAAACTACGCAGGGAAAGATTGTTGAAACTCTTCCAAATCCTTACCGAGATGAGATCATCGGCATTTCGAAATCTTCGAATATAAGTTTGGGTAAGTGGAATATACTTTGGGGAATTTTTCTCTTCTTACTCTCTTTTTTTGTTATCATTATCATCGTTTTATATCTAATCATTTCGATTTATTTCACTACTTTTAGGCGAAATCGTCACTTATAATATTTTCTACGAAATTTTTACCGTTTGTACATCAATAATTGCAAAAGATGATAAAGGTAACTTTTATCATGGAAGGAATTTGGATTTTGGCCTATTTATGGGGTAAAAAGCTTCATTAAAACTAAATGTACTTTCTTGAAAGAGAGAATTTTCTTTTCCACTCCTCTTTTAAAGGTGGGATGTAAAGAAACACTCTTGGAAAATAACTGAAGCACTTAGACCCGTTGTTATCACTGTAGATTTTCAAAAGGGAGGAAAAACTGTATTCAAATCAGCTCAGATGGCTGGTTACATTGGAATTCTTACCGCTATAAAACCGGTAAGATAATTTATTATTTAATAATGCAAATGAGATAAGAAAATTTGCTTAATCATATTCAAATGGCATAGTAAATCATAAAGCTTTTTTATTTTCTTTTTTAACTTGAATAAGGGCATATTTACGTTGTCTATGGATGAAAGGTTTGATTTATTAGACGGGGGTTACATAGGTGTAATCGAGTGGTTATTGGGACAACGTAAGGCTCAATGGATGGGTTTCTTGACTAGAAACGTAATGGAGAAAGCGGATAGTTATGACAAAGCAAAATCGATGCTATCCGAAACCACTATGTTAGCTCCAGCTTATTTTATTCTCGGAGGAAATTCGTCCAACCAGGCTAGTTTATAAAAAATTTTTCTATACATTCCCTCTATTTATTGGAGTGTAACCTGTTTTATGCAGTATATATAATTATAAGCGATATATGAGAAACTTAATATATCTATCCAGGCTTGCGTCATAACGCGCTCTCGAAGCAAGGCTATAAATGTTTGGGAAATGAAGAATAGTTGGTATATATTGCAGACAAATTACGATCATTGGAAAGCTCCGCCCTTCTACGATGATAGAAGAACTCCAGCGATAAAATGCATGAATAAAAAGGGATCTAATGTTAGTTTCAATTAAAAAAACAAACAAAATCAGAAAAAGAATTTCCATATAAGTAACATTTTTCTCATTAATGATACATTCAGGGTTTTTCAAAGAAGACTCTATTCGATGTACTTTCATCAAGACCAATAAAGAATAAAGTAAGTATTAGATTACAATTAATTCATAATTACAAAATCTTCTTAATGTATAAAACTTTATTAAAACGTTAATAATAATAATAATATAAATAACCTTACAGTTAACCTCATATACTGCATTAATGGAAGTTAAAAGTGGTACACTTGAAACTTACCTCCAAACTTGCCCCGATCCTTGTTTTCCTTGGTGATTCGAAAGAAAACAAGATCAACGCCTATGTAAACTTGATATAAACAATATACTGCAAAAAAATTTTTTTTTCATACTATGATTATTTGCTACGAAAAGTAATACAATATCATACGGGTTTATATAGACTAGTTAATCGTTATTTATCTGTTTTTTCATTGGAATTCAATACTTGGAGCTTAGCCGAGTGAAAAATGTAGCCGATGTATGACCTTGTAACGTGTTCAAGGTGCTATATACAATTATTCGATATGATTAAAGGAAGAGCGGACCAAGTCGAAATTCTCACCAAGAGCTTTTAGATAAAATTGCTATAGAGGCCTGGACTGACCTCTCCTGCCCCCTCTCGTCAGACCTTCTCTCCCCCGCTGCCCCCTTATTAAGTTTTCAATCCTAACTCTTAGCGTCAGTCCTCTTTTCTATAGTTTTACAATATGCCGTCTTCGCTTTGACGACGCTCAATCTACATTTAATACTACTCAGAAATCAGTATTCTCTTTTTTATTATTATTGCAAAAGCAAGAACATTAGTCTCTTGCTCAGCGTCGTCTACGTGGGGAAGAAAATATGGGCTGCGCTAATTCAACAGCCAAAACTGAAGAAATTCAGAAATTAATAACAGTCTTCGGAGCTACTGGCGCTCAGGGAGGCGGCGTTGTGGAATTTCTGAAGAAGGATAAATGCTTTAAGATAAGGGCGGTTACCAGAAATCCGGATGGTGAAAAGGCCAAGAAATTGATTGAAGAGGGTGAGTTGATGTAAATATGCATGGAAGATAGATTGTATCCTTTGTTTTTCTCTTTAAAAACATATCTATCCAGGTATTGAAGTTGTAAAAGCCGATCAAAGCGATGTCGAGTCGTTGAAAGAAGCTGTAAAAGGTGCTTACGGCGTCTTTCTCGTCACTCAATTCTGGGAAGCTTTCGACGAGGAAAAAGAGTACAATGAGGGCAAGAATGTAGTAGACGTTGTAAAAGAGTCAGGTTGTAAACATTTAATATTCTCGGGATTAGAGAATGTCGAAGAGCTGATCGGTAAGAAATGTCCCCATTTCGATTCAAAGGCAAAGCTCGAACAATACATTCAAGAGTCTGGCTTAAAATTTACAATAGTTCGCTATTCTTTCTACGCTGAAAATTTTTATTCGCTTATGAAGCCCCTTAAAGACGATGACGGTTCGTTCTCCTTTAACATACCAATGGGGGATTATCCTCTCGACGTTATTTTTGTAAATGAGGCGGGAGAATGCATTACAAACATCTTTAAGGCGCCTGAAAAGTTTGTGGGTCAAGCAATAGGTTTGTCATCCGTTTGCCAATCAATGAAGGAGTACGCTACCCTTATGGAGGAGAAGTTAGGAGTGAAGATAGCTACGCCCAAAGTAAGATTGACGTATATATAGAGAACGACGAATCGATTAGGCGTATACGAATGATTACAGATAACGACCGAAGATTATAGTAAATTGGGATTCCCAGGAGCTGAAGTTTTGGCCGTCATGTTCGAGTTTTATCAAACAGGAAAATGCGATCGAGACGTTGCAATGACGAGAAAACTTGCCCCAAGTATGTCCACCTACGAAGAATGGGTCGATAAGCATACTGAGGAGATGAAGGCAGCGTTTAGTTAAAGTTTTCTTGTTCCTACGAAATTATTATTCAAATAAACTTAAGGGACAGTAATAAATGTCCATATTATGTATTTATATAGATATATATATAAAGCGTCTATAAATTTGGTTTTATGAACCCTGCAGCCAGTAGGAACAGACTACTTTTCAGTATATTTATACACTTTCTTTTTTAATGCAGTATATACACTGTATACACAAATTTTTCGTACATAATCTATATAAACATTCAACCAACCATTCATATATTCAGATATGTAAATGTTTACAGCACAGACGCTGTTTTAAAACATGTTGTTATAATGACTACTTCATTTTTCTCTATAAGTACTCAGTGTACAAAATAGGATTTATGGTTATTACAGTAGTGCGGTTTTTTTATTTACTAGTTTGTTTACAGCTTTTAACGCATAGAAGAAGAAGAAAAGAGAAAACAACTGTTGTTCGTGATTGATTACTGAAAATTCCTTTTCCTAAACAATTAATAAGTCTGTATCTGTCCCTCTTTTATTTTTTCTTTCATTATTCCTCACACTTACATATAAATATGCAAATGAGTAATATATTTATATATATGCCTATATATATATATATTTAAATTTATAGTTGATTTATTCAATACAAATAATGTAACATATGTATCAACTTATGCTATGATGCTTTTTAAGCGTCTTATATTCCCTCCGTAGTCTGTGTTCACATTTATTTAGAATCTATCGAAGATAAACGCAACAACTCTATACCATTCATTAATTGGCTAATAAATAAGAATACTAGAAAAGAATTACTAAACTTTGCGTCTACTACCAGGCGGCGGGGTCGTGCATAGACTAGAATATAGTTTTCATATGACGTCACAACATGTGATTTTGCGCATGCGCTAGTTTGGCGGGACGGCAAGCAGAACATGCAAACCGTCGAATGAGGAGCCTTTAGCCATGAGTTGTTCGGGTCATGAAAAAGCAGAATGTTCGCACTCTTTCCCTAATAGTGTAAGTATATACTCTCTTTATATATATATGTATATATATATATATATATATATATATATATATATGTATATATATATAATTTCTATTATTCTATATATATATATATAAATAAAGGTTTTATTTACTTAGAATTTAAAAAAAAGAACAAAAGAAAAGCTTAAATTAATAAAGTTTTTAATAATCTATTTTTAACTTTTTAAATCATTAAGGAAAAGAGATGAAAGAAAGTCTTTTCTGTTCTTTTTCTTTTTTGATATTTTTGTTACTATTATTATTATCATCGTCGTCATCTTCTTTTATTTTTTTTATTCCTTTTTTTCCTCTTCCATTTCTTCCAGTTGCACTTTTACCTACCTACTAGTCGGTGCGGCCGTATTTGACGCTCTGGAAAGCGAATACGAGAAAGAACAGAAACAAAAATTACAAGACGAAGAGAATGCTCTTAGAGAAAAATACGAAATTACTATAGATGATTTCCACAATTTAACAACAAATATCATCCATTCAGTACCGCACAAAGCTGGAATTCAGTGGAAGTTTACGGGAGCCTTCTATTTTGCTGTTACTGTTATTACAACTATAGGTAAAGCAATTAAAAATATAAATATATAATTGTAAATAAGATAAGAACAATAGTAATAACAATAATATTTAAAAAATGAGAGAAAGAGAATGATAGATAGATAAATAGAAAGAAAGAAAAGAGAGAGAGAAACAGCGCGCGAGAGACAGTGACGCCTTACCTTGTTACTTATCTTACGTTTCTGACTTACTTCACTCGGCATCTACTCTTTTACATTTACTTTAAGTTAAAAAATTTCTAATCTTTAGTCTTTTCACTCTTGTTTTATCACTATATGTTTTCCTATTGTTATCTAAACAAAAGTTTATTGCCTATCTCATTTTTACCGCTCTTTCTGTTTTGTCTACCTTTACCCTCGTTCTCACCCTCTTTTTGTTATATACAGCATATGTGTATATATAAGATGAACAGCTGACGCATCGGCTTTATGTAATTAGTTAGATGAACGTATGGGAGAGAGAGAATATTTAACCTTAATTAAATCTTCGAACTCGGATGCCCAATTTCACCAAGGTCGGGTTAGAAGAGAGAAAAGATTGAATAAATTATCTCAAAAATAGAATTAATACTCTAAATATGCATAGAAAGTCTGTTTGTCTCTTGTCTTAACTCTAAATATATATACAGTATATATATATATATATTACTCTTTGATATTAGCATGCTTATAGTAATATTTACATCAACGAGGCACTTAAAAAGATGTCATTTCCTAGATTCTATGTCTACTTCAAATTAAGAATATATATATACAGTATGTCTAGATACATAAATACCCAACATATTCCTTTGCATCTAACATATATGCATAATATATATACACACATCTCATAGGCCCAAAAAATCCTATTCATTCTTATCGATTGCGTTCATTCATCGTACACAACACGTGTTACGCGCTGCAAATTTTTTTTCTATTCCAGTTGTTGCAGCTAAAAAGATCTAGAACGCTAGATTTTTCTAGGGGAAAATATCGACCTAGTCATCTAGGCCTAATTGTTACTATTCTTAGCAGACTATGGGTATAAATAGAAAAAGCTTGGCAAGGATTAGGAAGAGATTTTTTTAGACGACTCTCTTTTACCAGCCCTTACTAATTTCTATTCTTCGCATCCCATCCCAATTTTCTCTCTTTTATTCTTTTTTTTTTTTAATCCACCTTCGTCTCTGTTTAGTTTTTAGAGAAAAGTAATGTTGAAAATAAGATGGAAAGGGTCATAGGACCTTATTTTCAGAGTGTGCGCAGGTTCCTTATTTCCTTCACCGTTTGGCTCACCCCTTTTCCTCTATGCTTGAAAGGGCCACGTTCCAGAAATGTCGTCGGAAAAGGTCGAACAGATTGACAGAGATCGGGGCGGCAATTAGATGGGTCCATTGAATAGGGCAATAATTATATACTATTTTCAATCTTATATCAAGAACAGAATCGTTATATGCCATATTTATATATTATTATGATTATTGTTATTATTATTATTACCATTATTATTATTATTATTATATTGTATATGCAATATACTTTATATTTAAACATGACCAATTAAATCTCCATAAAGGTTACGGACATAGTACACCGAAGACTTACGGCGGCAAAGTATTCTGCTGTATCTACGCCCTGGCGGGTATACCTTTGACTTTAGTCATGTTCCAGTCCATAGGCGAACGTCTCAACGTCTTCATCACTTTTCTTATGCGTCACTGCAAACGCTGTATGAAATTGCGTAATCAGGAAGTTTCGCAGACCAACTTAATTATCGTAGGCCTAAACCTATGCTTAGTCGTTCTCACTACGGGTGCCGTAGCCTATTCGTATTACGAGGAATGGAGCTATTTGAACAGTTTCTATTATTGTTTTATAACTTTAACTACAATCGGTTTCGGGGATTATGTGGCTCTACAAAAGAATTCCGTATTGCAAACTAAACCTGAATATGTAGCATTTTCATTAATATTTATACTGTTCGGCTTGACAGTAGTTGGAGCTGCCATGAATCTACTAGTATTGAGATTTCTAACTATGAACACGGAAGATGAACGACGAGAGGAGCTGGAGGCCGCCGCCGCTGCTCGAACAGCTGTCCGATTAGACGGCGATGTCATAACAGCAAACGGTAGCATAATTTCCGGTCAACACGAACGGCCGGAATATGTAGATGATACAATAAGTGTCTGTTCCTGCTCTTGCTACGCTTTCCGAGATCGTAGCATAACAGCGAAAAGACGTTATACAGTTAGAAGATCCCCATCCCAAATAACTCGTTTAGTTCGAGCCATACCAGTCTGCCAGGATGACGACGTCGAAGCGATCGGCAATCCCGAAACGAACTCGATGCTAAACTATTTGCGCAATAAACGCGCTTCCATCTAGAACTTCTATATAAACTTATATTTGTTTTCCTTCTCTAGCGCTTTTATCGTGTTAGGGGTATAATTTTATAAATAGGCCGTTTATTTTTCGGCTTTCTTCCTTTATGATATCAATTATTATGTTTATTACTATTATTATTAATAATTTTTTATTCTTTTTTTCTCGCTTTGTATAAATCTTCCAAAAGTCAAATTTTTTATCTTTTAATTTTTTATTCATCCTTTTTTCCCTTCCTTCCTTACTTTTTCATTCTTCTGTCTATCACATATCCTGTTTAAATCATGTATACATTGTATATTTTACAATCTTTCTCACGATTTATCTCTCTACCTTTTTCTCTTTCTTTCTCTCTCTTTCTTATTTCTTGCTCTCTTTTGTACTCTAAAAATATAATTATTATTATTGTTTTTATTATTATTTACATATGGTAAAACTCTATTTAGTAAATTCAATTAGCCATTCATACTGTAAGAAGTTTATTTCAGTCTTATTCTAAAGACTTTTCTACTGTTTCATATTTTCATTAGGTTAGCAAAAATTAATAATAATAAACTCGAAATATATGCCTATATATATATATATAAAATTTATATATATATATATATATTAGGATTATGAAAATTGTATAAATTATTAATTTTTCCTTTATATTATCTGATAAACATGATAAAGAAAAAGGGAAAAACAACAAAAAAACCTTCCTTCCTTTAAATGTGTAATTAACGCTTTTGCCAACAATTTACACATTCCTATGTCTCTTCTCTTTATCGCCTCTCTCTCTCTCTCTCTCTCTTCCTCTCTTCTTTTTCCTTTCTCATCCTCTAATTTTTTCCCTCTCTTCTTTTCCCTAGTCCAATCTCCGGCCTCTCTTTTTTTCTTTCTTTTTTTCTACATGGTGTCCTCTTTTATTTCATTATGACTGTAGGCCTATATCATGGAAAGGGGACTATATAAGGATATAAAGAGAAGAAAAAGTTCTCTTTTCAAACGCCAATTTTTCCTTGTGTTTGCCGGCGGCTGGAACACTTCCGGCCATTTCAATTCTATCTCCGTTAATAATGTATACCACTTGCATTACGAAATCGTTAGGAAATATACGTAATTATTTCTTACAAACTAACATATATAAGATATATTGGTTGTTCTATCATTCTATTTTATCTATCGTTCTTTCGTTTTTCTCTCTTTCTCGCCTTTCTCCTTTATTCCCTATTTTCTGTTCTTTTTATACTTTTATTGAACGATTTTCCTTATATTTCCATTCTATTTCTCTTCTTCCCTCCACTTTATTCGTACATTTAGAAGAATAGATTAACATAAAGCTACGTAGTGATCTAGAAAGCTTTTTGAAAACGTTCTATAATTTTTTTTCAAAACGTTCTATTATTCTTTTTAAAAAGTTCTATAGTCCTATTCGGTTAGTTTTCCCCCTCTTTTTAAGTACTACAGATAGGGAAATATTGCTGAGATAATAAACTGCCAAAACTATCACCAGATTAATTCAATGGCCTACAAAAATCCGCCTTTTTTTACCATTTTACGCATACACAACAGACACTTTTTAAAATCGATCCGGACCGGAAGAAAGCAAACATGCGTAAAATTTTAACGATTTCTCTACTAATCATCCCACCCTTATTCGTCTTTTGTCAGTCGTACGAAATTCAGGAAACTTACGGAGCTGAAATCTTCCTGAAATGCGATGAGGAGGGCAGGAAATGGATTCTACCAGATAGAGATTGGGTTAACGTTACGAACGATTTCACCCGGAAGGGTGTCTACGTAAACCAGACTGGTTTATTAATCGCTCGTTTCTCAGATGAGAAACAAGGAAAGTACGAATGTATTATGAAAAGTAACACTGAAATTTGGAAAGTAACTTTGAAAACTATCGACCTCTGGCAACTTTACAAGTAAAAAAAATCAAAAATATTCTATTTTTCAGCCTATAGCCTTTTTTAAAAAACAAATAACCTCCACCCTCTCTCTCTCTCTCTGTCTTTCCTTTTCTGTCTATTTCACTTATCATAGCCTTTTTTTATGTATATTTCTACCTTCTGTTTCTCATTTTTCTTCCTCTCTCTTCTTCCTTGTCTATCTGGTTTTTTTTTTGGTCTAACTATCAACCTATTTTTTATATTTATTTTCTCTAATCTTTCCTTTTTCCTCTTTCCTCTTTCCTTCTATCTGTTTTTCTTATGTCTTCTTTCCTTTCTCCCTTTTCATCTATCTTTCTTTCAATTTGTTTTAAGTTTACCTTTTTATCAAAATACAGGTCAAACACGATAGTAGGCTTAATAAGTGCCGCAGCTGCTTTCTCCATTCTCGTCCTTGTAGGATTGACGTACTCCTACAGATGGCGCGTCGATCGTATAATAAATCCTCACGATAATCCGGCAGTCGTTGAATCGGGGGACGTTATAAGAGATACGAAGTTATAATAATAATACACAGAAATCTAATGCTAATTGGCCACTTAGAAAGAAATCAGCTAATTAATGTATTACATATGATATGCTGTTTAATCTCTTTATTCTTTCTTATTTTCCGTCTTTATTTTTTTAATAAATAATTTTCCATATTTTTTATAATTTCTTGTAAAATTAAACGTTTCGACGCCAAAACAGAGAGACAGAGAGAAACGAACAATGTACTGTTATACATATAAAATAAAATGAATAGAACAGTCAATAAGGGCGACGAAAAATGACGACGACGACGATGACGGTGGGCATCGATGACGACGACCAAGAGACGACTAGATTAATATTTCTTTTAATGACCTCATGCTTCATAATTAATAAGTTCCATTCAGGCCTACATTGAATGTGTACAATCGTCATTATTTTCTTTTCTTTTTCTGCATGTTTGAATGTTGGGGAATAATGCAGGAAAAAACGACAAGGATCGAAAAAAACAAAGGCATAAAGATAGAGAGAAGAAAAAATGGCAGAGAGGGAGGGTGGGAGAGAGAGAGAGGGAGAGAGAGAGAAAAAAAAAGAAGAAAGAAACGTTCGAAAATCGTTGAGTAAACATCGAGCGTTTAGAACGGACATTCTCGGGCGTCGATACAAACTGCAATGCAGTGTCTTGTAAGTTGCCGATTCCGTAAACTAATTAGGCCGCTACAAGTAGACGATTGTAATTTTTCACTTTGATCTTCCAACTTCTTCTTCAGATCTTCTAGCGTTTGCAGCAGTTGTCTTTTTCGAAATTCGGTGACGCATTTTTGAGCTAGTATCTTTTCCCTATCTATTCTTGTGTCATCGACGATTTCAATCGCTGAGTCTAAAGAATCGCCATCGGCTGATGATAATTTACAATCTTTATCCTCTTCCTCTTCCCCTTCCTGTTCACCTTCCTCTTCGTCATCATCGTCGCTATTACGGTTACGATTCTTTGCACTGATATCGTCGTCATCGTCAATATCGGTTTCTTCTACTTCGCAAGATAAATTATCATCGTTTTCAACAAGAACTTCACTTTCACTATCAGTCTTATCAGTCTCACTGTCGCAATCACTTAGCGTCATATCGCCCTCATCACTAGATTCGAACAAATGATCAGAGCTTTCGTAGGACAGAAACACCTCATCTCGAAATTTCTTTCTCAATTTTCTTATTTCTTCGCTTTCTAAGCTTTCTTCAAACGCGTCTTCGTACTCAAAGCTTACTTCCGGTTCGTAGGTCATGCAGTGAGGGTACTTTTCAATTTCTTGCCTAGAGAAGTAGCCAACTTCTTTATCGGCGTCATCGTCGGCTGGCAAGTTCTCGTACGGAAAGAATAGGTCGACGGCCGAATCGGGTGATATCTTATCGAAAGCCGAACAGCCCGATGTCTTTAACGTCTTCGGAGATTTTGGAGCGAAAATGCCGCAAGTAGGCCTACGAACAGGGTTTTTAACAATATTTTTAACAGGATTTTCATATTCTTCGGTGGGAGGTACTATCCACGGATTGGTTTTGATACGACTCCTTGGCCTTTCAGGTTTCCTAACAGAGCTATAGAACTCGGAAACAGGTCTAGGTGGAATTGAATCGTAGGGCGTTGAATAGAAAGGAGAAGCGGCTATCGTATTCCTTTTAGCACTCCTCCTTTGAAAGGTACCAACAGCAGAAATTTTAGGAGATGAATAAATCGGTGATTCATTCCGAAACAAAACGGACGAAGCTGCTTCAGAAGGGGGTAGATCTAGGTGAAAATTAGGACTAGGAGGAGTATGATAGAGAGATGTTTTAGTAATGTTCTTCTTCTTTCTTCTAAAGAATTTAGTTGTCACAAACTCCTTGAACTTCATTCTCCTCCAAAATGATAAAGTAGATTGGCGCCTCTCTTCCACTTAATCTATTTTAGAAAATAGAAAACGTTTTACTCTTTTATACTTACTCTTATTCGGTAAAAAAAAGACAAATCTGCAAAAAATTTTTGCAGATGCCAGCGAAAAAAAGATGTTTTAGTACTGTTTGATAAAAAAAAGGAAACAAAAGAGAAAGGCGAGATAGAGAGTGAGAGAGTGAGACAGGCAGAGATAGACAGACAGGGAGAAAGATAGATAGAACAGAAAAAAAAACGGTAGAAGGATAGAGCAAATACAAGCTACCGTGTCGTGACTAGTCGCTAGAGGCGGATTAAACGCCGGCGTTTTTTTTTTCTTTTTTATTTTATTTATTTTCATTTTCCTCTTTATTTACTATTCCGTTTAATACTCTCTTTTTTTTTTCAACCTTTTTTTTATAGTCGTTTAATCCGCTGGAAAGCTTAGGGATTTTCTCCTGTTCTCTGAATACTCGTTTTCTAGTCTTTATTAAGGAAATAAGCATAGTAGGAGGGACTGTGGGAGTTACCGAGAAGAAAGAGTATTCGAGTTGGGAAAAAGGGAAAATTTTTTTAAAGGGAAAGGCCTTTAACTTAAACACAAACACACCTGGTTTTAGAAAAAAAAAACTGGATGAATTCTCTTTGCAGTTGACGTAAAAGGGATATTGCAGTAGAGCTTGGGCTTTCGCGCCTCCGGCTTAACAAAGAAGACTCGCGTGCAAACTGTCGGGCGTCGCGCAAACAAAATCGAATCAAATAGCGCATTGTGTCGAACTTACTAGGCCTATGCGTAAATGCATATTTATATACGCTTATACATACACATAGATAAGTATATATAGACGCCTATATACATATATATTTCTAAAATGTGTGTATGTATGCGTAAGGGGTGGAGCATACATAGAGAGAAAGCGTCGTCGCTTCATTAGGGGTCTCTAGACAACGTTTAAACGCGGCCCCGATCTGGGACGTTTGGAATGACGTAACTAAGGGGGCAAGGCGTTTCTTGCTATTGTAGATGTACGAATTACAGAAGGGAGTTCTTTCATCGTTTGGTAAGTGGCCTATTACAAGTCATTCTCATTCGTAGGGGTAAAAAGGATCGGTAAGGACTTCCAGGCGGCTCTTTTCCTTCCTCTTCAATCTCTAAATAAACTCTCGTTTGAAGTCATCGTTGGCAGGAGAAGAAGAAAAAAAATCTGTCGTCGATTAAGTGAAAAACTCATTACTCCTAAGCCGAAAAGCTTCGGGCGTCTTCCTAATAAAGTTCATATATACCGCGTCGTCGTAAAGTATAGTCTGTGGAGCTGTTTAGAGAGAGAGAGAGAGAGAGAGGGAGAGAGAGAGGGGGGAGGGGGTTAAGAGTGAGATTGGCGGAAAAAAGAATGAAGAGAGTGGCAGATAGAGAGGCGTGCTTTATATATGCATACAATCGTAAGTATATATAAGGACCACCATCATTCTATTGTTCATTCGTCATTCGAAATTGACTTGGCGATTATTTCATTCGGGAGCTTCGGGCGTTTGTCATTGCAGTCGGACAAGACCAATCTATTATTTTTATTCGTAGAAAATGGATAAATACACTAAAAGAAAAGGGTGAAAATAGATAAATAAAGGGAGACATATCAAAGCAGAAAACCGTTTCTTTATCCCCGCATATCCTTTATCCTTCTCCCCCGCTTCTCACCCTCTACTTATTTTTTACCCTCTTTTTACTAAGAACTGATAATCCGTCAAAGTTGCCTGCCACTTAATCCAACTCGATCGGTATCGGACAAACAACGACTATCGATTGACAAACGGCGTGAAAAAAAAATTATTTAAGGGTGAAAGAGGAATAAACGTAAGTTTCTCCTTTGAATAGGATATAAAAACACTAATAACAATAGTAATAATAATAATAATTCCCATCAGGGGATAACGCTGAAATACGATCGAAATAGCTTTAGTAATCAAGGTAATAACATCGGACACCCGTTTGCGGTAGGCGCCTGCAATTAACATCGACATTCGCTAATGCAGTTTTTTTCGGCAGCTAGCGTAGAATGGAATAAAAAAAAGCCTTTTGTTTTATTGCCCTGGCTGGAGTCGGGAGAGGATAATATTAGTTTAACCGATTCCAAAATTCTTTCCTTAATCCTCATTAAAAACAAAGAGAAGAGCTCTCTGAAATTACATTTCAACCTTCGAGCCCCGTTTTCTTACTCCACCCCCTTTTAAGGAGATTGCATGGAGCCCTAGTAATAATCTCAATTTAATGAGTTAATCGATAATCGAGAGATTCATCAACTAAAGAGAAAGAGACTAAGTACCAGCGCACATCGAACGGACCGAAGCCGGAATGTAATTAGACTTGAAATTAAGTTGGATTCGGTAGGGGAGGAAGGCAGTCAGAGAATGAGAGAGAGAGAAAGGGGAGATTTGATAAAGTTTTTCACTCTGCATGTTACACTTATTTTGTCGTCGTCATCGCATAAAATCGGACTCACTTAAGCTCATTCGAAAATAGGGAACTTAATAGGAACGTGCGTGGAAAATGGGGGAAAAATCAATGATGACATTCCGAGCGTACGTATTCGGCGTCGAAATCTTGTAAATATTAACAACACTCCGCACGTCCGATTGATGAGTCATTTTCGACGCGAAAATCGAATACGTGTGCGGCGTCTCCCTTCCTTTTTTTCCTACTCTATACGTACTATATTGCATGCATGCATATATATTAAATACTATATAATGCATATTATCTGTTTGTCTATACTTTTTATATATACGAATCTAAAGAAAACATATATATGTATAGAGTATATACATCTACAATATATCTATGTCACTCTGTATAACTAAATAAAATATCCTGAAAGCATTTCTTATTGTCCTTATGAATAAACGTAACGAGCGTCTAATTTCAAACCGACCTTTTGTTCTTTCTCCTCACTACAACCTTCATTCCTTAACGAATCGTGAAGCACACCAAGATCGTTGTTAATTTGCTTAAGGTTAGGCCTATTAGAGACACTGAAGTCCTCTACAGCTTTCCTCCCTTATATTTAAACTCTAAAAGCATAGAAATCGTATGTTTCCATAAAGATAGCCCTATAAATCTCACTTTTTCTCGTATAGCTATCCCATAAAAGGGGTTAAAATGCAAATTAGTGGACAGAAAGAGAAAAAAAACAGGTACAGAAAATAAAATACATATTGCAGATTTTTTTTTAATACAGCAATAAGCGTCAGCTGTCGTAACCTGTTGGTATTCTATTTTACTTTTTAATATATTTATATAAACTATATTTTGCTGTGGATAAAAAGATATATAGATAGAGAGAGAAAGAGTATTATTGAACGAGTACACATGTAAAAACGATTTTAATCAAAGGGGGAAGAGGTAGGGGAATACAAAGATAGTATTGAATGAGAAATAAAAAAAATTGCTACTGCAATAGACTTTAATTAAAGAATAATTCTAAGAGAAAATGCAATTTTTACCTTTTTCAATAGTATCGAGAGAAACAATTGAAATGCAGAAAAACTGATTGAATTGTACCGTATGAATCTGCTATAGCCATTTTCATGCGGCGTTCCCGCCACGCCGACAGCAAAAATGCCAATGCGGTGTGCGCCTCTACTTTTATAGTCTGGTTACGCGTCGCCGTTCTTTCCTTATTAAAGTTTGCGTATGGCGCAAAGAAAACAGTTAAAATTAAACTTAGTCCTATATTTTCTACAGCTCCATAGTTTGCAAAGCTAATCTTGTCACATTCTAACAACGGCTAGTTTACACGACGTTACTATGGTTACTACGTCTTCATCTTTAATAGCAAACAAGGAAAAAAAACTGTACAGGCGTGCAAGATGCTTAAAACCCCCTAGCTAAAGCTACTTATATAATAAGGCTTTATAAGCTTTGAATATTGCGTATCTCTCTATCTATATACTGTATTATGCATATGTATTGGCAGAGAAAAGTATCAGGCCTATAACGGCTAGCGTCGGTGATAAACGAACTAGAATTTCCGGCTTCGGCATCTTATTAGACGTTGGGGAAGGTATTCTACACTGCAACAAAGAACGCCGCTCAGGTGTACACGCCTTTTCACCTATAACGGAGCTTATTAGAAGCCGTTATAAATGTATTATAATACATTTCCATCAACTTTTACAACGTATGGTAATCAGATTACCCAAACATTCTTTTTTTTTTACAATATTGTCGTTCATTTGTAATGTATTATGTATACTTATGTACATAAGCGCAAAAAAAAGAGAGGCTCGGAATGTTAAAGTCGTAATTATTTACAAGATTAACAAGGATAACAGTTTTTTTTTCTTTCTCTCATCGTTATGTTAATGTTTTCTTTTCTCTTTCTTTTTTTTTCAGATTAAGATAATCTTTAATCATAGAATTCTCTTTTTAACTATTGTAACTGTTTATTTTTTCTTTACATCAGCTTCCAGATTTCTTATTTGGTATGAAAGTTTCGTCGTCGTCGTCTTCGTCTAATTTTCTTTTTTTCGATTCCTCGTCTTCAGAAGAGGTTGTCACTTCCGATTCGTTCAATGAGGTATGCCATTTCGAGTCCTATAGTAAAATAAAAAGCGTGAAATTAGAACGTCTAATCGAATAAGAGCGCTTTCTAACCTGGACGTGAGAGGACATATGTTGTTGAAGTTTGTCTGCATTTGTGAAGCCCGCGTCACAATATTGGCAGACGTAGGGTCTAATCTCAAGATGAGTAAAACTCATATGTTCCTTATTAAAAAGAAAAAGACGAGGATAAATTGAAAAAAGATTGTTAAATGCAGGAGTTTGAGAGTAAATATACCTGTAATTTATGAATGCTCTCAAAATTTTTCATATGGCATAAACCGCACTTCAAACGATAGGATTCATTCTCTTGTGTCGTATTCTTTTTAGTCTTTTGTTGCTCGCTTTCCTCTACAATATTTTTCAAAGAGTTCAACGCTGTATCGCAATCCGATGCGTCTACTTCGCTTAAATCTCTCTTTTCTAATATACCCAAAGAGCCGGGGGGCAGCAGAGATAAAGCTTCCAATTTTTGAACATGGCCCTTAGATCTTAAATGTTTCGTTAAATGTCCGTGAACTCTAAATCCGATATTACAGTGATGGCATTGATAAGGTCGGGGATTCTCAGCAGAAACAGCTCCGAATTGTTGCAGAATAACAACTTGTTTTGCATGCGTTTCGCTACGGTGATGCTTCTGCAATTGACCTTCGTTTCGGAAAGAAACGTTGCACTCTTTACACTTCCACGGTCTTTCAACTGCGTGTACATTTTTGTGCATATTAAATTGCTGCAGCTTTGAAAACGTAGTTCCGCAAGTCTTGCATAAATATTTTCCATTAACAAGACTCTCCGAATCATCCACCATTATTGGTCTAGCTTGTAATTCCTTATCATTTTTCAGATTAATCCTTTGTATTTTGATGCCACTCTCTTCTTCTTCCAAGTCTTCAGGTCTATTTCTTGGTAAGGGTTCAACAATAACCGCTTCGTGGTTGGCCTTGGGCGGAATAAAACCTGCAGTTGAACCGGAAAGATGACGAGATATATCTTCCGCTGCATGTTCGACGGAAGGTGTTTTCATTGTTATCGTCGATAGTTTAGTGGGCATATCTTGAAGATTTATGAATAGTTTATCTGGCTTTCTAGACTTTTTCCTCCCAATCACTTGACCTTGAACACTTTCTGCTTCGTCTTCTTCATCTTGCTTGCCGGAACTCAAATCAAGTAAACTATGTGCTGCAATTTCTTTGTCTAAAGACGCTCTTGGAGCTTTTATTGATGTATCTGGAAAGAAAAAGTACTGAAATTTCACCATTACCTGTATATTTACAACCCATTACCAACCATGTGTTTTTACAATCGCAATTGGTTCAGCTTGTTCCTTGGTTATATATTGAGGGTTTTGTTCCTCTTGTATTATATTAACTAATTTACCAGATGCCTCAGCATCTTCTGACCAATCGTTACTTGTCATTACAATTTCTTCTCTAAAAATAGAAAATGAAGGCGTAATAAAAAAAAATGAAAGGAAAGGGTAAAGTGTATAGAAGCTACTGTAAATTTATATATATATATATATATATATACTGTATAATATATATATAGCATATATATAGAATATATGCATTTATTATTTAGTTTCTCTGGTATATACTATATATATATATAATAATAATATATTGTATATTATATATTTTCTTATTTTCTCTGACTCACCCTTCAACGACATGCTCGTCTCCCACTATTGTCACTTCATGATCTACAGTTTGTACATTAGCATCTTCTTCTTCGTCATCGTCTGGCAAATGCTCCAGGCTAGCAACTTGTTCTTCCAGTGCCATTTGTCTTCTTAGTAGGTCCTGATCGATATTTCCATCGTCAACCGCTGAAGGTACTGGAACAATACCGCTCTCTATACATTTTTTCTGGTGGGCTTTACTCTTCATGTGCTTTGTCAAATTGCCTTTAGTTTTAAAACTAAAAGAGCACTGTAAGCATCTATATGGCCTGAGCTCGGTATGAGATCTCAAGTGCTTCTTAAGCATTGAAGGCTTTTTACAACGAATTCCACAACTAGAACAAACGTACTTCCCTCGACCTCTCCCCCTAACGTAGGTATAAGTTTCATCCGTTTTAAATCCTCCAATTACCTTGGTAACTTGTGGTCTTCTCCCTGTGGCGTCAGTGGTGGCAGACCGTTTAGTTAATTCTAGTTTAGGAGCCTTAACCGCCAAAAAATAATGCCTTTGCAATTCTTCGTCGACACTCAATTGACGGGTCAAATGAACCCGATCGACCCGAGTAGCAGAGTCGGGGACTTGTAGTAACTCAACATTACTCGATTGCATAACAACGTTACTTTGACTCACTAAAGTTTCTTTATCTGAACTGTCAATCAAGATAATAGGGGGGACAGAAGAAGTAGGAGGAGGCGGCACATCTCGTTCTTTCATGCTCTTTTTAACTAAATTTTCTAATTTCAGCGAAGCTTCCAGCTGAGGACTCTCCTTCTCTTCATCCTTCCCGTCGCTCTTGTCCATCTTATTTGTCCAATAAGAAGAATGAGTCATGACTGCCTCACCCGTTTTCGTTCTCTTAGAAACCACAACTTTCGGATCATAGTTCTCTCTGTATAGTCTATGCAATTTTAATAGTAGTCTTGATGTTAGACCATCAGGATTTGGGTTGTGTGATGTTGTTTTCCAGTTAGAGTACATTGAAATATGTCTTTGCCCAGTTTCAACATATGTAGGCTGTAATCGAGACAGAGAGCAGAACGTAACATGAGTACCAGTTCTCATTTGTGGGTAATTATGACCATGTAAATATAAAGCGAGTGTCACCTTTTCCCAAGGGAGCTTAGTGGGTGACGACAGTGGGGTTGATACTCGTTTATCAGCAGAAATTTGTGTATTTGTGGGTGATTTGTCTGGTTCTTCTAAGCAGTTTTGGCGAGTTAACTTCTTCCTTTTCGGTGGCGGTGAAGATGGATCAACGGGGGAATCTTCCTCCAATGACAAATTGATGTTAACTGATGGCATATACTTTTTCAAAAGTTCTTTTCCAACAGTCAGAACCTGCTGCTCGTATAAAGGTAAAGAAGTTATAGTGGCAGCGTGAGACAACAGTTTCGGTTCCGATATTTGAACAGAAGGCAGTCGCAAATCTAAAGCGGTTGATTCTATTACAATCGGCGATTTATCGGGAAAAGTTTCAGTCTCTACTACCGGAATTAGGTTTTGATTAGGCGTTAAGCCCATTTGAATCATACTGGTTGGTGTAACACTAATGGCAGATGAATTATCGGTTTCACGTTTTTGGTGGACGACAGCCGAAGAATTCGGAAGTATTGTAACATCACCATCTAATGCTAATTTTGAGATTCCATGAGACGAACGTTTTTTAGGAAGAGTGTCTTCCACTTGATTCCCTTCGACAATAGCTGTTTTGCTATCATTTACTGAAGCCATTTTAATAGGTCTCTTTTTGAGTGGATGATATTGAGATGGATCCTGAGGAGAATATTTCTGCAGAGGTGGTGCGCTCTGCGGAGATTGCCTCCCGGTCTCAGTCGTTTCCGTAGGCTTTTCCTGGCTTATAGAGCGTTGCATTAATTTCAATTTCAATTTCATTTTCGTACTAGTATCAGGAGTTCTAGGCGTTGTGGGCGTTACTAGCACAACAGGACTATCAACTAAACCTTGTCCGCCTAAATTTATGTTTGGTGCTGGAATATCTAAGCGTAACTTTGGTCGACCGACATCATCTGATGTAGATACCCTATTTTTTAGGCCTTTTGGTCTGCCCTTTTTCAATTTTTCAGTGGGATCAACGTGTTCAATATACAAATCTCTTCCGTAGGTATTTATTTTTGGTGCTATTGGCTGGGTTGACTTAGCACAGTTCGCCTTATGGGCAATAAGATCTTGTTCTGTTGAAAACTTTGCAGAACAAGTGCAAATATACTTTTGCGCTAAGCTTTCTGTTGGAACACTAGATGCGTCACATTGTTCCTTAGGCACTTGTATTTGAATAGTAAACTGTTGTGGCAGACGATTTGAGCCTTCGCCTTTGTTTGTTAAGTTTGCCAAACTCAGAATACCTTGTTCCATGGCATTTTGATCCAGGATATAAGAGCCGGGTTGCTGGGATTTATCAGCGATGCTATTTTGTCTCGACGGCTTTTTAGGCCGAGGCGCTTCAGCCATAGGAGCTTGTAAAATGTTTGTGTTTTGTTCTATTAACTTTTCAATTCTTTCTTGTATATCCTTGGAATTTGATATTGACTGAGATTTATGAAGATGTGTTACTGGTGTTCGAGGTGGAGTTCTTGTATCGGATGTACCCTCTGTACTCTTCCATTTAGGAAGGTAAGAAGAAGAACTTGCGGAAAGGTCAACAGCTGTAGATCCCACTGTACTTTGGCTTGATGTAACAACGTGCCTAGAGACCAATTGAACCAAATCATCAGAGTTAATAATATATAAGGTATTTCCGTCATTACTACGGACTTGAACTTGTGATCCTTTATGTTGATCAGCAGAAATTCGCAATATGTCTACTGCCTCTGATTGCTTGTCTTTGCTTTCATCCTTGTCTTCTTCATCAAAAGAAGGTTCAGCAATTCCATTATCTTCTTGGTCATCGTCCAAGGAATGCTGATTAACTAAATCTAGACTAGAGCCTTCTCTACCACTTATTTCAGATACCTTTGATCGATGTTGACGAGATTTTTGATGTTTGTATAAGTTACTCTTGGTCTTGAAGGAAAAACTGCACATTGTACAAGGGTAAGGTCGTTCATTTGTATGGGCTCTAATATGCTTTTCTAAAACGCTTGGCTTAGCGCATAATCGGCCACAGTATGAGCATTGATATTTTCCAGGCTTTTGTGGATGCTTCCGCTTCCTACCCACATTTGGAGGTGTAGGACTGTAAGGAAACATTTGTTGTCCTTCATTATCGTTTCGAATTTGAACTTCAGTAGCTTCGGATTGAACTTGATTAAATTGCTGTGCTATAATAACGGGTGTTGGTGTTGTTGTTCCATCCGGATTTGACATTAGTAACGTTGCGAAAACATTAGAATTTTGCGCGCTTGATTGTTGAACCTATTTGCAGTGCAAAAGAAATAAAAAGAAAGGTGTAAAGAACTAAGTTGTGTGGGCGGATATATCTGTTGATATGAATAAAAAATAATAACCTGCCCAACATTACTCGGTGACGATGATTGAATCTGGTGTAAAACATTGCCTTCTTTCACTAAATAGATTGTTCTAGCGTCGGACGTATTTTTATTTGACATATGCTGAAGTTCCTCATGAGTAACCTGATAAAAAAAGATAAGAAAGTGTGAGAGAGAAAGAAAGAGATTAAACTAACTTCCTAATTTGATATTAGTACAAAAAATTGTTATATATTTAAGTAAACAATACCTGAAAAAGCGCCTCCAAAGATCGTGACTTTTTCTCATCCCTGGATGATGGAGACTCCGACCGACTAGTATTGCCATCTGACGGAAGTACCGATATTGATAAAGGTTGCTTTTCATGAACTTGACTCTCTACTGTAAATATTCAACACACGTTTGTGTAGCATGGTTAGAAAAAAAGAGTAAAGATTTGCTAGGTACGGAAATACGTTAAACGAATATTAAATGCAAACAAACAATGTTGTTCGCATTACAGGAATTGCGAAGTCAGCAATAATTATCAATACAGAATCGACTAGCAAAATCTTTTATTTTGCAGTGTATCATGAGATCGCAGAAGCTGTATACACCTATAAAGTGAAATAAATACTGCAGCTATATATATATATATATATTAACACATTCCAACTATTATTGTCATGCTAAGTAATGTCACGTGAAAAACATGTATGAATTCGATGATGGATTAAAAATGAAAAATAAAATATTAATAGTAAAAACAGATTATTGATAAAAACCTACGTTGATTAATTACACAATGATCGGTGTTACATAAAAACAAAATACAGGGCATCCCCTTCGTCTCCGAATTTCCCTATTCGGAGATTCCCCTATTCGAAATTAAGTCAAAAAGTTAACATACGTCTAATTTGATCACATGAGTTTACGGCTACAGATTTTCATGCAGTAGACAAAATAATATAGGAGTTTTAATTAGAAAAATAAACTAGGTCATACCGATTTTGGCAGCTTCCATGCTAGTCGTTTTTCAGATGGCGCTATTTACTAATGGTAAATCCCTTAAAAAATGCTCTTTTTCACAAAGTTTGTTAATCCTGTTTCGTAGAGGAAGGGAAAATATGTAAAAGTATGATGTGATCAAATTATTGATAAATTAAGACGAAAGTTTCTGCGAATTCCCGGTGGTTCCCTCAATAGTTGAGAAGATTCGCCGCCATCTTAATGACGTCATTGGTAATCCAGAAACAGCAATATATAAAAAGTGTAAGCAAAAGAGTGCCATCTACTGGTTGATTTTTAATGTTGCGAACTTTATTAATTACTGACTAGTATCTATGTCCTTCTATTCAACGAATCTGTTCAATAATTTAATGAATATTCCCTATTATCTCGAAAACTCCTTGAAGGATAGTTTTATTGAAAATTTTTAATATTTAGACTATTGTTACAAATATATATATATATATATCTAAGTTTATACATATACAGACATATATATATATCTTGAAGCAATGCGATCAACATTTATCAGTGGGCGAAAAGTAAGTTAAAAATAGCGAAACGGCTATTTTTTTTTATGTGTGTGCATTTTATCACAAACTTATTATAGCCTATCTTCAGATAAAATAAGACAACACCTTGTTTTGTTTCATTTAAATTTCCTTTAAACAATAACTCTGATTGACATCTTTAGAGCTATTTTATGATTCCGGAAATGAGAATTTAGATAATGACTACTGCTTCTTCATTTTTTATATTACCATGAGATTAAGCTTTAAAAAAACTAATAACGTTCTGCTTTTTAACATTATATATATTTTAAATAAAAGCTCTTTAGTTGAATATAGTTTTGGTTAATTGCCTGCAAAACCTTTATACATGTTTATGCTAAACATAAATGTTTATGTGTGATTATTCAGTGGAAACTCCCAAACATAAAGTACATATAAAAAAATTATCATCTTCACTTCCTTATCACATAACTTATTTATAATCAATGATTAATTTAGCACAAACATGATATCACATTAGTTCTTATGTTAATTTAATTATTTATTAACATAACGATTTAATAAAAAGCATTTTTTTTTCCTCAAGCTCTGAACTTTTTGATAAAATTTATAATAATATAGTACAGAGAGTTTGTGACGTCACTACTTCACATATTTTAACAAAAGTACTTTGTTTATTTACAACGTATTCTCGAATAATATTTTCTAAATTATACGAAAAGAACTATACTTTCTATTTGAACTGTTTTTTTTCATAATTTTAAACAAAATGCACGTTTTTGTCGGTTTTTTTTCAAATCAAAAGTTTCATATTGACAAATTAAAAAATATTTTCAAATTTTAGTTGCTAATGTAAGAGAGTAAAAAAAATCCTATAAAATAAATGTCGTTTTCAAATCTCACAAGTGAGTTCGGGATTCTCACTGTGGCTTGTGACGTCACATCAGGTATTTTCTCAGCTAACCTTAGCATTTGCCAGTTCTTTTTATATCCTAAAAGGGAGCGAGTAATATCAATTTTAATTTGAAAATATGTCTTATACCGGCGGCTACCAAGGCGGAGATATTTCGAAGCCAACTTCGAGGTTTTTATCGTACAATTTTAGATTATTTGAATCGTTAAATCAAAAGCAAAATGAGGTTTTTTCTTAAACCAAAATGCCGGCCAAAGGAATGTACACCTATTTGAATATTCTTTTGTAAATAATTGATATATATTTATTTGAGCTGAAACGTTAGTCTATACTTATAAAAATATATTTCAAATATTTTACACAACTGATTTAACGTTTTAAAAAAAAAAAATTTGAATATATTATATTTTTTTTTATTTCTATACCAGAGTTTTGCAACCTCCTGGTGGTGCTACAAGTAATATTTTCGGTGGAGATGAGTCTAGTGTTAGAAAGCCGATAAAGCCAGTGAACAATTCGCATAGCAACATCTTTGGGACAGAGGAAAATTCGGAACCAGCTTCGAGAGCTAGATCTTTAGGTGAGTTGAGTAGTATGGGAACGCGCGACTGCGATAACAATTGGCTTTCTACTAGGCTTTTGACCAAAAAAGCATACAAATACTGATTGTGTCTAGTAAAAGTGCACGTTTATGTTCCTTAAAAAATATTTTATCGTATTTTTTTTTGACATGTAATCACGCGGAGTAAGTATGGCATGATTTGCAAATGATCTTTTTTTTGTGCTTTTTTGCTATCCCCTTGCCACACCATAGACGATAACGAAAATTTGGCAACTAACAACCAACTACAAGATGGTAATGAGATGAATATTAAGGCACCGGAGAAAACTTCTCCATGGAAGGAGGATAATCGCACTCCTTTCGAAGCTGCTGTTGATAATCGTCGAAGAATGAGAGGTGAATTTAGCGGAATTACTTATATATTGCTTGAGGCTTTCTTCAAATAATAATCCTGGGCTGCTTTAATTTTTACATATTGATGTTGTAATGGAAAAAGGCATTATTTGTATATTCAATTTTCAGAATCATCAAATCCTATTTTGGGCGGTTCCGAACAGGCTAACGAGGGGAAATTTGGGAAGCAGCAAAGAGGTGTGGATGGATAGGATTTTATATTTTGTCGTTTATAACGCTTTTATAGAATTCTAACAAATTTGTAAATTAACATGATTTCAATATTACGTGACTTTTACAGGAGGTTACAATCCAATAACTGGTGAAACTTATAATGATGGTGAAAAAGAAGAGGTAGATAGATATTTTATTGTCAAATAAAACAACTAAATTACTATATTGTTTATTTTTTTAGCCTGTACAAAGACGTCGTCAACCTCCAGGAGGACATTCGACCGGCTTGTGGTAGAATCTTACCTATTAAATGCATACTTGTAACGTCTTAGAATACTTTTTCATTAGTAAATAATTTTTCTAATTGAAAACGAAGACATTTTGGAGTTCTGTATTATATAAAGATAACTGTTTTTGCTTTTTACCGTCTTAGCTTTAATAAAATAAGAAAAGAGCTGAAACAATTAATATTCTTCGAATGTAGTAGGTATAGGTAGGCGCTGGCTAGATCTAAGACGGAACACATCAGGGAACAGCTTCCTCAGTAATATTTCAATCATAGTCTGAAAGAATATGAGATTTTGTTAATTAAAAATTTTAAAAAAGCACCATATTTTAATAATAGGCTTGGTCTCCCCTCTAGGTTAGATTATTAGACACATGTCACAGGTGTTTTAGCATACGCGTATTTGTAAGAGATTTGAAAGTTATTCATCAATAACACAAAAACACATTGAATATGTGGTATAATTGATTTAAAGTTCTTTTTTTTTTAAACACAGGCTTTATAAGCGCTTATATATCGAAAACAAAAAAAAAATAGCACAGTAATCAAGTCCTATAATCCAACAATTTGACCATTAAAAAGAAAAAAAAAATAAACTTACGTAGAATAAGTGCTTGTTTAGTTTCACATCCTGCAATAATTCAAAAATTTTTACCAATCCTTTCTGAGCATTATCAGGTCCAATAAGGTTTTTAGCCACATCTTTATTAATAATGTATTTAAGTAATTAAAAAAGAAAAAGGAATAATCTTTTAATCTTATTGAATTATTATTATCTTGGTTACCTGGAATATTTTTTAAAAGCATATATTTCAATTTATTCCTTATGGCTAATTTTTCCTCATTACTGCACGGAGCAGACGCAGTTATTAATTCTCCATCTGGCCAGAGAGCTTCTTTGAACGTTAATAGATAATATAGTACCATATCTTCGCTGTACAGCCATTTAATTGTTTCTCTTAATTGCCTTTTAGTATTAAATAATTTGTAAAGAAATTAAAGATTATTGAGACTCAATTAAAGTATCCATACTTGTTTATTGATCTTCCAAAGGTTATTTGAACAAACGATATAAGGGTTCTTCTAAGCCATTTAGAAACGCCAGATAACTCAAACACTTCGGCTATGAGACTGTACATAGGTTGCGCAATCCAATCTTTTCCGTAATCTTCTTTATCACTAATTAAAAATAGATTGATAAAAAACAATAAAAAATAAAACTAATCATAAAAAAAAACAACCTATTGTGACTATCTGGATTATCGCAGAATAATTCATCATTAATATCGTCTTCGTCTTCGTCGTATTCAGTTCGATTAATTTGAAAACTGTTGAATAATTTAGCCAAGGAGAATTTATTTTCCGTTTCTCTAATGTTTGAATCCCCCCTTAAAAGTTCCGGCGTCTGAGAGAAAAAGGCTAATGATATTTCGCTCAATGCCAAATGTTTATCTCCAACAACATTCTATATTTAAGTAAATAAGAATGGAGAAAACTTGTAGTTAACGATATAAATATTCAAATAAAATTTATAAAAATAACACAACTCTTTTCTTACTTGCAAAATTTCATTTAGCTCATTCTTTTTTGATTCTAAAGCTTTGTCATCAATTTTATTCAGGCGAAATTTACTTTTTGCCATTTGAAAGGCGGATTGTTTAGTCTCTTTACAAATTTTATGATTAGGATATAACTGTAAAAATATATTACATCTGCTTTTCTACTTTTTGTAATGTCTTTTGTATTTTAATATTATATTTACCAATTTTATTTGATCGTAGAAAGCTTTAAAATCTTCAAGTGTCCTACCTATAACCCATCCTCTAGAATCTTTACCTTCCATGACATTAATTGATATATAAGCCCATATTAATTGTTTATTATCCTCAACGATAACCTTATAATAGACATTGTGTTACATAATATATGTATATATGTATAGTAACAGTAATAATACCTCGACATTGTAAACTTGAGCTTTAAAATTTTCAAAGTTATCTATCCATAAATCAATTCTTTCTAAATGAAGTTCTAATCTCTTTTCTTCTTCTTTTAATTCTTTAGTCTCAGTATGTAAATTATCAATTATCTTCTTCATCTAAAAATAGACAACGTAGTACAAAAGAAATTAATGAAATGTCTATGTATTTTTAAATATAGGCGATTTTAGTACCCTTGTCTCATTAGTATGCTGAATTGAGGAAAGTGCCTTCAATGCCTCAGTTTTGTTCGATATCTTTTCCTTAATCTCTTGCAATCTTCTCTGAGCATTTGACGTATGTTCAGCTATTCTTATACTATCTATTAGTTCTTCGGAATTCGCTATAATTACGACCATGGTATCAAGCTATTATATAGTTTAATGTTTGTTTTCTTATTACTTACAAACTCTTATTGACCGTTCTAAAACGCTCTCGTTTTTATCATCAACGTATTGATGATAATCATCGCTTACTATAAATGATAAATAGTGTTTTCTATTCAAGTATATAAAGATTTCGTTCTGAGCTTTGAAAAAAGCATCTGCAGTCTTTTCATAATGATAAAAATAGAATTAAGAAGAATTTTGTTTTAGATTAATTTCTGAGCCTTACGTGATCGCCCGTTAGAAACGCTTGCATTTGTTTTAGACAAGATCTATCTAAAAGCATTCTAATTGGGGAATTTGATGACGATACGAACTGAGTATAAATTTCCGTGCCCATTACATGCCAATTCTTTTTAGAGGATAAACTCATATTTTGTATAGCTGCCCAGAAAGAGACGAGAACAGGAGCGTTATGATTAGCAGCCTCATTCTCTAAATAATTTATAAAACATTGACGAGCCGAATTTGTTTTCATTATCTTATCGAAGGGCAAAACCGTCTGTTAATTATTAGTTTAAACATTAACTTAAGAGAAAGCTTTTAGAGTAAAAGTTCTTATTTTTCAACTCCCTTACCACTTCATTTTTGGCAGCATTCTTTTCCCTACGAACGTAATCCTTACCTCCAAGCGAGAAAATCTTCTTTTCACATTGTGACTTAGCAACACCTAACTAAAAGCAGAACATATCACATAGATGTATCATTTTCCTCTCTCCCACTCTATGTTGTTGTTATTTTAAAAAAACAAACCTGATTCAGGTATCTAGGTAAATTCCTTGATCTTAATAAATCACCTTTACTTTTCGTACGAGGTAGGGCATCGTCATGTGTATCGACACCTTGATGTTTTTGAATGTTTATTATGGCAGTTACATCCATTATTTCTGTCATTATCTTATAACGAAGATATTTTAATTGTTCTAGATCTTCGCACTTCTCAATAATTGTATAAAATTCCTCATATGTTGCGGCGTATGAAAAATAGCGTGTATGTTTAAAATGAATATTTTTTCTATGCTTCAACCAAGATAATAAGAATGAATTAATAACGTGAGGATCGCACAGATAATCAACAGATGATTTTAGCACTGTTCAAAAATTTAATATGCTTTATATACTATTATTCTAGCAAGTATATTTTGTATTTCTCTTACCATTAACCGTTACTATTTCTCTTAATAAATAACGAAGTGGTTTCAAGTCATAATGCTCTTCAGGAAGTAGCTGATAAAGTAATACGTGAGCTATATTCCTAAGCAACGTTGTTTCTGTCTCATCATTTTCCAGCCATGAGTGTAGTTCGAATTTCTCTCCATTATATTCTTTAGATCTTTATTAACGATAAATATTTTTTATTATTTCTTTTTATAATACCTGATGAACTTTTATTAATAAAGGGATTAGTATATACTTTTTGTTTGCAACACGAGAATCCGCAAAATGTACTAATAGGGTATTAACGAAATCTTGGGTGAGGAAAGTTACAACGTCTAATTTCTCCAATTTCCTATAAAATCTTTCAAATACCAACCAAAGATTGTATTGTACAATACTTGAAAATTTTGCACTATCCTTAGCCAAATCCGAATACCAATTTAGAATGAAATCTTGGCATATTAAATCGAATAAATCATTTAATATATCGTCTATTTTACGTGAGACAATGACTTGTTTCTTTTGTAAATCTCCTGAACTAACAATGTTTTTCTGAAAAGAAAAATATTTATAGATATTCTGTTTTTTTTAAAAAAAATCTCAATCTCTTTATTATTAATATATTCGTAATGTTTTCACCATTATAGATTGCACAATTGACAATATTTCTTCGTTATTTTCTACTGCTTTCGGTCTGTATCTTTTACATTTCCCATTTACTACCCAGAGTGCAAGAATCACACCCAATGAGAATATTGTCATAAATGTAACAATATGAAGAAGATTTGTTACTATCCATATTATATAATTATGAAATAATGCACATAATAGGCAAATAATAGAAAGGATTATGAATCGTGGCGTAATCATAGTTATTAGGGAAGAAATTCACTTTTTAAATTGTTTCTTGCGATATGTCACCTGACCATCGGTCGGAGGTGCCCTGAGCGATAATTCCACAACAAATCAATCTCGTTTCATATACAATTCTTAATCATCTTGATGCTATTGTTTCTTATTTTAATCTCTATTACTTTAATTCAAGAATTATCAACGTTTCAAATGCAACAAGTTTCTCATTCTATCTGATTATTAATCCACCAATATTCTTCATACACAATTTAGAATGTATCCTAATTCCTCCATATGTTCATAGTCCGCAAATTGCGCAATATTGGAAAACAATTATACATTAAAAACAGCATTTATTAATTAAAATACTTTATCTAATCAATAAGTTATTAATTAATTTTATGATTTGCAATAAATAAATTAAGTACAACAGAAGGATAACCGTTTCAAGAGCGAAATAAATCTTGTAGATGGTGGACTCCTTTAACAATTGTAAAAATTAAGATTTTAATCTTTAAATATGATCACATAAATGTAATTTCTCATAAAAATTGGTAAAAGTATAATTTCTTTTGTAGATATTCTATTTCTCCTATCCTAAATAGCTAAGGAATCGTCCAATTCCAAAGTTTCTAATAAAACACCCATTGGTGTTCTCTTCTGTCCAACAAACTCCTTGACATTATTTACTTTATTCTTTATATTTCTCAATCTCAACGATGCATGAATAATTACAACTGAAACAAAGAATGAATCATTCAATAATCTTCCTCCGTTTTACTATTCTTTGTTGTGTACTTACGTAATAACGGTAGGGCAATGCCAAATAGAAAGGTCAAAATGGATCCCAAGAGAAAGATCAGTAAAACTCCTAATCCTAAGAGAAGTAAACCATTAAACTTGGATTTTCGAAAATTTCGAGAAGAATGATTCTGTTTTACATATTTAACAATTGCGAATGCTACACAAAATGATCCGATTCCAATTAGCATATTTGCTGGATGTAACAATCTAGAAGAAGAGAATACTATAAATATCTCTTTAAAGCGTTTAAATAATATTATTCATACCCAACAAGTAAAAATACGGCTATAATTGATAGAAGATAATTACTTTGGTAATATAACAAGTTATTGATGACGCGATTGGCCCATTTATTAGGATTTGATAAGTTAGGCATTTCAAACCTCGCCTTTTCTAAAACAAAGTCATTCATAGATCTTAAAGGAGCAAATTCGATAACGTTTTTTCTCATCTCCATTTTGGAAGAGCAATTGCCTACCGGAAATATTTAGCAGAAAATGCTATTTTGTTTCTCTTTTAAAAAATACGCTTTAAAGCGCTTCTTAGCATTCGCGAAATCAATAGCTAAGAAGAAAGCGCTTTACACTTCTATGTCATTTCCTAAGACTCTTTCATACAGTATAAAACCACCTACGCCTTATGAAAAGTTACATTACGGTGATGTAATCAAGTAAAATCATTATTCAACAGGGTTTCAACTGAGTTACGACGATTTTATATGCTAATCTTACAATTACGCCATATTGCGGTGACCGAGTTCTTTATCAATAGCAGCATCGAGTTATTTGCTGGCGTCATCGAGACAAAAATAGTAACGTTACTTTATTAACCAAAAAAACCTCTTTAATCCTTTTTCCCCATCTACTTAGTCGTTAAGTAGAGCAAAAATATAAAATTGTTTTTTGCATGTTCATCTCTTGTATTCAAAGATGGAAATCATAAAGAATGAAAATAAGGAGTCAGTATTATATTTCAGTAAAAATAGGTCAAAGCATAAACAAATCAATATCTTCAAATTGCTTGCCTCCCTTAATAAACTAAAGTCAAAATAATACCACGCCTAGTTATATTTACATGCCGAAAAGAAAATAATATTAAAAAACGAAGAACCTGTTGGGCTTTTCACTTACACGAGAATGGAATATTTTAATTTTAACACTTCGGAACCGTCGATTCCCCGAGTAATATTCTATTATGTTTTTTTTTTCACTACTGATCTTCCCACTCTGTTGTAACTTGGTTGAGTAGTAGCCTTTTAAAAGTTCTTTTTATTATTACATGTCTGTTATTTATATATTTTTAAATATCTTATTTGTAAACGAAAAATTTACAATTATAAAGAAAACATTGATGGTAACGAAAAAAACATATTGATCATATAAACACAAATACCATATGTTCTGTAATTTCTAAGCCACGTGCCTTTCCAGTTTATCGATGGCTTTTTTTCATTCTGTAAAATCAAGCTTATCGATTGAAATAATTTATCGATAAATTAGGATTGGCCACTATAAGGCCTACCTTACTCGCTTTTCATCTCCCTTTTCGGAACAGGATGATTTCGAAAAGCGTACTTATTGTTCTTTCCAAGCTGAAAAACGGCAAAACTGTATAGTGAATGTGTTCGATTAAAGACAGAATATAAACAATATTCACAAAAACTTGTTTGTTTACAAAAAATTATTTACAATTAACCAGAAAATACTAACATTTTTTATCTTAAATCTTTTTTCAAGTTAATTACTTTCAACTTATGTCAGCATTCTGTTTTTGATGTAACATCCTGACGTCTTCCAATTCATTTAGAGTTTCATCACAACTCTTTTGTACTCGCTCCTCTAACGAAAGAATATAAGCTATTAAAGAATGTTTGTCCAAATTCGATAAAGCGGTATGCCTGGCATTCGCATACTCTTCGTCAAAGTCTTTTTTGAAGAAATCAATATAGCTAACTTCAGAGAAAGTTTCCAAATCGAACGAAACGTTCGATAAAGGCGAGGCTCCGCGGGAGTCGGGTTCTTCAGCGCGGTCTTCCATAATAAATTGAGTAGAATTGCAGGGTGCTTTTGACGGCATGGAACGAACTAGAATATTACCATTTTCTTTACAAAATAACTTTTTTGAAGGCCTTCTAGAAGGGTTACCTTTAGTTCGCTGTCTACGCTTCCTTAACCTTTTCAAGTCAGTCGACATTATTCTCTTTTCGTTTTTCGTACTGGTTAACGACTGTTGGTTGAATGTGATCGGTTGGTGTGAACTTCTCTCCGTCGAACGGCGTTGTGACGCCAGTGCAACGTTTTCATGAATCATCTTAGGAGTGTTGGTAACCAATTGAAGCTGAGAAAAATAACCACGTGACAGTTTAGAGCGCCATCTATGAAAATATGGTTCGTGCTCCTCTTATACATTCCAAGTTAATATTTATGCATGGTTCATGGAATCTTAAAACGTTATCATTTAGAGACTAGTTCTAAAATTAAACTTTTCATAGGCCAATGGCATAGTTTTCAACACTGATATCAATGTTTTTCCATCGTATGCTATTTAATCATCATTTAATATTAAAAAGAATTTGTTCAATTTGTTCTATTTGTTCTATTTAGAATCTAATGACAAAAACTTTATTCCGTGATCACACTCAAGCAAGCTTATTTAACAGAAACGACGAATATACGACACAACCTGTGAAATTAAATAAAAAATTAACAATTACATCAAAATTGCCCAACATACATTTCTATTTAGTGATTTAGAAAAAAAATAACACTAATTATTAACTTTTTGCATAGTCATCCACTTGTTAAGCAAATAATGAACTAAACCAACAATTTCTTTTCCGCCATAAAGATTAATTACATGTAGAAAAAACCTGAACACTCTTAACTGTAATAAGGTAACTTGTTTTTTTTTTAAAACAAATTCCGACAAGGGCATAAAGAAGAAACCCAGCAAAATAATAACTAATAATAATAATAATATTAATAAGGATACTACTTCGAACTTATGAGGTATTTACTTCAATTCAAGATCATTATCAAAGAAAAATGATTTAAATCAAATAATTTGTCTTTTTTTTGCTTGTTTTATTAGCAAAAAAAAGAGGGAAAGAAATAATTTCTTTCATTTCAACTGCTTATTTGGCAATCTTTCTCAACAATATGAGTTTCCCAAAGGTCATTATCATAGGATATTTTAACATCTGTTGAATCATCAACTTTTCCGCACCAAATTTCTTTAGCGCTTAAGTTTTCACTTTGATCTTTAATATACTCGTTAGCAATCTTTCTTAACTCTTCAATCTTATCCTCACCAGAATCAGAATTATCGATTGTGTCATCTTCAATGTCACTTTCGTCATCATCTTCGTCATCTTCTTCGTCGTCTACTTCGTCAAAGACAATCTTCTCTCCTGTCAAATTTTCAAGTTCTTTTAAATCACAAAAAAAGCTCTTCTCTTCTTCTCCGAAACAGATATTCTGGACAAAGATATCCTTTCCCTTAGATTTACTATCGTGGGTAAATTTTTCCATAGGGGTTAATTGTCTGATGGTGTCTTTGTTCAATAATTTGTCGTTTGGCTCGATGTTCTTCTCTTCGCAAAGACAGTCTGCATTTTCGTCGGAATCTTTACAAAATTCCAAGTTTTTTAATTCAGATGGGGTACTAACGGGGGTAATGAACTTCAAGGGAGAATTTTGGGCAGACAGGCTTGTGAATGTTCCACTGGCAGGCGTTGTACTATCTTCATCGTTTCGTATTTCTGCACGATACTCTGCTAGCTCTTCTCTATTTGCGTTATCAATTTTCAGGTACATTCTATGAATTTTAGCAACGCTTCTAGCAAATGTTCCTTTAAATTGTTTCTTAAGTTTCATAAGCCTAGACGATCTTAGGCCAACTGATAAAGAACACAAGTTTAGTTTTGTAGAAAAAAAACTCATAAAGAAAAAAGAATACAATACCAATTTTATTTGGCTCGTCAATTGCTGAACATTGAACTAAATCGTTTATGTCAATAGGCCCAATAGTTTCGCCTGTGGAAAATTCTTCAGAGCATGGTCGAAATGTCTCGTCACAACTGTCGTCTTCTACCCGATTTGGATTTAAAGGACAGACAGGATCAATCGATTCTGTGACTATGATTTCTTCAGAGGGAACTGTTTCATCCTCTGAAGAAATTTCACAATCACAAGCCAGCTGACCAATTCCCTCTTGCTTTGAAAAAAAAAACAAAAAGAATAAGGCAACCTATTAGAGCTCATTAAAAGGTTGAGTTGGTCTTTTGTACTATTTTTAGGATAAAAGTTCCAGAAAAATGACAAAAGTTCTAAGTTAGAGGAAGAATAAACTAATTTTACCAAGTCATTTTGTCCCCCGTTAGATACCATTTCCGATTTCGCCGATACTTCATCCGTCACTTCCGAAGGGTCTGCTATTAATTCAGGTTAATGTAGCAGCGAAATGCAATTAGGGGATAGATGCTTTAAATATAAATATACTATTTTACCCTGCTTGCTGGCGGTGTTTCCATTAATAGAAGAAGATGTACTGACTTTTTCGTTACCAGTAGGAGTCTAACAGAAAAAAAATATCATTTTTCATTGATACTAAAGCTGTATAATATAAAAATATCTTTAAAAGACGCTAATTATTGTATCATAAGCGTCAATCATATTGGCCACATAACAGGGGAAAGATATATTTAATAATAAAGATATTATTTTTTACCCATTTCATTCCCATTCCAGTTTCAGTTTCACCTAAAAAGATTAATTTAAATTATCTTGAGAAAGAAATATATACTGTTTTTTTTTTCGAAAATGCAGTCATTTCATTACCTTGTTTAACCTATTTAAGGAAAAAAAACAGTTTTTGAAGATGACGAGTAATGACTATTGTAAAATTAACTAACTTTCTTCATAGTCTTATTTCTAAATTTCATTTTATTCAAGAAGATAATAAGTATTGCAGATAAACAACCAATAAATAGTGTTATTGGTGTTAATAAATTCAAAATATCAGCTGTAATTGAACAGAAAAACAAAATTAGGATATATGTATATAAAATATTCTTTATAGCTTACTGGAAACGTTCTTTTCTTGTTCCATTTTTCTTTGAAGTCAGTAAAATGTATGAAGAGCCGGAAAGCCCCAGCAAACTTCTTAAACAAAGTAACTCTAACAAATACGTTTACGTTCAATTGAATAGCGTTCCTTTTATAGAGTTTAAGAGCATTTATTTGAATGTGGAAGGTAAACTGCTCAACTCTGAATACGAATATAACTACTTTTCTAAGATAAAAAATTATAATAAATATTAAACTTTTAAAAATTTTGATGCAATTATAAAATTTTGTCAAGTTTATTAAAATAATTTAACTATAGAATATAATAAATTTTTGTATGAAAATAATTAATCTATAGCTTTATGAATATTCATGTTTTTTTTTAAATCATAAATTATTCTTCTGGAAATTATTGATTTCTTCCATAAATAGCATATTTTCCCATTGGTATTCTACAAGTTAATAATTTACTGTATAAATTATATAAATATAAAGAGTTTTAATGAATTTCTTTTTTAATAACTTTCTAAAGTTTTAAATAAAAGTTTCGTAAAAGTTTTTTTATCAATTTACGAAAACAATAAAATATTCTCTTATTTATTTTACAGAAACACCTAATTGAGTAGAAATCGATTATGTGAATAACTTTAAAGAGAGCTTATAAAGCATATGACGTCAAAATTAAGTGCGAAGCTGTAACACTTCGAAAATATCGACTGCTTCGGTACGCATGCGTATTTGAAGAGTTTACTTGTTCATACGTTGTAGAAACTGTATATTTTTAGGAAAACTTGAAAATCGAGAAGAGTTAATCGTTTGTCATAGACTGAAATGAAAATTAAACACTATTTCAACCATCCTTGACCTACTGTGATAATAGATTGGAAGATTGGAAGAAAAGATGAGGAGAAACGTTGCTTTTTTTGGAGCGGCTATGTTCTGCGTCGGATGTTTTTCTCTGTATTTAATGTTAGAATCGTCAACAACAAGTCCTAGAGTAATGAATGATCAAGATGTAAGTCTTTAAGTATGATTAGTGTCTTTTCTCTGTTTTGATCACTCTTTTAGCTGGAATAATTATAATATTTAGCAAGAAAGTATAAAAATTTCAAACGTATGAGATCAACCAGTTACAAGAGATAACACTTGTAAAAGAGCATAGAATATGTAAATTAAAACTTTCAGTCCTTCATCTCATGTCATAATTACATGTTGCATTATTGAAATATGAAAAATTAATAATTATTCAAAGAGAACGACGTTAAAGTTCAAAATCAGAAGAATCGTCCAATTAGTTAATTGAACTTACATGTTCAATAATATCTTAATAGAACCTACTTATACATTTATCCTTTTCATTCCATATGCATTATAATTGTCTGTGTCTATATATAAGCTTTCTTTTCGCAATTTGTTTATTTTCTTGTTAATTTAACAACTCATTTTCAATACTTCTTGTTCAGGATGGTACTACGAAATCTAAATACAGAATCAAACAAATGGTACAATAAGATAAACTATCCTTTTAGTACTTGCATAATTAATTCTAATTTCTGATATTAAAGGGTGAAGTTGATAAAATTGAATGGAAAATTCAGGAAATCGAACAAGAACTAAAGAAAAATCACGAAACAATCATAAGAATTAAGGAAATGTTATCTGATCTATCGAAAGGAGATAATATTAACGTTGATAAATTGAAGGTAAATTATTTTTACTAGCTTAGGCATTATGATTATTTTTATTATTACTATAGTAAAATTTTTTATAACAATACGTTTCGTTATATAACCCAAACAAAAAACACATAAAAACGAAAACTGACCCACTCTTACCCATTTACCCGCATCCTCCAGAATTTAGTAGATCAATTTGAGAAATCACAAAACAATAAAAAGGTAGATTATACAATGGTGAATCTTTTTAGTCATCTGTTTTTTTTAATATTGTTCATAATTTAACAAAAACATTGTGTTTTTTTTGGTTTTCTTACGTTTATTACTATTACTTTGACATAACAAATTACAAAAATAATTTAGCTTTGTTTAATTGCTAAAAAAAAGGGTATTACTATTGATTGTTTTTCTCAATTTTCGCTTTTGTTTTCCCTAATCTTCTCTCTTTTATCAAGATATTTTATGTTGAATCATTTTAACAAAATTATATTATGTCATATTTACTTATTATATATTTCTTTTATATTTATCTACAATCGGATAGAAATTCATACAACCGCAAGAAAATAAACCTGTTTTACTAAATCAAACTCAATTTTCGAAAACTGGGATAACACTGTCTCCTGATACCTGTGAGTTAGCTGAGAAACCTAATCCTGTTGGTCCTAATATTGAGGTTTGTTTTCTTTTTATAATTCCTTATCATTTTCCCTGATGACAATTTTCTTTTGCAGATGTTGCAAACTTTTGCCACACTGCCTTTTAGTAACCCCGATGGTGGAGTCTGGAAACAGGGATGGGATATAACTTATTCCCCCTCTAGGTGGACTACAGATAGACCTTTGAAGGTTTTCGTAATACCTCACTCACATAACGATCCAGGTTTTTATTTCTAACGAAACATATCCGTTTATAATTTTGTTATTTATTCACCTAAGGATGGATAAAAACCTTTGATAGATACTTTCAAGATCAAACAAGGCATATTCTAGACAACATGGTACAAAAATTAGAACAGCATAGTAAAATGACTTTCATATACGCGGAAATGTCATTTTTTAGTACTTGGTGGAGTCAACAAAACGATGCGACCAAGGAAAAAGTAAAGAGGTAGTGAAAAAAAAAATCTATAAATATTTTTATTAAATTTAAAAGTAAAATGTTTTCAATCTTCTTTATTAGATTCCTTAATGAAGGTCGCTTGGAATTGCCAACGGCTGGTTGGGTTATGACTGATGAAGCAAATTCTCATTACAGCGCGATGCTTGATCAATTAATTGAAGGAAATAATTGGCTATTTGAAAATGTAGGAGTAAGACCCGACAGCGCTTGGTCAATAGATCCTTTCGGTCAATCCTCTACAATGGCGTATTTACTAAAGAAAACTGGATTTAAAAATATGCTTATACAGCGTGTTCATTATACAATTAAAAAATATTTAGCTGAAAAGTCCAATTTGGAATTTATGTGGCGTCAAAATTGGGGTAAAAAAGAAATTACTAGAATTTAATGCATATTCTATGAATAATATTCTGTTTTTATATTAGATCTATCTGGAAAAACAGACATGTTCTGTCATATGATGCCTTTTTATTCGTATGATGTACCGCATACTTGTGGACCAGATCCGAAAATTTGTTGCCAGTACGATTTTAAGAGATTACCAGGTGGAAAGATTGCTTGCCCTTGGAGAATTGCTCCCGTTCCAATCACTGACGGTAACGTTGCACAAAAGTAAGTGACCTTTCAACAAAATCCATTAGTTTCGTTTTCTAAATCATCTCATTTGTTGCACTACAGAGCTGAGACGTTGTTAGATCAATATAGAAAGAAGGCATCTTTATACAAAAGTGACGTTGTCCTAATTCCTTTAGGCGATGATTTTCGTTACGATAAGCCAGACGAGTGGGACAACCAATACAACAATTATCAGAAACTGTTTGATTATATGAATGCTAAATCGGACTGGCATGTTGAGGCAAAATTTGGCACTTTAAGAGATTATTTCGAAGCATTAGCTAATAGGGAAAAAGTCAAAAGGGGGGAGAGACCCGATAACTATCCAATTCTCGGCGGTGATTTCTTTACATATGCAGATAGAGACGACCATTATTGGAGCGGCTATTTTACGTCAAGACCTTTCTATAAACGAATGGATAGAATAGTTGAAGCTCATTTGCGAGCCGCCGAAATAGCTTACTCCTTAGCAAGAATAGCTGATACCAAGAAATCGATTTTCGACTCAGATAAAAACATGGCTGAAATGTTAACATTCTCTAGACGTTCTTTAGCCTTATTTCAGCATCACGATGCAATTACGGGTACTGAAAAAGATTTTGTCGTTGTTGATTACGCAATGAAATTGTTGAAAAGTTTGGAAAATACGAAGAAAATTATACAAAAATCGACAGAATATTTAATGTCCGATGGAAATGATGTTTTCACTTTAGACGAAACAAGACAAAGTCAAGATTCAATACCAGAAAAGCAAATAATCAAGCTCTCCTCGGCAAACGAGCGCTACGTCGTTTTCTATAATTCTTTAGCTAGCAATAGATCAGTTATTGTTTCAATTTGGGTAAATAGCCCGTACGCTATAGTCAAAAATGAATTTGGTCAAATTATTCAATCTCAATGTAATCCCGTCTGGACAAATAACGAACAATATAGTACAGATCAATTCAAGGTAATTAATTATTTAATAATTTAGGTAATAATCCGCAATAAAACTGGTTTTTTATACTCTTTTCTCTCAAATTAGCTGCTATTTGTAGTAACTGTTGGTGGCCTTGGGATGGTTAGATATTCTATAGAGAAAGCTGGACGAGGAGAAAATCAATTACATTCCTTAGCTAAAATATATTTTCATAGCTCGGGTAACAATTACCAGTAAGCTTATTAATTTACTTCTTTTCTGTAAAAAATTAATATTATTATTAAATAAATCTAAATATATCTAACATTAATCACACTGCGTTTCCCCTTCATCAGGAAAATATTTGACTACCAATCCGATAGGAGTGACGTCACTTTGGAGAATAGAGAAATTTCAATAAAAATCTCTAGGAATACTGGTACTTTGCAGGTTGGAAACTTAATTCTGATTTTACTTTATAATCTATTAAATTAAGTCTGTTGTATTAATAAAATATTTATGAAATTTTGTAGGAAATTAAGAATAAATTAGATGATATAACTTCACAAGTGAAAGTAGAATTTATTTATTATGGAACAAGGGGAACTAAAGAGAAATCGGGAGCATATTTATTCTTACCAGATGGCCTGGCTAAGGTATCGATTCTTAGCAAATAATAGACAACAAAGCGAAAGGATATTTTTATAGCTTCCTTATTTTTCTTTCCTCTTCTAGCAATTATCTTCGCCGTCTGTATTTGTCCGATCAACAAAAGGACCTTTATCCTCTGAAGTGAATTCTTTCATGAAAAATGTTGAACATAAAATAAGAGTTGAAAATGCTGGTGGTAAGCATTTAAATATATAGATTTTTACTCTTATTAGTACAATAATCGATAAATTACACATTTATACGTTTTATATATTTCCCTGTCTACATTTATCTTAGATATGAAAAATCTTGGAGTAGAGATCGAAAATATAGTTGATATTAGATCAGAGCAAAATTATGAATTGGGTATGAGAATTGTTACAGATATACAGAACGAAGATAACGAGTATTTTACTGATCTAAACGGTTTTCAGGTACTGTTTGAAATAGAAACGTCTTACGAAATAGCTTTATATATATGTATATAATCTAGATGCAAAAGAGAAGATACTTTAGCAAAATACCACTACAAGGAAACTTTTATCCCATGGCTACTATGGCTTACATGGAAGATAAGAATAAAAGATTTACTGTGCTTACAGGGCAAAGTTTAGGCTGTGCTAGTTTACATACTGGTTGGTTAGAAATTATGCAAGATCGACGAATGAAACAAGATGATAATCGGGGTTTGGGTCAAGGAGTGTTAGATAATAAGAGAACTCCTCATAGGTTTAGATTTCTCCTAGAGAAGAGAATTTCCTCAGGAACCAATGCTCAATCGACTGGTTTTGCATCGCTAACGGCATCAAAGCTGTCAGATGATCTTATACATTCTATATTTGTCTTGCCTGCAAAATCAAGTATTAATTCCCCTCAGATAAAACATTTCGTTACAACTTTAAACCAACCATTAAATTGTGAATTACACGCTGTTAACTTACGAAGTGATCTTAAAAATCGTAATAATTATGCCCTCATTCTACATAGAACTGCTCCAAACTGTGGCTTCAAATCTCGAGGATTATTTTGTACTCCTGGTGGTGGAAAGGTCATTAGAAAAATGAATTTTAATTTAATAAGAATTAATGTTTTTCTTTTCATCTTTTCAGATAAACTTAGGAAAGTTATTCTCAGCCTCGTACCATTTATCTGAAGTTAAAACAACTAGCCTAAACTTATTATGGGATGACAAACCAATAGAATTTAATAAATTACCTGTAGAAATAGCTCCGATGGAATTAGAAGTATTCAAATTAACATTTTCATCATGATCGTTGAACTCAGACCGATTTTACAGTTCTTTTCTCTTTCCATGACTATAAAATAGGTGACTGACCACATTTGTTATTTTTCCATCAAGCGATTGACTGTGATTGATTGTTTTTCTTATTAAATACTAAATGTCTTTGATTACTTCTTTGATAAAGAAAAAAAGTACCATTTTAAAGTGATTAATTTCATATATACACTAATAAATCATTTATATCTATATACTACTGTCTCTTGCAATGATAATGTTGATATAAAAATAAAATAGGATATTGAAATATAATCTTTACTTTAAGCTAATTAATTGTATTCTTTTGAGTTCTACCCTTTTATTATAATTTCCTTAATTATTATACTTGGAACAAGATAATATCAAGTTGATTATCCGAAAATAAGCCCCCGCTCTTGTTGATATATATTCGATTTTTAATTCTTTATGAGTTATATTTTGTCGATTTCCTACAGAAAAATATATCCACAATACTTGTCTAATTTAATGACAATGTTCTATTGTTTATGCTTATAAAATGAGACTTATTATATTTCACAATCCGCTAGATGTCGCTCTCACAGTGCGTCGTGTTGCTAGGGAGAAGTTGTCACGTGACCCTTCACGTCCAATCTCTGTTCTTTGAATGGAATGGTATAAGATAATGTAAACATGTGCAGCGATATCATACTGCTAAACATATTAAGTACTTAATCGAATGGATAATATATTTTTAATACTATAAAACGCTAATATTTGCTTAAAAGATGGGTGAATCAGTAATAAAGAAAGTCGAGAAAATGGATGAAGAAACTATTTTAAAGGAATTGGTTAGTTTAAGCTTAATTCATTAAAATATAAAAATAATTTTTGTCACATTTATTTATACTAATGATCAATTTTTATGATTTAAAAAATAATACAAATATCTAGTGTATATGCAATGGAATTTCACTTGAAAATTTAGCCGAAGAAGCCAATAAGGTTGAACTGTTGGAAATGTTCTTTTCTGGTTTTCCAACTATAGTAGGATTAAGACAATTTACAAATTTGAGAGTATAAAGATATAATTTTTTTCCCTTTTTATTCCTTTATTTCTAAAAAATGTTCTTTTTTTATTCCATTCATATAGACGTTATGCCTTGTTTCACAATCCATTTCTGAAATAAAAGGTCTAGACAATCTTGTATTTTTAACCGAATTATGGATTGCCGAAGCCAATATAAAGGTTTTTATTCTAAGAAAAAGTTGTTTGTATTGTTGTCTACGATTATAATAAATATTTTTTATATAGCGAATAGAAAATCTAGACAAAAATATCAATTTGGTAAAATTATATTTATATAGTAATGAAATTGAACAAATTGAAAATCTAAGCCACTTATCAAATTTGGAAGTGTTATGGTTGCATAAAAATAAAATAACCAATATTGAGGTTTGTTAGAAACGTTAATCTTGTTTTTATATATTTTCTAGTTTCCAATACAAATAGGGTTTGGATAACTTGAAAATGCTGATGGATTTAAACTTAGCAGAGAATAGAATAAGTAAAATTGGAGATAAATTTATGCATTTAGATCATTTAAGAATACTTGAATTGTCTGGAAATGCTATTTATAGCTTTAAAGTATGTATTATCGATATATTGTATTGTATCAATAAAAACATTTGTACATATTATGTATATAAAAACATATGTAAATAAACAAAATAATATATCAGGATACTAAGGTGAGTTGCTTTTTTTAAACAAACAAAAATTCCTTCCTTCATGGAAAATTAAAATATAAAAAAACAATATGAAGAGCACAATAACCATTGACAATAAAAAATTCCTATTATTCCATACTTTATGAGGTAATAGAAATAACATATAAAGAAATAATTATAATTGAATTTCTTATCTATAAATTGGATAGAAATTAAACGTAAAAGGAACAAAAAAAAGAAATCTTTTAAAGTATTACCTCATAAAAAAAAGAGTTTTTGTACATTTACTACCTGCTTCAAACAACCTTTTAGATTTATGATTAGTCTTTGAATAGAAACGAAAATCGATTATTTCGTCATAATAATATATATTTATTTTCTTTTTCTTTCGCAGGAACTTACTGGCTTGTGTGAAGTGAAAAGTTTAAGGGAATTAGGCCTCAGAACACCAACATTCGCTCCAAGCCCAGTTGGTCAATTATGCAATTACGCTACGCATATTCTTTTCCATATGCCAAAACTAGAAAGATTAGATGGTGAAATAATTCAGAATAAATCATTGGAATTAGCGGAGGCCACTGTCGATAGAAAGAAAATGTTTTATAATATGAGAATCCAAACTCATTTAAGAAATTTGGACGAAGAAATAACAAGACTAGATCACATAAAAAGCCAACTAATTAATTTACCAAATTCCAAACTAACTGCGTTAAACTACGTCGTTAGAGCTGTAAGAGTCTTTTATTAAATAACAATAAGCACGCAATTAATATTTAATAATAATTATAATAAATTCTTTTTCTTTACCATTCAAGCACGAACTTCAAATAGATAAGATAAACATAAAAACTTCCGAGGATAACGAAGAAGACCGGGTAAAAGCTATATCAAATAAAATTGAAGATTTACAATCTGATTTTAAGCAATGGGAAGAGAAATTAAATGAGTAAAAACATAAAATATAAACAAGAAATACAAATTTATAATTATAAAATATTATTAATTTTTTATAGTATCGATTCCCAATATGCTGAGGTGCATGAGAATCGGGTAATTAAGACGGAAGAATCTTTAGAACGGGAGAAAATCGAACTTGAAACTGGTGGTAATGTTCGATTTGAATACGGTAACAAAGATAGTGTTTGGCTAAAACACGTTGAAAATCTTATTCAAGCAAGATTCTGTTTGAACGATTATAATTCTATTAACGTTAAAGGTGTGAAGGTTAAAAGTATTATAAGAGTTCATAATAGGTAAATATATAACTATAAAAATGTCCCAGATAATAACTAATAAAAACTTTATATATTACTACGAAAAGAATATTAAATCAATTATATGACGATACTTTGATGAAAAAGCTGGGAGAAGAAGAACAAAGTTCGTCCGCAACAAGAAAATTAACTGAATTTTTCTTTTACGTTTGGAATCCTTCAGTATGCTCTCAAGGCTTAATACGGTTAGCTGAAGATGGTATTCCAGCCGAAAATGAGATTATCCCATTAGCTAATTCTCTATGGCTAGCCGATGTTGAAAGAATAAAGTCCTTATTAAAAAATTTAGGCAAATGCCATGATCCTTGCCCATTTAGATTCGGTTAATATACAACTTTGTTATATAAAGCCTATTTGGTTAAGCCCATTGATAATCATTTAATAATCATTGTGCAGGTCAAGTCATGCTGTGTAAAGTATTTCTAGGACAATCTGTGCAGCACTCAAACGGCGAAAAGTATATTTTATAGTATTTTATAGTATACCGTATATAACTAAAGCTTTACTGTATTTTTTTAGTATATCAAGAGATGCGTTCAAGAGCGCTGATTCCGTATATCAGCCTAGAACTGAATGCTCTAACGCAAGTAGGAGTTTTAATTGTATTTCATTGATTTTATGTACTAATAAGCTATTGCTTCTGCATAGGCGTTTCACTTGCGGCAACTAACAAGATTTTGAATGCTCCATCATCAACTGCCTCTACTCCAAGAGTAACTTCATGCGAATGTACATCCAGACATGCCAATTGGTTTTCATTCGAAAGAAGATTAGTCGTTCCAGAATTTTTAATTGATTTCGAGTACGAAACAATTTTACCTAATCCTACCCCTTTCTCCGGCTGTACTGAATCTTCAGTTTACTTAAGGTAAATATTAAAGCTCCCTATTTAAACATAAATGATATACTGATTTGTATTTTTCCAACAAGATTAAACAAGGCCCTAATAGATAACTCTAATTCATCTGGACTAAAATTAGACGAAGAGATTATCAAGAATCTTCCGGAAGATTATGAGAGCCTACCAAAGTTATCTGTGATTACAGAGCGCGATATACGAGATTTAACAGGATACTCGGATTTATCATTTTTAACTGTACTTAACTTGCACGGATCAAATTTAACCCGATTAACTTCCTTCAAGAATTGCGTATCTTTGCGAAAGTTAATACTCAGCTTTAACGACTTGTCCAGAATTGACGAAGTTAACAACTTAAATTTGGAATATCTGGACATAAGCTTCAATAGAATAGGTACTCTAGAAGGTGTTAAAAATTTGCATCAATTACTAACCTTGAACGCTTCTTGGAACCGACTACGTAATAGCAGGGAAGATATATCTATATTGCGCAAACACTGCGAGGGTCTAACTCATTTGGATTTAAGATATAATCCGTGGCAAAAAGAGGATACAGTAAGATTTAGGGCGATAGGTCGATTGCGAAATTTAATCATATTGGATGGAAGAGAAGTGAAAGAGGATGAGAAAAAGTTAGCTTTTCAAGCAGCGGCAGCTTCGAGAATTAATCAACAATTGCTTTTGAAAAATGGACGAATGGACGACTCTCTACCTAGATCATTAAGGTTGCAAAGTATATGCCATATATTACACGACTTAGGAAGGTCTATTGAATCAAATGGTGGAGACCAATGGTTAAATTGCATAACATCATTGAATCTTGATGGTCAGCACATCAGTAAATTGTCAAATTTAGAAAGGCTAGAAAGTCTTAAATGGGCCAGCTTTAATGACAATGATTTAACAAAGATAGAAGGACTGGAAAATTGTTATTGTTTGGAGGAATTATGTCTAAACTATAATTGTTTGACAAAATTGGAAAATGTATCTAATTTAAAAAATTTAAAACATCTGGAGCTTAGTCACAATTATATTCACTCTCTGGAAGGTACACATGGACTAGTATCTTTACAATATCTAGCGGCAGATAATAATATGCTAGCTAACCTTCATGGTTTACAGAGATTAGCAGAACTGAAGCATTTGTATCTGGGATCAAATAAAATAGACTGTGGAAGAGAATTATTTAAATTGAAGCCATTGAATAATCTTACGGTATTAGATCTGTTGGGTAATCCAATAGTCAAGCTAGTTGATAATTATAGACTGTTTATTGTTTATCATTTGAAAAATCTAAGAGCTCTTGATGGAAAAGCAGTTGAAATTATTGAAGCTAATGCGGCAAAAGATGAATTTGGCGGTAAATTAACGCAAGATATTGTTGTTGAACGGTTAGGTCATTCCAATTTTGTGGAATTGAAAGAGTTGGAAGTTGCCAATTCAAATTTTAAGCAAGTAGATTTGGGAAATGCAAAAACTTTTGTAAATTTGAAAAGTATTAACTTAGAGCATAATAACTTGACAAATTTGGCAGGGCTGACTAATTTGCCGAATATAAAAGTTATATGTTTAAACTATAACAAAATTGAAAGTGTTATACCTGTCAGTAAACCCTCCAAGTTCCAAACAAAACTTGTACATGATATAGAGGCAGATGACAAACCAATATTACCTACACTCGAAGTGCTTCATCTCGGCTATAACGGAATCAAAGATTTAGCTTTATTAGGTTTAAACAGGATACCGTCATTGAAATCTGTTTTTCTGCAAGGCAATGAAATTTCCAAGGTATGCGGTTTGGACAATCTCACTGGTCTCAGATCTCTTGTTCTAGATAGAAATAGAATAAAATCTCTAGCCGAGAATTCGCTTGTGTCCCAATGGAAACTCAATGAATTGCATATGGATGATAACCGCTTAAAAGATTTATCCAATTTCGGCAATTTACAACACCTACAACGATTATTCTTGGCTAATAATAGAATATCGGAGATGGTAGAGCTTGACAAATTAGAACCTTTATTAAATCTTGTAGAGATTTCTTTAATTAATAATCCTTGTGCACGAAGGCACTTACACAGACCAGCGCTGGTATATAGAGTTCCATCACTTCATGTCATTGATGGTTTATCTATTAATGATGAGGAAAGAGCTAAAGCAGATATTTATTTTCTCGATCAAGTCAACGCCAGCCCAAATAATAACCAAGTATCAACTCATGCAACATTTGACGCAACACTTCCTGGCATAGGATCTTTCAAAATGCACGTTCCCGTAAAGGTAATAAAATAATAATCTCATTATTGATTAGTCTTTTTTACATATTCTCCTCAATTAGGTGACAAATATGCAATTAACGACCACCCCTTCATGGGGAGGACCCATGCACTTGACACCAGCCGAAAGTAACGAAAGAAAGCGAATGGTTCTAAATCAGCAGCAACAATACATGTCAAAAAATCCAAGGAATCAAGTGCCTTTCGTTCCTCATTACGATCAAAAGTAAGTTTTTTACACAAAGATACAAAAGAAAACTCTCTAAATACTCAAATTGATTTCATTTCATTTTCAGCACTAAGCCAAAACGTTAAAGGCTGGAAGACATTGTATTTTTTTTTAAGTTTGTTCAACCAATAACTCAATTTCGATTAAGATGAAGAAAAAATATAGACAGCTTTTATGCTCTTGTTATTGTTTGTTTATTTTTGTATTTTTTTTAAATTTTCCTTTTAAAGATAAAAATATTTTAGCATAAAAATAAAATAATAATTTTTATTACTTGAAAAAATTAAAATTTTTTTTATAACGGAAATTATGAGATTAAGTACGGAGTTAATAAAACACGCGAACGGCTAGTACTCATTTGGAAGGAAAATGACGTTACGCAATGACACAGCAACCATTGCAAATTGTATTCTGTGTCTAAAATTTGACTTTTAAATCCCCGGCGTCAGGGAAACTATAATTAGCTTCGGCGCCGGAGGGAGTTCTAGGAAGAGGTAATTATGTGCGAGTTTTGTTGAATATGGGTCTGGATATTTATAGAATTAATATGTAAAATAATAGAATTTATATTAAAAATATTTAATATATTAAAGGAGTATTTTCAAAATATAAAAATGTATTTTTAAAGAGTTGTTGCTCATCGGTTGAGCTGTTTGTGTACTCCATCCAGGACGCTTCGTTTATTATACGTTCTATTTAATCTATATTTTCACGTTAAATTGTCTATTATATAGAATTGTGAATAAGGAATAAAGTGGGGAATGTTTGCTTCTGAAAAAGTTTTTGAAGTTACCCCTGGAGAGCAAATAACACCGGTTAAAATACGTCAATCAGGAAACGATATACACATGGAAGAAGAGAACGACCATTTCGTGGAGGAACTATTAAAGTAAGCTTAAAATTCTTATTCTTATCATTTTGAAAGTTTACTGTTGAATATATAGCTGTCAAACTCCAAAAAAACTCCCCTTACTAAGGACTCCTAGTCTCAAACCGAAGCCTAAAGAGTTTTTTAGTTTACGAAGGTTGGATATCACCTCAAAGGCGAGACGAAGATTAAGCTATCGTAAGTTTAATTCCTTTTATTGATGATTTAACCTACGTATGAATATTATAACTGATCTTATCATCGTTTTGACACCTTTCGTAGACTCTACGACGACAGAAAAGGATCTAGAAGAAAAAGCGCGCGATGCATTCGCCAATTTGGATGTCTCTGATAATTATAAAATCATTGATGATACCGTTTGGCCAGGTAATAGTTAATTACTGACCTTGAACCCGCCTTAAAAAAGTGTTAACTTCTCGCCATGTTTGTGCAGGGCAGTTCTTGGAAATAAATGGCGGACTTAGCAATCGCTTGGGGACTTAGCCGTTCCCAAAAAAACTTTCAAAAAATAATACTCTTAGGCCGATATTTAAATTTTTTTTAATTAAACTCAATTAATTAATTACTAATTAATTCATCGAGGTTGTATTGAAAAGAAATTGTCTTCATTTATATCAATATTTGGGGTTGTTTACGAGATACCTCTCAATTAAAAAGGGTGGGTTCGCTACTTAGCCATCTTGAAAAACAATAAGTGGGACAAATACCCGTTAATTATTTAAATTTTACGCAAAAGTTCCGATACATTTCTTTGTTTACATTCGGGTTTCTTACGCATTTTTATCAATCAAATTAACATTTATTAACATAATATTCATATTTTCACATGTCTAAATACAATAAATTGTTTTATTTCAGTTGAACGCCAACAAAAACGTAGAAGAAATCGTTTGAAGCGGTTAACGAAAGATTTTGGATCAACGTCCACCATACCACCATATTCTTCCAGCCGAACGAATCCTTCTATCAGAAGAAGTCGTAATAACGAATCAACCGATATAAACGATTACGACGCCGATATAGAAAGTGTAGAATTTACAGAATCGGCTATTCCAATCAAACGAAATCCATCTAAATTAGACGAGTACCGAGTATCTAGAAGCGTACCAGAATTTTGGCAAGTCGAATTAGATTAAAGAACATTCGATTGTAAAACCAAAAACTTTCTAATCTTTAGTCTCTCTCTCTCTCTCTCTCTCTCTCCCTCGCTCTCTATTATTATCTTATTATTGTACAATAGAGAGCTATCACTTGTTACTTTTGTTAATTGTTGATTGTTATTTGCTTGTTATTTTGAATCATTTTTATAATAATTTTCAAGTTAAGTTTTTTCTGTTGAAGTTGTCGTTAACGCTCTACTTATTGTTTCTTTTTTTATGTAGGTATTACTTTGGTGTTAGGTAACGAAAATTTGTTCTATTTATTTTCTAGGTAACTTATGGATTTCTTCTTAATTCAGTTAGAACATTCTTTAAACATTTGTTGATATTATGTACATATATTTATATGGCTGCCATGTATATTATTGTCATTTATTAACATATACTGTATAGATATATGTTTATATATATATATATATACATCAGTATACTGTATATGTTAATAGATATCTGAATAATTTGATAAATAGGTTAACAAGTCCAAAAAAAAAAACATAATAATAATAATAATAACAATCTATCATTAAAAAGATTAGCTTAAAACCATATTCCAAAAAAAAAGATTAAAAACAAAGCGGAATTAATGAATTGTGTTGACAGCTTTGGGTGATACATTATTATTTATTGTTTATTATTATATTTATTAGTTTTATCACATTTTCAAACCAGAATAATTCAATTCATTAGAATTGCTTTATTGCTCTTGAAAGTATTTTTGAGCTAATGTCGTATTTAGCTTGGCGAATAACCATCTTTGAGTTTCGGAATATGAATTGCAGGGATTCATAAATATCTGTTTTTGCTCTGGATCGCAATCTAAACATTGACTTGATACTGGATGATATAGTTGATGAGTGTCCTATGTATGATTTATGAATAGTTAGAATAATAATAGTTAATTTATTGTTTTTATATTGTAAGAATATACTCACAACGTTGTATTTAAACCACTGATTTCCTTTCATTCCATGGCATGTATAAAGTATAACAGGTGCTTTTCGGATAGATTGGGATACATCAAAGCATAAGCTTCTTTTAAAAGGCCTATGTATATATATAGCATTTTTGATAGGAAACTCTGTAATTATTTGATAAATTATAAAACAGTACAAACCTTAGATCTTTATGCCAAGATAACACCAAATTCTGTTCTCCTCCGTGGCCACTATCAACAGATAAACAAGTGTCCAAACCGAACTGTTCGTTTTGACTTTTAAATTTAGTATCTACACACAATCCAGCTTTTTCGCTTTTCAACTGTAAATAAAAATATATACTATTCAGTTATTCACGTTGAATGAAAATGAAGAGACTAACCTCTCCGCTGGCTACAGGACTTGGCTCAACAGATGGATAATACTTTTCTAAATCATTGGCAACGTTGGTCATAAACCATTTAAAGCTTTTACATTTTAAGTCTTCTCTTAATTTCTTTTGTTTTGTTAAATCTCCAGGATCGATATCCCTATAGCGTGCTCTCCTTTTAAAAATAAACTCTTTATATTCGTCCATCCATACTTCGGCAACTCGTCGATAATTTCTACCAACAAAATCACCTTTTCCCGGATTTGGAAATGGTGCGTATTTTCTATAGACATGACCTATTCTTGAGCAAGGAGCATCTACCATTCTACCGCCGCATTGCCAAATTTTAAATGATAATTCATACTGTTCACCACCCCAGATTTCAAGTTGGTCGTCGTATTTGCCCAATTTTTCAAACCAGTCTCTATGAATAGCGAATAGACCTCCTGCCATAACAGGACTCCTGCAAAGCAAAATAACAAACAATACTAACTATTTCCGACAGTATGACAGATATTCACTCAAAAACGTCGGCAGGATCATTTTGATCACCTGGACGTAGAGGTAATCGTTTGTAAAATAATTCCCAGTCAAAAGCGCCTCTTGCACCCTCATCTTGAGCTCTATATTGGAAGGTATCATGATCCAAAACATCAATAAAAGGACAAACTACAGTCTTATGATTTTTTGCAATAGGATCTGTCAGATAAAATTCAATAGTAATACATATTTTTGTAAATATATATCTAATTATTTATATTACAACCTAATAATGGAGGTAACCAATTGATATTTACTTCACAATGAGAATCAAGGAAGATGATAACTTCTCCTTTAGCTACAGCTGCTCCATTTATTCTTGTTCTAATTAAACCCTCTCTCTCCTTATTACGAAGAACAGTAACTTTTCCCTGATAGAACTGATCTTTTAGCATATTATCTAAAGGTTCCTTAAGGAAATCTATAAATAAAATAAATATATATATATTTATATAGAAGGAGGTTAAATGAAATCTAAGAAATTAATTAGTGTGAAACCTTTATTGCTATAATCGTCAACAAGAATAATATCAGCTAGCAATTGACGAGGTGATCTATTTAATATTGAATGAACTAAACGTAGGAGAGTTGTTATATGTTCATTATGAAAAGGCACAACGATGCTGGCAGTCAATAATTTGGCTAAATATTTCTTCTTTCTGCAGCTGATACATTGGGAGATAAATAAGGATTTAGTTTTTAGATAAAAAGTTATTGGAAAATGGCTAATAGTACAAAAGAATTAATTTCTAATTAATAGATTATCTATAATCTTACTTTGGATGTCGTATATCGTTTAATGCACGATCTAAACTCATTTTATCGCTAGCAAGAGCATTAAATCCATTTGCACGATAAAGTTCATCTTTTTTCTCTCGTTCATCAGCCCCTATTTGAACGCCTTGACCTTGTTCCCCGGGTCCTGTCCTCTCTTTATCTTTTGCAATTGCCGCATAATCGTGCCAATCAATCTCTGATTCACTTCCAACATCTTGAACGAGCTGAACGATATATGCAATAAATGTATATGTGGGAAGAGAGAGAGTTAAAATGGCATATAAATCAATAAAATTGCAGGTTTTCAATATAAATTGAGTTTACACTATATATCTTGTACACATATTTGAAAAATCTAAGTGTTTATATATATAATTTATATATATCTATAAATAGTTTTTTTCCAAATTTTAATCAATCCTTCACCTTTTTAAATTCAATACCCGGATTGGAGCTAGAAACCTCATTATTTATTATCCTTTTTACCGATGTTACCTCCTTTATTCTTATTAGAGACGCTTCCTCGATCAGTAGAGTAAAATAAATTGGTCAGATTGTTTATTAGCCAGAATAAAAGCATTAAGTAATAAAGTTACACATTTTTTAAATCTTCTCAATTACTATTTAAAGCAAAGTGTCATAAAATACTTACCCTCCAATTATCATTTTTCTTATCTCGTTGAGATATGGCAGGTTCTCTTGGTAGTCCATGCGATTGGTCAAATGATAATGATCCATTTCCGGACAGTCTTTTTAGAAAATATGGACCTAATGTAACAATTAAGAGAGCTAATAATACATATTGAAGTATTCTTCTTGTTGTCCTCCTCATATTTTGACTATTTATTCTCTAAAAACGCTTTTTCTCATTGAACTATAAACTTGTTAGAAACTTTAAAATCTTTTTTCTATATATTTTTCTTGCATAGCAGTAATAAAATATTAATTAAAAACTGAATTTTTAAATTTTCTGATCAGTACCAAGACATCAGCTAGCTGACAGCGTGGAATCGCTTAATTCATTCTTAAGAATTGAAAATCGAAATTTCCACGTACCAGGCGGTTCCTTAGGAAATCCCCATAAACAAGGAGTTTCCTGCAGCCTCTTTTTCAAATATTATTTAGCCAATCAGAAGTAACATGCCCTGAACTCGCCATCTATAGTGACTGTTAGCTACTGTCCTCTGCTGGTCAAAATTTGCATTTCCGATGGGTTGCACTCCCGCTTATATATTTAAAAATATTACAGAATAAAAAAAGGCTGTTTTAGCTGGAAATGTATTTTTCTTTGTAAGAGAACATTCTACAAATAGAATTTAGTGATAAGAAATTTATTTTATCAGTTATCAAGAATACTTTAATTCGAACATCACATGTTTGAATGGAAAACATATTACACAAACAAGTTATCATATGGTGTATTCTCGCTAGTTTCACTTAGATTTCTAGTGATTGATTTTTCCGAGCTATCATGTAACGAATGTAATTCATAGCATCTAAATATAGGATTGTTTGATGATGAGTAATCATAATTTGAATCGGAGCTTGTAAACAAAGCTTCGTCCTCAATCAAGTCCGTATTAAATGTTTCATCGCTATATTTATCATATAGGCAACTACACGAAGTATCGGATGAGCTATCGTCTACCGTTGGACCCAGTTTTATTACTTGCTTACGGCCATCGGTACAATCCGATTGAGTCGTATTAGCTGAACTATTAGATCCGATAACTTGACCAGCGGTATACTTCACAGATAATCCTCCTTGGTTTAAACCACTATCGCTTCCGGCAATAGATATTAAAGAAGTGTTCTTTGAAGGATATGTAATATTTGTTCTGGAAGCTGCAGAGTTAGCTCCCAATATATTAATTTTTTTCGATAGAATATACGATGAGCTGGAATCGAATTTTAGTATTTCACTGTTAAAATAGTCTGTTTCATTGTTACATTGAAAATTCTCTACAACATCAGCTGTTCTCTCTGATCCAGTTTCACTCTCTGCGTATCTATCGTAGATCCTCTTACGTTCCAGAAGTTTCCTGCCAACTCTTTCGCAACTGTCCTTTAATTCGTCGGCTTTACTCATTCCGGGAAATGTTTTATATTGAGTAGTTATCTTAGCCTCTTTCTTAATATCTAACACTTTTGAATTTTGAACAGGTCTCTTTGACGTAGAAGTTTTAGAAATATCTGAGATATCCGGCGTCAAATTATTACTATCTGAATGAATTTCTATTTCTGGTTTCTTCTTTAAATTTGATTTTCTACCTAAAGCACCTCTTGCGCAAATAGCACCATCGTTATTTGATTCGACTTTAGCGATCTTTTGAAGCCAAACTGCCTTTGCCGAACCCAACTTGCGTTTTTTTTTCTCCTTACTCATTCCTGTCGATTTTGGAATATCGGATATTCTGTCTTCATCGGAATTTCCCTTTTTCTTTAATCCCTTCTTATTTAAATGACCAGATGTATTAATCTTTTCTGACTGATTTAAGTGTTTATTTAGATCCTTTTCTTCTTCGACCGTATCAATTTCTGTGGTAAATTGTATAGGAGACGTTCTACTAGATCTCTCTAACCTCAATTCTTCACTTATATCGATGGGTGATTTTTTTTTTAAAACTAATGGAGACTCAATAATTTCTCCACTATCTACTGATGAAGTTTTTATAGACTGCTTATATTCCTCTCGGGTTACTGTAATGGATGCTAAACTGGGTCGAGGAGAAGTATCTATAGCCGACTCTGTAGCTAAGCTTTTCTTCGATTGAGTTTCAATATTCTCTTCGGTTGTGGTTTTAGAGTTTGAGGAGAGTTTAATATTCGGAGAAGGGATAACTTTTCTATTAACATTATCAAGATCAGTAGAATACGTTTCATGTCCATCACTTTTCAATTCTGCTTTCTGTTGAGATGATTCGACTTCCTTTATACTTTTAACAAATTCTCGATCTACGGAACTCTGAGTTGCATCTTGTTTTAAGCTTTCTATATTTTCATAAGGAACTACCATCATATCTTCATCTTTCTTAGAGGCAGCCGGTTCTGAATCCTTCACAACCTCTTTAATAGAATGTAATTTAATATCTTTTTCACTTGTTTCATTGATTTCCTTGACTGAATACTTTGGAGAAGAGCACTGACTGGGGAGACTACCTATTTGGTCCTTTGTCGTCGACGAGGCTTCTTCCGAAAATTTACTCCAAGCCCTACCCGAACCAGATGATAAAATACCTGTATATTCTTCAACGCCTTTTGAATGATCTACTGAACTTTCTTTGGTATGTTTTTCCTCAGAGATATGTCTTTCAGTGGATTGTTGATTAGAATCGACAGGCGAGTCTCTAAAAGAAGTCTGAAGATAATCGCGACTCTTATTGGAAAGAGACTTGTTTGATTCCTCAATTGAGGTCCTACTTGGAGTTTTTTGATTAATTTTAGGATCTAAGGGCTCTCTGGGTGATTTAGAGAGTTCAAATTGAGGGTCATCTGAATTTTGAGATTCATTTATAGGCTGCTCGTCTAAAGCCTTTACACTTTCTATAGGATAGTTTATTTTAGAATGGTTAACATTTTCGGAACTAGACGCAGTGCTTGTAATCTCTTCTGGAGTATTAAAGTCTGACGTTCGCATTTCCCAAAATGGAGACTGTTCAGTGGATATTAGAATATTTTGATCCGTTAGACCCGTTCCAGTCTCTTCAATTGGTTTTACACTACTCAAAAGCTTTAATTGCTCACTGGACGGTTTTGATTTGATTATTTTCAAAGGAACTTCATTTTTATTAGATTTGGGAGATTTTCCAGACGGAGAAATAGTAGATTCGGCGTGTTTAATCGATTCAGGTGATCGGTTTGATGAAGCACCTTCTTCTTGTTTACTAATTTGTAAAGAAAGATTTTTGCTTGATTTTTTATCCATAGTTTCTATAGTATCCTTTAAAGATATTTTCTTAGAATGTTCAGTTCGAGTTGAAGATTTTCGTCCATCTTTCTTACTAGAAGAAAGTTTGTCATTTTCCTTTATTAAACTTTTTGGAGAACAGGTATAAGTCTTTTTACTATCTGATTTTTTTTCAGATTTATCAATTGATAATTTTATTGGAGATTTAGATAATTTTTTTGACCTTTTTCCGCTCGAAATTGACTTTTCTCTTTGTAAATTTATTTCATCATGTTTTTTAGTTTCTATTTGTTTAATTATTGTCTTTGCAGTTTGTTTAAATCTTTTAACTGGTGTTTCATGCTTTTTTGAAAGTTCAGCTAAATTTTCTTGTTTTATAGTTAATTCTATCTCGTTGGGATATACATTAGATTCAATTTTATAGATAGTAGGAGTTTTTGATTTTGTTTCGTCAAGACTCCCCGCCTTATCTTTTATTTTACTGGGAGAAGATGTAACTTGGTCTAATTCGGGAGAAAGTATTCCTCGAGCTGACTTTTTGGTGCTTAAACTATGAGCAGTGTTTAAATCGGTAGCTTCTATCTTACTAGTCCTAGCAGCCCCTTCATCTGTTCCCGAATTTCTCTTTTCAGCTAAGGTTCTACTTGAATGAGAAGATTTTATAGACACTCTTTTACCAATATCTTTTAAATAGGCCATCTCTTCCATTTCTAATTCTAAACCAGGCTTGTCAACGTCAGACATTTTGAATTTTCTAGATTCATCCGACCCTTTTTTAAACAGCTCAGCTAATGAGGTTTCTTGTTTATCTTCAGTCTGTTTTATTTCTTCTTTTGATAAATCGTGATGAGAAAGTTTAAAGTTTTCACTGTCCTCAAGCTTTGTTTCCTTCTTGAGATTTTCATCCTTTTTTAAATTCGGATCAGATTTTGAAGCAGATTTAGAGATTCTAGTTGAGCCTACTGAATGTCCACTAGCGTGTCTCTCTTTTTTCTCCTCAGGAGATTTCGTTTTATGTACCTCTTTAGATTTTCTATTGTCTTTCTCTTTTATAGAGACTCTTTTTTCGGGACTTTTCTTTTCTTTAGATTTAGCAAACGGAGGAGCCATATGACCTTTATAATCTTTAATCACCTTGTCAGTAGACATTCTAATTTTTTGACCTTCAAAATTTTCTTTACCTAAAACAAAGAGGAAAGTGAATTTATTTTGTTTGAAAGAAGAAAACAAGAATTGTATTACTTAATTTCTTTTTTAAATGTACATTTGACTTTTCTACACTTTGTTTCCTTTTTGTAATATCCGATTTTTTTCTCTTTATTACATCATCCATTGGTTTAATTTTAGAAATCTGCTCTTTTTCACCTAATAATAATTGTTCAACATCTTTTGAACAGGTACTTAATTCCTGTTTAATAGATTTCTTCCATAGTATGAGAGTCCTTTTTAGTGACGAATGTATCTTAAATTCTTGAGATTTATCGTCAGCCTCACTTAACTTTCCAAGTTTTCTAGCTGACTGTAAAAGCACCTTAAATACTATATCTTGACATAATTTTTGAACGCTTTCAACGTTAGATTTGTCATCTTCGAAAAATTCTTGCCTAACTCTATCTAGCAGACTATGTAAAATTGCAGATGAAATATCTTGAAGAAGAATTCCATGTTTAGCAACAGAAACTGGTACACCTTTAGCACTATCCTCTTTAGCAACTTTCAATACCTCTTGAAGAGTATCGCTAATAATATCAATAATAATTTCCCTGTAATCATTATCATCCAATCCACAAAAAGCTTTAATTGAACAAAGACATTTATCCATTTCGTGAAGAATTCTAAATGACAAATCTCTATAAATTTCTGCATGAACGTTATCTGATTCAATTTCTAAACAGTTAAATAATTCATTAACCATTCTCATAATGACAGTTTTATAAAATTCCTTTATTAAACAAATTTGATCATTGCTATTTTTAGTTTTCTTATCAGCTTTCGATAGATTTGTACATACATCTTTTAAAAGAAATTCTGCTATATTACGTGCAACTTCTTGGCTAATTAAGCTGTACGTTTCAGCATCTGAGGAAGTTATAATTTGATTAACAATCTCAGGTAAATCATCTATAACTGATTTAGATATCTTTTCAAGGCATTGTTTAGTGTTAGACGGTATATCGTCTGTTATTTTCCAAGTAAACGTATTTTTCGCTATCTTTAACAAAAGGATCTTGGCAAGATCACTTGAGCCTGGATTTTCTTCCATTTGTAAAACTATAGGATCGTATGCATCCTCCATTTGCTTAACAATATTCTTTAAAATATCGGAAAGAATATTAAAACAATGAAGAATTAAATCAAGAATGTTTGAGTCGTGTAAAGTTCCGGTAACTTCTCGAAATATTTCATCAACAATATCTTTAGCCGTAGAATTAATACAGTCGTTATATTCAGCGGTCCCTAATGATTTTGTATACATGGGCCTACTTCCAGGTTTGCCGTAGCTCAAAATAATTTTATATATTTTATTACATATATCCTGTTTTCTATTTGTATTAATACTTTGTGTTGCGTATTGTAAAGCTAAAGAGATCGTTTCAAGTGCCAACTTTTTCAATTGTTTTGAATTCCTTTCGTCAGTTGGTTGTAAATCCTTTATATCATTTATAATACCAGTAATTATTCCAAAGATATTATCAAGCAATTTCCCGCTACCCTTTTGTAATAGATCTTGAGCGTATTTACGAATAAATTCACCTAAACTAGAGGCAATGTCTGAAAAAAATTTATGCTTTCTATATTCATTCCTAAATTGGGCAACTTGTTGAATATAATTGGTCATTTCTTTAACAATATCTGTTTTAATTACATTCCTCTCTTTCCTTATTAGATAAAATTCTTTAAAGAATTTTTCCAAGATTACAAATATAATATCAAATGTAATTTCTGATAATTTCTGCATTTCGTCGTATTCCGTAAATTTTCCATTCCTTATTAAACTTTTCTTTTTAGGTTGAATTTTGTCTATTTTGGAATTATTAATATCTGCTTCAAATTCTATTTGTTTTTGAATTTTTCTGATTGCATTACGAATAAGGACAATAGATTTTTGATTTCCAATGCGATAAGCGCAATCGAATGCTATTCTGAAGCTTTCTAGAGCTTTCTCTAGCCTGCCAAGGCAAACTTCACATTCACCTACTAGAATTGCTGAGTACATATTCCATGATAAATCATTGCATTTTATTGCAGCTCCAACAGATTTTCTAGCATATGTGAGAGCTATTTCGTATTTATCAAGTTCTAAATAACACCTTCCCATCTCGTGATATAGCCAAGCCGCCTCCAAAGGAGTTTTCCTATATCCTTCTTTTGATCCAAATCTAATGGAAAGAATTTATCTTAATTAAATATATATATATATAAATGTATATATATAATTTATTACATTTGAATAGCTTTTTTGTATTTTTTCATTCTTGCGTATACCTGACCAAGATTATCCATGGCTCTTGATGTATTTTTCTTGTGATTGCTACATCAACGATAGAAATAATTAAATAGAAAATAAATGGACTTTAATACTAATATCAAACTTACATTTGCGTAGATAATTCGAGATCTTTTTGATGATGCTTTAAGGCACCATTAAACTGTTTTAAATCAAAGTAGCTTAATCCAATGAAACTATGAACTGTACTAAGTAATTCATTGCTAAAGGAAATAAAAAAAGATGAAATGGCAAGGCTATTTATAGAGTATTATGGTTTTTTTTCCAGTGAATTTATAAATTTTTTACATTATATTTGAAGATAAATTGCTGTCTTTAGTTGTTTCTAAAAGACGAAAACCTCTTTGAAGGCAATCAGTAGGTTTTGAGTTGTTGAGATCATAAGACATTTTTTCTATTTCATTTTCAATAAAACGAATTTGACCATCCGATGCTTGTCTCATTTTATCATCATCTCCAATCTTTGGACCATTCTTACCCTCAACTTCCCAACATCTTACGTATAATGGTTTAGATTGTTGCCAAAATCCTCGTTTTTTATCCATATAATCGAGAGCGTCGCTAATAGTAATCAATGTTAAATTTAAAATATAATATAGATGAGAAAACTTACCAAATAGCATTATAAGTTTTCCTACCAGATTCTGTATGCATATCTAAAAATAAACGAAGAAACAAACGTTTAATAAAGAATTAATTAACTAATTAATATATGTGTAAATATACTATTGAAAGTTGGTATTCTAGGCCTAAAATATGTATCCATAATTAATATTTTTATAATATTGTTATAATTAATATATTCTCTCTATTCTATTGGTATTTTATATTTAGATTTAAAATTTTAAATAAATAGATTAATGACATAAATTTAATTTTTTTTTAGTTTGTTACAGTTAAGAGAATAGCTGTTTTTCTTTAATTTTATATATCAGTTATATATATATATTATTATTTTGCTTACCGCACCGAGAAACGAGATTCTCGAAAAACAATCGATCACAATTTAATTCTTCCATTAATTTAGTTATCATTTTGTTCTTTCCTCCTATTTTTGGTACTCTTAATTCTTTAAATACAGCCTTTTATTCGCAACAAATGATTTTTGATTTTTATTTAATTACTATAATTATATATAGAGTAAGATAATAAATGAAAACCTCTAGTAGAAGGTTCGTTAAAGAGAAAGCACCAAATTGAGATTTAGTAAATTTAGTTGATTTTCCCCTTCTTGGTTTCGGTGGCCCCTGGGAATATCGTAATGAATTAGTAAGGTAAGAAGATAAAAAATCGTATGCTAGAATATAAACCAATGGCTTCAAATCATTTAGATATATTAAACCTTCCTTTCCAAGAACAGTCTTTTTTTTATCTATAACAAGATAGTTAGGTGTTAGGTTAGTTAAGTAAAAATATTCGATTTAAGAACATCTGTATTGACATAACCTCCAACACTATCTATTATTGCTGTTTCACAGTTTTTTATACCATTTTTAAATATGCTCATATTTGGTCTTAGCCTATTTCCTTTATAATAGTACATTAGAGCATGTTCAAGGTCTCCGTGTATATAATGCGCTTCGGCTTTTCGAAGTAAAGCCTAATTAATTAAGAAAATCAATCAATTAAACATCATATCAGATATAGTAATACTAACTGGAGGGAAATATTTATCTTGTCTTAGAGCATTTTCGGCATCGACAACTGCAGCTAGAGCATCTCCTTTAGCTTTTAGGCAAAGTGACCTTCCACATAATGCGTATTTATCCTTTTCAGATTCAATTAATACTTGTTTAAATTTTTGAATCGCCTTATCATATTGATTCTTTTGAAGTAATCGGACACCTTCTGAATTTATTGTCCTAATTTCAATATCGGTATATTTCTTATCGTCCTTTTCTGAAGTCATTAATTAATTAAATTAAAATTTTGGTCGTTGTTAATGATTAATTGATGGAATATTTCAATAGTGCTTTATATATATAATATATATATATATATTACAATATGATTTATCTGTGTATACATATATATTAATTTAAAATTTTAAATTACAATTATATTGATGACAGAATGGGAATATAAGCAAAAGCTATTAATATCAAATTCCTTTTAAAGAATGTATTCCATTCGAATTGATATTTTAAGCAGAATATGTCAATATTACTTCTGACGAATACATTTTAAAAGTAAACATTTTCTTGCAAGATCGATTATTTCTCTTTCGAAAATATCTTATCAAATAGTATTTATTTTAAGAGATTTTCGAACTTGAGAAGAAGGGAGGTTCAATATATATTACATATATATATATTATATTTACTTTAAAATTTGTAAATAAATACCATTTTCTAAGAAATAACTAAAACCTTTGTACTATTGTTAAAAGGATACTCTAACAGGTGATAAGGGAACTTAATTACCAAATTTCTTTCGATCTTTTCATTTCACTTCCCCCTAAAGCTAAACTGTTTTTCGTTTTAAATATTATCCTTTAACAGTTTTAATTACTATTGTTATTGTATATTTCGCCAATCGGTGGGAGTTAAAATGTTTTATCAATTACGTACATTCTTTGCTATCTTTATAAATAAAAATGGATTATTAATGGTTTAGATGGAGGCATATATATGGAAAATAATTCATGGTCAAGTTTAAAAGACGATGTTTGATTACGAAAAATCAGTTGAATATTATCCTTTTTTCATAAGGTGCATTAGTTCGTTTGCTGCTGGATTTTTTTTTATTATACTATCTAAACAGTACGCACCAGAATGGCTTACTAAAGTAAATTGTAGAATATTACAGTATTTACTGAATATCATTTTACATTTCACTTCTTGGAATTCTTATCTTAAATCGAAAATCGATGAAAATGATGCAAACCGTGATTTGTTAGAAAAAGAAATTGACTCAATTGTTGACAAAGTTTTGTTACACTATGTAGAATCATGGTATGGAGATATAAGTAAAGATGAAGAATTTCTATTATCTGTTCGCTCTTACTTTAATATCATTAAAGAACAAGCTCTAATCAATATACAAAAATTGAACAAGGAAAAATTAGTCGTAGACTGTATAACAATATTTAGAAGTCATTTAAAAGACATTCAAGAGTTGGATTATGATTATCAAAGAAGCGGTCTTTTAGCCATTGGAAATCTATTGACAATGTCAAATCTTGCACCTCCCGCGATACCTAGTTGTCTTCCAGCCAAATGGCTACTCATTCATATGTTTGAGAGAAACATCTTAGAGATGCTCTTAGAAAAATTAAGCTCACCAGATTTCATATATGAAAGTATTATTCAAATTTTATCTGATAGAATAGTCAAATCAAGTGAATCAAAAGCTCAAAAGGCGAGATCGATCAAAACAAGTCGTCGTGTAAGTTTCTATGCGGGAAATGAAATTGACGATAATGAAGATGATATAGAACATATTGAAATGCGAATGAACGAAGGGGATGACTTTTCTCTTCCCTCTTCTATGAATTCTACGGCTACAATCAATTCGGGGGAAGACTATGATAATGATCAGAGAGTAAATATTCTAAGCACATAAAGTGAACTCTATTGAAATTAAATTATTAATTGATAATTCTGTAACAGGACGTCGAATGTTCTATTGAATCTGCTCAAGAGGCTCTGGACGCTTTGCCAGATGCGCCTAAAGTAGCTTTTGAAGATGTATTGATTGAAGGTACCGAATTTGTTCAAGATCAAAACCATCGTCTCTACGTGTCTTACAATCTTAGCGTGATTATGAATAAATTTCTACTTGTAACCCTTATTCTTGAAACGTAATTTGTTTACCAGTACAAGATGTGGGAACATGAACCGGAGAGTAGATCTTGGAAATTAAAATCTGGATTTGTCAAAAGGCGCTACGCTCAATTTGTTGAATTGCAGGAGTGTCTAGAGCGGAAAAAGGCTTATAGAAAAGTTCTGAAAGGTTGGTAAAAAAACAATAGATAATTCTTGTCATTATGACTCAAGAATAAAGAATTCTTTTCGTTATTAGGTTTAAGAACTCCAAGACGTTGGCCACATTTTGCCAGTGATTTAAAGAGTAGTAAACGATTACAAAATCGTATTAAATATCTGGGACATTATCTAAAAGAAGTTAGCGAAAATGAATTGATTGGCAATAGTGAAGAGTTAACTTGGTTTCTTTCTCCTTCGTCATCACCATCAGTAGCCTATTTAAGAAAACTAAACGAAAGTCGTAAATTAGACACTTTCGTTAATACAGTTTCAGGCGTTATTGCTAAATTTATGCCAAGTAGTGACTTGAATACAGCAATATCAGGCTTACCATTAGACGGTAGTACAAGTTCGATTAAGTTGGATGATAGACATGCAGAATTTTCATACGACGTAGCAATTGTATGGAAGGAAAGATCAAATAATTCGGTAAAAATATAACACAACAGTAGAGTAGAAAAGAATATTTCTATTGTTTATAATTTTATATTCTCTACAGCGTCTTTGTGACCTAAACGATATTCTTTGTTCTTATATCTGTCACGTTGATGAGACGTTGGACGGAACTAATATAGAAGATATTAATAAAAATACTAGCACTGACCATTCTAATGAAAAGGATAGTAACGGAAATTGCAAACTTAGCGAAGCTGTTTTGGATTTGGCAATCGATCTAACAAAGGATAGTAAACATTGGTTTACTCAGTACGAATTCATGACATACTTTAGAAACATATTTGGGAGCATACTAAACCAGTTAAGTCTTTTACATATAAATCGTCAAATTCCAATGAATAATAACATTGTTTATCTTTCTATATAAAACATATAAAGATATCTAATGAAAAATCTTGATGAAGTAACGACAACAAAGAAAATTGCATATTATTTAAATATATTAAAGCGTTCAATATGGGAGGAAGATGAGGAAGAGGATAATAGTCAAGAGTATACTACTTCCGTCAAATTAGAAGTTGAAAACTGCATTGTTGATTTTTTTCCTTGTTCGTTTTTAATTATTACTGAATATAAATATTTATTGAACCATACTTCTCTCTAAAAACAGATTATTTGAAATTATTATTGGGCAGAAATTATTTCAAAAATTGCGTCAGATATTTAGTTGAATCGTTAAACTCTGAAGACTTAAACAGGTGGTAAACTTATTTTCAAAGCTTAAGTGCCTCCCCCACTCTCTAACAATAAACTCATTTTCAGACGTCTAATATTCGATATATTTCTTTATGCAAGCCAGAAAATATCAGCCAAAAAGATGGAATGTTTAATTGTCAAAGAAAAAGTCGTCAGATTTGATATAATTTAATATATATATATATTTATAAACATTTACATATGTGTCTTTCAAATTTAAATACATATATTTACAAAATACAATCTATTAATTATGTTTATTAATAAAGTGTAAAGTAATTCCAATGGATGCTTATTAGTCAAATTAAATCAGTGTATTGTACGAAATTTAAAACAGAATTTCTTTGTAAAAAAATTTCAGTATATTTAATAAAAAACATCAAATTATTATTTCCTCATTCTCTCAGCTTTGTCTAGAATTTGATCGAGGTGAAATGTGCAAGAACGGTCAATGACTTGCTTTCTTTACATGGCAACAACGTATAAACTTACTCGGATCAACATAGTAGCGAAGGGTATTGACAAAACAAAGCTCATAGGCCAAAAGTTGGAGGATTGGTATTATTGAATATATAGTATACCTAAATTAAATTAATAGATAAAGACTGCTCCTGTACATCTAAAAAGACTAGTTACCCAAATTGTGAACCTTTTCTAGTGAATTTATAAAAAAAATTGCACAATAAATCCTACATCTTCACATTCGTTGCTAAGCCTATATGTATGATGCAATTTCCCAGTGCAAGTCATGATGACAAACTATTATACATATACTAAAGCGGCGCCAGCCCATCTCAGTCTGCACTTTATCACCTTACAGCGTTTATAGCTATGTTGCTTTAGAATATTTTTGAAAAGTGAGTATATACATAAATATATATGATTGAATATAATAAGTTAGTCGGTCAGCTGTATCTAGCTATTTAATAGAAAGTATTCTATTATTTTTTATACAAAGAGTACACATTTAAGTATACGCAGTACTTTCTCTTTTTTTTTAACAATATTATAATTCTTTCTCCAGCTGTCCATGCATTGTGTTCATCGAAGTCATAATCTGATCTTAACGAATAAGATAAAATCAAAACTAAGGAAGAAAAGATTACCAACAACTGGTGGATCAATTGTTAATTTTATAGTAATATTTGTAGCGCCTTTTACACGAGACATTTCTGTTTAGAGGTAAGTAGTAAACTCTTCAATTTAATAGTTTTGTTTAAACTAATGGCGGATATAAATCTTTTAGCAAAATGACGCCTAACCCGGATGCTTTTGAAGAAAAAGAGATCGGCACCGTTCTCTTAAATAAAAATGATAGGGAAAAGAAAGATTCCTCTCCTAATCGGGACGAATGGCAAGGCAAATTGGATTTTGTCATGTCAGCGCTTTCTTTTGCTGTAGGTATGGGTAACTTATGGAGATTTCCATATTTGGTTTATAGTAATGGAGGAGGAGCATTCCTTATACCATACATAATAATGGTAATACTTGCGGGTTTTCCCCTACTCTTCCTGGAATTTGCTTTTGGACAATTTGGCAGACTAGGAGTAGTCAGTATATGGAAGGCTGTCCCGCTCATGCAAGGAATAGGATGGTGTATGTTCTTCATATCACTTATCAGTTGTATCTACTACAACATGATAGTAGCGATAAGCTTCTTCTATTTCTTCGCATCTTTCACATCAGATGTGCCTTGGAGAACTTGCGGATCGTGGAGTACCAAAAGTAATTAAATATTTTACAAAAATATATTTAATAGCTATTTTATACTATCTATATTTACTTGTTTTTTTCACCCGCAGACTGCGAAAGAAATCTTTCATCCGTTGATTCTTCAAATACAACACTATTTGAAAATTTAACATCTGTTCAAAATACAAGCAAATCGGCCAGCGATGAATATTTTCAGTAAGATTTAGATCAATAAAATAATCTCTTTTTAGCTTTACTTTTTATGAGTAAATATAATCTTATTTTTCACTTTCAGTCAACATGTTTTGAACATATCAGATGGTGTTGATAATTTAGGAGGAGTTCAATGGAAATTAGCTCTATGTCTTCTATTATCTTGGGCTATCGTATTTATTTGCCTTAGTAAGGGTATAAAAACAAGTGGAAAAGCAACATACGTCACATCAACTTTTCCTTATGTTATACTTATAATTCTTTTGATAAGAGGATTAACTCTTGAGGGATCAATGGAAGGTATTAAGTATTATGTTCTACCAGATTGGAAACAATTGGCTTCGGCAAAGGTATGGGGAGACGCAGCAGTGCAAGTTTTCTTCTCTATGTCAACTTGTTGGGGAGGCTTAATTACTTTGGCCTCTTACAATAACTATCGAAATAACTGCTTTCGAGACGCACTTGTTGTCGCTGTCGGAGACGGATTAACGAGTATATTTGGTGGCTTTGTTATATTCTCTATTATAGGCTACATGGCTCATGAATTAAATGTACCAGTTGAGGATGTTGCAACACAAGGAGCAGGCCTAGCGTTTGTGGTTTATCCTCAAGCCGTTACCATGCTACCATTGTCTCCGTTATGGGCTATACTATTCATGCTTATGCTATTAAATCTTGGCCTGGGTACTCAGTTTACCCTAGTCACGACTGTTCATACCACGATTATGGATGTCTTTCAAAAGTACTTTAAAGTGCCAAGAAGAAGAATTTTATTACTTTTAACAATTTGTATTGTTTGCTATCTCTTTGGTTTGACTTGTGCGACTAGAGGTGGAATGTACGTTTTACAACTTATGGATAAATATGCTCCGTCTTATGGATTATTAACTGTCGGCTTAGCCGAATGTATTGCATTATCATGGCTATACGGAATTGATAAATTTTTTAAAGATATCGAGTCAATGATTGGCAGACCGCCACTAGCCTTCTTCTTTAAAATATGTTGGCAATTTTTAACTCCTGTTTCAATTATTGTAAGTAGTACACGTAGTACGATATTCAAAGAATAACATTAAATTTAATTCATACAGTTCATTCTGCTATTCACATTTGCCGACTTCAAAAGATCTAAATATGATGATTATATATATCCATTGTGGGCTGACGGAATAGGTTGGCTCATAGCATTATTCGAAATAAGTTGTATCCCAGCAACTGCTATTTATAAATTATACACGACAAAAGGAGATCTTATTGAGGTATAAGTTCCATTTATACATTGACTTTTTAAGTGTACTGAACAAATTCCTTCTTTTCTTAGAGAATAAAAAAGCTTATTAAACCTAGTGAAGAATGGGGTCATGAGTTAAAAACTTTGGAATTAAAAGAGTTTACATTGACTGCCGTGAATGGAGAAACAACTGAAAAATTATCGAGTCCACTTCAAACAATAAATAATATCTCTATTTATGATGAAAATTTACCAAACTCAAAAATTTAAACAAAATATTATACTCAAGCTCATTATTGCAAATTTAATCTTAGGAAATTTATTTGAACAATATTCTTAAATATTTACATATTCCAGATATTTTATGATATTTTAACCCTTTTGTGTTTAAACCAAAATAAGTATGCTTTTATATAAAATATATATGGAATATTCTAAATAAAAAACATATATATTTATTCTTGAATAAATCAGCGTCTATTTATTATTAGTCCTAACTTCAATAAATGGTAAAGAAAGTTTACTACAGATATGGTATATATATATTTCTATAAAACAATTACGTGCGGTCCGTATAAATTTCGTTCTATTTGTCTAATATCAACCGGTTGATATAATTATGTGCGGTCCTTATATACTTCGTTCCGTTTGGCGGTCGAACATTTTTTTGATTCCGCTGAGAACATTTGTCAGCTGATCAACATTGTCATATTAGATTAGATGGTGCATTGACTATTACAAACGAATAAAGTGACAAGTAAGAATAATTTTGACAAACTAATATCGAATATTTAAAAAATTGTACTTTTATTCTGAAACAATCATAATTTAAAAAAAGAGTTCTATTACAAAATAATTTAAATTGTTAAAATATTTGACTACTTTTAGTTAAAATTTTATTAATTCTGTTAATAATTTTAGTATTGATTAGGAACAAAAGACCTTACAAAGTTCTAAAATTAATAATGACTTTCATTCTAGAAAAGAAATGTATATTGCTTTGTAAATGTTTTCAATATTGAGCTTCATTTAAAGCATTAAGCAATTTTATATTAAAAGTTTTCAATTGTTTAACAGACATTCGAAAAAGGAAGTCTTAGAGATCTTATAGAGTCAGAGATTATCTTTTGCATTGATATCACTATTTCTAGCAATGGCAAAATTGAAAAAAAGAGGTATAGCGAAAAAAACCAAACAAAGGTATTCCCTTGAAATAGCTGAATTTTTTATTTGTTTAAAAGAGGACGTTTTTATAACCCGAAAATTCTTTCTTATCGCAGATCATCAAAGAATTCGCTGAGACAATCCTCTCCAACGAATGTATCAATATTTCGACTCTTAAAAGGAGAACGTTTATCAATTAAAGATATCATGTATGATTGGGTACAAACTTGCAAATCAGATGAAGATAAAGGATTATTACAAATTATGCAGTTGTTCTTATCATCCAGTGGTGCATCCTATGAAATAAAACCTGAAAAGGTTGCAGAAACGAGTGTTTCTCAAATGTTACTTGAGTGTATAGCTGAGGGTTTCAACAAGGACAAAAAATTACCTTTCGAAGAATATCCATTGTCTGTAAAGAATACTAAACCTATTTGGAAGAAATTCAGAATAAATTTTATTAATTTTGCTCAAGCATTTTTTGAGATGGGTCAAGACATTCTGTTAGAGAGGCGATTGATCTTAGATAAAATTTTGGAATTAATATTTGACATGATATCATCGAAAAACGACCAATATGTAAAATGCTTCTTTCATACAGCAATATTATTTGGATTAAAACTGAATACAACAGTAATACAAGTTCATTGCAAGTTAATTTCAGAGATTGAAGAACTCAAAAAGGGACGGTATTGTGATTCAAGATTGATAGATCATTTGAAGGAAAAGTTAGATTATTTGAGTAACGTTAATGAGAATTTGAATCGCTTAATTTCAATCGGTTATATTCACGAAATCGAAGATATTCAATGCATCACCATGCAGGAACTTGGACTGTGGATGTATCAAGATTCCCATATGTATTTATCAGATGAATATTTAAAGTATTTTCATAGAGTTATGCATGACATTGACTCACCAAATGCAAGGGTTGAAGCTATGCGAGGACTGATACCGTTATATGAACTTGCTGGTGAAGATAGCGTCGTTGAAATTCAGTTAGAATCCTTCACCGATAAAGTATTCAAAAAAGTAATTATTTCAGCTTGTTCTGAAAGTAATTCTGAATTGAACGTAACTGCTCATAAAATTATACAACTACTTCATTCAATCGGAAAGGATAAGTTTATAGTTCCCTATAAAGATCTCCTTAAAATATTTGTTCCAAATCTTGTTCGAGAGAAAAATATTGCATATTCCTCAGCTGATTATATATACAAGCGCCTACGGGGAGCAGATAGAAATGAAAGAAAAATAATCAAATCATTCATAAAACTTCTAATTGACGCTAAAGTAGAAAGAAATGACCAATATATGTTTTTGATTGCCGATAGTCTGATAACTACAAGTAAGGAATTTCTGGATATTGATAATATGATTGATATGCTTCGAACTAGTAATATAGCAAATGAAGAAAAAGTTTATATATGCAACTTATTGTTTGCAACAATAAAAGTTTCGACCAATCAAACAGGTGTAAGTAATAGAGATGCTAAACTTACCAAAAAAGGACTGAGGGAACAATCCGAAAATAGAGAGAAGTTCACCAATCTCATCTTGAATAAGATTACAACTATTACCGATTTATTTCACAGTGATATAGAAAAATTGAAGCCTTTAGTTAAAATAGTTAATTTGGTGGATAAACAGTACATCGGACGGACAAGTGGGAAATCTTCCCTCATAATCATAGTAAAGGAATTGATGAAAATTGGGAGTACGCATACAGACGAATCATTATTATTCCAAATAGCATCTGCTTTAGAATTTTTGTCCCAGGAGAATTATCCCTTGGGTACAGTTTGCAAAGAACTCGTACACTCTCTATTTGAGGATATTATACAAGAGACCAATGCTAACCTAAGCGAATACTTTGAAGAGCATCTGAGTCAAAAAGAAATAGAGAAAGATTTCTTGCCAAAACTAAGAAGAATAAAATGTTTCCTAAAATTTATAGACTTTTCTAGATTTCAAACTCTTTTCGATAATCTTGAGCGATTACTGTATCAGTCAATCGATAAGGAAGTTTCAGAAGTTTTGATAAAAGAAGTCCTCACCGGATGTACATACTTTATTCAAAGATCTTTAAACGAAACTCTGAAAGACGATAGAAGTCATAAAAATAATTTAGATGATGCTCATCAATTTGTCTTGAATTTCTCTTTAATAAGTATTGAAAATGATGAATTAGCAGAAGCGGCTTTTGAATGTATTTGTTATATACTCCTGTCGTACAAACGAGGCTTAAAGAATGTTGGATGTTATAAAAGTCTTTTATCCCATACTCATAGCATTATACCTAACGGTGCAAGTGAAATGAAGACAATTGGGATTAAATTACAAGAATTTATCGAAAAATTCGTGTTTTTGCAGAAGGGCTGCTTACAAAGGAAGGAGAGACTTGAATACCTTAAACTTTATTTGACAGTTGTCATGAGTTCCAGACTAGTAATGCAGTATGCACATTTTATCTTCTTATACTGGAACAAAGATGACTTTTATAAACCGTTAATGAAACAATTTTTTGATTGGTGTAGGAGAACTTCGAGGGCGAATTTATGTCGAACGATAATGTATGCTTTGGGTATCTCATTTAAAAATAAAAAACATGAGATATGTGACCTTATAAAGTTATCTAAGCAACTGATTATAAATTTTGGACCAAAGCTTGATATTAACCGACATGCCATGCGAGCTCTACACGAAGAAGGAATTGTATTTTCTATCCGACATCATTCCGGCCGATATATAGAGTTTCTGAGAGTTGTAAGTGAATGGAGTGGAAAATTGTATAAAGAAGATAGACATTTGGTAAAAAATTTTTTAGACAATCAGGTAAGAGTATTAAGTAATTTTCAGAAAATCTAATTTTTGTATAAATATCTTATATTAATCATTAGTTGAAAGATGCAAAACCAGAACTCTTCACAGATTTAAATAATTCCATAATAGATGAATATAAATTTTCATTGGGTAATAGAAAGAGAAAAGGTAGTAATCAAAATAAACAGATAAGTATTTTAAAAACTTTTAAATTCCTCTCTAGTTGACATTGATTACGAAGCACTAAAGGGAACGTAAGTAGGCATTCCGATCTCTTCTTAAATTAAGGCTAGGTTTTTTCTTCAGAATTCAAAAAGTATCTAAGAAAGTGAGGGACGAGAGCTCTTCTAACGAAGAGTAAGTTTTCAGTATAAGTTATTTTTGTGAGTCTTAATTGTTTCTGAAACATTCATAGCCAAATTCGGAACCCAGAACAAGCAGAAATAATCCATAACAAAATAACAAGCACACCTCATAAACTTCATCTTGAAGATTCCATTTTAGATACTTCTCATGAATCGCCAATTGTTCAAAGAATTTCGACTGAGAAATTGAAAGAAATGATGAGAATCAAAGAAATATTAATTCAAGATACCACAGATGATGAAAAGGAGTCTGAATCGAGATCAATTGAAGAAATGTCTCATACAGGCTCTAAAGAAAGATATTCTAACGAGATTCATGAAATCCCCGATAGTATTAAATCTGATAGAAATACTGAAGAATTTGATTTCGACAACTCAAACACAGAGACTGATGTCTTCATTAACACTTCCGTTAATTCCGAAAGCTCAATAGCTGGTTCTAATTTTGAGGTTTTAGATAAACACAATATTTTTCTTCAAAATGATGGTAAGTGATTTGATTAAGTGGGTGCCACACAAGTATTACTCAAAATAATGCTACTAAATTATCTATCAGACTTGGAAAGAACCATAAATGAAAATAAGCTAAATGACAGCGATATAGAAAGTTCCATCATGTCAGAAAGAGAGGGAACTTTTAATTTAAGGAGCTTAGATGATTTTCATCTAACTGATAATTCAGAAGATGATAAAATATCTAATACTTCAATAGATAATAGTATGAGTAAGTTGTCTTATAAATAGAACTGACTTTCTCTTAACATCTATTTCTAGTGGGCTTATCCGAGAAAGTAAGTCAAAAGAATTTAGATGAAGTTGAGGAAATCATATCTATTTCGGATGATGGGATTGACGATATTCAAGAAGTTGAAATAAGTTCCGGTGATAAAATGACTGGAAGCAGTAATAAATCAAATTTAAGCCTTTCAATTTAGCTATAATCTAAAAAAAATTTTTCAAGGTTTACAAAGATCAATTGCTGCTCAAGAAATCTACAAGAGGTGAGTTGAAGAAATTTTACGGAAATCGTGGTAATCTTTTCGTTGTACACAGAGCTGAGCTTGAATCTGAAGATGGCGAGCAAAGTATGGATGATTCAGGTATACTCATAAAAATTTTCTTGCTATTACTTAATATTTCTAACTTTGTATTTTAGATTATTACAAAGAAGCTCCGTGCTCTATTGAATCAGCTAATGACTCTTCAGGAGACGAGAGTTTAAATTTCGATTCTTGGATGGATAGTGAAATAAAAAGATTTAAAACGACAACTTTCAATTTTGAAGTATCACAGCAATCAAGTCTAGAGATAAAAAGTGAAAAAAAAAAAGAATATATAAACTCTCAAAATTCCACTGGATGTAAGTTCATTACTTTAAAGTAAAGTTTTTTACGAATTGATATATTTTTTATTCATTATCTAGCCAACATCGGACGAGCTAGAACTGCCGAAGATTATATAGCAGCATGTCTGTCACCGGTTAGTATTCGAAATTTATTGCTCCTAAGTTTATTAAATGAAATGCTGTAGGTTGAGGGAGAAGATTCAAGTGAAGAGACTTCTACAGTAGATGATATACTAAGAAGACGCTTAGGGCGAGGATTAGAGGTATAACAAAATTGCTTTATGCATTCACAGTTTAGTCATTTGTCTGAAAAATACAGGCATTACCTATACCACATGAATTTCGTAAAGATAGTGATTCTGTGAGTAGATTACGTGAAGTAATTTGTATTAATATAATTAACTTTTTCATTTCAGCCTCAGCCAAAAAATTTGTTTACAGATTAATTGTTTTTCCATGTCGTTATAAAAAAAACAATTAACAATTATAATGAAAATGTAGTCTAAAATTAATTTAGAATTTTTCATACCATTTACGAATTAAAAATTAAATTCAGATTTTGTGTTGTATACGCTACGGCTGGTTAGACAAATTTTTGGCTGCTTCAATCCAGTCTTCGAAACTTTCGAAATCATCATTCTGAAGATCGAGTCTTGTTTCCAATGCTTTTTCAAGTAGTGCCTGAGAGATTCCCAGTTCTGAGCAATTTTCTAATAGCATTCTGGTTTTGGGATATTCCATACGCATTTTTACGTGCAGTCTTATTTCATTATCGTTCAACTTTCTAATCGTAGTTGCAGAGTCATTTTCTGACGGCCGCTCAGTTTTCTCATTTGTTGTACGTGTCTCAGTAGATCTGAAACCAGCAGAATTTCCTGGCTGATAGCTCCTAATGAATTCGATTCCCTTTTTTTCTATGAGAAATTGGCAGCTACTAGAAAATTTAGCATGTTGTATCCAGGGATCATCAGTATTATCCCACCCTGTAAACATTTAAAACATATACAGTATAGTCTATTCGCTAATATTATGTATGAACAGCATACAATAAGATTAAACCTACGTAGTAGTAAAGCTTAAAAATACAATTGACTAAGAGTATAAAATAAAAAATCAAACAACCTCGAAGTCCAACTCCACAATAGAAACATCTAGTATAATCTTGAACAGCAATAGAATAAAAGCCTGCCTCAGCAAAGAGTGTAGAACTTATACCAGTAATAGGAAACTGACTCGTGAAGGATTCCAACCTCTTACGATAGTCTTCAAAGGAAGGATATCTGGCCATCCGTGCTAAGAGCCAAATGCAGATAAATTTCGGCCATTAAGAGGTGTGTTAAGGTTGCACATAGTTCCATGTTTCAACATGGCTACAGTTTTCCCTATATTTTTGCATATATACGCAGTTTTTGTATTTATTACATAATATTTCCCATTTCATATTATGTAATTTTCCTGGGCCTTATTTTTTTTATTTAGTTAGAACAAGGCTTGTGCAACTCTTAAATATATGCCTCATTTTAATAAATATAACCTTGGATATATTTCGTAAAATATGGTTTTATTAAAAAAGTAACTGATATTACAAAATTTTATACATCTAAAACTAGATCAAGAAAATAAATAGATCAAAGTAATAAGTTCTTTCTTATGTCGATTAATTGGTCACTTAGGTCCATATTTTGTTAACTTAGCAACACTAGAATTTTCCATAATTCGACTAGAACTATCAGTCAATTCAATATTGAGAGCGTTGCGATGCTCAGTTATTTCCTTAGATACTTTTATTCTTTGGTAATTAGCAACAAGGATCATTAAAAAGTGAATCTGAAAAAAAGAAATGATTTTGTGTTTTCTTTTGTAGTATATATATTTTTTAACTGAGACTTTCTATATAATACATCTAACATCTCTAACTAAACATTTTGCACATAATTCTTCCGTAAAAATATATAAATATATATGCAATGCAAGTCCAAAGATCTAACCATCCAAGAGGAAGCTTTATCAGAACAACCATTCCAAAAATAACTTTAACCATTTCAACTTTAAAAATAAAATTAAGTAAGTTTCGGTTGGTTAAATAAAGCCTATCCCGATTGTTTTGATGATGACTAGCACTGTATAAATTTATATAATTATTATATACAGGTTTAACCGTATATAATTTATAATGGCAAACAAATGAAAAACTATATATAGACTGTATATACAGTGTATATATATATATATATATATATATGTATATATAAAAAAGAAAGTTATTTCTCTGTCAGAGCAACTGTTTCTCTATATTCAGTAATTTCCTTAGTAGCTTTTATCCTTGTGTAGTTAATTGATAAAGTCATTAGAAAGGATATCTGAAAATTTTTAATTCATATTTCAGAAAATATTGTTTTACATATTTGTCTTCTTTTTTTTTGCAATTAATTTTTAATTTATCTTTTTTTTTAATTAAAAAAATTAAATTATTAAAGAAAATTAAAATAAAATAATTAAATGAACAAAGAACAAAGAACTTCAGAATCTTTTTTCTCCGCCCAAATAGAATCAGATTTTTCTTCATTATATCTTTTAAGCAGTTTAGCATTTTATAAAAATATAAATAAGTTTGCTTGGTTTGTTTGTAATAAAGTTTTTTTTTTAAGCTTTATAATCAGAAGAATTTGTAGCAAAATAAAAAATAATAGAAGAACGCAAAGAAAGTAACAAGCATGCAAAAGACATAAAAAGCAAACAAAATCAATAATTACCATGCCGATAACAACTAGAAATGATCCTCCAAGAGCCAAACCAAACATTGGACCAGCATCTTCAACCTTTTCGCAAAAATTTCCAATTTCTGCTTCTCCGCATATAGCATTTTTTTCTATACTGTACGTAACATTCTTGTACAGACCTGAATTTATGACAGAGAAAAGAAAAATTGAGTCCTTAATTGTTTTAAGAAGAAAGAGAATAATAAACACTACCAATTCGACTTAGATTAAAACAATCGCTTTCCCTCCAAAAGTTATAGTCTTCAAAGCTTCCTTTATATTCAGTTTGGCATATGTTCCGTAGAATAATATAAATCATAATAGGTATAGTACAAACAGCAGTTATTCCCATCCAGATTAAATTCATTAGATATGTCAAGACCATAAACTGAAAGAATTATTGAAGTTCTGTTAAAGTAATATAAGTATAAAAGGTATAGTTTAAGTTTAAACTTACGAAAGCAGCACCGACACGTCCGCCCATAATGCATTTTGTTCCACTATACAATTTTTGCCTTGTTGCTCCAGTAGCTAGAAAACCGAATACTAATAAAACTATAGCATATAATCCCATAGCTATAGCTATAGCTATGAATATAATAAGTAAATTTTCCATCCATTTTACTGAGAAATTAAATAATTCTTCAAAGATTCCTCTAAGGGTTATATCCAAAGCCTTGAATAGAGTTACGCAGAAGACGCCTACGCCGACCAGTTGGATCAAAACAGCGATTAGTGAGGCGAAGGGCGTCCGACCGAGACAATCGCGGCAAACTATGTGGTTTGGTAAAAGAAAAAAAAGAATGTTCTCCTGAGGATATTGCTAGAAAAGAGATCATTATTTAAGTAGTTACCCATTTTATTTTGTATTTCTTAAAAATTTTCTATCATAGACATAAAACTTGCACTTATTGTAATAAACTTAAAACTATGGGTGATAATATGTCTAGTTTCACCTGTAGAGATAATAAAATACACAGATGTCGCTGCGTAACAAAGGTACTATGAGTCACGTGACCGGTTTCGCTGCCGACATTTTGCTCCAGGTTTGATCTAGTCGATTTTTTTCGCGCAAAACAGCTGAACTGATGAAGAGACATGGATAATTTAAATTCAAAATTTCTTTATCAGTTCTTACAAGCAATTCACTTGAAAAATAAAGAGGCCCTATTGTTTTATAATCCTATAAATAAATCATAGGGAATAAATGCTTGTTTTCACAAAGATGGCGACATTACATTAAAAAAAAAAGACATTATTTACATATATTTATATGTATGTGTATATATCTTTAGATGTAATAGTCATTACTAGAGATTAATTACAGAAGACTTATAAGATTATATATCTAAATTATAATAATAAAAAACCCTAGATAGGTCACCTGGAAGGATCAAATCAGTGCGGGTGTTATTTAAAATAATGGAAGTTATTAACGAAATGGTATAGTATTAAATTATCGTGAGATGGTTAATAGAATTAACAGAGATTTTTTGTCCTATTAAAATCAGATCGGCAACCTTTCTAATTCATTGCAAAATTTGGACGAAATGCTTCGTGTAGAGGCAATTGATTGCTTAGAGAATCTATTATTAAAGACACTATCAGAATTCACAAGAAAAAAGTGGGTTGTTTTCTTTTTTTTGTCTTCCTCTCTCTCTCTCTCTCTCTTCCCCACCATACCCTTATGATTTCTTCTCATCTCTTCCCATATACCACTTCACTAATCTTTCTAACCAGTTTTTGCATTTAATTAAAGATTCATCGTCCTTTTTTTAAATTTTCAGAATGACCATTAATTACTACAGCTTAATGAATAATGATACTGATAAGGAAATAACGGTCGATTCATTATCAATGGCTATAACGGAATATCTAAAAGAGGATAAACCGATTAAGGAACTAATTGTCTATAATTTAGCCGAATCGAAAACAATTGTTGAAGAAATGGATATTGATAAGAGTGATACTGGAAAAATCGAATTAATATTAAACGAGGAAGAAATGAACGAGGAAGAAGAAGAAGAGGAGGAGGAGGAGGAAGAGGAAAAAGAAGGGGAAGTCGATTGCGTTATCAACCGGAGTGGTATATGCCAGGAAGAAGAGGAGGAAGATGTAGCCATTAGGCGTAAAAAACGTAGGCATACAGTCGGATTTAATTATTCGGAAGAATGCGGAGAAGGCATGGGTTATACATCATTTATTGAGCCAGGACCGTATAATTGTATTCTGTGTGCGGATGTAGTATGCTCAAATGCTAATCACTACTTAGCTCATATGCAGCAAGATCATACAATAGAAAAAGGAGATAGGCAATACCTTACCTGCAACAAATGCAGTAAAGAGATGATTGTGCATAAAACGTGCAAGAATGGACCAGGGAAGGATACTCTGTATAGGCAAGCCTTTATTAGGCTTTGTCAACATGTAATTTCTTATCACGATCATCAACTGCCTACGTATCTAAAGCTCTATACATGTAGACTATGCGGTTACGAAACTGTTGTTAGACCAAATTATAGGAAACACAGCGATTACTGTAAAAGGCAAACAGGACAGAATACAATACAGCAATTAGTCACTGTAAATAAGGCTGCTAAAGCCCTTATTCAGGAGAAAACGGGAATGAAGAAATCCGATTCTTATGCCGGCCCTATTTTTGATCTGAATTCCGAGAGTTTTCCGTGTTTTCTATGTAAGGACGTATGCAAAAATGAAGACAGTTTATTCGATCATATTCTTAGTAAACATTCTGAAGAAACTGATACAAAACCTAGATCGTCAAAGACTAAATCAATCACTTGTTATAAATTTAAATGCACTTGGTCTAATTGTACTCAATCATATACATCAAGAACTGTAACGGCTTCAATAAAGGAGAGCGTCTCAAAGTTATTGTCACACTGCATTAAAGTGCATCTTATAGATATACCAAGCTACGCCAGGATATACGAGTGCGATATTTGTAGGGAAAGAATACTGTTACAAATGTCGAAACAGCACGTTCAGAAACATTTAGCCGACACAACGTTGGTAATGTGCGATGCCTGTGCGGCGTTCATTAAACCATCAATGCTAGAAAAGCATAAAGAGAAATGTAACGCTTCAGCGGAAATTCAGGACGATTTGTTCGACATTAGAGAATCTGAAAGCGACAGTGATGACGAGCAAATGTTAAGAAAGGAAGAGAATCAGGTACTCTATGTAAAAGGAGTTTTCATTGATCAAGGACCATTCCAATGTTTCATTTGTCTTGAGGAAGAGCAAAGTCTTAGCCTTTTTGTTCAACATTTTGAAAAAGAACATTATAACAATAGAAAATTGGATTGCTTACAATGTAACTTCTCTATTAACGTTCCCAAGGAAACAAATAAGGGACCAGCTTATACCTCCCTTTTTAAACAAAGTATTGCATCCCTGTTAAATCATTATGTTATCAAGCATGATCGCTTAGTACCGACTTACGCCAAGGTCTACAGGTGTTCTCATTGCTCGTACGTTACGCTATCCAGAGGTTCGTGGAGGAAGCACCAGATGACATCTCACGCCAATAAATCCGATTTTCTAACCGAGTTGAAAAGGCAGAGTGAAAATCTTGCGGACACCCTAAGTAAAAAATCGTCTATTTTCCAAAATATGACTATTAGATGCTTCTTTTGCGAAGATGAAAATTCATTTGTCGGCCATGAGAATGATGTTTTAGAGCATATTTTGAGAAATCATACTGCTAGAGTAGACGCTGAAACTTGTGTTATTGGCTGTCCACATTGCGACCGTCTTTTTACAACGAAACCATATTTAGAAGACTTACGTTTAGCAGTCGCTAGATTTCTAGCTCACGTTACTGGATCTCATTCGTTTAGTTTACCCAAATCGTGTCTTAATTTTTATGAATGCAACTCTTGCGATTATCAAACAATCGTTTATACGGCGATGAAACGTCATACTATACGACATTGTTTTGCCGCCCAATGTGAACATTGCTCCCAATGGGTGAGAGCTTCAGAAATGGCAGCTCACAAACGAAAGCATAACTCGGCAAAATCGGCTGCCGCAGTTGCGGCTGCAGCAGCTTCTTCATCAGCCTCTAATGACAGCGTCATTTGCCCTTTGTGTAATAAAAGATATCCAAATCAGGACGCCGTTAAGGTACATCAAAGGCGTATGCACGAAGGGAAACGTAATTACGAATGTACCAATTGCGGTGCAAGTTTCTTTGGCAAAGCTGAATGGTTGGGGCATATGTGGGTTAGGCATAAAATAAACGCTTCCGGACGACCACCTTTGACCTGCGATGTATGTCAATATAAAACTGTTATAAGAGATCTCATGAATAAGCATAAGAAACATCACGATTTTGGTCAGTTTAAGTGCAATCACTGCGAAAGAATTTTAAATACGAAGGCTCAATACGAAGTTCATATGCGAAGGAATCATCCACAGAATAGTGCAGGAAATAATCAATTAATTAAATGTACAATATGCAATTATACAACTGGGGATAGGACTAAATTACATCGACACGTTCAACATTCTCATCCAAATGTTCAATTTCAATGTAGATATTGCGCATTTCGACATGTCGATCAGGATAGTGTCGTTAAACATGAGTCGAGAATGCATAAAATTTTACAGCAACCGGTCGATCCGCAATTATTCGCCACGGAAATGGCGCCGTCCGTTTTCGATATCGACCGGGAACAGGATGCTATTAATCAGCAGAATGTCATACTATTCCAAGCCGGTGACGGAGTTGGTGAAATAGTCCTAGATGAAACCGAAGCTCAAAATAACCAAGTATTAAATTTTGAACAGGTAATAATCGAAGGAAATTTTACTTGAATTAACGAATACGTTTAATTATTTGTCTCATTGTTACTATTATTGTAATTATCCTGTATTATATGTACAGTACGTATGTTTGTATGCTTAATACTAACTTTTGTAAATTTTGATAGTACAAACATTTACAGAAATATGAACGAAGTTCTATCAGTTTATATATATATATATATATTACATGCATATATAATATTATATATATATATATATATATTGTATATATAAAATAGTTATTAGTTGAACACTAAAAATTGCTTGACTATCGTCTGGATGGATGAACTTAGTAATGAACGGAATGCTCTTCTTAATAATTTTTTTTGTAACTAAAATTTTTAATACCTGCAAAAATACAGTCAATAATGCAGTGTTCCATAAAAAATGACGACTAAAAACGCGCAGAAAGTTGAATCTTTCATCGAAGATATTTTTCTTTCCCTCCACCTGCGTTTAGTAGAGGGATGATGATTTCCTCTTTAATGTTCTTGCTTAATCTTGTCTTTTTAAAAAATGTTGAGCAGGCGTAGAGGAATTATTTTTACATGCACAAATATACATTATACAGATACATAGTTAGTTGCGTATACATAACTATTTACATATATACGACGTAACATATGCAGGATTAATAATTTTCCGCCAAATTTGTTGTTTTTTCTGTCTTGTTAACTACAATAACATCAAGTGAAACCATCATTTAGACATTCAATCGGAAAACGACCAAGCTTCTAATCCTTTAACTACGAAATCTTCTTGGGACGTGAGCAAATCATTATTGTAAGTTTCGCAGTGGTGCGTTCGACCATGATAAATATCGCCGTCCAACCATAAACCAAATGAGCCTCTGTTTAACGAAAAGAAAAGAGTTAGGGATAAAGAGGTTCTTCTGTTGTAAGTGACCGTAAAAATATGAAAAATACTCACTGGCCGCTGCCGATAGCCAAACTCTCCAAATTCCCTTTGACAAAGAACTGATTGGTACCAGACCAAGCAAATTTCTATATAAAATAACAAATATAATTTTTTTATAAGTCATTGACGTTCTTATCGATTAATATTACCTTAAATTGCGGAAAGAAGGTGAAAAGGAAAGACTCGCCAGTCCCATAGAAGTAATCGCTAACCTTCAAAGCGCAAGAAACCTGAGCACCAAACACGTTGTTCGACGTATCCTTTATTACGATCAAAATAGGAGAGTCGATTCCTTTCATCGATCTATAGAGCGACTTGAGACTAAATCCGTGTTTATCTGTACTATACACGCACGACCATGGATAACCAACTGTTCGTGCTGGAAGATTCTTGACCAGCTAATTGATTGTTAGGGAAGGAACGAAAAAAGAAAATCAAATATAGAAATAACAACTATCTATCTATGTATAAAATAATTAAAATAAATTCTGACAGTGTTATACAGACTTTTCTCAATTGATCATCGTTCAAGATTAGACTGACGCATCGCATTTCCGGTAACGGTGTCATTTCGTCTTCAGCTAAAGACATTCGACGTCTAGCTTCTGTAACATTAACGATCTGTCGTTTTAAATAAAATAAAAAGATGTAATAACAATAACTTTGTAAATATTGCGTTTAAATTAATTTTAATTAATAAAACAAAAGATAAAAAGGGCGGGGGAGCATAGAGAGAGAGGGAGAGAGAGAGAGAGAGAGAGAGAGAAAAAAAACAAAAAAATAAACAAAAGATATTAAATGAAGAACATATTTTTTCTGCCAATTTTTTTTTCGCCCGCAAAAAAAGAAAAAAAAATCACGTCGATAACTTCTATCGATTGGATTGGCGCTATGTACAAATCAATATGCGATAGCTGTTTAAAGCGAAACTAAAGAATAATAATTTAATTAGAATAAACCTAGTAAACAGGTATATTAATACAAAGAAAAAAAACGAATTAAATCCAAACGAAAGCCACGACGATTTGTTTCTTTCTTTTTCTCTCTTTCCCTCTTTTTGTTTTTTTTTACTTCTCTTGTTTATGAAATAAATTAATCAAAGCAAAAAAAGAAATAATAATAATCCTTTAATACAACATAAAGAATTGTCTGATATGGAGGAAAGCTTAATAAAGATTATTAATTGAATAGATTCCAAAAAATTAACCCTCATTCGTTATGATATATTTGATGTAATAAACATAGTATTGTTTAGATACTTCAAATGTTTAGTCTTTGTTCTCTATTTACAATTTATCTTAACCAGCTGATACACTGGCTATTAGTAATACCTATAAAACAACATAATAAAAATTCCTAATATTCTATAAAAAGTAAACAAAAAGTCTAGATAATTAATGTTAATTAACCGCTGATATCAGATAGGTTAGACTTATGTAAGAGTAACTAAAACCCATTAAAAAATATCCAACCTCCCACCAGGGTAATTTGCCTACAAACTGCCATCCCGGCTCCCCCGGTTCATAGTACTCGTCGACAAACATCAAACAGTCAACAGCTGAATTAATTCGAGTCATTCTCATCTTCTCGTCCTCCTCCTGTTCCTTTTCTTCCTTTTTTTTTTCACAACGAGTCTCCTTAACATCCTTTCATAGTTTTTTTCAAGTACAAATCATTTATTAATCATCTAATATTTTAATAGAGAAATTAATATAATAAAAACGCATATTTTCTCTTCTCTATCCCTTTTTTTATAAAAGAAAAAGAAAATTAGAGGCGAAAAAATAGGTTCAATTCAATCAATTAAAAAAAAAGAATAAAAAACAAAACCATAATGATAATAATTAAAATTTGATTTCTAGTCGTCTTCTCACCTTTCCCTCCCATCCATTCTTGGTAATTAGTTAATAAGATTACAATAAATAGGGAAAAAAATAAACAAACCTCCCAGTTTTTGGCTCTTTTGCTACCCTTTCTCTCGAAATGATCCTCAACAATCTCAACAGTCTCTGTTAAATCGTCGTCATCGATAACAACAAAACCCTGTTTGCAATAATGAAAATTTCTCTATAAATACAATATTCCACGTATATAACTATTGAAAAAAAAAAGAAAAAAGCATATATATGCCAAATGAACTAGACAAACTTTTTCTTTTGGATCGATGTCGTCTGAATCGTATATATCAGGCGTCCAATGTAAGAAGAAGGCGTATAGATTATCCACCCTGATAAGAGAAAATTAACCGCTGTTATATCCTTTATGGAAAATACAAATTCATATCGTATTTCCACTTAAGGTTAGAGATGTGTTATGCATAGAATATGTTGTTTTCTTTTATATTTTAAACCAGAAACATGTATGTAACAGCAGGCCTCCGCAAATTTTTTTTTTTTTTTATAGGCAGACCCGCACCATATTTTTTTATTTTTCTTTTAATTTCAAATCAATATTTAAGTCCGTTTTAATATACGCCTGCTAATTACGAAGAACTAATTATAATTATTCTCACTTATCTCTTGGTATAGAAAACCAGTATTCTGGTTTTTTTCTCTTTCTCCCGTAGGATTCGAATGGGCAGGCCTCAGAAACCTAAGCGTGTCGTATTCGAAAACAAATTCGTTAGACTTTAATATTCTTATCTCTTAGTTTTTATATAAACAAAAGTTTTAATGTACTACAAACCCGTTTATTTAAAGGTTTTCCAATCTTCAAGCATAAATATAATGGCGGATGTTCGTATTGTGCCGCTGGCCTTGGAATCAGTTCTGTTGTAAATATTTAATTGATAAAAAAATGAAGAGAGAGAATTATTTCATTTTAAAAATGTCAATAAAAATAAAAATTAATAAAAATCATTTGGAAAAAATTGAATTGGAGAAAAAGACGAAATGTTTCGGCCATCTTTTCACTTATTATCATTTTATATAAATAAATAAAAAATCATTTTAGAAAATTTGTTTTGTGCAAAAAAAAAAACAGAGAAAAGATGAAAGGAAAACATTTTTTTTCTGTTTTTAAATATTAACAAACAAATAAAAACGAAAATAAACAAATTAATTATGTGCGCAAAAAGGAGAAAAATTATTTAACTACTTGTAAAAACTATGCGTTTAATTCTTCTGTGTATCAATCTACAAGACGATTGACGTCCTGACTTTGATAACAAACATGCTCCATGTCAGCTTCCAGTACGTTAGGGGGGTAACGTTTACTTTCGGAAGTAGTCGAAACAACAAGGAACGTAATTATAACAATTAATGACATTAGGGACATTTTTTCATATATACATATATTATTTATACTTGGACTTAATAAAAGGTGACTTAATAGATAAAAATACGATTATATATACTGAATAATACATCTATAATTCATATATGTATATATGCAAATAAATGCGTAGTACTTGGCATAAACATGTGCGTAAAACAGTTTTAAATCAATAGCTAAATATATATATATATACATATATATATATAATTTATAACTAAGTCTTTTTGTTGTTGTTTTCTTTTTTTTGCTTATAGGCAATAACAATCAATACTCGATATTCTTTTAATTTAAATTTCTTTATAGGGTGATAGGAAGGGTTTCTTTTCATCATAGCAAAAAGAAAAGCGATACAAAATAAAAGCTGTTCTACGACAAATTTTACCTTTTCGTTTCAGACTTTTTTCGCGTCTCACTGAATCAGTATAAAAACACAAAAAATGAAAAAGAAAAAACAAAACAAAACAAAACAAACCAAAAAACTCAAACAATAATAACAAAAAAAAAAATAACAGACAAATAAAAATTGAATATTTTCTTTTTTGTTTTTTTAAAAAAAAAATTACTTTCATTTTTTTTTTGTTTCTTATATAAAGTTAAAAAAAGAGTAAGGTGAACAAACTAATTTTTATAGTAAAGGAGAAGATGATATAATTGATATTTTTTTGTTTTTTTTTAGATATTCGTTTTCTATTAAAGAAAAAAAGATGATAATTTAAGGAGGAAAAGAGAAATATAAAGAAAAAATACAGTATATATGTTTAGTATACTGTAATAATCACGAAATTTAAATAATAATTAGTCTGTCTACAACGGCAAACGAATTAACTGGTTTTTTTTTTGTTTTTCCTTACCTGCGTATTTTCTATGAACATATATTTATGAAAATACAAAATTGATACACACCTAATGCTGTATGGGGAACGAGGAATTGATAGATAAGAAAGAAATTTTATATATAGTTTGGATAAATTTAGAATGAAGGGTACAATGTTATAACAAACCTTCTAACGATTTGAATAATTCAGGCTTTTCGTCCGCTTTGACTGCACTCTCGACAGACGTTTCTTTCTCGCTAGAACTGCTTTCTTCACTGGTAGCACCTTTAAAAAATCCTGAAGAAAAATCCACAAACGACGATAGATTAGGTGAAGCAGGAAAGGACCCAATTGACGATCCTAATGAACCAAGTGTCCTACCAATAAGTGACCCGGATTTCGGTCCACTCTCACTATCCCCTGAAGCCTGTGCTGGAATGCTGATAGGGCAGGGAGTCTTTTTTGTTTTGCTTTCGTCATTGTCATTTGAGGTAATGTCTTCTCCCAGACCGCTTTCGACACTATTCCCTTCAAGAGTTTTATCTTGATCTTCGTCCTTTTGGTGATCGTTTAATTTCTCCTTCTTTTCCCCTTTGTCCTTATCCTCATTTTCGCTCGGTTCTTCTAAAACAGTTTGTGCACAGGAGCAATTTTCGTTATTTGGGCAATCACTAACGTGATAAACTTCTGACTGGACTGGCTCGTCAGTACTTGTCGACAGTCTCATTGCTGCTATATCATGATAAATAGCGGCTGACATGACCGTTTCAATGGGTGCCATCATTCCATACTTGTCAGCGCTATGCTCCAAAACTAACGGATCAGAGACATTTGGATCGAACATAACAGCATTAGGCGTAACCAGTAAAGTACCCGCGACCACTCCTTCCCCGTCGGTAATATGCTTGACAGAGACCTTGATAAATCTTTCAAGACATTCGGCGTCTAATTTGGAGTCGCCTTCTCCACCCTGTTCCTTTCCAACGCCAGCTGCTACCCTGGCGGCATGGCCTGGTAGTTTGCTTGCTTGTCGCATAGCGGCTGCCGTTCCGTCCTGCATAAATATTAGAGGCCGTGTAAGAGGCGTTAAGTACATAAAATCTAAGGAAATAACGTCACTAATAGCGAAGCTGGACGATCAATCTTACCTTTTAAGATTTAAAGGGCGTACATAAATATTTTATGAATATACAAATACATATGTATTTATCCTTTTTAATTCATGATAATGGTGCAATTTAACGTTAACTAGGAATAAATAGTATATACATTTATACATATGTAGATACTATAAGAGAGTGTAACGAAATGTTTATGTATATAAACTATATATATACATGTTATTTTTTTTCTTTCTATTGTATGAAAAGTAACATGCATTTAATACACTAGGGAACGACAATTGAACTATTTGAACAATAAATTCTCACCTTAAGACCAAACAGAAATCTCTTAAGCGAGCTCTGATAGATAGAAAAGAAATCACGTTCTACCCGAATCAATTAATAGATCATTTTACAGAAAAATATAAGAGATAGAATAAAATAAAGTAGTCTAAAAAAATAACACTCTAACATGTATCTAGTATATATATATATATACATATATATATATATATATATATATATAGATAGATACTATATGTATAATAAATATGTCACTGGTAGAAATAGATTGGATATCATCATGCAGTAGCGAAATGCAGTAGGAAAAAATATCTCTACCATCTATCAAGAGAGCAAAAAAAAAAAGAAGAGAAAACACTACGACTGCTCCAAATATAAACGTAAACAAGAAGAAAATATTTACAACAACAAATAATATTTATATTTATATATGACATATTTGTTATTTTTTAACTTATTAAATTAAATAATATATTATTAATAATAGTAAAAAGAAAAAAAATGCTATTGAAAAGATACACCAATTCTTAATGCTAAACAATAATAGGGGGCATTCCAGTAAGAAATTTTCTATTAATAACTTGGATAAGGCTAACAATACGGGTATTTTGTTTATAGCAACTTAAATTATTAATTATCGTAATAATATCAATAATAATACTAAAAAATTGGATATAAAAGAAAAAATAATAGGCATAAAAAGAAAAAAACTAGCTTCTTACCGGTGTATTAGGTGATTTATTTGGGCTGGCAGCTGGCTTTTCCTCATCATCTTTCTCTTTTTCCTTTTCCTTTTCTTTCTCTTTATCCTTTGGACTTTTGGGACTTTTAGGTGATGAACAGGTCGCACTAAGAGTAGCATAATCTTTACTGGGAACGTACAGTTTCTAAAGTGGGAAGATAAAAATTTTTAACCGTAGTGTAAACAAAACTCTATTAGCGATGAGAGGAGGAAGTGAAATGAGGAAGAGGAAGGTATACAATAAAGAGAGAGCGAGAGAGAGAAAGGATGAAGGAGTATACACTATATATATATATATATATATATATATATATAGATAGATAGATATATATAAAGTATATATATATAAATTTATACAGAATATACTGTATATATATATATATAGATTAATAGATAGATAAAGGTAACATAATAAATAAATCTCAATGTTTCAAACTTCAGCTCAAAATAGCATCAATTTATCACAGATAGAGATATAGATATATGTTTTTGTATATACCTGGCCAGCAAAAATAAATTGATTCATTAGCTTATTGATCTTCTTTAATTCTGATGGAGTAGTGTCGAATTGCGCAGCGATTGACGTCAACGTATCTCGATCCGATACCTTTAAGAAAACATAGAATGACAGGGGGAAAATGCGTAGGTAAAGGGGACGGCAGGATACCGTTCCGAAGAAATCGCTTTTTATCGACGCGCCTCGGGCCCTAATAGTCGAACAGCGCTTGTTCGTGCTAGTTTACGCAATCGGGACAACTACAGCCAAAGGCTATTGCGAAAGGAGCAAGCCCATAAACGAAGTGGGAAAAAAAATAGCGTAGAAAATAACAACAAAAACGCAGAACGTCTGTTTGCTCTGTTGTCGTCAGCGCTAATCAATGACTTGCTCTCGCCTTGTTGCGACTTCAGAGTGACGTCAGGCAAAACTGTTGTAATATTAGATGGTTCATTTTCGGTTATCTCTAAACGCTTCTTACGAGAGGGCATTCCTATATGCATTCCTATATCGACTATTTCAAAAGATTGTCTACTTACGAAATACTCCAAGGTGCCAAGAGGCTGGGCTGATGTTTTCTTGCAAACATTATCTTGCAGGACAGGACATTTTTCTTCGGCCGGTGAGGATTTGTTTGGTGAACGCAGAGGATCTATAATTATTAAACAAACCGTTCCAGTGTAAATTGGATGTTGTCGGGCGAAAAGTGAAGTTGGAACGTGATAGGCATTCCATTACACTTTTTTTAGGTTCTTGTTTTTTTTCCCTACAAACCTTTATTTGATTCTGACGAACCGGAACGTGGTTTTGGTGCAACTGACGCTGCTATACTATCTGCAAGATTATCCAGAGGAGTGATAACTCTTCCTGCGACACTTGCTGTGTTGTCCCCCACTTCAATAGCCTTGTTCCTATTTGAAAGATAGCCTCATATGAAGGTAGAAATAAGAGAAAGGAGCCAGTGACACCTCGGCCTTCTACAATCGATTTGTTTCGTCGAGCAAAATAGCGGAAAATTTTCAGTAAAACGCTAGCACAAATCCGTCTAACTTAACGTTTCTATGGAAACCCCGCGGAAAGTTGCTCTCATTGTTATCGAACATTTTCCCTCTCATTTTATTCAGTCCGTTAATTAACACACCACAAATTAACTACAGAGTATCTGGCTTAAATAGATTACTCAGCCAACGATTTGGGGTAGCATTATATTACATTTTCTCCAACTAAGAGAAAACAAGCTATACGTACTTGACAGCAGTTAATTTTTCACGTGCTTTCGATCCCTTTTCCTTTAAAGATTTTCTGAACTGATTCGTCAAAGACTCGCTATCCATGATTCCTCTACATTAGCATATGTGGCTGCAATATTTCGCTTTTTAGTTGCCTGATTAATATGTATAAAATTGGCGAACTGCACTAACATCTGCCGAATACCTTATTATCAAATTGCATATAGATCGAAAAAAAGATACGATTTGTTTTTGTTTTCCTTTTTAACCACTCGTAAATATGTATAATTACTCACGTCTCCTTTAGATAATTATCGATATTGTCCTCTATTTTCACTACGACATGCTTTCTTAAAAATACATCGTCCTTTTTATTTTTGTAATTTTAAAGAATAAACATCCTTGGTCAGCTTGTATGTGCAGCAGTAACAAACGCTCTTGCTTCTGCAAAATCTGCAGGAAACTGTGACGTCACGGTTCTTTCCCAAGAAGTCTGGCTACGGGCCTTGTTTATGTAAACAACGAATTGTCAAAATCATTTTTTGTATGAATTCTCTCTGATAGAAATAATTTATTATAAATACTAACTTTTGTATTATAGATCGACAGGGAACCACACTTATTTAGTGCGAACCTGTGAAGCAGACAATATATGTTTACAAAAGAATTCTTAACTTTTTTCCTTCTCAATTAAGTTTTGCTACATATATATAAATCACTTTCGTGTAGGAATGAAACAACTAAATTTTAATAAAGATGAAGATATTTCAAACTTAACTAAAGTTCAGGTAAATTTAGTCTATTTTCAAATTTTCCTGATACTGATCAAAAATATTCTATTACAAAAGGCGGTATGCAGGGGTTGGCTATGGAGAAAACATTTAAAAGAGTTATCTCAAAGTTTCTTGTTAATGTGCAAAGAATTTGACAAAGATGAATATGACACTACAAAATATTTACATATCCCTTTTCTATATCAAAGGGATCGAAAATCTATTCAGGAACATCAAACAGAAAATCGAGTTATAGAAAATGTTGTACAGAATGCCGAAATTCTTAAATGTGATGCTGAAAATCAGTACGAATCGTTAGATGCAGATTCAACATTGACCTCAGTTTCTGAAGTTGATTTGGAGGATGGAGTCTCATTAATTAAATCAGCAGAATTTACAACGGATCGTAAGAAAGAATTCATATGCATTTATTTATGTCAAACACATAATCCCATACAGAAAACACAGAACAGCCCACATATGATCGCAACCAATTGGAGCGTCTTCAACATGAATCAATGCTTGAACTTTTATGGTTGCAGAACGCAATACAAAACCGAAAAGAGGTATAAAAATATAAATGTAAAAATTTTTTAACTAAACTGAACAAATTTTCATCTACAGTATTTGCAAATGAAAAAAAATGCCGAATAAATAGACCTATTTTGACAAATTTACATAATAAACCAGAAATACTTTTAGAAAACTTGGAATCATTCTTCTTCATCAGCAGCCCATATTTGACTAATTTCCCTTCCGTTTAAGAATAAACCGATTTCGTTTTTCTTGCTGTTAATCGACGCCTGAAATCGATTTCCTTTTATCTTCAAAAATTTGTGGAGTTTTTCAGCCGTCTTCTCACTCCAAACGAACCTACTCAAACGACACTTAGTTTTGATTATAAGCTTCGGTACGCAAGACAAATACTTCGGCAATTCAAAGACTAATTTTATCGGAACATGTACGATGTCATTACTATCAATATTTCGTATAACTAAACGATCTCCATATATTTCTTCAACGATTCCCCTTATATAATTCGACTTGTCCATAGTTAATACAGTTGAACCCAGGTTGACATACTTGACTCTTTTTAATTCTGGGTCATTGCTGCAGTATTTTAGAGCCGAAAATAAATATTCAGTATTTTCATCCTTCAACAATATCCATACATTATCTTTATCTACTTTCACGACGTAGACGTGAAATCTCAATACTTTATCAGGCAACACTGCATCACCGTGAAATAACTTTGGAAGATAATCCATTACTATATCAGTAACTCGTCGATTATCTTCAGTAAACAAATCGACCAACAGCTCCTTTGAATCCGACGTTATGCAACGGACAGCTGTTAGAACTTGTGATTGTATTAACCTTCGCACGAAACGCGAAACAATTGTCGTACATGCCCAATCAACATTCAAATCAACTAGACTGAGTAAAACAGCCTCGTAGGGCACTTTCTTATCAATTTCACTCGGCAGTTTTCTTACATCTGATAAATTTACGTTCTCGTAATCTCCAAGATCTAAATAACGAACTTTGATGCAATTATCTTCGGTACTTACTACTCTCCCCCGCAAGCAGTAGTCCTGACCATCAGATGACAGCTTAATAGCAACGTTTTCACCTAAATGGACTTGCGTTGCCACATGCTGGAACAACGATTTCAGATCAACTTGAATCTTTGCAAGTTCCGAAGTTTGATCTGAAAGTTTGGCAAAAAAACATTTAGGTGACACAAGGTACGTTACTATAAGCTGAAATCTGATGCAGGAGTCGGGGATAGAGAGAGTTGGCATAGTCTGATTCAATATACTTTTGGTGAAATCTTTTCCGTCAATCTCAAGATTCACAATAATGGCATTGCCATCGAAAGGTGCAATCTGCTTAAGAGTTACGCACGTTTCGAGGTCTCTCAGTTTCTGGTGTGCAGTGGATACATAAGGCAAAGGCATGAGGGAACAATGGTAAGCATAGCCTGGAGTAGATGCCAATTCAGGAGGTAAATATCGAACTTCTGACCATGAGAGTGTCGCTCTGTTTCCCCAGTCTACAAAAAATACCGTTACAGTCTTTGTATCTACGAAGACTGTTTCAATATTGGCTCTAAACCATAGATTTTGCAAAGAGGCCAAACAAGAAGTGTTCTTTTGAATAACTGTAGGCAGTGATTTGTAATTTTTAACCTTCTCCTCTAATTCTAAGCGACAATCATCCTCGTTCATTATCTAAAATAAATTAAATAGTCAATCGAATTATATAAAACAGTTAGATCTTCAATTTACGTAAGTCTTACTTGAACGTAAAATGAATCAACAGAATAAACAGCACTTATGGCTACATCCACACTATCGAATTTTAGCTTTCCAGGCTCTATTGGAGGAGTTAAAGGATTTACTTTATACAAGATTTTTTCTGTTTCTTTCTTTTCTTCAATCCATTTTGTACAGGCAAAAATGTCGAATGCATGCTTCCATTCTTTGACTTTTTTCTGAGTACTAATTGACCTTTTCGTAAGAAAACGAAACGGTACTTTCTCTGTGAATTCATTATATAAGTTTTGAAGCTCAATAGTGTCCTTTATTGCAACCGGATTCTTCTCTCCTTTATAAGTAAGCTCTTCAATTGGCTCGACTACAGGTACATTTGAAGGGACTGGGCTGCTTTCATACGAAAAGTCACTCTTCGAATAAGTACACTCAATATTGGCAGTAGGATCTTTCAGGTCGCATCCACTTTTGTTCTGTAGCACTTTTCGACGAAATATATCTTTTTTAGTTTCAAGTGAAGTATGATATTCAATAACGCTGTCCCTTTCCCTCAGAGACAACGTTTGGCTTAACTCTCGAATGACGAAATCTTCGACGGTGACGTAGCCTTTTTCGCAAAGAAATTTGTTTGGTATTATTTCCCGATATTTTCTGAAATATTTCGGGCCAATAGTTCTATCAAGCTTTCCATTTCCCTCCTCCACGAAGAGTTCTAATAGTTTAATGGAGAGTTCATTAATAGTCTCGTCCGACATTCTGAAAAAAATAATTCAACACATGTAGTTAACGGCTGCCATTTTAAAAGTGCGGAAAGCTGAAAAACGACTTTTTGGACATGATATTAAATTCCAAATAAATCAATTTAGCGTTTAATATATATTTAGCAACTATATTAGCCTTCCACAGTTAATTATTTTCAAAAAAAGTCGATTTTAGAAAAGTTTCTATCGACTTCCATTATGAATAGGAAAAGTTATAATAAAAGCTTCAAAATTATACTTAAGTCGTTAATACAGCTGTGTAAATTTTAGTAAATAATTTCATACCTTTCAACTCCGTTAAAGTATTCTCTGTCGTCAGCTATGGGGTTAACACATATTTTGTCAACGAAGTTATGTTCGCGCCAGGCCGTTCCGAAGTGCTGGAAAAACGTGATTTTCCACATGAGCACCAAAAAATTATTTCAAAATTTTCTCAAAATTTTAATTTAAATTTCCATAAAAATATTTTATTCAATAAAAAGTTTTATTCAAATGAAAAAAATGTTTATTAAAAAATATTTTTTATAGAAAAAAACGGAAGTTTACGTTGGAATATTTTACTATTTGCCAGCGTGTTTATATTCAATTTACAAAAATAAAACTCGTCAATTTCCTTGAAAATGTTGGAAGTTTCTGTGCTTAATTTATCCATTCTACTTAGTGTTATGATTTCACTAGCAATAATAATAGTGAGTATGACAACTGCTCTTTAAAACGACTATTTGACTTTTATGATAGAGAGCGATAATACAGTTTCAAGAGCTTTCTTTAATACTAATACTCCAAAACTGGATTGTTTTAACCTCCTATTTATTGTTTTATAGATCCTCATATACGCATACACAGGAACTAGAAAACCGAATGTAAAACGCTATGATTCCGAGAGAAAATATATTGATCCAGCGAATGACAATAAAGTTTTAGAATTTCCTAGCTTAGAAGACCCACCTACCAAAGAACTATCAGTAATCATACCGGCATACAACGAAGAGAAGAGATGTAAGTCAATCAACTCTAAACATTGCTTTTATACTGCATTAATCTACGTATATATATATGTATATATTTATTTGTTTTAGTACCGAAAATGATCGAAGAGGCAATGGAGTATCTGAATAAAAAATTCGTAAGTAGCGTATATAAAAAATTAACTATGTTAATAGTGAATAGTATATTTATTAAAGTAAGCAATGAAAAAATCTATTTGATCAATTTTAAAGGCAAATGCAGATGAAAAGTCTGGCTTTGAAATAATAGTCGTTGATGACGGAAGCTCGGATAAAACTACAAACGTTTGTATTAAATATTTACAAATTTGTATCTAAATATAGAATAGAACTTATTTAAATAAATAAAGAATAAATTATTTCTAATATTTATACAGATTGCAAGATCTTATAGCAAAAAATACGGAACAGATAAATTTCGTGTTCTAACACTCGTTGAAAATAGAGGAAAAGGTGGCGCAATTAGAATGGTTTGATTTATTTATAAAGAAATAATTAACTATAAGAACTATTCTGAAAAATTTCTATTAATATAATTATTTTATTTTCTTCTATTTCTAATAGGGGGCATTCGTATCTAGGGGGCGCTACATACTCTTTGCTGACGCCGATGGCGCAACAAAATTTTCTGATATACAAAAATTAGATAAATTAATTAGAGAAATTCAAACAAAACATAAAGTAATATTCACACTTTTATAAATAATATGCTTATTAATATAATTATTGTTTTAACCTAAATGAAAGGAGGAAATGGCTATAGCATGCGGTTCTAGAGCTCATTTAGAGAAGGAGGCAATAGCATCGGTAAGAACATTATAATATCTTTAATCTTGAGCAATAATGACTAACTGAGAATCTTTTATCCCCATACTTTATTTTTAGCGTTCCTTTTTTAGAACTATACTCATGAAAGGATTTCACCTGATTGTATGGCTTTTTTGCGTCAAATCCATAAAAGATACCCAATGCGGATTTAAATTATTGACAAGACCTGCAGCCAGTGTATTATTTAGGATAATGCATGTAGATAGATGGTTATTATTATTATATCATCATATGTCTTTCTTTTTTATTCGAGTATTTTATTAATTCTATTAAAATGAAACTTTATTTTCATTTATAGGGCGTTCGATGTTGATCTTTTACACGTTGCCGAACAATTACGTATACCTATTGACGAAGTTCCAGTAACTTGGACAGAGATTGAAGGATCTAAAATTGTTCCGATCTTTAGTTGGTTACAAATGGGTAAAGATATCGTAGCAATCCGATTAAGGTGGGTCTATTACGGACTAGTAATTAGTTTTATTATCCAAAAATATCTCTTTATTTTCTTTTCTTCTTCTTTTCAGGTATAGCCTAGGAGTGTGGAAAATTTTACCAATCGATTTCAATGAAATCCGCCGTAGATCTTAGGAGATTTCTTTGTCATTGTTTTTTCTCTTTCTTTCTCTCTCTCTCTCTCAAAATTACAGTGTCTGGTTAACATTCTATCTCTCTCTTTCTCTCTCTCTCTCCCTCTCTCTCATTTATTCATCACTTTTTCTCTCTATCTCTCTGGGTTGTTCTCAATACTTGTTTTTTTTTGTTTTGTTCAAACGATTGTTTAAAACGAAACCAATATGAAAATAATAAATCGAGAGAAGAGGAAAAGAAGAGAAAAAAAAAGCGAATTGATATAAAAATTTGTCATGATCTTTTTGTTATTCTTGATTAAAGAGATAAAAATCTTACAAAATTTAATTATAAAGTCTATTTTCTTCATTAGAATTTTGTGTTTATTCTACTTTTGCTTGTATATAACATATATAAATTTATACTGTATATACAAATAGATATATATATAAAATCTTCATTTACATACGAGTTGTGTCGTAGTCAGCTTTATCAAGTGGTGGCCCTAGTCTCTCGATAGGTATATCTCTTAAATAGGCCTGATTTATTTCACCATTAAAATTATATGGATCTTCGTCTTCTTTATCTCCTTGCCATCTAAAACGATATAGTAGAGCTGTACAAAGTGCAAGAAATATATATCCTCCAAAAGCCGAACATCCAATTATCGTACTTTTACGGTATACACTCCACGTTGAAATAAAATAAGGACCTTTTTTCATAAAGACAGTAATAATGAGAATGATAAAGGAATAAAGAATTGAAAAGTTAACCATTAATATTGATTCCACGCTTAATTAGCCTAATATTCGTATCGTTTGTAAAAACGCAATAATAGACTCCAAGATCTAACTTTTGTACGGTATTTATAGTTAAATTACCGTCATCTTCAACCTGAAATCGACCATTTACCGATGCTAAAATGAATATGCAACGTCAATAGTTATATAGCATTTTTTGTATAATATTTTATCTACTTACGTATACGCAATTGCGTTCCATTCGGTAAAATCCAATATTCTCTGTCAGCTTTGTTATATTCTTCTGGAAAAGTACAGTTTATGGTTGCTCTTTGACTATTTAATTCATCGACTTGCGAGTACCATGAATCTCCTAGTTGTGCATCAATTAGAGAAATATTTAAAAGGATAAACAAAGCTATCAATAATGCTCTTGAATTCATAGCTAATATTCAACACTATCGATTCACGGACTATGTATTTATACAGTATAAAGTATACAATATATATCTTACAACTGGTTATCTGTTATCAGTTAACTGTTATTAATTCATTTTCTGACCAAAATTTTCGAGTCATACACAGTAATCAGCGTAGTAAATAGATCTTTTGAAGCAGTCTTTAAACCAGTAGAACACTTTAGATATTTCCCCTTTTTGTGTGATAGTGAAATTGATTGAGCGGACTCTTAGCGCATTCACTTGGGCGTCCACTCGCCGTTTAACTAATCCACGCGCGGGGGATTATGAGAACTAATCGCGTGTCCGTTGCGAGTTGGGCGTCACCGGCGTCATGTGCTAGGCGTCACACTGCGTTAGGAGAGCATATATATATACGTTTAAGTTTATTTTTCATGCTATCTTTGGAGAGAAAAAGTCGAAAAGAGACGTAAAGTAAAAATTCTGAAATTGAAAGTATCACTAGAAGATAAGAAAAGAGAAAGAACGTAGATAGAAAAGAAGAAGAAAAAAAAGAGATTAGAGAAGATTTTTACCGTTTTATCTTTGATTAATCTAAAGGAAAAGTGGTGAAAAGGAGCATTGGTTGAACATAGTAAGTATTCTAATCTGATTATATTATAAGACAATTTTCAACAATCCTTACGTTTACATACAATATTATTAGTTGATTTTCAATTGCAGATGATTGAAGTTTTGGTAAGTTGATTTGCGGATTTTCTCTAATCTTAAGTAAACCCTATCGAGAATTTACAAGTATATAATATAAAGTAAATACAGTATACAGTATATGTATATAAAATTAATACCAGATATATGTACAAGTTATAATAATTTATGCTTAAAAGACTCTTAACCATGACGAAAATCATTCAAAAATCTCTTTTTTGTATATTCTAAAAGGAACAAAGTATACTTTTCTTTATTATTATTATTACCATTATTACAAGTTTAAAGTATAAAACGGTAGTCATAAATTACCTTGGCCGATACCCGCCCCAATATTCAATTACTTTAATATCTTATAATAGTAATTATTAATTATTACAATCGATTAATGCCAATAATCAACGTTTTAAAGAAATCTATTATGTTCTAGTTTTTGACCATTTTTTTCTTGCTTGATATTTTTCTCAATGGTCTTTTTAAGTAATATTTTTATGCCACAAAAACTTGGATTAGTTAGGGTTTTTTCTTTTCTCTTCTTCTTTCTCCTTAGAGATTATTAGTGTAAACGTCATAGGAAGAGACAAATAGACTACCAATATCGATATTTGGACAGTATTGAGTATATAATAATTATTTGACCTTTAAAAGTACAAAACTGCTACGGATTTCACCTTTTTTTATTCGTTTTATTGTTTCTTGCCCTCTAACTTTTCGCATACACTTCTCTCTCTCTCTCTCTCTCTCTCCCCTCTGTATTGCCCTCCCCCCCCTTCGCCTGTTGTTAGTAGAACTATTGAATAAAAAGGGGAAGGGTAGTGGGCGGTAAACTAAAAAATATAAAAGAAAGAAAAATAATCATCCGTTCAAAAGGGATAGACAGAAAGTAGGTACAGATAGAGAGATTATAAAAATAAAAGAAAAATAAACCCAACTATTACGCAAAAAACTTTTTTTTGAAGGCTCGTGATGTCCATTGTGATATTCGGTTACGTTTTCGACGCGTGCTTCGTTAAAATTATCCGTCAAATGAGAACAAAGCCGATTGCGCCGGACGCGTTCGTACACGCGTTTATGGTTTCCATTATACCTTTATACTCTGTAGTATATACTATTTTATATATACTGTATATATATATATTTATATATATGCTGTATATTTTCAATTCCCCTATTCTAACTTTTTAATAGAAACCGACGCAGCTTGACGCTCTTCATTCGGACAGTCTCCCACACTCGAACAATCGTTTAGAATTCGCGCTCGTTACCCTATTGTCCCCCGGTCATTATATAACTACAAAGCGGCTTAGAGATAAGACACGGTTAGGCCTATATTTAATTGCTATACCAGTCTAAATGACGTAGTCAGCCGACGCATGACGGAGATTTCAATACGCCTTCTTTGCCGACTTACGTTAAATCTCTCGTGCTAGTTCATAAGGATTATAGACTGTTCGGTTTCAATATATTGGCTAATCACTTTCTTCCGTGCTCTTTTTGTCAAAAGTCTCTTAGCTTTCTTAACATATTGGAAGAGAAAACATTAGGAAAGCTTGATTATCTTTTGGAAAAACAACAAAAGAATTAGATATATATATATATATATATGCTTATGTATATGTATATATATATATATATATATAACTATATATATATACAAATGTATAACATAAATGATATATGTATGTGTTAATATATATATATATATATATATATATATCATGGTTTAAATTAATTCTTTATTGAAAAAACCAATAGAAAATGTCTGTTGAAGAAGGAATGGATAAGTCGAAACTTACCTCCCCATCTTCATCTCCGATAAAAGAAGATATGGCTGCAAATCTATCATCGTCAAGTACACTATTTTCTCAGGTTTGTATTTGTTTGTTTAAGAAAAAAAGACAAAAAATGGTCTATTTCCATTATTAAGATTTGTATAGCTATATAAGATATATAGTTTTATTGAATATTACTTTACTACCTTTACAAGTAAACAAAGACTGTAATACTGTATATAAACTATATACTGTATATAATAAGGCGAGACATTAAGTATGTCTGGTATATAGTTGTTGTTATTAGAGACGAAGGAAGAACGTTTATGCCGCTTTGTGATATATTGGAAGTGTTTTTTCTTTGTAAGATTTTCTTCAATTCCTAATATTTACAATCATATTATGAAAACATAAACGTGTTAACTAAATATTTAAGCCAGCTCTTATATAGATAATACTAAGCTTTTAGTAATAAGGTGACAATACGAAGATCATCACCAATCCACATAAAGCACTTGACAATAATCCGTCCTTTCGCTCAAAATGTTTGTTTACGTTAGACGTAAGCTTCCTAAGTAAGTCATATATTGACACTTTATAGACTTATTACTATTACTTTTTTTTATATTAAATGGGAATAATGCTGTCCTTTTATTTCCGTATTTTTTGTTTTTACATAATATTGCAAATAAATAAGTAGTTAATTGTATACTAAACGTAAAATCCCTTTGGTAATTGGCGTCAAAGTAAGAACAAAAAGAGACTATCAATAGGGGTTGTCAACTAGAGGATTTCTCTTTTTCATTCAATCCCCTCTTTCCATCCGTTAGGGGTGTGTCTAGAATATCTACACTAGAGAGATTTAAATACGCCATTTGTTGTTTGGGTAGTGATTGAAATTGTTTTCGTCTGTATTTGTTTTCTTTTCTGTTTAATGTTTTACGTTTATTCTTGTTCTTGTTGTTGTTTTTCTTCTTTTTCTTCTCTCATTTCTCCGTCAACGTCTTCTTGTTTTAACCTTATTGTACAAAAGTTTTTATATACTGTATATAGAGTTTTCTTTAATTCGGCAATAATTCGGTAGCGTGTCTAAACAAGATTGCGGCGTTTGAAAGCCACAACAAAGGTAAGCTTTCAGCCATCGAATGATATAGACTCTTATTGGTTTAATGAAGTGTATAGTTCGCTAAATATTCTGGCTATTTATTAGAATAAAGAAGGAGTAAATATATTTGCCGCTCTTGATCTTTTTTCTTTTCTTTGTTTACAGAGTATAGCCACATTAGATCCGGCTACCGCACCCGAATTGATGAACCTACAAAGGACAACTCAATCTGAATCCTCCTTAGCTATGACCTCTGCACACAACTTTTCGGAATTTCCTCACAATGGAATTTTTCCTTCGCCAAGAATTGATTCCTATCTCTCACCCGACTATTCCGCGAGTTATTATCCTGCCGATGTATTCTCTCCGCCATTAGCGAAAAAGGATTGGGATGTTGCTCACTATTCGAGTTTTAATACATACTCTACAAACGGAAGTAGACCTTCCTATCCAAACGATTACGCTACGTCTAGATCGTCGTATTACACAGGTTGCGCCTATGTCGGACAAACGCCCTCGTATGAGGCGTCTTTTAACGGAACTGAATGCAGTAGCCGTAAAGTATTGAATACATTTTCAACTGATAAGAAATCGCCTAGAGGCGAAGAGGAAGAGAGTCCCGATGAGAATGGAGAGAGACCAACGAGAAGAGCTCGTAGAAATAGAACTTCATTCACAAAGCAGCAATTGGAAAGTCTAGAAACTATGTTCGGTGAACAAAAGTATCCCGATTTCTATCAACGTGAGGAGATAGCTACCCAATTAGGTCTTAAGGAGGAAGTCGTTCGAGTTTGGTTTAAGAATAGGAGAGCTAAACTGAAAAAGGACGCAAAAGGTGGTAAGAATCAAACAGATAGTTCTTCGAGATCCAATAGTCCAATTGCAACATCCCAAGGATATGGTTCATACTATCACCATCCAATGCATGGTCTAACAACGCCATCTATGGGCTCATACCAACATCAAATACCAGCCCATCATTACGCGTCAGTTAAATTAGAGCCTTATACACCTCTAAACTCTTCAATCCACGAGGAGGTTGACCCTTCCCCTTTTAATCATGCTATGAAACCAATTGATATTAAGCCTACTACGCTTAATGATAACTGAGAGGTGGAAGATAGAAAGCCAACAATAAAAAAAAATTCGTATACTTTAAATTGTTTCTTGTTAAAAGTTATATTTGTTTGTTTAATTTTTTATTAACTTATAATTAATTAACTACATCACTTCTCTTCGCTAAAACTCTCAATGATACATCTTCCCTCTACTTTGAATCATTTCGCGTATTTTAACTAGAAGCTTGTAAATGATTTTTGTCTCTCTCTTCTTTGTGTTTCTGTCTCTATATTCCCTAAAAATGGAATATATATACTATGCGTGCAAACAGTATATGACATATTTGGTAGTTTTCTTTTTCATTTGTTTTTGTGTCAGTTCACTTAAAACGTCCTCTCTTACTAGTCAGAACGATTTAAAACAACTAGTATGAAAACATTACGTCCATTAACTAACCAAAGATTACATTTGTCTCATGTCTAGAACGAAAATTATGAAAAAAAAATAAAAAAAAAAGCAAGGAGGAAATTTTTCCAGGAGCAAAGATTTTAAATAACAGCAGCAATATAGTATTATGTCATTTCATTGTATGTTACGTAAGATTGTGTAATATATATATGTATGACGTGTAAGTTTTTGTATGTATAATAACGATAAGAATAATAATAGAGTGGAGTTTTTATTTTCTTTTTCTTCTAAAAATAATAATTGAATAAATTATGAATTTTCTTTTCTTTGTTTTGTTTTCTAGTTTTCTTTCTTTTTTTTTTCAATCATCACTTTTATCATCAAAGAAGAAAAAAAGAACAGTAAAAAAAATATAGATTATTTTTTTTCAATTTTCTATAGCGAACACTTTGCGGCAAAAGAAAAATAGTATATGTATATACAGCATATATATATATATATATATATATAATGTTTTAACATGTAGTATAGATAGAAAGTTTTCTTTTGTGAATTAGAAAAAAAAGTCTCTTGTGCTCTGAAGCTGAAATTCTTTTTTTTCATTTTTTTCTTGCTTTATTTATGAAATGTAGCGGTAGCAATTGTAGTAGATATTTTGTAGTGTTTGGCTACTTTAATAGCTTACTACAAAGCATAAATAATTTATTTTATTCTATCTATTCTCACTTTTTTTCCTTATGTTTTTTTTCTTCCGTTTTCTATCTTCGTATCTCACTTTACAATCTTTTTCTTCATTTGCTTGAAAGATAACAAATTTTTTACAGGTTACATTAACGATGAAAGAAAAACAATAAATAAAAAAAAAACAAGGCAGAATAAACTGTCAAATTAAGCACATATTTTTTTTATAAAGAAAATAAACGGGTTAATTTCTCACGATAAAGCGGAATAAGGCAGCCAAAAAAACTTAAAGTGAACGAAATCAGACTTTTTAATTCAGGCATTAGTTTCACCTACTCCGTTTATCGGTAGACTAGTTTCACTGGTTCCTTCGGAAAGTGGAGGTTTTGCCCATTTAGGAGGTTTGGACCAAGAAAGTGTGTAGTGTCCATGATTCATCTCTAAATAACTATTTGGTACTTGAGGTACGTAATCGTCATATTCGTAATCAGCACTGGGAGTCGTACGACGACTTCCAGGTGTCGTTGGAACGCTCGGAAATAATTTTGATTTTTGTAGGACTGGTGATAACTGTGTTAAGCCGTTAGGAGTGTTTGCGTTTTGATCGCCTTCCATTCTATTTTCTGGACTCTGACCATCAGGACGTGATACACTCCGAATTGGTAATGGTCTTACGGAAGGTTTACAACTACCATCCGTCGAGACATTTGAACAGTCTGTGGAGACGTTCGCATTCTGAAAGTCGCTATCTTCAGTCTTCGACCCATCTCGGCCAATTGCTGGTGGTCGTTTTTTACGATAATCTTGCATTGGAATACACTCGATGGATGGCGATACGGCAGTAGAGGGGGAAAGATCTTCTTGCAGTGCTAGTGGGGGTAAATGACTAGGAACGTACGGGCGAGCTGTCTTCTTCATTTCCGGCGTGTCAATGTAAATTTCATTAATTGTACCGGACCGATGTTTCCGCTTATCTTTCTTCTTTTGACGTTTATCTGAATGGAGCTTCTTTTCGAAATGGTGTAAGAATTCCTCTTGTTGAATTTGATAAGGAGAATTATGCACAGGGCAAGGCCCAGATGGCGACATCCCACTACTTTTCCTATGATAAGCACGCCCTCTTACGGGTTCATCGTGTTTACCGACGACAGGCGCCCCCTTTACTCCCGCTCCCATAGACGAGGCTCTTTTCTCTGCGTTTCCCGCCTCGCAGCCACCGCCACCACCACCACCGGCTGACACTCCTTGCGAAGTGGTAGTCTTCACTGGCGACAGAGTGGCTGGGGTAGCACCTGCGCTCGAGGCGCTCGACTGGCTAGGCGTCGGTATCTCTCCATTTACCAAAAGAGGGTTTTTTCTCAATTCCTTTTTGTGTTTTGTCCTTAATCGAACGTGAAAAGCAGTCGCTATAATGATGACGATAATTACGATGCATAATGATATAGCAACTATAGCTACGGCGTTTCGCCATTGAGAATTATCTACGTGATTGTTGTTGTCATCATTATTGGGTGCTGTTGTATTTTTCTCTGAGTATAAAGAAAAGGGAAAATTATAGTAAATACCATAAATTAGGGGTATGAGTTTTTTCTTAGAGGCTATATTACAAAGTAAAAAATAGAACTTACTTTTCATTGAGTAGTGCGCGATAAAACCCTCATTTTCAACGTTATTTGATAAAGGCAATATAATTTCTATAAGCATGCTATTGCCACTGCTGGTAACAACTTTAGGAATTCCTTCTTTAGGAATATCGTAGCCGCTTGAGTCCAATAATAAATCGTCTTCTGATCGTCTACCGTCTCTTACTCTAATTAAACTCCGACTTTTCCCATTGTTTCCACTGGATAAGTACATTATCAAGTGGATAACTTGATTCCTATCTGCGATAAGAATCCATTGAGATACTCTTTTGTCACACGAAGTTGATGTTTGTATTACACCATTCGGAGACGTAATTTCGCATCCGCAATTGCAACGGGGATCTTGGGTGTAAAGAGCGAAGGCATTCGGAGTAGTGCGAGTCTCTTTGTTATTTGAAAGAAAATTGTTAATAATTAATTTAGGGAAAAGAGCTGCCTTATAAAGATGCTTACTTTCGCACGGTTTACCACCACAGGCTAATTTTTCTTCGTTTCTGCCCTTGCAGTATTTTCCAGTGAAGGCCGGTTTAGGATTATCACACTCTCTGTATCGCACTTGTTCTCCAAATCCACAAGTTCGACTGCATTGGGACCATGGACCCCAAGTGTTCCAATTTCCGTCCCTAATCAATTCTAAAGGAGTGGACGAAAAAGAAAAACCGTTAATACATTCCGTGCCGAAGATTAGGGGGTGGGAGAATAGTGAAAGTAGTTCTCGGTTGGTAAAGGTGAAAATCGAGTACACGCCTACTAAATATGATTGTCAATTGTCGTCAATTGGAACATGCCTTGAAGGAAAGAAACATTGTACCTAAGGAAACTATGGTTTTATTTTAACAATAGGAATATCCGACCATATTGAAAGTCCCAAAGGTCCTATGACATATGTCAAGCGTTCATTAGCGCATACTCAAACTCAGCATTTGGTCATTGAAATCTCTCAAAACATCAAAGTTGTTACATAACACCGCCTCTCTAACGTACACGTTTGTGAGACCACCCGTTGAGTATCTTTTCGTGACAATTAGTAAAGTATAAAGCCTAACCATGTCTCCCAACTGGGATTCTAACAGGATTTCAAACGATAATTAAAATTTTCAGTATATTCCATGACTTGTAATATTTTTTTCTTTCCTTCCTCTTTTTTTTACAGCTCCGGCGTCTTCCGATGTCACGCCAAGTTTAGATTACGCCCTCAATCCCGTAATCCCGTGAGGAAAACGGGGGGACTCAATATAGGCCTAACGACTGCGAGCGTCTAGGAAAAAAATACTCGCGAATTACTCACGGGCTGACTAACGCAAACATACCCGCATAAAAAAACAAGAAACGCCGATCGACAGACGGAACGCTTCAAAGGAAATCACGCACACAGCAAATAACATACTAAATGAGCGTTGTTCAATCCCCTTTGACGAGTAAAAAAAAGACGACGTCAACAAAAATTACCCTTTTGACCCCAGGGGGCGTTGAAGAACTTGTAAATGATATTCCATCGTACGTGACGCCTAATGCTGAAGTTCGCGTTTGTTTGTCTAGTTAGTTGATCGCTTTGTAGTTTTAATCGAATAAACCATTGTTAACGAATTCTTAAATTAACTGGCAAGCGTAGTACTACATCAGTACAGCTGCTCTTGAGATGGACAAGGGATCAGATTGTCCGATTTCAAATCAATAGTACTAATCGATACACGATCTGAAGAGGTGTTAATTGAAAATACAGCGAGTCTTTTCAAGTATAAACTAATCAAGCGTAAAAGCTGTGCGAACAGGCTATTTCCAGCTGTTTATCCTACTAAATTATTCGGAAAGTCTACGTTATAGGAGAAAAAACTGAAGAGAAATCGATAAACAAACGGTCATAAACATAAAAGGTTGGGGAGGACAATAAATCTTTTATTGTCAGCGCATGCACTCTGTACACCAGACTCCATAAAATTCCAACGCCTACTTTTTATTCTTCTTAATCGTCTAATAAACACCTATTGGATGAAACCTAGAAACACTAAACAAATATACCATCAGACTGGACTATCCGAGGGAATTTGTGACGCATTAGCGTGGAAAAAGAGCCGGAATAGAGCATCCTAGATGCGGAAAAAGAAAAGGAAGAAAACGTGACTATAGCAGCTATTAGTGGACTTGAGCGGTTTTCAGAATGTTCTCCCAATACAATAACTGAGACATTTACATATGGAGAAAAAAATACTCAATTATTCACTGACGTATGATGACCAAAAAGCGCGTCGAATAATGCCTATACAAAAAGTTTATGAATAATAAAAAAGGTCCGAACAGGTAAAAGAGTTTCGCAAAACTAAAATATAAAAAAAATAGCAACAACCTATTAGTCTATGTACATAATACGTGTTAGTCGGTCATCAATCAAGTTAACGAGGGACGACCGAGCGCTCCCGGACGCTGAGCGAGTATATCAAGTGCAAATTAATTAGGATTTGAGAAGGAACTTACCAGAATTCGAATCGGAAGGGATACATATCTCTTTGACAATTTTAACTATCCCTAAGACTTCACTTTGCGAAACGTAATGAAAGCAATAGCCGAGATCATGCTTTTCGTTGAATAAGTTGCATTCGAAAGATACTTTATCCTTTCCACTAACGCTTTTTTCCGCCGTCTTTCTCATATCACTCATTACTGCAAACTTGGTTCTGGGTATTCTGAACATTCTAATAGTGTCCGATTGGTGAGCTTGATTACATCCCTGACGACTATATACTAGGTTAATGAATCCACTACAAGGAAAGACTTCGGAAGGTAGCAGACGAAAGTTTATATCAGGAAAATCAGCTTTAATTGGTTTCGATGAACTTATTAAAATGCTAGAGGTGTTAGCCGTCATTGTCACTCTATAGAATCCGCTTGTGTCTATTACATGGCATCCAAGTTTACATATAGCGTTCAGAGAATTGTACAAATTGTACGACCGTAATTTATGAATTATTCTACCATTAATATTGTTGATTAGATCCTGTTTGGTAGAATAATGTATATAGTTAATGGTGAAGGAGTTATGTGAAGTTATTCCAGTGCATCCATATTTCCCAATGTTAGACTTCACCCTAATAGTAAATTCAGATTCAAAGAGCGTAAAATGTTCCTTGGCTTCTATTCTAACATCTGGCCAAGTTGCATTGGTTGTAGATGACGCCAGAATTTTTTGTTGTTTATTTATGAGGGAAAAAGTGTATAAATCAGGTACGTCGATAAATCCACATTCCAAATGTATTAAGTATTTGGAAAAATGTTGTCTTACAACCATGTCCTTCCATTTGGTATTCCTCCTAGATATCCGTAGAGTTACGTTGTAATTTACTACAGGTACCAAAAGGTCAACTTGTAACCTTCCAGTCAGAACTTTATAGGTTGATGGAACTTGGACACTAAATATTTTGTCTGCAAAAAAAGTCATATTTAGAAAACAAATGTATAAAGATGTCATGTTGAAATGGGCAAGTCTAGATTGCTTGCAGACGCTGACCTTCTATCGTCAAGGGTTTAAAATGCCACATGGAGTTTATCTAAATCTTATCTAAATCGGTATTAATACTAGTGACAGTCCTTTATAAGTAGTATATATTTTCGGAAAAAGAGGTACGGCTATGCGAATAGAAATAACAACCATACGCGCGCAAATAGAAATCTATACTCAATTGAAAATAGTTTTCAATTGGCGATGTAAAGATAAGACTGGGTTGAATGGCTGTGTAGGGGAGCAAGAGGTCGTATGGGTAAAATTCGCATATGAATTCCCAGCATATTTCGCTAAAAAAAAATAATAAAACAATAACACGGTAGATCGAATTAAACAAACATTATATTTATCTGGAAGGCGTTAGCAAACAACCATTAGACGGTTGAGGGACGCAATCATTTTGCTTCCGACGTCTGTTTCGCTTGTGCTAAAAGATTTTTATCACTGCGAATGACCAATGATTGACCTCTACTTTTCCTCCGTTTGACATTTAGAGAAAAGGGACGCTACGCATTCCATGCTATTGACAAACTGCAGGCGTTCGACGCTGCTTTATAATTACTAGAACCGTCGACGCGAGAAAGGGGAGCAAAGTCAAGGATTCGGCCAAGTGTATTGTAATATGGTAATCGCTAAACGATAGCGGATATTGCAATTCGTTTTTATACACGGAAGAAAGAGAGAGTGATTAAAATCTAAAAAGCTTTATCCCCTCCCACCCGTCTTTTTTTTCCCCTATACGACGATTAAACCAACTAAAAAAAACATAACATTTATTGATTACGAGAAAAAAATATAGGCAAACAATAGCCCAGACTGTAATCAATCTCACATCCAGACTCTTATAAATAAATGAAGTATCCATTTATGGGAAGATAAAGGTTTTACTATACACACAGACTATGTTGAATCGGAAGAGATAATTTTCTTTCTTTTAAATATTATTAACGATGAAAGAATAAACATTTGACGTTAAGATAAGGCACGGTTATAAAGATGAATTGATTAAAAATAAAAAGGCATATTCAAAAAAGAACACATAAAAAGTCTTCTAAAGTTATTTACAATCGGCAGTGGCGGCGTCATTATTGTTTATTATGTCAACAGTTCGATTAAATAAATCGGTGATTTCTCCCCATTGATAAGATAGTGCGAGTAAAGGAAACAAGGCACCCTAATTCGTTAACACGGGCGTCTAAGCGTTAAATAAACACTCAAAACACTAAGACGGAATCAGTAAAATGAATAGAATAAAGCATTAGAGAAAGGAGAGCCGGCATTAAATCTTCCATTCAGGCCTATAGTCTTCTCCAATTTTTATTTGCGATTGAAATTACTCCCTATTCGTCTTACCACGGTCGAAGAAATGTGATAAATAACATAAACATTCCTTTCGTTGAGTGTATTAAAAGAAAAAAAAACTAGTTGATACTGTGGCGAGTGCAAACGGATATTTTAGTTTACAAATCATATATATGAACAACACCCGTATATCCAAGGCTTCCTCACCCTAAAACCGATCAAATAAATGAGAGGGGACAAGACTTAAATAGCCCTTATTAAGCATCTACGACCGTCTTTATCGATCGGAAGTTCACCGTCTACTAGTTTGTGTATACCATGCGTATAAGCATAGAAGCTATAATTAGAACAAATAATTGCAGTATCATATAAATCCCCGGATAGTACTAAGCTCATGTGCTAACTAACTCTATCCTATATACGACATTGTTTGCAGGACGGCTCGAGTATTCGTTGCCAAGCCGGTCATTATTATTTATTCCTTATTTAAACGATCTGTACAAAGTAATTACTGGTAGGCATTTAACGAAGTAGCTCACCTGTGAAAATGACTATTTTAGCAGGTGCAAAGCGTTATATACACTGACCCCCGTATTTCAATAGAGTTTTTGACAAAAGCGTTACCTAATTAATATTTTCTTTCTCGACAAAAATGGAGAGGAAACGCTTTGATAGGAAGGGAAAATGTACAAAAAAAACAGCCATTTATAATAGTAATAATAAAACTAGAACGTCAGTAGAAATAGGCAATTCCTAAAAGAACACTATGACGTCTTTGTTCAGTTGTCAGGAACGTCGTTTTTAGCAGCAGAAAATAGCAGGTCGGTTTTAATCAGTTAATTGTAATTTCATTAGCCACTTAATTACCACCTAGTACCTAACCACCCTTGCACGCTGCTAGTCTCTATATAAGGTAGTTGTTTTTGTGAAATGACGAAAACATTCGAACCTTTACAGCCGTTATCTTAAGCCAGTAAAGTTAAATAGAACAATATACATAAGCTAAAACTATCTAAACATTCACGGAGCTTAAGCTAGCTGTATATCCTTGTTTCGCCGCATATTTGCGTTCTTATGACTGTTTAGGTAAGTTCTAAAATGCGACCTGCGGTGATTTCAATGACGAGTTTGTTTAATCATACCACTTCTTTTGTATCTCTGTCAAGCCAATTGATGTCCGAGATATATACATTCAATAAAGAACCAAAGGAAATTTAATATCTGTGGTGAAATGTATGTACAGCGAAGATCTGCCAAGTGTCAAGACACGTTTCTCATAAACTTCCGTCTTTCTTCGCTCGCTTTATTTTTAACTTCTTATTTTGGTCGCGAAAAAGACGTTAAGCACTGAGGCAAATATTGGTTCATTAACCATTTTCTAGGCCCTTTGCCCCCCTATACCAAGTTCTAAGCACGAATTTGTAACGACTCATTGGTTACAATAGGTCCATTCACTTGTCAATCGTATCTAACATATAACCTGCATTTGAATTTTCAACCAACTACACATTTAAATATAGTCATTAATGAAATCGATTCGTTGGTTATTCAACCATTAAAAGTTTTCGCTCGAAGACCATTGTGTAGCTCTCTTTTTATCTATCTATCTTTTTTTTCCTTTTTACGGATGGCTCGTTAATTTTCTTTTACAACCGAAAAAAGGAAATCCAATAATGTGTTATAGACGCCCTCCAGTTTTTCGTCCATTTACAGTTGAAAGCGAAGTAGTAATCAAACAGCAAAGCTGACCCATTTTCCGCTGTCTAGACGCTTCCATTCTCATTAGCCGCTCATCTATCTAGTAGGGTCGATAAGACTCGTGTCACGGGCGGCGTTTATCTCACTGTGAAATGCTTTCGAAGGTGAAAAGCTGGCGGCGTCTTCAAACGTTTACAAAGTATAAATTAAGCCACAGGCAGCGTCATCCTATCACCACCTATTAACACCTTTTAATTATTTACGGTTGGACCATCCGTAAATTCTTAATTTACCGAGACTAATTAAATATGACGTCACACGCTGTTCAACCACGTGACCAGTTTAACCCTGGTGATTTTCCAGCTGTTGCGGATAATCGGAAATTGTTTCTTGAGCTGTTATAGGAAGCGAAACAGAGTGGGTCGATTGAGATATGGCATTAGAAAATAACTTAGCTTGGAAAAAAAACTCTGGCTGCGCTGGGCTTCAATTTGGGATACTGTGACGTCTAACCGTAGCGGTCTACTTAGTTAATTGCTATATTATATAACTTAAATTTTAGTGACACGAGAAGTTAATTACAGTTTTCCCAATGCACCGTACAAGGTTAATTAGTAAGTTTTAAAGTTTGAATCAGTTTTTTCGTACGCATGCGGTCTTACGTAATACTAAAAATTACTTTCAAGTTTTAATATATTAATACAAGTGTATTAATATTGAAAGATCGAGAGACGGGTGGAGGTTAAAGCTAATAATTCCACCACTTGGTATTTTTTCTACATCTGCCACATTTTAACAAAAAGCGGCATTTACATTATTTATTCGACTTTTTCTACATTGTGTTCCCTACGAAACACTATCTGGTGATAATTTATATGTAACCCTCAGCCGATTTATAAAGACAAAGTGAACAAAACTGTTATTATTAGAGTTTTTCGTATATATATGGCAGTGTAATATGACAATAATAACAACAATAATCTGCATATTGTAGTCTATACACGTTCATATCTATCTATAGATATACTGTACAGTATATATTATATATACTGCATATAGTGAGTGGACATCCTTGTACAATACTTGCCTTTTCACTATTATGATGGCTTTTAACAATAATAAATAATAATATGGTAGGGAGCTACAATTTCTGATGCTTAGTTTTATAGATATGCAAATTTATCGTTCCTCGTATTGACCCGGTTAACATTCTAGCACAAAAGAGAAGAATAACGAACGACCTATAAAAAGAGGGAATGTATATGACACCCTTGTACAAAAATCTCTTGGCTTCGGAACGTTTTTTAACGATTGGCAAATGAGACTTAATATTTTATTAACTAGTTGAAAAATGTCGGCAGAAGGCTACCCAATCATTAAATTCGAAAAAAAACCCCGGCAAGGAACGGAACAATAGAACGTCCGCAATTTTCGAACGTTAGCCATTAAAAGCAATCGAACAATTCCTTTTTTTTTAACGGAATAATAAAAGCCCTGGAAAAGAGTGTTATCAGCGGATAGTATAGCAAAACGAAGGGATTATGTCCTATTCAAGAAAAGGTGGTCGTCTTTTCAAGTCCGATTATAATTAATCGCTCCTCAATTACAGGACGTATGTAGCGAAAATCGGTTTACCCTTGTAAAATTGATCTGCTGATTGATTTACCACTGCGAATCTTTTTACGTAATCGTACTAAATCCGTCTAATTAAAAAACAAACCTGTTGGTTGAACTATGGTACATAAGGAGTAAATTAACAGCAAAGCCACTAGTTTCATATTTGCTTTTCCTTTTTGACGACTGGTGAAAAATTTACATAGCAATGGGAATCACGTTGTGTTGGTTTCTCTTTCTCTCTTTAAGGTATCCGAAAAAAAAACTTGTAAGAGTTTATCAGGTGCGAGAGTTACGATGTTCAGTCGGTAAAAAAAATTATAAAATCGATAAACACAGCGTCTACCGTGTCGTCTGCATTAACTGAATGGCGCGACACACAGGTGGCGCCACCTTTACTTACTGATCCGTGATTGGTTAAAAATATTTGTACTTATGAGAGCACTGACATCTATCGTTGATAATATTTGAAGGGAAAAAAGTGATTGTTAACTCGGTCTTTTATTTATATCTAGTAACAAACAATAAGGACACAGAATAAAAACGTCTACTCTCAATTCGTTCCATTTAAGATTAATTTATGATGTTTTTTACCATTCGACGCCACTGTTTCCTCTTCTTTTTTTCTCTTTGTACCCCTGCTAATTTCTGGAGAAAGACTATTCTTCTTTTCCGTCGGAATATCATCAGCGGCTGTTGAATTACAACAAGACGAAAAGTTAGTTCTAGTCCTCAGGCATTTAAAAGCTCTCCTAAGAATTTTCTTCTCGGCATTTCCCTTCAGATCTTTAAACAAAGACTTCCTGACCTTCATGAATTGCAGAGGAAATAGGTTATTTTTCCTTGCATCTGTGTAGAAATTAACAATCCTATTCAAGGATGTTGCTAAAGGAGTTGCTGTAAAAGCCAAAAGCTTTTTTGCTTCCGTTGTATCAATGGGTCCTCTTTCTACAGAAGGATAAAATTCGGGTAAATCGAATCTGTACTTGTCGACAACACATAATTTAGCTTGACTGGCTCCCATACAATTTTGCATTTCTTGAACTAGTTCCATAAAAGTCATGTTGTCATTAGCAGCTAGATTAAATGCTTTATTCCAATATCGTCGAGATAGCCTAGGTCCATCTAAGACCATGTTACTGACCACACTGGCGACGTCTTTAACGTCGATTAATGAGAGTTTCTGATATTCGAGCGTATGTGGAATGTAGACGGGAAGGTCACTCATGTGAGAAAGTTCTATCCATAACTGTAGAGACCAGAAACGATCAGTAGCATCCCTTTCCCCGATGACGTCACAAAGGCGTAGAATTACATAGGGCATAGAAACATCTGTAAAAGAGCCTTAATGTGATTATTTCTATCAATATTAAAAATTTATATTGTACCAGACGAGAATTGTTCTTTTAGCATTTCTTCACATGTTAATTTATCGTCTCCGTAGGCGTCTCTCTCCTTCAATTTCTCTCTTATTCTTTGTTTCGATGGCCTTATTGCATCAATTTCTTTAGAGTAACCATCGTGTCTCCTCCTCATACAAACTTCATATACAGAATCCGAAGATATATAGACGTATAAATCAGTTTTCAACCTTAAGAGGGAAATCGATTGCCGTAAGTGATGCGGCTCAGTGCCGCTGACATCGATGCATATGTCTATTCGCTCTTTGCTTTGAAGGTACTTTTTGAAGCTGTCGGTCAGCTTGGTATTGTCTTCATCTCTATCGAGAAAGAGATGATTTACACTTGAATAAATCAATTCTTTCTTGTCCCAGTCCCAAGATTCGGACCTATTGGCCAACGTGATGTCCCAGTCCGTTCGAAAAACGTGTTTAGTATGTAACAAGGAGCTGACAATTTCACTACCAATAAATCCATTACCACCCAAGACAAGAATACGCATTTTCTGCTTCCACGGACAGCAGCTTCTATGATTTCTGCCGTCTAAAATAAAATACACGCTTTTTCATAACGAAAATAATGTACCGTACAAAATTAAAGCACGTTATAATTGGAATTTGAAAACTAGTGGCTACTTACTCTCTCCTTGTAAAGAATTCATACTGGTAAAGCCTTGAATATCGCATAATCTTCTATAACCGTTAAAGATAAATTAGTTTGACTGGGAAATAGTTTTTGCAAGAAAAAAATATATACCGGAACACACAAATTAATTTCGTCTGGTTCCGTATTCCAAAAACTTAGGCGGGTAAATACGAACATTTCTCAACCTATAAAGGTATACAATGTAGCTAAACAAATTTATCAAACTGACGTGATAGCATTTGAAAATTTAAGATAATTTAAGATTTAGGCTAAAAAGTGATTATTTCTTATTTAAGGATTAAATGTATTCGCCAATTAAACGTCTAAATATTTTAATACGAAATACTTGAACAATTTAGTTGTCACAATTATCTCATTCTGAACACCTCTAAAAGTTGGAAAGTTTACTCATTACATAACATTAAATAACGTATATTTAAGCCACTCAATTAATTGGGTTTTAGATTCAAGATCTCTTTTGGCATCTTCAGCTGTGGGTCTCAGAGCGTAATGGCTATCACTTTAGACTCGGAATCTAAAGATCATTTCTTATATCTGGGGGGGAACCTAAAGTGGTCTATATTTGTATTGCTACCATTTTGACACATTCCATAATGGGAAATTTTTAAAATGTTCTTAAATCAATACTTTCCATAACTTATAATCAATTTCAGTAACTGGTCATAAAATCCCCCGCCAAAAACAGAGAGGATAGTACACAGTATGTATAAAAGAAAACAAGATTAGAAATGTTTAATAAATACTGACGAAGCGGATTAGCTTTATAATCTGTTGGTATCAATATCAAAAAGTAGAGCTGTATGTTACAACTATTAGTTTACTAATTAAATATATAGTATTCTTTTTATGATTGTATGAAAAATAGTTGTTACAATTGAAAGAGAAAGTATCATTAAGATAAAATTTCATGTAGTTCAATGAATATTGAACGAACAATTCATATAATAAGAATAAGCGTATAGAGAGGCCTTTTTAATGCTTTATAAAAGATAAGTAAATAATTCTTATGACTTGTATATAAACAATATATAACAGTTTTGTCCCTGCCCCACGGGTAAAGCCTTTAAATATTGCGCTCTATTCATTATTCTCATTAGAAATCTCTTTTATTATATATTAAATAATTTAATAAATTTCATTAGGGTTTTGTATGAGTATTCGTTGATGCGACAATAGGACGAAAAATTAATTAATATTCATAAATTAGTTCCATGTTTGTTTCAATGATAATGAAATGTCTATTTTTCTTTTGTATTCTTTGTATAAAAGATATTAACTATTTAATGATCAATTACTTATTTCAAGTTATTGTATTTTTCATATTTATGAAAAATAATTTATAGTAAATAAGAGAAAGAAGAATAAGAATAAAGAAGAAGAGAGGATTTATATATATATAGATAAAAGATTAACTGGTTGGAAATAGTTTTATTAGTCTCTATTTTATACTGATATCCGAACCAAATTTTTTGTTTCAAGATCAATTGCTCGTTTATAGTCTTCCATTGCTGAATCTTTTCTATTCAACATAGCTCTAGTGTCTGCTCTTCTCTTATGAACTAACGGATCGTCGGGTTGCAGGTGTAGGGCTTTTGAATAATCTCTTTCTGCTTCTATCAACTTTCCAATAGATCTATTGATGTTTGCTCTGTTTAAGTAATTAATTGCTGCTCGAGGAGCTAAACGTACAGCTTGATTCATGTCTTTTAAGGCTGATTTCATGTCTTTCAAAAATACCTTTACAATAGCTCTGTTTAGGTATGCCGATTCCGAAGATGGATCCCATTTAAGAGCATTGTCTAAATAGGTAAGAGCCTGAGAGTATTGTTTTTGCCTCATGTAAATATTTGCGGCATTATAATAAGATAGAGAGTAGCTTGAATCAATTTCTATGGCCTTTTTATAGTTTGCCATTGCATTCTGTCCATCCCTAGTCAATTCGAATATTACTCCTCTATTATTATACAATTCGGCTGTTGGATGGCAGCGTATTGCGGCGTTAATATCCTGGAATGCGGCGAAGAAATCGGACATTTGTAAATTAATAATAGACCTTCCTTCGTATGCCCTTTGACACTTAGAATCGATTTCTATGCAAGCGGTAAATTGGTGCCAAGCTCTCTGGTAGTGTCCATAAACTTGAAGTGCATAGGCTAAATTAATTCTAGCGGGGATGTAGTCGGCTTTCAACGAAATTGCCCTCGCATAATCGCGTCTATCGATAAAAACGTATTGTTATTCCTTGATAATTAAAAAAAAAGTGTTAATGTAATTCTCTTATCGAACTTTGCATATAGTAATCCCAGCTCGTTACCATAATCCAGAAAAACGTTACCCCTAGCAACGAGGGCGTTCAAATCTAGCTTCCTATATGATAGTACTCTGGTAAAATACTTAACGGCCTCCTCCAACTTCCTCAGCCTTAATGGGATTAAATACAAAACAAGCATTAACTAATTAATCTAGGAAAATAAAGAATTATTTAAATAAATAATAATACCTATGCAAACAGATGCCAATTGTGAATAGGATAGCCACATCAGACGGTGTTATCTTTTCCACAAGAAACAAATCATTAACGGCATTATTATGATCATTCAATTTCATGTAAACTAATGCCCTGTTAGTTAGAACTTGCATTTCTAATTTATCACCCAGAGTTAATACGATACTATAATCCCTGAGGGCCTGTGAAAAGGAAACGGTTGTTTTTCAATCCCTTGAAAGTTAATCGTAAAAGGCAAAGGATAGTTTATATGAATAGAACCTCTTGATAGTATCCACTGGCATCGTAGCATAAAGCTCTGTTGAAATAGATTATTGCACTGGTTGGTAAGTAATTAATTGCTATGGTTAAATCGAAAATAGCCAATTTATAGGCTTTGATGTGATATTTTAAAGCTCCCCTGTAATAAAAAATAAAAGGAAAAAACTATAAAATTAAACAAACGTAAGAAAAAGGGATAATGTATTATTTATATTATTAACTAATCACTTTGCAACGTATAACGTAATATTATAATTGTAAAACAAACCTATAAAGTAACGCTCTAACGCTTTTGGGTTGTATCTTCAAAGCTTCGTTACAATTTAAAATAGCCTTCTTATAATTATTCTTCATACCGTAATAACATGCTCTGCATAAGTAGGCCTCAAAGAGATTTGGTGATATAGCTAGGGCTTTATTAAAATCATTGATAGCTCTTTCCTTGTTATGAATTTTTGCTAAACCCCTCTGATAATAGGCCTATTTAAGTGGAAATAATATATATTAATGTATATAGAGTATATGCATTAGAGTTATTTTATATAGTAAGAAACTGACTTCGGCGTAATTAGGTTTACTTTGAATAGCTAGATCGAAGGATTGTTGGGCATTCAAGAATTTCCTATCTTCCATACAACATTGTCCCATTAAGAAATGAATTTCACTTGCCTCAATTGGCCAAGATTCAGAATCTTTCCAGGGTCTCTATTAAAACAATATTCATATGAATAAATTTGAATATATTAACTAAATATATTAAAATCATAAATAAATTATAAAATAAAAAGTTAAGGAAGCTTTCGCAAAAGTTTGACATTCAATAATTTATTTATAGGTTATATATACTATTTATAAAAATTATATATATATATATATATATAAATATATATATTTATATATTGGTATTTATATAAATATTTATAACTAATAAAATCATAGAATGTTCAAGGGCTAAACTAAAATAGGCTTGATTAATAATCATAAATAAATATAATAATCAATCAGTCAATCAATCGAAATCATGCAATTGTTGATTTTTTTGATATAGATTACCAAAAAAAAATAAATTACCTCTTCCTGATGTAAATATTAATATTAGTAAAATATGAATAAATTAACGTATACTTTTATAATACAATTTATAAGAAGAACAAGAAACGTTACAAAGTTAATTAATTATTACTTAAATTATATGATATAATCGTTTCATTTTATTGAAGAATAGTACTTACAAGTAAATCAAGTGCCTTTTGAAAACTTGTACAAGCATCTGACCATTTTTGAGCTTTCATCTGTGTTTTACCTAGTAACTGTAGCAACTCAACTAAAATATTAATTAACGAGTTTTGTTGATTAATTGTTTTATTTTTAAATGATAATTTTCTTAATAGAATACCTTGAGGATTAGCTTTACAAGCCGTTTCTAAACATTCGATAGCCTGATCGTAATTTTTTAAGAAGGATTGAACTATTGCCTGTTGAGTTGGCATTGTGCCAAGGCCTATATTCAATTCTGCAGCTTGTCTAGTTAAAAGAGAAGGAAACGTTTGTTATAGTTGAAGAAAAGCAAAAGAGTATTTAAAAACAGAGCGTACTTAACGCAGAAGGAAGCCAGTTGAAGATTACCGAGCTTCCTCACAAGTTCACCCTATTTGGAAAGAGACGTTTCGTATTTAAAATTAGATACAATCAATTCGTTCGCAATTTAATTTGTTGACTTACTCGAAATAAATAAAAGTTGTGAACATCCGGGCGAATGTGTATAGCTCTAGTAAAATCTAGTAAGGCTTGTTTATGTTGGTTTAGTCTTGTATAAGCTTCTGCCCTACAAACATAGGCCTTTATATAAGTAGGGTCTGCTTTAATTGCAGCTGTTAGTTTTTTGATAGCCCTGTGTGGATTTCCCATACGGTTTAGGTAAATTAAACCGAGATTTACATGGGCGCAGGCCATATCTCTGTCCAACTTTACTACAGCTTCGAAGTCCATAATAGCATCTTCGTGACGTCCAATTTCATCGTAAAGTATTCCTCGATGTAAATAGGACAAAATATTCTCATGGCTGTCGTCTATCATTAAAGAGACGCTGAAATCGAGTAATGCTTGCTTAGGATGGCACCTTCTTAGAAGGCAACCCCTATAATAAAATGCCTGAGCACACTTTGGATTTAGATGTATGCATGTTGTTAAATCGAAAATCGCATCACTCCAATCTGACATATTACCGTGAGCTCTACCACGATATAAATAGGCATCAGCATTTCTATTATCATGCCTAAGCAATTCACTAAACTCATTAACAGCATTAGCCCAGTTTTCATTTTTAAAATGATGCATAGCCCTTTTAAACATGGCAATCGTTCTTTTTGGATTTAACCTACTGACGTTGGCGTAATCTTCCATTGCCAATAATATATCACCCTTTTTCTCATACATTAAACCGCGCTGATAGAAGGATTCATGATCAGTCGGATTGATTTTAATAGCTTGAGTATAATTGACAATAGCCATTGTTAAATCACCATCAGCTTTTGAAATTTCAGCTCTGAAATACAATAAAATATACAATAATATACATATCTACAGTATACTGTATATATAGATATAACTGATTAAGTTCATTATTTTTAAATGAATCACTAATTAATTACCTTGATCTAAAAGCTTCAGCATGCTTTTTATTCACTTTTAATATAAAGTTTAAATCTTCGGAAGCTAGTTTCAGTTTATTTTGCAGTAAGTAAATAAAATGTCTATGCCAATAAGCGTCTAATAAAGTCGGTTCTAATCGGATAGCCTTATTTAAATTCCATAGGGCTTGACGGATATTTCCGAGTTTACGTAATATCGCCCCTCGTCTACAATAGTCGTAAGCATTCGCCTGCTCTTCGCTGTCTATCTTTTCGCTCAAACGTACAACTTCGGCAGTTAGAGCTTCCATAACCTATTTACAAACTTAATTTACATATAATTAAACATAATTGTGTTATATATACAACCTCTCTGTCCTCATTATCTTTACATATTGGCTCCAAGACAATGTCGTCATCGTACACCACCGACTTCTCTTCCCTAAGGGATTAGAGACAAAGATTATTAATCTCAATGGAAGGTAAATACCAAGGGATTATTGCATACTTTTCTTTTTCTGGTTTATCTCCCAAATCCGATTGATAGTCTGAAAAATTATCATCGTCTTCTTCCGATTCGCTCGCAACTGGTGTTGGAGGAAAGACGTAGTCGAACCAATCGTTCCAAATACTACGAACCCATTCCCTCTCGGACGACACGTTATTTGGTCTAAAAATTAATAAACAATCTTGTGATTTAGCTGTACCGAAAACGAATAAACTATTTCGAATTACTTGAAATTGTGTTTCTGTTTATAAGACTCGAAGTTAAATATATCTGGTTCGCTTCCTTGATTCCTTGATCTTATCCTCCTGAGAATAGTTTATCTACTATTACTTTTTGTTTTCTAGAAAATTTTGATAAAATCTCATTGATAATACAAACTGTGGAACTCTTAATTGGATTTCTAATTGCTTTCTACCAAAAGGTAATAAAGGTAGAGATGAACAACGCTCGGGTAGTCTTGTAGTCATAAATAGCTTTTCCATGTCTTCTATTCTTTTCCAGTCTTTTGCATTCTTTTTCTTTCTAAATAGATGTAATTGTATACCAGTATTACTTGTTTATGCCGAATGATGGAAAAGAACGGAAAGAAACATTACTTACCGTTTTGGTTGCGGTGGTAAAAGAACATAACTACGACCTGCCTCTAAGGCTTCCTCTGCTAAAGTTCTGTTTGTTTAAGAGATGAGAACTAATATGTAAAATAGAATAAAGTAAATACAAACTGTCTAATATTAGAATCGCTGGCAGATTTCTTAAGAGAAACTTGCGTTAGTTCTTTCTTATCGCTATCTGTAAAATATTCAATTTCCGAAGATATTTTAACTGTTGTGTCAACTTCATCCTCTTCATCAACTTTTTCAGTCACATTCTTTCGTCTATCTTCTAATTGAGTTTTTTGATTTTTTATCTATTGATTAATTATTAGAATTCTAATCATTTTTCTATTCGAATAAAGAGATACCAACTTCTTCTATAACCGTTCCATAATCCTGGAAAATTATGGGAACATCGTCTTCTTCTATATGATTAGTGAAATTAGGGCAACTATATGCTTTCGTCACTGTTCGCTTTTCGCTGATTTGATTATTGACAGAGCATTATTAATACAATTCTTTTGAAATGATATTATATTTGTTACATTGGTTGAATTTCTTCGCCAAAACGAAGGGTGACTGGGGGCTTTGGATGGGAGTCGGATGGCCGAGATATTAGAGTTGTTTCATCCTCTCCACTAGTGGATTTATGCTCACTTTCAATTTCCTCTACGTGTTTCTTCTTCTCGTCTTCTTCTTAAGGAAGACAAGATAAATTAATGCAAATAGAAAAACTAGTAACATTATTGTTACCTTTAGCTTTTGTCACAATTGATGTCAAATCAGTAAGTGAATTGGCTTTGTTTATTGTTAGTTTTATTCGAAAATCAGCAGCCTCTCTTTCTTTTTCCTCTTCCGCATTATAATCTTCTAAATCGCTTTCTTCACTTTCAGCAGCTAGCATTTCTGCATGTTTAATCTGCCATTCCGCCAAGCCAGCAGCACTCTAAAAATATACGACAACATTATTTCTTATTAGGTGAAAAATAGAAAAATTCTTTTTTAATTACCTCGTAAAGAGGGCACATAACTCCCTTGACAATATTCGGCTGAACGCTCCATTTAGGAGGTGCTGGCTCCCAGTAAAAGAAAGATAAATCCGTCTTTAATTCTACCTTATCACCAATTATTGTCAAAGGTTCAAGCTGCGGATGACAATAGAATGAAAGCAATTAAAAGAGAGAAACATAAAGAAACACCGACTAATTCGGCCGCCTGTAGTTTTAGCTGATCTAAATCGTTATGTTTGGAAGCAGTTCTCGCTATTCTATAAGCTTCATTCATTATCCTTTCTGCTGCCTGGGATTGTTTTTCAAATAAGCTTTCTCCACCAGAACCTATAGGATTTTCTATTGAATCGACTATTTGTCCATGGCGAGGCTCGTCGAATAGCTCTGTTAAGGCTTGAGTAGCCGCAAATTTGCTGGGCACATGATATTTTTTCCAAACATTTCTCGCCGGATCCGACATCTATAAAGTAATTAGCGATTATGAAACAATACTAATTTTATAATTATGTTACGGTTATACTTGAATGTCTTGAGTAAGCGTACAAAAGTAATGAACGTTTGGTATCTTCTCCTCTTCGGATTTAACTTTTACTTCTTTAACAGTTTTAATTGGTCTTTTATCGGCGTGAAGCTTTTTCTTAAAACCACTTGCGCTAATCATATCTTCTTTGGTAACATTTAGGTTTAGGTTCGCGGTCTTTTTCAACTAAATTTAATTATGATAATTTCTTATTAGCGTATTTAAAACTACAAAGATATTTTCATAACCTACCTCTTCAATGTCCAAAATAGACTTTTCCGTTGTTTTACTACTTGCACTTGTAATTCGACCTGCTTCGGTAGGTTGAAAGGAGAAGTCTTCAGATAACCTAGAAGATTCCGCTTTATCGATTTCAACTTCCGGCACTGTGAGTTCATCTTTGGCCGCCTTCTGTAGATTTTCCAAAGCTTCCTGTATGACCGGAGGTACACTTTCCTCCTCAGTAACAGTTTCCGTGCCTTCCTTCTGTTCACTAGAAACAGTCGGTTCCGGTTCTTCCTCTTGTTCTTCGTGATCGCTAAATAGTCCTTCCTCTAGGGTTATTGCTTCAAGAAAATAAAAAATTGCGTATGAAAAGAAAAAATATATCAACGTTAAAAATAGAATAAATAAAAACAAACCAGTTTCTCCTAATACTTCCTTAGTTCGTTTAACAACATTTATCATTATTTCCTTAATCTTTTTATCTGATTCGGACTCTCTAAATGTAATAAGGCAATCACTGTAATTACGTAATAACCGATTGAGTAATACGTACAATCCGTATTTTGCTTGTTGCTTAAGTCGTAGTATAATATCTTCCACGGTGTCACCACCGGCTGTTTGCATTTGATCTGGAGCATCTTCTGTACTGGCCGATTTTGTTTTTGCAGCTTTTGTGCCTTTCATTGAACTGGCCCTTTTACTAGAAGCAGATTTTTTTAATTTGGGTCCGCTTTCAGCCATTCTTCTCGCTTCTTCTACCAAATCCTTTGTTGATTTATAAGAATGAGTTGAAATTTGACTAGCTTTTCCATCAACAGCTGTACGGCGGGATTATATAATTCTTTGCATTAATTTAATTATTTGATAATTTTTGTAATTGTTTCTACCCGAATTTGTAACAACATCTTCCGAATCTGCAATATCTAAGGGAACACTTCTTAAAGAAAAAGCTGTCTGAGTTCTTGTAGAATCTATCATAAAGAATTTTTTAAATCATTTGTTCATATCCAGTGCTATGATAAATTACCTTTCTGATGTAATTTTGTAGCTCTTTTAGGTTTCGGTTTTGGTCTAGGGGTAAAATCTACTTTTGATAAAGTACCAGTTTGAGGTAATATTGCAGCCTTAAATGGGGGTTTGTATGGAAGTTCAAAGTTTTCAAGGAAATCTTCTGGCATTTGATGCTTTAAAATGGTAATAAGATATTTTTAATATGGAATATAGCTTTTAGAATTTCTAGTAACCTCTTCTCTTTTGACAACTCTCGGCGTTGGTTCAGGTCTTGATCTTTTGTCAACCTTTAACCCTTCCAAAATAACATGAATTCTACATGGAAAGCCGTATTATTCATTGGAATTATTAAAGTCTTTAATACAAACGGTTGATCTTTTTTTATATGTGGTAGTACTGGTCGATCACCGTAAATAAATGATTTATTCCCCGCTCTTCGAGAACTGGACATGGGTCTTTTTTGTGATAATTCATCCAGATTGCTTAATTGCTTTTTGTCAGGACTCGAAAGGTAACGTGGAGAATTCCGCTCACTGTGATCCATTATTAATAGTTTATGGTTGATCACAAATTAATCAAGTTAATCCTAAAAAAGCAATTTAATTTAAAAAGAGCGGCCATTCGACGTTGCCGGGAAACGTGCATCATAACGTAAAGTTGCCTATAGTATAACAATTCCTCCGTTCGTTCAGTGTTCAAAACACTGAATAGGAACACTAACCTGTCAATTCACGACAATAGGCTAACTTAGTAGTTATTTGTGAGGTTTAGTATTCCCCGTTCCAAGACGCTACTTATATTCTTTAAAGAGAAATATTGGTTTTTTTTATTAAAAAAAAAAAGTCAAAAACCTAATAAAAGTTATAAAATAAACAAAATCTAATTTTGGATAGAAATTAGGAAGTATAAAGGTATAATTAAGTTGTAAAAATAGGTGTGGAAAAGTTTATAGAACAAGTAAGAAAAACATAATTAATTTAATTAGAAACATCTGAAAGAATGTAACATTAAAGAATATAATTAAAATTCTTTATTCTACAAAAAGAACATTTTTTTATTACGTTACGTATTTAATGATAATCTTCTAAAATATTTTTAAAATATATATAGCGTTTATTTAAAAATAAATATGTTGATAGTAGCGTCTCTGACGTTACTACTTTATATCGTTACAGTTAAGTGCCTAAACGTCTCAAACTATGACGATTATACGGATTACGTAATTTCGGATATGGTATACGACGATTTGAAAAATCTCAGCTTCCGAGATACGGATATCGATGAAAGGCATGGCGAGAAAAGAATGATTGATCCAAGCCATCAGAGTGGAGATGGAGGTGTAACGGAAATTTTATTCGGTACTTCAGTTAAACCTGAAATGGAAAAATTAGTAGAAAAAGACATTTTTAAAACCTATTTTGGTTCAATTGGAAGAGCTTTGATTACTGGTAGTGAACTAGATAGTGTAGAATTCGTTTATGAACCAATCGAATTCGTTAGAGAACATTCTAGAAGAAAATCGAAGAGAAAGGGAAAGAAAAGTAAAATACGATTTTCTAGAGAGGGTTTAGCTGAAGATTCATTACCGTCTAAATCAGATTCTAGTTATATCGTTTCCTTTAAGGAGAAAGATATGAATAATTTGCATATTCATAAAGCATACTCCGAGTATGTTAATTAAATTCTTTATAACGTCTATTTGCAAGTGAAAAAAATTTCTAGACAAAATGGCCAAAGACGTCCATCACACGCATATATCGAAATACCAAATAGAAAGAAGAGAAAGAGGTTAACAAGTAGAAATTTAATGACTGTCATAATTGCTAAATGTTACTTAAATAGAAAGAGAAATCATGACAAAAAGCATCACGATAAAGCAATAGATTTAAGCCATCTAAAGAAAATTACAACAGTCCATTCTTTAGATTCGAATAAGTACGAAAGGAATAATAATAGGGCCACGTCTGAGAAATATAAATACTTTAAAGACAAGATAGGAAATATGGCTAGTTTGTATCTATATATATCATAAGAAAAGATAGCAAATATTCATCAATTATTAATACAAGGTTGGTCAGATACAATAAACCCTAAATTGTTTTTATAGGGTCATTAAATTTAACGTCTTTCGGGATTGGAACAATCGGAACATCTATCGGGTTTATATTCTTTATAATTTTCTGTGTAACGGCCGTTAGAAAATTTGGTAAGGAGAATAAAGACCACAGAACGAATGTATATAGTTTTCTTATTTGTATTGATTATATATAGTGTATAATATTTATATATATATATCTATATAAATATATATTCATTTATATATATAAATAATAAAAGATTTGCAGTTTGAGAAGAGAGCATTATTTCTCATCTAAACTTACTGGAAAGAGGAAAAAGCATAGAACAAATTGTGTAACAGTAAGTTTTTCTTTTCTTTTTATCTCGTAAAATTTCACTTAATTAATAATTCTTATTCCCTTCTATTATCGACACATCACGATCATATGTAATTCTAGTGTCTGAAAGAGATTAATGGCGATTCCTCATCTTTCGAATGTCAAGGTAAAAGTTTATTCTATTTTTAGCTAATTTAATATAATAATATTTACGAATGCTATTTTGGATAGTTTGCAAATTCGATATTCATGCTTCATGTAAAGATTCGGCTAATAGAATGACAAGATTATACTGTGTTCCATTAAAGAACATTTTGAATTGTGTTTAGTACAAATACTTAAAATATGCTGTATATAGTGCAAATGCCTAGATTTATATTTCTTTATAATTTATACAGAAATCAATTGCAGAATGTTCCCTAGACACAAATCCAAAAATACCAGGAATTATTGTAAGATAACCAAGACATTCCGAAATACAAGATTCCATTTATTTTTTGTTCTATAGATCCATTGTATTCGAGAAATAGAACGAAGGGGATTAAATGAAGAGAATATTTACGAAAGTTTTGCAATTGAAAAGGATATCAATTTTATATTAAAGCTACTGATGAAAGGAGAATATTTTAATTTGGTATATTCAAGTAATAAATAGAATATGAATAGAAAAATATTAAACATTAATTATCTATTTTCAGACGGAAGTTAACATTCATTTAGTAGCTAATTTGTTAAAAGGTTTCCTAAAAAAACTAAAGATACGTGTAATTCCCGAAAATTTTGCCAATGCTTTCGAACATGCTTCAGGCATGTTTAATAATTATTTTAATAATAATATAGTATTATAATTAATATGTAACTCCCTAATATATATATATATATGCATATAGGATTATCAAAATGGACAGAAACTGCAGATGAAACAAAAAAATTAATAGAAAAATTACCTACGCCTAATAAAGACACATTAGCGTACATCATTCTACATTTGAAAAGGTAGAATATTTTTATTTTATTCTTTTGTAAAGGATATAAATTAGATTTGTTCCACTCTAAATAATTAGGCTTATGATTCCTAACCCTGGAGAGACTGATGAAACATTTGCCCAAATCTTCTCCGAGTTGTTATTTACCTATCCATCTTCCTATGAAAGGGTAGGGGCTATAATTTAAACTATACAATTTACGAAAGAGAAATGCGTTTTTAACAGGATCATGTCGTCACCCTAGAGTACCCTTCATTGGCGACAGTAAGAGTTCTCTTTCCACTCTCAGTGTCATTTCTATATAATTTTGTTTTGTGTAGAGTGTACTGGTTATGTTAAACATTGACAAATCTTTTTGGAATAATATGCTCTCGGTTCCCGACGGTTACAAAGGTCCTATAAAATTTTACGATTGCGAAGAGCAATCTCCCCTAACCAACACTGAAGGAACATCGAATACTTAAATCAATGTTTTCAAAGGAAAAGTATTTATATCGACTAATATAAACAAGAAAACACTATCATGTTCAATACAAGTTATATTTAGAATAACTAAGGAATATTTTTAGATATAATAAAATAAGAAAGTTTGTCTAATGTATAAAAAAAAAAACTTATACGATGTTTCTTAGTACGTCGTTTTCTTTCATCTAAATCAGAAATATCGTATCATTTGCCATCATAACTTGGTTATCTTCTGACATTTTTTCAATTGCTTGTTTTGCCTCATCGTTCTCGAATGTTTCTCCGCTACCTTTGATTAAATCCATCATTCTATCGAAAGGTAGAGACTGTGAATGCTCCTTCTTAAATGCGTGATAAAGTGCCAATTTGAACTTCTTGAGCCTATAAAGCGCACATACTTCAATTATTGTCTTCCACGATAAATGGAAAAGAAATTGTCAAAATTCAATTACCTTTCATCTGAGATTTTACCGCCATCTGTCGACTTTTGAGATGAAGCCTGCTTCTTACTTTTTTCTCTTTGTATGTCTTATTTGAATAAAAAAAATCATTGTTATTCCGAAAGCTACAAAACTTAATCAAATAAAAAACAAACCATCAACTTCCTCATCAAATTCGTATGGATCTTTTTCACTGCCTGATCGACGCCTTTGGCGTTTTGGCGGCTGTTCAATTTCCTCATCATCCTCTTCACTATCATCATCTTCCTTACGTTTTTTACCACGAGGTTTTTCTAGTACCTTCTTATAATAGGCAAATTGAATAAGTTCAACTGCACATTGTGCATCTTCCATCTCTATTTTCTTCGATAATCTGGCTTTAGCATGGGCAGTTGACAATCTTATCATGGTTTCAAGACATCGAGCAGTTACAGGTTGAGTCTGTTTGATATTTATAAAATATATACATACGTTTGTAATTAGGACAGTTAAAATTGATTAGTATTACCCTTGCAATTCTTTCTTGTTGTAAATTCTCTTGATTTCTCAATTTGGAATATTCCTCTGATATATAATTGGCAGCTTCAGTCGTTAACACTGGCTGTATATCCCGAGCGATATGAATATACTTTCTAACGAACGCTAACGTTAATATTTTATCTTTCTTATTCGCTCTTTGACCGTGAAGAACTTTATCGTACTTTTCATAGACCGCGGTCTCCGTTTCCTCTTCATCTCTCACTTCAGTATCCTTGGTTGATAGAATGTCAAGAGCAGATGTTAGCGGTAGTACTTGTCCATCTTCCTCATTAGCAGCTCTATATTGATGCATTCTTAATACATGATCGCTTATTGAACGATCATGTTCCGGATCCATCTGTAAAATATTAAATATTTTTATGTTTATTTACCGCTTGTTTTTATAAAAATAGCAAACCGTGTCCAGAACAATAAACAAGAGATCGAATCTTGACAATAGAGAATCTTGCATACTGATGTTCTCCATAGGAGTTTTATATTGATCATACTAATAAAATTACGATAAAATAAAGTACTACTGTATCAATTATTTAAGAAATGTATGTTACCTTTCCGTAAACAGGATTTGCGGCAGCTAAAACACTACAACGAGCATTTAAACTGGCATGAATGCCAGCTTTGGCAATTGTTACTCTTCCCTGTTCCATAACCTATTGAACAATCGTATTATTGTATAATGTTAATTAAATACCGAGTTTAAATAAACTTAAAAATTACTTCGTGAATTGCAGTTCTATCTATATCCGACATTTTGTCAAATTCGTCAATACAAACGATACCTCTATCACCTAGAACCATAGCTCCAGCTTCTAGACGCCTCTCACCTGTTTCCGGATCTGTAGTAACAGCAGCCGTCAAACCAACACCGGAAGAACCTCTTCCAGTGGTTGTTATAGCTCTTGGTGCAGTATTTAAAACGTATCTAGAAGGTTTTATAAAGAAAGTGTTATATTTTACACAAAAATAAAAATTAAATCCCAAAATACCTCAACATTTGGGATTTCGCAACGGATGGATCACCAATTAGAAGAATATTAATATCTCCTCTTATTCTTGTTCCATTCTCTAAAACCTTTTCATTTCCGCCTAGTAATTGGCATAAAACAGCTTTTTTAATGTATTCATGACCATGTATAGATGGGGCTAACGATTTAGCTAACAAATCGAAAATGTCTATCTTCTTTTGCAACTTGGCAAAGTTGCGTATCTTTCTAATGTCTTCGGAGAAGAAGACTGGTGCCGATTCTTTTTGAAAATGAGAAATATTATTTGCTATTAAAACTGTTCTAAAAGTGGCTGTTGTGTAGCCATTTTTCTTTCCCGGTAACGAACGATACATTCCAATAACCTATTAGAATATTACAAATTCGTTATGATTGTTTATTATTTACATATATAAATTATAGTTTACTTGAATTCTATCGCCAGGTTTAATGACATCGGCCAAATCACTTTCTGAAACAACATCAACGGATCTTGGTAGTTGACCTGCTGGTGCTTTTTCAGGCATTTCTTGTATGGAAAATGTTTGATGATCCTTGTAGAGAGATAAACCATATTCGGTTTCTAAAGGGTTTCCATCTTCATCCTTGAAAATATTTTACAATGGTTTATTTATAATTTTATTCATAGAAATGCAATCTAGGCAATTATTAACCTTTGTAGGGTAAGCCGCCGATGACGGAAAGGGATCTAGAGATGTCATATCTGTATAGGTTCTTTCAATAGTTTTCTTAGTGGCTGGGCAATAATGAACGCTCTTGACGACTTTAGGTCTAACAGCTGAACCTGTTTGTGAGTATTTATAGACGATAATTTTTAAAGAATTAACAAATTCGATATAAAAGCCGTTTATTCTTACATTTTGTAACGATTCCTTCAACACAAACCATCTTTCCGAGATATCTTGATGATAGATTACGAGGAGTAACATGCATCGCTCCGAAGCTAAATTTATCAAAGTACCCTTTTCTTAGTTATTGAAACAACTTTTACTTTTTCTTTAACGTACCTTCCTTCGAACCCAACAAAAAAAGATTCCTGACTTTTAGCATAAACATGGTCCACATTGGCTACCATATCCTTAAGGGCTCTTTGGAAGGCAATTTGTTCTTCAAATCCATTGTGTATAAGCCTATAAAGCCGATCTTAATTGAATGTTTATACGAGAATATAGCTTACTCTCTAGCTCTTTTTCCATTCTTTTTTCTGAGATCATTAATGTTAACGATGAGTCTTACTTTATTATCAGTAACTAATGCTCGAACTTTTTGGGCATAGGTACCTTGATCGTCCTTAATTTGTATATCGTGTTTATTAAGTAAAAATAAGTATTAAACTCTCCTACCTCATCGTCAATAAAATCTAGATATTCACGTTGAATATCACGCACTCTTTGCTCATTATCTATGTTCATGGTTAAGATTTTTCGTCTGGTAAGGTTGCTTTGAGTTTACCAGTGTCTTTCCCGCCAATTTAGAAAATGGCCGCCCTAAAAAAATACCAGTCAAAAATATGGCTTTAATGGGGTACCAGGCTAAAGGCCCAAATTCGAATTTGACATTTCCGAAAAGTTTATAAGAGGACTATTGCAGCACAATAAGATGAGTCATGAGCATGAATAATTCTTACAGCTCATGAATTCATCAAGTAAGATATCATTTCATTTTATATTATCATTTATTATTTCGGTAGAAAGTAACGTCCTTCCCAACAAGCCTAAATGTGGCCCCTACTTCCTGTTGTAGATGTCACAAAATAAGGCCTATGTGAGCTTGTTAGAGGAAATTTTGTCACGTGATAGATAAGATGGCCGTTCAAGTAACAAAATGAGGAAGTTATACCGATAGCAATTTATAAAGGATTATATCAAAAAGACGCTAAAACATAATAAAATAACTTTAAAAATCAAGAGATAATGGTTTATTAGACCTTTTAAAATAATAAAATTAACTTGACAACTGCGAAAAGAAACTTTATATATCAACTTTTGAATTTTTTAAGCAGGTTGTTGTCTTTTTCAATATTGTCTTTACTATTGATCTATTATGTTCCTTTCTAGTATTGATAATCGTGCGCCTTGTTTATGTCTAATCGTAACAATCTTTCTGAATAATGCGCATAAAATAAAATATATGTTCAATCTACTTTGTTATTCTATTTTTATAGATCTTTAAAAAAATGTGGATACTAAGTGAATGGCTCTCTCATCTCGAATTGGACAAATACTATGACATATTTGTTCAGAACGATATAACAGAAGTAAAGATTTGTCGTCAGTTGGACGATAATTTCTTAATTGCTATGGGAGTTCAGAATGAGAAAGATAGGAAGCTAATATTACAAAATTTACCTATCTACGAAGAACTGGTTGATGAACAAATGGTAAATAATTTTATTGTTAAACAACTTAATTATTGAATTAATTAAATGTATAGAATTACTTAAAAGAAATTCTAGATTATATAAAATCAACGGATTAGTTGATCAAGTTACAGATCTACTATATACAGTATGTACTGTATATGTATATAGTAGATTTATATACTGTATATGTATGTTTATATGTCATTTTTAAATGAATCCACTTACGCTTGACCTTAGACCTTATATATCTTATATTTCTCTCTTTTTTTACGCTCTAATTTAATAGTACGTAGTGCCACCTCCTCCTTCATCTGAAAGTGAAGAAGAGAATATTTATGTCAATTCGAATAATACTTCTAAAGACGATTTTAAATCCTTTAAAGGAAGTATTAAAAAGCGTCCAATACCTACTCCTAGAAGATCAAAGAGCAAGACAAGTACGCCTAATACGCCTACAAATTTTAATAAGCCAAATTTTGAGGCTGCTATGAATTCTGACACTGAAAATCCTGAAGCACTGTATTCATCCCCCGGCTTACCACCTCCTCGACAAAACAATTGTATCTTTCTTCAATCTGGTGATATATATACAACTTATATTCTTGATAAGAGTACAAATAGTAATAATGACAGTAATCTATCTCTTGTCGTTAATCCTCCTGATGAAGAAGAATCCGAGGTAAACGACAATGCCAAAAATGAACAGATTTACTCTGCCGTTGTTGGGCAAGTTCAAATGCGAAAGAAAGCGTCAGTTAGAGCAGAAGATCAAATAAAAAGTATACTTGGACCGGCACCTGAACTCCCACCAAAAATTTCTGGTGATTTAATTAAGCTGCAAGATTTTAGAAGCCCATCTAATTCTTCGACATTATCTTCTCCGAATATGCCAGAACCACCCTATCCACCTCCAGAATTACCGGAAAATTTTCATGTTACAGATACAATACCATTGCCAATTGAAACTTATAAGAATAATGACTGTACGTATTATCATTTTCCAAATTATACACTTGAACATTAGTTTCAATATATATTTCTATAGCAACTGATGATAGTGACGGATACTCGAGTGATGGAGGAGATTTTCTGGATGATATTTCTCTTACTCTTAATACATCACTGCCAAATACTCTACCAGTAATACATCAATAATTTAACACGTAATACACGAATACACCGATGTTTGTAACATTGTAGGTTATGACCCCCTATATAGAAGGTATTCATAGAGCAGACGAACTCTTCAAAGTTAGCAGGTAACCAATACAATATGACTAGAAATTGTAATATCTCAATGAATCAATTATAAATTGCTGTTTAGTTCATCCTCGGGAGGAAGGGCCAGATCTCTCTTAAAGCATAATTCAGGAAGGAAAAGATGGGTTACATTAGATTGTAAATACTTAAAGTATTATTCATTGAAAGATAAAGTGGGTTTTTTCATAATAATCATTTGCATAGTATCTATTTAGAGCATTTATTTTAATAAAATAGAGGATGCCTAGAAGGATTATTCCTCTAAATTCTATAAAATATGAAAACTTCGAATCTTTGCCATCGGCGATAGATGGTGATATTTATTACTTTTCCTTTCAAACTGTTGACAGAAGTTATACTTTTGGTGCTGCTGGAAGCCTTAAAGGCCGTAAGTCTTGAGATAATATATACTTAAGTGATTCTCGAATCGAATGATAAGATAAGAGAGTTTATCTTTTTTTCAGGTCAAATAAGAGATTTTTGGATAACTGACCTTGGTAGAATATTAGAAGAGTATAAAAGGCAAGGTTGGGGCCCCTGGGTATCAGGAGGAGAAATGCGCAATGGGCAAAAATATGTACAAATACAATAATTAATACCCTTTTCGTTAAGATTAATGCATTAAAATTGTATATATTCAGGGATTTGCAAGATTGGAGAGTATTTTTTCGGGAAAGAAATATCTTGTACTTAAAAAGACAACATTTGCATTCTACAACTCTGAAATAGTACGTATAGACTATATATGAATGATTGTATAGTCAGTGTATCAATTCTAATAATTATGGTAATAATGATAGTTTTTTATTCTATTCTTAGGACTACAAAGCTGGCTCTCCTATTAATTTAATGGATATGAAGCTTGTTTCAACAAAACAAACTTCTAATAAATTACATCTTCGCAGCCCTGAATGTGGTGAATTAATGTTAGCTTCTTATTGTTAAATATGTTCATTTGAAGTTGAATTAAAGAATTTTATCTTATTAGATTCAGCTTTGATGACGCGGCAGAATGTGAATCTTGGAATAAAGCTCTAATGAACGCCACAAGCGACGCTCTATCAAATATGGATGAAAATACGGGAACAGCCAACGTTGATATTAATGTTATTATAGTCTATTTTGTTATATGGATGTATTTGTGTTAATATTTAAAATATTTTAATTCTTAGGCTTGTAGTATTATTCACAAATCTGGAGGAAACGATATTTGCGCCGATTGCGGTTCTATCAATCCTGAGTGGGCGTCCATCAATTTAGGAATAACTATATGCCTAGACTGCTCTGGATCTCATAGACATCTCGGAAGTCATATTTCAAAGGTTAATATTTACATAAATAATGAAAAATGATAAACGACTATTATTAACCTATTATAAATAAGGTCAAAGCTCTTAATTTGGATAAATATGTATGGTCATCTAATGTTATTGGATTATTTGAAAGAATTGGTAATAATTACTCCAACAACTTCTTGGAAGCCAACTTGCCAACTGACATTAAATTAATGTTCAAATTTAGCGGAGATTTAACATATGAGTACGTTTTTTTCTCTCTGCTCCCCTTTTCTATCTTTATACAACAAATTCAATTAATTCTATTTATATAACAGGAAGCGTCAACAGTTTATTACTGATAAATATGCTCATAAACTTTATATACCATCTGATTATAAGAATATATCAAACTTGAATGAGTTATTATGCGAAAGTGTTCAAACTAGAGACGTTGGACAAACATTTAAATTAATTCTTAGCGGAGCTGACCTTAATTATCACTGTAAAAGTGGTGAATTTCAAGGCAAAACTGGTAAGTTTACTATATATATACTGTATATATAGACAGTCTATATTCCATTTTCAAATAATGAATTGTATTATAATTAACAGCTCTAGAGATTTCGCAGTTATGCCATCAACCTTTGCAAGAGGTATTAAATTAATTTAGGTAAATAATAACCTTTAATTACACATACTTTTCCCATTAATCTAGGAGTTAATACGTTTAAATTCATTATCAGAAACAGAACAGGCAAGTAATAGTTTAGTTCCTATATTTATTTATTTAGCCTTGAGCCCTCATATAGAATTTATATATCTATTTATAATTTAAACGAAAAAGTCAGTTTAGTTTTTTCAATTAATATTTTACTGTAATATTATTGATTGAACTTTTATCGTTAATACTAAAAAACCTAATAACCTTTGTTTGCTATAAATTACTATTGTAGATTGTAGACCTTTTAATATTGACAACTGTATATATTTACAATGAATGATAATTTTGGAAACCCTTTTCTAATTGAATATATTCAATTACCAATAAGTTTTATTAATATACAGCAAGATGCTGAACACGCCTCTGAAATAAATATAACGAGAAAGAAGATTGTTTGTCAAGGAACGCTGTATAAAATATTTCCTGGGGCCAAATCAATACAAGGTAAATTTCATTTTTTTTTTACATTATTAATATTCATTTACTGTTTTATCTATGTAGACTGCCCTAAAAGATGGTGCAATATTCTAAACGACATCTTTAGTGTATATGAAAATGAAGGGGTATTCAATATATGCATACTTAATATTGGTCGTTTATATATTTTTCTATGCCTATACAGGGTAACCTTAAGGAACAATTTTCCGTCTCAAAAATTATAGCCCTTGGTAGATCAAATCTATTTAAAAGCGATAGATGCGAAACATTCATTGTACATATGGACAGCGATAAATTTTATGTCTATGGGGCAGAGTGTGAAGATGATTATCGGCTGTGGGTACAAGCTTTCGCCCAGGTTCGTATAAAGCTTTTTTTAACCGTTAGAATAATAATGAGAATATGTTTTAATATTTGTTTTTTTTTTCAGTCTATTGGACCTACCGCTATTCATAATAAACTGTTTGATTTTGCTGGACAAGCTTATGCGCATAAAGGTGTTAATGAGGTTAATAGCATTTAAATTGAATTCTTATCGTTTTAGCAGCTTTTAACACTCTAATGATCTTACTCATACAGGACTGGAAGATGTATTGGTTACAGGTTTGTAACAAAGAGTTATTCATTTGCGATTATGGGTCTGATCCAATTTTGGACAAATTTAATCTACTTCAAACAAAAAGCTTAGGTATGCAAATTTAAATTTACAATTGAATTGTAGATACTAATTTAAATATAAAATGTTTCAGTAAACCATTTACCATCAGCTGAAAATAAGATAAATCAGTGTGGTGGAGTATTTAAGAACGGGTCACACATAGTTTTAGATTTGCCAGAGATTGCTATATATATTCAGGGAAATACACCAGAGGTCACTATCGCCTGGTACGATTATTTAAAATCGTGCTTAGAAGTTGATTCAAAAGCTCTATTAGAAGAGCATCTACAAACTTCAGACAACGTTCCTTTAATTGTTGAAAAGTGTATCAATTTTATTTCAGCCGTAAGTTGTTTATATTAAATAACTCTTGTGTTGTATTATCAATAATTGCTAAACGATTTCATATCATTTCGAATAGTATGGATTAGAGATGGAAGGAATCTATAGACACACTGGATCTATTAAACAAGTAGATGAATTGTATAAACAATTTTGTAAAGGTAAAATTATACATACTGTTCTATATTTCTATTACTTATTTAATGAAAATATAGATGCTACAACCGTTCATTTACGACACGAATCTAGCGAAGATTGTAATCTGGTCGTATCCTGCCTGAAAAAATTCCTACGGAGCCTGCCAATTAGTCTAATTTTTTTCGAAACAGACGAAGTTTTAAAGATACTTGGTATAACAATAAAAAACATCACAAATCGAACAAGCACTAAATTCTGTTCTAAATATTTAGAGAGACCTGATAAATTAAACGGCTATAAAGAACTTATTGCAAAATTACCAATTGTTCATAGAAGTACGCTAAAGAAATTTATGCAACATTTGAACGAGTTAGTACATTCTATTTTTATTCTATAAAAGAGAACATTCTTTTTTGGCGGAAATTTTTATAATTGCTTTCGTATTTTTTTAAAAATAGGGTTGCCCGGTACGATAATATTAACAAAATGAATATTGAGAACTTATCAACAGCTATAAGCGTTTCTCTGTTTGATCATACAGTAAAGACAATAATTCTTTAAATAGAAAATTTTTTAAAAGGACTTTTAATCGAATATTTTTAACAGGCACTTTTAAATGACAAAATTATGAAATTTACTGCAGACCTTATAGGAAATTTCAATGTATTGTTCGATGTAAGTATTTAGTTTTGTTTAGTTTGCTTTTTCTCACAATATAATTTAAATGTATAGGTTGATCTGGAAAAATTTGAAGCTCAGCAAAGACAAATTGAAGCTGCCAAAAGAAAGATGCAATTTGCTGCATCGTCGGAGGGAGTCGTTAATACCCTTGATATAAAAGTTTCTATAAAAGTTTTGAAAAATAAAGAACCTGATGCTCGTGGTCAATTCAGTATGGAAGATATAGCTTTAAATGTAAGAAGTTAACAGCAATACTTTGATAAACATATAATTAAATTGGTTTATTTCATTGTAGATTCATAGTAAAACGACAGCTGGAGAGATTTTAGCCAATGTAAAACGTAAATTGGCTTTAACGAATGACATTCAATGGGGTCTATACTATATTGTTTGTAATGGAGAACTTGGTAAAAGAATATTTTCTATTAAGCAATTTATTATCAATTATTATTAAAATTCTATTTTTCCATAGACTATTTTTTTCATAGTACCGAAGAAGTATATAATTTTTTAATTAATTCGTGGCCTGATGAGTTCAATAAAAACACATATATTTGTGTTAAAGAGAACTATTCTTATCAAAGAATGCCGAAGGTAAAAATATAGTTAATATATATTGTACATATTTTATATAGCAAAGCTTTGTTCCTTTTCTATGTTAGAGACGCAATGAAACTGGATTAAAATATTTGTCTGCCGAAGGATTATTATACAGCGACGAGAGGAATAAGTATAAACATTCAGCTGTTGAGTTGAGAAATTATAATCTTGTAATTACAAAGCAAAAGGTAACAGTATTGACTTCATTATCGTTAAAAGATATTTCTTTTTCTATTTATTAATTTATAAGGATTTTTGATGAATGTATTGTTATATTTTTTGAATTTTTTTTGTTACATTATGCATTTTTTCTTTTGCATGACCGTTTAGAATAATTGTTTTTTTGCTTTTCTGACCGTTTCTTTTATAGGGATCATGGCGCAATGTACGTATGCCGTTGACTGATTGTTTTTTTTTCAGCGTTTATAAATCCGCTTTGCTTATTAATGTTTGCACATCTTAGAAAAATGTCCTATTGACTCAGTATCTTTTGTTTCTTGAAATAATTCAGTTATCTCTTTTGGAATTAAAATTTTCCTCTTCTTAAATTGTTAATACTCTCCTCCCTAAATAGTTTAATATTTAAATAGGCAGTTGAGAATAGAACCTCAGTTCTGAATATGCCCAATGTATGTATTTAATTTTTTCTCCTGTAGTTCTTATATGTAAAATTCTGATTATTTTACTTAATCAATAACAACACCTTGTCTAATGCCTAAAATAATGCCTAATTCAATTGTAATTTTTTAAAGATTGCATTAAAATTATAGATAATATATTTCAAGTTTTGATTTATTTTTCAAGGCAAATGAAAGTTTAGAAATTCCTGTTGAGCAGCTGATGATATTTGTTGGTCTTGAATATAATAGGACACCACCTAGAGAAGATTATGACACTATAAGATATAGATCACTTACTTTTCTAAATAAATTAGATAAGAATCCAACATTTAAGTTTGTTACCGTAATTTCTGACTTTGAATTTATGATTTATAGCTTTTTCAAATTTATAGACCATTCTTTGGTAACACTGTAATATTTGCTACGGAAGAAGACTTATTTTCATGGCTCTCCGAAATATTTAATATTCAAGTAAATATAAATTTTTTTGTTAATTATATATTGTTGATTTCATTTGACTTTCGTTTAGTATTCGGATGCTTTAGAGCACAACGTAACCAGAAAAGATTGTAAAATTAGCTTAGGAATTGACGCACAGGGAAAAGTAAGTATAATTTATAATTATAAATTTAATAAAATGAAATAAATCGATTTTGTAGAACCCAAACTATACTCGTCGCCAAAGTGTAAATTCCCCGAATTGGCTAAACATAATAACAAGAAGAACAATCAAGCGATGATCCAATTTTGCAAACCCGTATTCCTAACTCAGTTTAAAGCCAGCTTTGAAGATGACTTTTAAAACTTTATCCAAATTTTTGCTTTCAAAAAATTTATTTGCATATATATTTTTACAATTTCTACATTTTAAATACAATGTAACTTGTGTTAGCAAATAACAAAAAGTCACTCCCGATTGGGTAGAAAATCACGATACCTATTAAAAAAAGTTTTCATATCAATCTTAGGTTTGTCATTCATGACACTTTCATAGTACTCAACAAAAGATTTATACAAGTTATGAGTACCACCAAAAACTCTCATGATGTTGGTCATATTAATGCCATTAACATCGTAGAATTTTTGAAGCATCTTACACACTATTACTGGAGCATACTTCTTTGTTAAAATTACTCTGTCGAATTTTGAAGTTATTGAAGTTGATTTATTAGTAGATTTCTTCAACTTCTGTTGGACTTTACTCAAAGCATAGGAGGATATCTGCAACATCTGAATTAAAAATGCTCTGCACACACTAACTCCTTCTACACTATCCAACAATACAAAATAATTCCATCGACGGTGTTTTGTTTTTGTTGGGGCAGCAGACAAGTAGTCAGAAATTTGATCAAATTGTTTCAGACTATTTTTCCTTTGAAAACTTTCAAATTCACGTATCTGCACTTCATGAGATACACTTTGGTAACATTTTCGCTTACAACAAGTCGTAACAAGTCTGAAATTACTACTTCTTCTATATGACCTATTATCTCCAACTGTCGGAGATCTCATGGGACAGACACTTGTTACATTTCGTACTTCATGATCTGGCGAATCGTGGACGTTCGTCTTTACAACAGAGAAACTCTGCGACTGTTTTATAAATAATCATTATTGCTATTCGGCTTTTTGAAAAGCTAATTAATACAAAACATCACCTGTTTACTTTTTCGCTGCAAGATTGATACGATTCTTTTCGGTACAAGTGCCTAAGGTCGACAGATTTAGTATTTGTTCTATCATACTATACAATTAAATCTACCTGTTCTTTGTTTTCATTCAAACATGATGATTCTGATGCCTGGCGTTGCACCATATTCACATGGTTTTCAGTAACTTCAACCGGCTGAATAGCTATCTGCAAACAAAAATCACTATTGAAACCTGTTTCGGGACAGTAGAATACCACACATACTCTCTCTACAACAGGACTAGGCTGTTGAGTAATTTCAGCATCATTGAGATTAGATTTCTCCAAAGTGACCAGTTCAATATCTTCCTTATTTTCTGTTAAGCTGGTATCAGAATTTTCAACATTATCAGGAACGGTTGATTCAACAATTCTCAATGGGATTTCGACACTTTGAGGCATTTCTTTTTCGTCTTGAATGGAGCATTCGTCTATGGAGCTTTTTCCAATGCTATCTATGACAGATTCCCTCTGAGAGTAAAAAATATATATTAATTAGCTTGGAATATTAAAAACATTATGGCTAAACCTTTCCGGTTGAACTTTCTATCGCTTGACTTTCAGTATTTTTCATAGTTTCCAGTTGACTATGCTCCTCTTCAGTGTCAACTAGGGTCTCATCATCACCATAAATGGAAGATATTTCCAATTCATTCTCTAGAAGGTTTTTAAATTTCTGAAACGGATTGTTTACTTTATGAGGACGTTTTCTTGGAAAACCTTTATTATTGGATGTTGAACAACTGTCAAAACCATTCTTCTTCAACTTCATCTTTTTCATAGCTTCCGGTTGTAATCTTACGTCTTCAATCACTTTCTTGGACCTTTTTGATGATAAATACATTGGTAATCCATAAACTCGAGATTCATAGAGGTTAGGTGGAATTTCTGGCTTCATATATCTTACTTTACCACTTGACATTTGACGTTTCACTGAGGGAACTTTAGGAGCTAAAAATTCATCATTTTCGTATTGTGTTTGCAAATCGACTTTTTCATGTTTCTTTTGGCTCTTTTTTGGTTCCTTTATGGATCTATTAACATCAATCAAGGATATTTTTAATTTGGATTCCGTCATCGTATCATTTCTGTTATGTGTTGAATTAGGAGCTGAAGTCTCATGAGTAACATTTTCTGCCATGCAAAATGTTTTTAAAAGAGGTCTCTCATTCGATAAATTGTTATTTTTATGATAAGACTCAGCGACAGATTTACCAAGCGCTTCTCCATGTGTCAAAAAAGAGTTTGCTGGTTTCTCAGCTGCTTCATACACCCAACTCTCATTTTTGTTTGATTTCTCTTGGAAATCGCGATTCTTTCCTAAGCTTTTCAAACGCATAATACTTGTATTTAGAATCATGCTATCTGTTTTAAGAAATTAAATTAGTTTAGACAATTAATTAGGAGCAAGTTACAGACGAAAACAAACCAATCTTTCGCTCTCTATGTTTCACTTTTTTGACAGCATTTCGAAATACTTTTCGGTTGATAGCCGATTGAGAGTGTTTAAGATCAAGAGTCAGATGTTTCAAGTCAATATTTTCAGTTATTTGATGATTGAAGTGACGATAAGTTTGTGTTGCTCTCATCTTTTCTCTGAATACCTTACCATCCCAAATACTACTGATTAAGAGACTTCGTATAACTTTTTTAAAAGTGGAAAGCCTTCTAACGTTTACTCGTTTTATAACCAGACCACGTTTCTTTCCCGTACATTGATTGTACGCGGTACCTCTTATTGGTTTCATAAACTAAAAAGAATTGCATGTTTTTTTAAATGAATGAAATTTATTGCGACTCTAAGTTCATATTTTGCAATCTAATTGGGATAGTTAAAGTATTTGTAGTAATATCTTCAAACGATAACGAAGCTGCCTATTCGAATTTTCAATCTGTAAAACTCAAAAAAAATGTTTGCTACTATTAGGGAAAAAATAAAGTTTTGGAGGCAATTGCTCTCTATAATGTTCGAAAATGTAGATTATGTTAACTATATAGAAAACTTATAGATTGTGTTCAACAAACCTTAAAGGAGTTAGTTCACAATAAAATTCAAATTCAAAGTAAGAATTTTTTTTCTGTATCCGTACTTCAGAAATTCGGGAACGAAAATTCGAACAGAACGTTCGTCGATCAAATTCTGTTTTTTTTGCACAATGTATTTGAGTCTTAGATATTTTCAGGCCTGTCAATAGACTGGTTCTCCCTTGATAAAATTTTTAAATATGTTCTTAATTTATTTGTTTAAATTTTTACTCCAATTATGTTTTATCTTTCAAAAATCTTAATTATCAATCAAAAATACAAAAAAATTACGAACTTTTAGAACAAAATTTAATATTCCAGGAAATTTTACAAACATTTTCATTTTACCGGAAGCTTAGCCAAGGGCGCCAATTCGGAAGTTGTAAAGACGCCATATTATTACTTTGTTTACCATAACATCGTTCATTCTTGATATATTGTTGAATTTGTAAAAAAAAAAATTTGTATTCTTAGCTTTTGACCTGTAATTTTATGCAAAGAAATAATGCCAAAAGAAAGACTAAGTTCAGATTATAGTCGATTTTCCAAAGCAGAACTAAGTTTTTCATATTTACACACAAACTCTACAACGCACGAGTTCCTCTTTGGTGCCCTTGCTGAAATCGTGGACAATGCAAGAGATGCCGGAGCAAAGTATTTAAATATCGATGTCGAGAAAAATGACCATTTAAGAGGAGGTAACATTATCTGGTTTATAGATGATGGTCAGGGAATCGGTCCTACAGAAGTTTCCGATGTTATTAAATTTGGAAGATCTTCAAAGCGATTACATAATTTAGATTCAATAGGAATGTACGGAAACGGACTCAAGAGTGGATCTATGAGAATTGCAAACGATGTAATTCTCTTAACAAAGAAAGATGATACTTATTCAGTCATATTATTATCAAGAACGTTTCTCGAAAACGAAGGACTAAATGAGGTAAGTTCGCTGAAAAGCAGAGCAAATGTTCATCAAATAGTAAAAACTAGTTTAATTTAGTTTAATTTGTATTGCATAAATGGGCGTGTTCATAGTATTGTTATTTTTTATCTCTATAAACAATCGATAAGATTTAAATCTGCTATAATGCAAAAACAACCTATTTTGAAATTGGCTAGAAAAAAGAATTTCCTATTATTCATGTGGTTTTAAAAATATTTTCTTTTGCCGAAACGCTCTATTGCATTTTCCCTAGGCAGTGTCATGTTTAGTCTAATGGATCAATATTTATAATACTCAATGTATATTTTGAACAGATTGTTGTCGCTATGCCTCAATTCCAAGTTGATAGTTTCAGACCCTACATTCCTCCATCGAAATCTATAGACGTACACAATCACGAAGTTGGCGTTGTACTTCGTTACTCTCCTTGGAAAACTTTAAAAGACATTGAAAAACAATTTCACAAAATAAAAGGCATTTCAGGAACGGCTGTAGCAATTTACAATTTGAAATTACTTAACAATGGGGACACAGAACTTGATTTTAAAGCTGTAAACAATGATATCTTAATATCATCAGGAAATTCTTGGACAGAAAGTCAAACTGACAACATTGATAAAGAAGAATTGCTGCGGTATAAACCAGAAACAGTTTCGTTTAGATCTTATCTGGCGATATTGTACAATGAAATCACTATGATAATTTACTTGAGAGGTAGAAAGATAAAATCTCGGCTTCTCGTTCACGAATTATATAGACCTCGAATGTATACTTTTACATCTAATAGATTTAGGGTTAAAGCCTTAAAGGATTTAGAATCAGCGCAAAATGACTTGAAATGTATCGAAAATTTATTGCGTGAGATCAATAGTAAAATATCCGATTTAAATAAAAAAACAGATAAAAGTTTAAAGGAATTGAATGTTGAAATCAATAAGGTAACTTTATACTACAATATAACATAGATTGTTGATTATTATTATTTGTATTAAATTAAAAATGAAAACAATAACAGGAAAAACTTAGAGCATCTCAGGTGGCTGACGAGGCTAAGGAAAAGCGAATTATCTGTCAGAATTTAGAGAAAGCAGTGAGACAAACAAAAGTAATATCTTTTATCTACGGTATGAAGATTGAAAATCGATATCAAGATGGGATTTTTATATATAATTGTGGCAGACTTATCAAAATGTATCAGAAATATAGACCCCAAAGCGAATTATCATTACATTACGGAGGTATTGTCGGAATAGTTGATATACCTTATCAAATACTGGAACCAACTCACAATAAACAAGACTTTGCGGATGCTAAGGAGTTTAAAATGCTTCAGAAAGCGCTTTCTGACGGATTGATTCAATATTATAAAGACATGAATTTTGATACTAACGATATAGAAGATTTCTGGATCTCGTTTGGATATAAAAGAAATAAGCAAAGCTGGACCATTGCTCCCGATCCAAATTTAGCTAAAAAAAGATGTCTATCAGTACCTAAAAGAATACAATGCCACGATTGTTTCAAATGGCGAATTATCCCTTATGGAAAGGTTTGTTCAAGTTCTTTACCATGACCATTTATATCTTTTAAATTCCCTTAGTTTGACGACGTTAGGGACGATTGGAGATGTAGAAATCATTCAAATAAGCAGCTGGCAAATTGTAATAAAAAAGATGATCCTCCCGCAATTGTTAATGGCGGCAATCTAAAAAAGCAACGAATTCCAACGTTTGACGAAATAGAGGAGGACTACCGTCGTCATCAACGAAAGTTAGCTGAAGAAAATTCACATACGGACATGATACTCTCTGATAAGAGGGAGCAATGCTTCGAAAGAATATCTAGAATTCGTCATCATTCGTCAGAGAACGACAAAGAAGATTTAGTCAATTCAAATAAATTGAACAAATTAATTCCAAAGAGAAGAGGAGACAGACAACAGTATCACGATATGGATAGTTTTTCTGCCACAAAGAAAAGGAAAACAAAAAGTTCGAGTATAGAAGATGCAGAGGTTGATGTGGTCTCTGGCGAAGTTGATGATGATACATCTGAAAACACGAAACTAGCTTCTAATTTTAAAAAATGTTTAGAATACTTTCGACCTCCCAAATGGAATCAGAGTGCTGAAGATATAAAACGGTTAACTGTACAAGATTTAATTCGTTTCCCTCATAAAGAATTCATTCAAACGTATGACAAATCATTAAAGAAAAAATTCGAAGACATGAGATTAGAAAGAGATACAACAAATAACATATTTCTCTCTCTCATTAATTCAGTCAAAGACTTTTTAAGGGTTTTATGCAATGACGACGAACATTTCGCAAGACTTACAAATGGAATAGAAAACTATTCGAATGAACAATTAGGAAGACATTATATGAGCTTATTAGAACAATATCAACAACAAATACAAGTTAAGCATGAATGATGAATAGGGAGAGAAAATGTTTACAATTTGTTTTGTACTATTAAATTATATCCTAACTTTATGTTTTCTTTATGAAATAGATTAAATAGTTTATTATAAATTTATTATAATATTAGTATATAGTATGTTTTTTTTTAAAAAAAAAAAAAAAAAAAATTGGATGCTTAACGAAAAAATTCCACTAAGCATCCAAAAAATGTAAATAGTACTTTAGGCTTTCAGAAGATCATTCAAGTTTTCGAAAATCTCACAACTCAAAATAGACAAGATATCTTCCGATTCCCCAAAAGATGACTCACAAGAATTTTCCATGTCGGTAACAGGTTTCGGTATTTTTGTGAATATTGATGAAATGTCGTCTTTTTCCACATAATCGTTCTTTTCAATACTTTTATTGTCTGTAAATTGATACATTCGACACTGGCCCTCGTTTGCTTTCAGTTTCTTTAATTTGCCATCTCGTACACAGGCGTCAAGTGCTGATCGAAAGTTGCGTTTAGCTTGGTTTAGAGGTAGTTTCGAGTTATTTTTAAAATTTCTATACAAGTGATAAATGGTATGAGAATTTGTATTATTCCGAATTCTTTTCCAAATAATCTTGAATGTTTTTTCGCTCTTATCAACCCAAACAACATCGCTTTCAGTATTGCTTCTTTGATTATCTAAGAGGCTTCTTAGAAAATCTGGTAACTGTCTTCTGCTCTTCATAGGAAACCTTTCGAAACTAACTGACCCGCTTATTTTATAATCTATGTGTGGAGGAAGCGACATCTATCACTTACTATGAGAATAAATTTTTCTACTTTCCGTTTCGATCTCAAATGTAAACAATTAAAAGCAGTTTTAATTTTTTATTAGATACATTGTATAGCTAGTTTTAAGATTTCTGTTCTCTTTTCCAAATTATTACAATTCCAGAAGCATCGCAGGACGCCAAAAGAGATTCATCATAATTAAAAGCGACGTCTAAAACTGGGGCAGCGTGACCTTGTAATTTATTGATACACGGTTTCTGTTCGCGTTGAACATCGAAAAAATAGACACAGCAGTCCTCGCTTCCAGAGACAACGCAAGCTCCCTGACGAAATGACATTAGTGGACAAAAGCAACTTTTGATATTAGATTGGCGATGTTTAATAGGAAAATTTTTACGGAGTTCCAAACCACCTTGCTCGTCCGTAATCCTACAAACCGAAACAGAAATAGCAACTTGATTCATTCAACAAAGTGTAAGTATCGCTTACCGATATAGACATAATATATTCATTGCGCAATTAACTAATAGACATGGATCCCTTGCTTCTCTACTAATCCATGTTCTAGACGAAATACTGGTAATAGAATGATGTTCCATAACTGTAATTCGCTTAGCTCTTGTTAATTTTCCGTGAACGATATCGAATTGAAAGGCAGTGATAAATCCTTGATTATCTCCAGCCCATAAAACTCGACCAAAGGAATCAAACTCTATTGAAAATACTTTCCCCACAGCTTTACCGAGACCTCCCTTTACAACTTTTCCGGTTGATATATTGTACACTTGAATCATTGAATTACTATTTCCTGTCTATTATGATTAGTATTAATTTTAATCATCCAACAAAGTATTGTACTTACAGCAAATAAATTATTATTAGCTGGTTGAAACACGCACGAAAGAACGGAATATTTTAAAGGATCCTCCATAATTCGAATACATTTACCACTGGCTACATCCCACAACCTAGCAGTGGCATCGTAACTCGATGATAGAACGTGATCATTACTCATTGACCATGCCAAGCCTGATATACCTTTTTCATGGCCATTTAGAACACAAATTACTGTTGCAGGAGCCGGAATAAGTTGGCAAACAGAAATGGAACCATCTAACGAGGCGCATGCTAATCTGCAAACAACATATTTTATAATTTAAATACGAGTAATTATATATGAAAGTGTAGTTGAAACAAAAATTACCTTGACTTATCATCGTGAGCAAAGACTATTGAAGTTACAGCCGCTTTATGTTGATCAAAAATATGATGCATACCAGCAAAAGCATAATTCTCTTCTACGCTAGTGTCGCCAGCCATAGCTCTGCTTGCATCTGCTAAAAGAGTTGGTACTACACCAGCTTTTTGGGGGTAGTGACGAGTTTTCCATGCTCGAACGTCAGTTCGTCCTTCTATATCACTCTGCGATTTAGAGTAATATTTTTATGATACTTTACAACGTAATATATAAAGAAATTTGTATAAATACATCAGTGTTTTTGCTAACGCTCCTTAAGCTTATTGTCCTACTTCGAACGCTACTAACATCCGAGAATGCTTGTGCTCCATATCTCTGACTTAAGAGAATAGATCTTAAACGCAAATAGTCCCTCACATCAAAGTCATCTGTTTGATTGACTAATTCGGAACGTTGTCGTAGCATTTGACTACGACGTCGGATATATAAAGTTCCTGAAAAAACATGACTTTTTACAATAACAATTTGAGCGATAAATAGAGGCCTTACTATGAGAAACATTATTTGGTGATCTGTAGGCATTGTATCTAGCATCTAGCGAAAGAACATGTTGCCACGCGGCCATTAATTATAAAATTTAGCAAATTAAGATAAGTTTTTGATAAGACTGATTGTTTAAAAAATTTTTAAAGAATGAAACTCTTCAATTTCTGTACTTCCTATATTTGTGTAAACTGGTAACAATTAGAGCAAAACGGAAGTTGATAAAGCGGGAAATAATAAAACAAAACATTAATCGTTTTCAGACTGTAGTAAAAAAACCGAATAAATAGTCGAAACAAAAAAAATTTCCCTTGTTTTTTTTTTCATTTTCGAACGAGACATACTGGTTTTCTTATTCTTCACTCGGTATCGTTAGAATCGTTATTGCGCTCTGAACAATATATTCCATTAAATCCATCAAATGTGTCATCAAGTGAGTGATGTTACGCAAACGTTCAATCCTTTGGCTAATTAAAGCATTTTGACGAATTTCCGCATTGTGTACGCATACCTCGCTTAAATTTCTTTGAAATTCTTCTTCAGTTTGATCAATTAGAGTACGTTCCAAAATATTTCGGAGGTGTTCCAAATGTTTAATACCAAGAAGATTAAATCCTTTAGAAAAATAATTTTTAGCATTTGCGGTATTTTCATCAATGGAAGTATCTTTATTTTCACTTTTTTCCTGTTTGTCGTGAGTAGTTTGTTTTTCGTCATTCTTTGATTTTTTTCTAGGTAAATCAGTCATATTTTCGTTAACATTTCTCTTTCGAGTAGAATCCATTGCCTTAGCTTTATCAATATCTCCTAAGCTGATATTTGCAGTATAGCCGTCGTCACTTTCCGTAAATGCTCTAACAATCGTTTCCGAGAATAGGAATGAACTAGCCTCCTCCTCATCGCTTGATTCTAGATTAGTAGTACTTCGATGATTCTGTTTTTCCTTACAAATTTGGCTAAGTTGTTGAACTTGAAGGCGTAGCTCGTCAATTTGATGCTGAGCTCCGTATAAAATTTTATAAAACCCCTGGCGGTTACGACAATTAATTCGGTCAGTTTCTAAAATATAATTAATCTCCGTCATAAGAGCTTCCTGAACAATTCCAAGTCGTCTATCAATATCTTTCAACACAGTTAGTGTAAATTCTCCATACTTTATATGCATTACGCGACGGCTGCCCAAGACTTTCTTCGTCTTTTCCAACTTTGCTTGTCGTATTGCTTGATCTTCCCCGCCATCTTCGTCGGAATCTTCTTCGCTATCGGCGCTACTATCGTCTACATTTTCTTCCTCCTTAACTTCTACTTTAGCTTCCTCTTTTCTAACAATTTCTGGACTTTCTCCAATGTTCTCTGCCAAAACGGTACCGTTCATTGTCGTAATCGGTTGTAGACTAACACGTTTTATCAACGTTGCGTAGTCCGAGAGCACTTAACCACGTTTGAGCAGTGTCACAAAATTATTTTTTATCCCCGTCGGCTGCTGCTACGTTGGCGGTTGTTACGCACGTCCGTTCTACGTGGACCAAAGGGATCGTGGAAAATTCACAGCTAATCTTTAGCCTTATCAGAGAATTTTTCAAAAAAAAGTAGCTTGCAAACTACTTTTTCAATTGTATTACAAGCAATTCGCTTCAAACGATGCCAAATTACTTATAGCTTTAGCTGGGCTTTGCCAATACCCCGAACTTTTCTTAAATACTTGCCTGTTCGATTTCTTCCAGGTTCCTTTTAAGGGAATACTTGGAAGAAGCTTGCAGAAACTTCCAAACACTATTTCAAATGATGAAAGGTTGCGTTGACTCTTCCAAAGTTTTGAAATTCAACGTTCTTGATGCTTCAAGTGTAAAAGCTGTAAAAGACTGCCTCCAACGGAACTCAGATTTTTATTCGAAAAACTCTACGAAACTAACTAGTATCAGTAACGCCCTCTTGTTTTTTTCCGTATTTCCTTCGGTGCTTCAAAGTATCCCAGCCCTCCCTTTCCCCCTCCCACCCCAACTTTTCGCTCAAAAATAAAACAAATATATAATTAACTATGTAATAAATTCATTTCAATTTTGTATTCATTCCTCTCTTCCCTTTCCTTTCCAATTTCTTCTAATTTCTCAATATTTCATAATAGAATATTTGTAAAAAAATTTTTTGTACTTTTATTGAATATTATTTATTAAAAAATGGCTTTAATTTTTCGTTTAAATGTTGAAAATGCTGACAAACTTATTATTGAGCTGGTGAATATTTCCTACCAGTTTTCCGATTATTATTATTCCATGTATATATAGTTTATATACTGTATAATATGTGTCATTTCTTTGGAAATATATATATTATATGCAAAAGAATAAAATAATGTAAAACTTGTATTTCTTATCTTTATTTTACAATCTTTTACTACAGCAAAAATTTGAATAGTTAACGGAAGTAATAGAAGAGAAAGAAGGAAACAAACAAGCAAACAGAAACTATACAATATATTTGATGACCCGTCCATGACACGACTCCAAAAAAAACCCCCTGAATGCATATTAACTATTTTATATATATATAAAAGTTTTGTTAGGGATAATAAAAATAAAAGCGCCAACAGTAAGATGGCGCCCTCGTTCCTTTAGTGAAAAAAAAGAAACTCATCTAAAATTGATATAAAAGTAACGTTTATAAGAGAAAGATATCTAATAATTCATCGAGAGTTTAACAGTATAGAAAATACATAAAATGGAAAATAGAAAAGAGTTAACAAAAGCTCTTGACGAATCATTCGGACCTGGTTCCTTTTTGTCGCATAGATTTGGAGCTTTATATTCTTTCTTATATGGTTCAAGTGTTACATTTCTGCTTTGGTCCTGAAAATACGCAAAAAGTCATTTAATTTTTTTACACTTAATTAGTTTTTTATTATTTTTTTTTATAAAAAACAAAATTGATGTAAGATTTCGTTTTACCTTTGATAAGTAGTAGACTTTGCCATTAGAACAAGTTATGTCAACATCTCTAGATTTAGCCGATTTTTGTAGATCTGCTTTAACTTTTTCATCCAACCAATCAATGCTATCCTTCTGACGTATGGAATATTTTAAGTTGGCAGGTTGGGTATGGCATCTTGATAGCTGAATAGGTGGATAATGTGCAACGTACGCTAAACACATTTCATTTTCCGTTGCGAGGCCTCCAAAAGTGGGTTTATCGTCGTTTGATGAGTCATATGTACATTCAGCAACTAATCTATCATTCTAAAAAGGTGGAAGAGGGAGGGGAAGGATTGAAGAAAATTAAAAGAATATATTAAAGACTTGTTAAAAGTAACCTTTTTTAATGTTCTAAACTTTGGTAGTAAACTGTATTCTTGGAAATTGAAATCGTAGCTTTTTTCATAATTGATTGGTTCCAATTCAACACCATCTCTAAAGTGTCTTAATTTCATTCTAACACCCTTTAAATGAGCATGTAGTAAGGCTAAGAAAATAGTAACCTCTTCTCTTCCGGATGCCTCAAATGCCTATCAATTAGTAGGAAAAGTAATTTAAATTATACTATATACAAGAAACTTGCGGACCTTGCTTAAACACTGTTCAGGGCATGATCCGACAGTAAGGAAATTTGAGCTTCTTGGTGGAATAATTTGTTTAGGTGTAACGTCGTGTCCAACTTCCATAATTCTAAGATCATTCTTTCTCACTTTATCAGTTATCCAGAAGCGTATGCCAGAAGTATCGGTAACATTCTCTTGAAAACTTGGATTGTCGTAGTGCACTTCCATTCTAAAATATTTTGAATCACCACTAGAACCTATTGGTAGTCCAACATCATCGGGGAAGAAGAACCTCTGAAAGAAACAACAACTGATAATTAAGAACATTGTCAAGTGTTTGAAATAGAAGAGCATATTAAATAATATCATACACTGCCACCAACTGCCCAAGCGAAAAATACAATATTACATTGATCAAACTGACCAGCCATATTTATTTCATCACTACCACATCGATACCCTTGACCAACGTGTTCGTCCTTGATTTCATGATCATGACCACAACCATAAATGAAAATATGATGAAGTAGGGAGGGGTGGCGGGTATCGATTATTGGTTCAGCCTAGAAAATAAGAATTGATAATCGTAGGGAATTAAAATTTGTTTTAGAATATATTACCGCAATGATATGATGTTTCTTTGTTAAATCGGGAAGTTTAAACATTTCGCATCTATAATAAGTGCTAACGTCCGATGGTAAAGAGAACTGAAATACAATACATTAACTATAAAATAGCTATAATACGTTTCAAGTAAACGTACGTTTCCTATTCTGAAATCAATAGGTTCACTATCCGCTAGTTTCATTTCATCACTCTTTTCAGATTTAGTGTTTAACAGTAGAACACTTTTAGTTCCACGATTGGTTGTTGCATGGCCGACAAAATTGTCTCCTTCGCCCATAAGGGCTGTACTGTACGACCAAATAAGCCTAGTCGTACCAGTCTGTGAGAGAAATACCAATATATAATAAAAAAGGCTACAATTAAAAGCCTATCTTAATTCAAGTACAGTTTTCACTAACAGTGTTACACACATTCTATTCAAATCCCTGAAAATATCTAAAACTAAACATATCACTTACACCAATATCAATATCTTCCTCGTCACAGGTTTTCAACTTTCTTTCAAATTTGTATATTGAAAATTCATGATAGGTTTTACCCCAAATAAGTTTCCAGTCTTGTTTCTTATCTAATACAGGCTCACTTTTTGCAACTGCGTGACGATCCTATATAAATTTAATGAATAAGAAAATTGATTTTATAACGTCTAAAGAAGCAAACTAAATATAATGTATTAATGTATTTGCCTGTAAGTGAAATTTGCCATTTGCCATCCATGCCATAATAACGTCGCTACCCTTCATATTTCCATTTGGAGAGATTCCAAAACCAACCCATCCTTTAGTTTTCACTTGAATTTCAAACGTAATCATTTCTTTTACGACTTTCCAATAGACTTTGTATACATTAGGTTCTTTAAGGATTTCACTGAAAGGGTATTTTTCAGAAGGCACTACAAAAGAAAATCTGAGTGTGAATAATAGTCCCTGATTCTGAACCTGATCAACATATATTGAATACAATTCTCTGTATACAAGCCCTCAAAATAAGCCAGACAACATGTATATATAGCTATATGTATTTGCTATATATTGTATATATATTGAATGAGAAATATAAAAGATTTTTACTTGGAAATCCATCGCAAAGATTAGGTTTAGTGTAGGGTACATAGTTATTGGATACTGTTATCTTTGTATCATCAACCTGTTTGAGGGCATATACGTTTCTTTAGGATAAACGTTGTTAACTTTTTTAAATATTAAAGATATTACCTTATAGCGAATCTGTCCATTGTCACAATAAACTTGAACTTCTTCACTGTTCGCTATTTCTCGTTGAATTTCTATTTGATTATTTCTTGTCCAATCAATAGTTCCTCCCTTAATACTTTGATATATTGGAGCAGTTTTAGCACGTATAGGCTCACTGACGCATTTAGATATTGGTAGAGCGGGATAGTAGCTAATAAAAGCTAAGCACATCTCTTGTCTTGTCGATTGGCCACCCTTTGAAAAATTTAAGTTTTAATGTATTTTTAATATAAAAAATAAAGGTTTTCTTACAAGTACGGCCTGATTTTCTCCCAAAGTATCATATGTACACTCTACTGTTAAACGATCTCCCTATAGCAAAATATTTATTTATTATTAATAAATTATAGATGAGATAGGACTATTATCAACAAACTTTTCGTATTTTTCTTAATTTTGGTAGGTTTATTATATCTTGATAATTGAAATCGTATGTTGATTCTTCCATCAGTGGCTCTAATTCCTTATCACCTCTAAATATCTTTAGCTTTATTTTAACACCTTTAATATGAGCGTGAAGGATAGAGGCGAATACTGTAACTTCTTCTAGACCGGCTTTGTCAAAGACCTTTTTAAAGAGAAATGTAGCTTAAACTTTTTATAGACTAATGTGCTATTGTTTCTTTTTACCTCCTCCAAACATTCGGATGGACACTTTCCAAAGGTAACAAAATCTTGAACGTTCGGTGGAACGATTTGGAACCGGGTAACTTTATGTCCAACTTCCAAAACGCTTGTATCGTATTTGCGTAGTTTGTCAGTATAAAATAAACGAAATCCAGAATTGTCGACTATATTTTCCTTGAGTCCTGGATTATCGTAGTGCATTTCGAATCTAATGTAAGAGGGGTCTTCATCTCTTCCAATTGGAAAACCAACTTCATCAGGTACTACGTATCTCTATAGGATAATAATAAAATAGTGAAACTATCTATCCTTCTTCGCTCTATCGCAAACTTACCTGTCCACCTACACCCCAAGCCAGCATAACTATGTTACAACGATCCCTCGAAGTACCCATATTAGTCTGATCTGTATAGCATTCATAGTCACTTCCGGTATGACTGTCGTTTATATTTAGATAATTATTGCACCCAAAAAGGAATATATGATGTAGAATTTCCGGATGTTTCGTATCGAATATAGGTTCGAACTATAGCATTTATCATATTAGCAACAGTTATGGATAATATATACAATTTTATTTCTTACAGCAACTATGTGACGCTTGCCAGGAAGTTTTGGCAGTTTCACTATTTCACATCGATAAAAGGTATCTCTATTCTTCGGTAGAGTAAACTAAAAAATGGAATAAATAGCTAAAGTAACAAAGTTATAATAAAATATATTTCATAATCCTACATTGTTCACTTTAATATCTATAGTTTTAAGTCCATCTGGTAGTTTCTTCTCGGGAATTTCACCTGCTATAAGTTGAACGCTCCTAGTTCCTCTCTTTGTTGAATCGCTATGTTGGGTTAAGTAATCTGTTCCAGAAGTTATTGAACCATACGCCCATATTAAACGCACAGTTCCGGGCTTTTGAATAGTAACCTCCTATAACAGTCATTCAAGTTTTGTTGACGTACTATTTACCTTTATTTCCCTGTCCTCTTCTGGATCACAAGTTTGTAGCTTTCTCTTTATCTTATATATGACATGATCACCGACCTCCTTCGCAACAATAACTTCCCAGTCTTGTAATTTATCTTTAATTGGTTTTGACTTTGCGACGGCATGGCGATCCTATTTGTTCGAATGAAATATTAATATATTATCAATAACGTTTTAAGAGAAAGCACGCCTTACCTCGAAAGTTAATTGACCATTTACAAGTTTTGCAGTAAATATATCGCTACCTTTCATTCCTCCATTTGGAGAAATTCCAAAGCCTACCCATCCACCTTTGTTTTTTACATGAAGCTCAAACGTAATGGAATGACCATCCTCCTTCCAGAATACCCTATATATATCAGGATCTCTTAGTACAGTTCCATATGAATAAGTCTCAGTTGGGTTTGGAAAAGCATTTATTAACTTCAGAACTACAAAGCAGTAAAGAATTACAAGTTTACTCATGACGAGGTAGAATTTCTTCCAAAGCTAAAAATCTTCAATATTAATATTTCTTTAATAGGAAATGCAGAACGAAGACAACGCCATCTGAAGAGTATTTTAACAACAATAATTTTATATTTTATGGCGTTATTGTTGAAAAGGAAACAACAAGCAATAAATAGATATATTGATAATCTCAAAATAAAATTTTCAATAACAACCAATCGAAAATGTTACTCATAAAAATATCGAATGTTAGTGGTAGGGTAAAGTAAATTCTATTCATAATAGACTATATTTCAAGCAGTCTTCAACAATGAATTCAGTTTTTATTTTCTTGAATATTCATAATTCGAAAATAGATCAACACTTTCCTATTCTTATTATTTTAATACATTTATATATTTAATTATTATTTATCGATAAGAAAATTGAATAGTTTTGTTTTCAATTCTTTTCTATTTCATTAAATTCGGGGTTGAAAAAAAGTTGAAAAAGGGAATAAAAACAATAGAAAGAAAAGTACAGAGGTGAAATAATTTCGTTTTCTCTAATTAGATAGAAAATGTAATTATGAAAACTTAGATTTATTAATCATTCAATTTACGCTATTCCCTTATATATAATTGTAGAAATTATTGCATATGTCTGACCTCATTCTTCTATATATATATTTTATTTTCCTTTCCTTTGAAATAGTCACACAAGTAGCGACTTTATTTTAATAGACTGTTTACAATTTTTGACATACAGATATATACATATTGAAAGTGTTACGTTGAATTAGATAAATGCAAAGGAAGTCTTGCTTTTAAGATAAACTTATCCCTAAATCAATAAATCGCCTCGCCCCTAAATGCCCCTTAGATAATAGCTTTTTTTTCGCTCTCTCATATCATAGCAACAATGAGACCAAATGTTTTGAGCAATTGCAATATCTAAAGCAGAAGCTTGACCATATATCGTATGCCTAACTTCATTATTCATACTCATAAGGGGAGTAACAGTTACATATTCTGAACCCTATGTGAACAACGTCCTTTTTCCACCGTCTTACCTATGTTTAATACTCCTTTTTACAAGTCTTAAGTTTTTGTATTTATTCATAAATTCTATCAAATTTATTGATTATTTCGCCAATATTGCTCGATTAATCGATTTATATAAGTTTAAAATGAAATTTACCCAAGAGATATGAAGTGATAATAACTGGAAAGTAGTAGTGTACCCCATGGTGAATCTATATTAGAGAGAAGATCTATATAGTTCCCTCAACAATTGGACTACCGTAAACGCTTTCTATAAAATGCTATTGACAAGTTTTTCTTTATCTCAATGTTTAAAAATCTGCTTGTATTATATAAGTGCGTTAAAATTCACATGAAATGTTTTCTTCTTGAAATAGAGATATTTTTCACATCCTACTTTTGCAAAGTATTAGTTAAATAATTCACAAAAACAAAGATTATACTCTATCTTTAATAAATACGTTTAAAATGAGCATTAAAATCTTTTTCAACCTTTAAGCTTGACCGTTAAGTTGGCATGTTGAATTCGGTAGTGTGTATTCTTCGTTTACTGATGGCAAAGTTATATCTTTCGTATCAATAGGATGTAATATACTTCCGTGGTTGCATTTAATGGTAACGTTTGGTGTTGCAACATTCATTTGATGCTGTTCAATTATGTCCCTCGTCCATATCAACTCCTCTAACTTACCTATCTTGGTTAGTTCAGGGATTTGCGGATGCGAAAGACAATGTGACAAAGGTATATTAGGGTATGACGTAAGGAAAGCAATGCACATTTCGTCTCTAGTTCCCAAGCCACCACGAGTAACCTTCATCCTATCCGAAGAATCATAGTCGCATTCGAGGAGCAACCAATCTCCTTTTCGTACTTTTCGAGGCTCCTTCAATGACACAAAACTTTGAAAATTGAAATCGTAATACGGATCATCGGCCAATGGTTTAAGTTCAACTCCATTACGGAAATGTCTTAGTTTTAAAGCTTTAGATAATAGATGGCCGTGTAACAGAATGGATACGATAGTGATTTCTTCTACACCTCCTCTTTCCATTGCCTCCGAAAGACATTGGGACGGACAAGCCCCAAAGGATACAAATAATGGAGTCATAGGAGGTATTACTTGTGCACGTGTTACAACATGGCCTACTTCTATTGTTTGTAAATCTTCCTTTCGAATTTTATCAGTCAACCATAATCTTAACCCAGAAGTATCGACAATATTCTTTTTAAATGATGGATTGTCGTAATGAAATTCCAGTCTGAGAAATTTTACATCAGTGTCTCTACCTACTGGGTATCCAACATTGTCCGGAAAATATTGACGTTTACCTCCAATGGCCCAAACAAATAGTATGGCTTCGCAAGAATCGTAGCGGCCGTTATAGTTCGCTTTTCGATTGTAACACTCGTATCCTTTACCAACATCTTCGTCAGTTAGATTTATATTTGCGTTACATCCATAAAGAAGTAGATGATGAGGAACTGACGGATTCCTTTCATCTACTATAGCTTCAACAGCAACTATATGATGCTTCTTGTCTAATTCTGGAAGTTTGAAAATTTCGCATCGGTAAAATGTGTCAACTGTATGAGGAATAGAAAAGTTCGCTATTCTAACATCAAAAGGGAAGGCCCCCTCTATTGGTTTTCCGTCGCGATCGTCTGTTTCGTCCGCCAATAGGTGGACACTTTTAGTTCCTCTACTAGTAAATCCGTGATAAAATGCCTCGTCAGAGATAACCACTTCATTTCTGTACGACCATACAATTCGCGTCGTTGCTTCTCCAATAGCAATATCATCTATATCGCAAGTATCTAATTCCCTATAGAATTTCACAATCAAATATTCCCCGTATCTTCTACCAGTAATGAGATGCCAATTTTGAACATCATCGATAAGAGGTTCAACATATCCTACAATATGACGATCGTCAAATTTAAGTCCGTTCTCTCCCATCCATGTCATAATTACATCACTTCCAATCATATTTCCGTTGGGAGATATACCAAACCCAGCCCAACCTTTTGTTTTCACATGAATTTCAAAAGTTATCACATCTTCAACAACCTTCCAATAGACTTTATAAAAGTCAGGCTCTTTTAAAACGACGCTATGAGGATATTTTTCTGAAGGAATAGGGAACCTATCGCAAGTATCAATCTTGGCGTAAAAATGGCTTACCAACGGCATCGAAAGAATCTTTCTATGCGATTTCAATTTGATACCGTTACCGTCACACTCCAATTCAATATCATTACTTAAAGCTATCTCTTGAGCAATTTTCTTCTTTTGAGGATTACTCCAATCAGTAATTCTTTTGACCGGATCGTCGTATAATGAAGCAAATTGACTGGTCGCTGGATGACTGCCACATTTTCTAACTGCAAACTTAGGATAGACTGTTAAGAATACTATACACATTTCATTTTCGGTAGCTAAACCACCGAGTGTTTCTTCCTTACGGTTTAATGTATTGTAATCGCATTCGGTCACTAGCCTATCACCTCTCTTTAATACTCTTTCAGTTTGAAGGTGTAAAAAGTTTTGATAATCAAAATCGTACGAATTTTCAATTACGATAGGTTCAAGTTCTTCATCCCCTCTAAAAATCCTTAATCTTATTCTAATGCCTACGAGATGAGAATGAGGTAAATAGCCAATAATCTTTACTTCTTCAACATCGGATTCGTCAAATCCGTCATTGAGACATTCCGCTGGACAATGGCCAATTGATGTAAAACTCGATTCCCTAGGAGGTATAATCTGAAAGGGAGAGACCTCGATGCCAACTGCAAATATTGTGCCATCATATTGCCTTAGATTATCAGTAAACCATAAACGATATCCAGAATTCTCAACAATTCCTTCTTGGAAATTGCTATTATCATAGTGACTTTCTGTCATTACTATAAGCTCTTCTTCTCCTACAGGTATTCCGACATGGGGTGGTAAATAGTATGTAGTGCCTCCAACAGCCCAACCATAGAGAGAAGAGTCACAATGTTTGGCCAGATCCCTAACATCCAGACAATTGGAATCTTTTCCAAGATATGCACTGTAATTCGCCGCTTTCGGATTGCAAATATAGACAATTAAATGGTGAAGTCTGGACGGTACATTTGCGTTTAGAATCGGTTCACCAGCAATGGCATGATGTTTAAAAGAAATTCTATTAATATTATAAAAAGAGCAGACGTATGTTGTGTGAATATTATGAGGTAAAACGAAGTTCTTAACCGTCAGTTCTACTGGGAAAGCATCTCTTAATAGATCTTCTCTCTTTTGTTTTAGATCGTTGACCCGAAGGTTTAAGGACGCCGTGCCTCGGTTAAGAAATCCGTGATAGAAGATATCTTGCTCCTCCGAAAACGGTCTAACCGGATTATACGACCATATAACCCTTACCGTTCCAAGTTTAATGTCTCTATCTCCCTCCTTATCGCACGTCTCGTATTTACGACTGAATTTGTAGACTGAGTAGTTGTCAATTTCTTTACCAAATATCAAATTCCAATCTTGTAGTTTATCTTTAAGAGGACGAAAAGTTCCCAAGGCATGTCGGTCCTAAGAATATTTGTATTGGTTTTATGCTAACAATTTCTTATTGAAACAATTATATACTTACGTGATGAATAACCTTTCCATCTTCTAGCCAAGCCGTAAATATATCGCTTCCAGCCATTCCACCATTTGGAGATATACCAAAGCCGACCCATCCTTTAGTCCTCACCTGAATTTCAAAGGTAATGGAATCTACTTCATTTTTCCAAAAGAGTCGATAAATATCTGGACTTTTTAGAATGGTGTTATGCGGATAATCCTCAGATGGATTAGGAAAGCATGTCACACCGCAAAGCGGTAAAACATATAAAATAAGCTTTAAAATTGACATTTTAAAAAATGAACAGCAAAATTAAAAACTGTGTTGCCAACAGCAAAACTACTGTTCAAGTGAAATACAATGTATTTTTGAGTAATCAAACGTATGAAATTGAGTTGTGTAAAACGAGGTCTAATCACGTGATATATAAAAAGAACAGAGTATATACTTTATCTAATTTACAGCAATCTAAGGCATAAAAACACGTAAAAAATGACAAAACAATTAGGATAGTGATACACAGCTGAGTTTAATTGGTAATTTTTGCATTTGTCACTTTTATACTTTGTTTTCGTCTTACTTATCTCTATTTCTTGCCTGTTATCCTTTAAAATAAAAAAGAAGAGAATGAGTAAGATAACAAATAGAGGATAATTATTAAAATACCTCATATTCAATATTTCCATCTTCGCATTCCATAACAATCTTATTTGAATAGGCTATATTTTGTAACTTTTTCCTAGTTGCCAGATCATTCCAATCTATTGTCTTGTTTGGATTAAAAAATTCAGATACTTGGTTATAAGGTGGCCTACTTTCGCAACCGCTTAAAGGAATTTTTGGATAATAGTGTAAAAATGCCAAACACATTTCTTCATTTGTTGACAAGCCACCGTAAATTGCTTGATCATCTTTTTTTGTATCATAAAAACATTCTAAAACTAGTCGGTCACCCTTAAAAGAATAGAATTTTTTGAATAAATTAGAGTAAATGCTAATTAAAAGAATTCCTTTTACCAATTGAACGCTTCTTGGTTTTGTTAAAAGATTGAATTCTTGAAAATTAAAATCGTATGATTCTTCATTTGTTATTGGTTCTAATTCAATGCCATTTCTGTAGTGTCTTAGAACTATGCTAACTCCTCTTAAATGTGCGTGCATTAGAGTAAGAAACACTTTTATCTCCCTTATGCCAGCAGCGTTAAAGACCTTAATTAATAATTCATTTGTTTTATAAATATATCAACTATATACAAAATATATTTGCATTGTTCTATTCACCTGATCCATACAACGCTCAGGACAAACTCCAACCGATAAGAAATTTGTTGATTTTGGCGGAATTATTTGAAATGGAGTTACTGCATGTCCAATTCGAAGTGCTTGAGCATCATATTTACGAAGCTTATCAGTAATATGTAGTCGAACACCAGATCTATCAGTAACGTTAGCCTGATAATCAACATTATCGTAATGAATTTCCAATTTTCCATAAATTGGATCATCATCCCCTCCCAATGGAAATCCAACATCGTCAGGAAAGAAGAATTTCTAAAATCAGTAACAATCTTAGAGGCTATTGTATACTGTATAAATGATACTTACACTCCCTCCCACAGCCCAAGTATAAATCATTTTATCACACTTGTCAAATTTAGTTCTCATGTTCATTTCATCAACGTAACACTCGTAACTTTGACCAACATGTTCATCTGTAATATTATGACTTCGATGGCATCCTGTTAGTAGGAGATGATGAATCAAATGCGAATGATTCTCATCAATTATCGGTTCAATCTGTAGTTTAACTATATTAATAAAAGTTCATTCAAATATATACAATAAATTCTTACAGATATAATCTGATGCTTTCCCGATAATTTCGGAAATTTAATCATCTCACATTGATAAAATGTATGCCTATTTGCCGGAAGTGAAAACTGGAAAAAAAGTTATGTAATCCTATCTTATATTAAGAATTGTTTAGATGAATTACATTATTCATACGAAAATCAATTGGTCTAGTATCTTTGAGAAGATCATCGTGATTTTCCGGTACTAAAAACGACAACAATTGAACACTAAAAGTTCCCCTATTATCATTTTTATGTTTGTTAAAAACGTTTGGATTATCGTTGGAATTATCGTCACCATAAGCCCATATTAATCTTGATGTTCCGTGCTAAAATATTCAAAATGATTAAAAGTAAATCTTGAATAAGAAACAAATTTTTACAGTTATTTCTCTATCTTCCGGATCGCATGTTAGGATTTTCCTCTTGAATTTTAATACTGTATAATCATTAACATATTTTCCAAATATTAATATCCAATCCTGGTGTTTATCTCTAATAGGTTCAAATTCACCTTTAGCGTGACGATCCTATTCGTATTATTCTCTTGTAATTATTATAGAAATGAAAGTTTTGAAGATAAATTTTACCTCAAAGAAAACTTTATCTTGATTAATTCTACCAATAATTATATCGCTACCTTTCATCCCTCCATTTGGAGAGAGACCAAATCCTACCCAACTTTTAGTTTTTACTTGAACTTCAAAAGTAATTTCTTTATCATCAAATTTCCATAAAACTCTATAAAAGTTTGGATATTTCAGCGTAACGTTACGATGATAATTTTCTGATCCATCCGGAAAAGATTGAACCAAGTTTACCAATGTAAATACGAGTAATGATAGCAAAACTTGCAAATTTACCATGTTCATCTGAAAGGCTTCAATTTCAGTTTGACGATAACCTGCCTATATATATACTGTCGGTATGACTAGGTATGACTCATTTTCTAATGATAGAATTCTATAGGCAATAACCTATTTTGGGTCATAGGTTATTCCAATTGTTCTAATTATTTTACCTAAATTTATCAACAAAAATGGGTTGTTTAATAAAGAAGAAAACATATTATGAAAGAAAATTGCTATCAATTAACGTATACAGGCCTAAATCATTTAAATTCATATCTCATCTGATAGAATAAGTAAACGTATTATTATCTAATATATAGAATATGCAATGAATTGTATGTGTACATGCTTATGTGTATTCTTTAATTGGTCGATATTACATAAGAAATACAGATCATAATAATAAATTAACTAAAATTTCTATTAATTAGCTGACCTAAAATATCTAATACGTTTAATATTTTATATCAACTATATAATCGATATTTTTCGCTCTTTCTTACTCCTAATAGGCCTATTTCGTGAAAAATTTTATTTTTTAGCTGCACATATATGTTATACTTTCATAATAATGATGCAGGTTTTCTTTTTTTGCAGTAATGGAAAAGCCCTTTTCTCAACATTCTAAGAATTTTTATGATAGAATTCTACCCTTTTTGGGTAATTGAAAGTTAACTTTTCCGTCTAAAAATTAATTATGTGCAATGGATTTAATTGGTTTGATTAACAGTAGTGCGTAATTCGAAGAAGAAGAAGAAGAAGAAGAAGAGAATCTAAATTATTAAAATATGATATATCTTGGCTATAATATTGGTTATTGTATTAAATAACAAAATTAAAAGCCAATTATTCCGTCTCCTAAAGCATTGTCTATTCAATCTATATTATATATTTATCTTCAATCCACGTTCCAGCTATTTTCATTTTCAATCATAATAAACCCTTTAAGAGATAAACCAGGTCCAGCACATCCAATGCATCTAGAAAGAATTTACGTTTTGTCATTTACTCAGAATGGATTATAAACAACAGTCTACCTGAGGTAGGAGAGGAAAAGGTGAAGCAAATGAAATGATACAAGATTTACGATACAGTATTCTCTCTTTTGTAGCAAATGTTGATCTCTTACGCTATTTATAATTGGAGAGATTAAAATGGGAGTTTAAACAGTTGGTACTACATCTACAGTCGATTTGGTGCAAACTTTACCCAAAGGTTATCATTTATTTCTCAGAAATCCAAAAATAGAAAGCAATATTTCGATCTGAATTAATTTTGAAAATTTCAAAGAATTAATCAATAATCAATTTCAAGTATACATTATTTAAAAAAAAGAGGGGAATAAAGGTAACAAGGTTATCAGTAACTTGAAATTGGTGTTTAAAGTAGCAATTATATTTTAATAAAGATAAAAAATGGTTTGTTATTGATTCTACAATATATTTATATATTCGAAAAACCATTCTGTATTCTCTACTTGCTTAATATAGTCATAATACTGTGCCTGTCTATCGAAATATTTATTCTTTCCCATGTTTCTCTTCTTAAAATATGTCTTTTCGGAGTCACGTTTTCCCCCCATGTGACTATAATTTGATGTATTTATCGGCCTAGTGAGAGTTATTTTCATAAAGCGGTTAGCTAAGTTTAGACTTGCTTTGAGGGTTTTTTCCAGTTCTCTTTCAATTGTGGATAAGTAAACATGGGCAGAGTTGGAGAAAATGGAAATAGGATACTTGCGTCTCTTTTAAATTGTTATCTTATATACAACAGTTCAAAATCATCTTATTTTATAAAATTTGTTCTAATTGGATTAATATTCAACATTTTGTAAGTTAAAATTTGTGAACAACCTAATTATTACTTTGCCATTTCAATGCTTTGAAAATAATGGAATGTTTTTGAATGGATACAGTATAGAAAATAAAATAGAAGGAACATATGAAGGAAGTGTTGTACAACACTTGGAATCCCAATATAAGAAAAGTCATCGATTTGCCAGACCAGTCCTTGTATGAATATTTTAGTTTTTTAAAAAAGGTGTTTCAATTAACTATTAAATCATTGATTGTGTTTTTTTTGTTTCCTATTTTAGAACGAATCCGCTGCAGTCTACGTAACATTTAGATTAAATATTAAACGCTTGCTTGATTTAAAAGCCAAAGAACATGCTTTAACTGCCCTCATTGAATTAAGTATTATTTGGTACGACGAGTATTTAAAATGGAACGAGGCAGATTATCATGGAATTCGTCGTGTTCAAATAGATAATACGCAAATATGGAAACCAACGATAAGAATAATCCAATTGTAAGTGATTTAATAAAACTTAATGAAATTAATTAATTAGTTTATTTGAATGAAAGTTTCATAATAATCGGTATATACTTACCTCTTCAAGAGGGTATAGGTTTGGAGTTTTGCTAAAAATAAACTCTGGTATTTTTCTTCTAAGGGCAACTCTATACGTACGATTATTTGTTTGAAGAAAGATAGTTTATATCAATCTTTATACTAACGCGTGTAAGAATGCTAAGTCTCTTACGTCATCTCTTCCTACTTATCCTACACTTCTCTAATAAATTCCCTCTCTTTCTCTCTTAAGAATTAAAAAAGAGCAAGACGAAAGCCCTATAACAGAAGTTATCGTAGAATCAACTGGTCGAGTGAGCTGGTATCCCAGAGGCATATACACAACTCCATGCCATGTTGACGTTACTTATTTTCCATACGATAAACAAGTATATTTTGATGTTTAAATCTTTTCTCCGTTTATTTAATAATTTGTATGAAATCATTTATTATATATAGGTTTGCAAACTGTCATTTGGTAATTGGGTACATACAAATAAAGAAGTATTTTTAAAATTTGCAAAATGGGATAATTTATCCATAGATACCTTTAGATATACAACTTCCAAAGGGGATGAATGGGAGATTACTAAAACAGAACAAAGACTCATAAGAAATGTAAAATATCAAATGATTTGTTGTTTGAAGGAAGATTTTACAATATTAGAATTTAAAATATATCTTAAAAGAAACGCAGCACTTTTATCAATTGTTCTATTACTACCTTGTTGTATTCTTATGATGATTAACTTACTAGCAGCTTTCCTACCACCAAGTTCTTATGAGAAAATAAGCTTAGCACTCAGTATTTTCCTTAGTTATTTTGTTCTTTTGTTAATCGTTGTAGAACATATTCCAGAAGGGAGCAAGCTACCAGCTGTTGGTAAGTTATTCTTTCTTTAAAATATTGCATTTATCCATTTTTAATATCTTGGACTTGTTTGCAGGAGAACTATTTATAGCTAGCCTAATTATTATAGCGTTAAACATCCTAACTTCAACTGTGGTCTATAACATAGCTCTAAAGGAGGAAGGAGATTTTCATTTTCAAATAAGTGATAAATCAAAGGTGAACACTCCATTACAGAAATAATAACAAATTATAAAGAAGAGCTTTGTTTTCCAGAGAAATCTATTAAGACTAGCAAAGATTTTGCTTGTACCGAAGGCCTATTACGTTTATAACGAAAGAGAGAATTTCGAAGACGTTGTGAATAATCAGAGTTTATCTTATAAGGAAACAACTTCAAACAGTCAAAGAATAGAATATAATCATAGAATAAAAAATTGGCTCTTGTTAGCATCTATTGTCGACAGATTTCTCTTCTGTATCTATGCTATTCTCAACGTGCTCACTGCAACTTTTATATTTGTAAGACCAAATGATAAATAAACTTGTAACTTAATTGATTAGGTCTTTTATAAACAGCAATTAGAAAAATGGGCCTAATTGCATGGAAAGTTTTCAAGCAGTTTTTATAATTTGTTTTTACATTTTATGGTTTAAATTTTCATTCAATGATCAATTGATAATAGTCGGTTATTGTTTGTTGTATCAACAACAGTAATGTATTAATAACAAACATAACTTCATTTTCAGTTTATTTTCATATATTATTATTATTATTAGTACTATAGAACCAATTTACAACTGATAGATAAAGAAAGAGAATACACAATATCTTAGAAACAATAGTAAAACAAACTCCGTGTTTTTAATTAATATATTTCAGTATATTAATACTATTAAATAAATTATTCTGTATTTAATAGTAAAATAAGCATATACTTTTAAAAGTTTAATCCAATTCTACACCTGTTTTAGATATACCGAGGAAACACTTTACAAAACTTTTTTACTGTGCAATTTTCTGAGCAGAATTCAACGATTTGTGTAAAAATGTAAATAATTATATTTATTAACGTTTTTCCTTGAATAAATTTCTTGGATTTCTATTAAAAATACGAAAAGTATGAAAAAAATTCCGTATTCTAGGCCTACCCATAGTGTATAAAAGAGGCGCGATACGCCATGTTCTTCCTCTTTCTGTGAAGCATTCCACGTGGTCAACTTAAAATCTGTAAGTAGTTGTTGTTTTCTTGTTCTAGACCTTTAATTATACGGTATTTTACTTGTTTCTAGTGAACGAAACATGTTCTACAGTAGCAGTAGCCATAAGAGTCGGCATGAAACACAAAAGGCTTTTGCTCAGAGGGACAAGTTACGTTAGAGGAACTATGCTTCAAAGTCGACATTTCAAATTAATTTTCGAGCCAGCAGCAAAGATTTGAGGAAGGCAATCATACATTACTGCTATAGTATCCAAAACGGCTTTGAACACAGTATCGAGCTAACTAGGTCATGTTCAGGTATGCACGCTTACTCCATTTTTTTTATCAGTTAAATTCAAATACATCCCACTATTGCCACTGTGAAATTAGTCAACATAGGGCTAATAATTCACCGCCAGAGTTGGGATAAAATCAATTTTTAGAGTCTAGGAAGCATAAGATACATCAAGTGTCTTATGTGCTGACATCGCTCGCACAATTCAAAGAATAGATCTATTGAAATTTTCAAAGTTGTTACCATTTTTTTCAAGTTTTTTTCATCCCTTACAGAACTTCCAAGTGAAGAGAAATGCGCAACGGCTTCACAATTGAGAAGTTAGTGGTAAGTTCAATTTTATAAATTTGTATATTAGGTTTTTAAATGATGAATTAGGTAATTAAGACTAGAGTCTCTGAACAATTGTGTTGAGAAACGCCTTGCTGATTACATATCCCATAGACTTTTTATTTAAAAATTCTTATAAATTTTTATCTAATTCTTATCTTTACCAATACAGAGCTGACTGATGAAATTTAAATACAGCAAACTTACGTCAACGAAGAGTTTATGAGGTAAATATACAGCAATTGCTTTGCCAAAAACCGTACTGACAATTATCTTTCAATACGATAATTGTAATTTACATTTTGGCTAAAGCAAACGCAAACTGAAGCATTATATGTATTTTTTTTAATATGATGTTCAAATAACCGAAACATTTTCTTTTTTTCAGATTTATGCCATGAAAATACGTTTAATATATTAATTGTGTTAATTTTCTGTTTTTCTTTATGTTTTCTGTTATATTTTATAATAAATGCTAAATAAATATCTTATAAAAATAAAAGACTTGTTGAAAATAAACTTTATTTTGGATTGTTCGAAAATTTGATGACTCATGCTAGAGCGTACACCAGGATTTTTTATGCGTGTTACGTAATGGCACAAAAAATAATTAGTACTTTTCAAAATGGCGTGATAATATGTAATATTACGGCCATTTTGAGTTATCTTAAACGGTAGTTTATCCACAGAGTACTACTCTATTTTATAAAAACTCATTTGCCGTGTAGCACGTTTATGGTAACTTTCAGAACTTTGCTATAAAATTGGCAAAGAAAATGGAAAGCATGGCTTGCAACTTTCTGTATGATACAGACCTAAAGCACATGTTGAGCTTCTTTAGTAACAATAAAATTTCAGGCCATATGAAACCAGCCGATGTAAAAAATGAGCTGGTTGATAATGAAAAAGCATTGTTTATTGAGCCCTATAAACCACACCAACCTATCTTCCTAAGGTATTTATAATATACGTTACAAAAGGAATAGACATATGTGCGTTTAACATTCTTTTTTCCGCAACTTTACTAAGGTTAGACTGTGAGCATTTGAGAGAAACTGTTCAAGAAGATTATAAAAGAAAGCTATTACTAATGGACGAAATTGACTCCAGAAATAATGATAGACAGAGTATTGTTTCCGGTGGGTTAGACTCCATCATGGTTTCAACGAAAGGAAATGATTTCCCACTTTACAATGAGGAAGAATTAATGAAAGTTTATAGGAAATTTGACTTTGATGACTATAGCGGGCATACTCCTTTGCCGATTGACAGGTCACTTGAAGAAATAACTGATATGATAAAACAACACCCGGTTGTTATCATTAAAGGGTCTACAGGATGCGGTAAATCGACAAGAGTACCTCAAGCAATTCTAGACGATTGTCGTCAAAGAAATGTTCCATGTAAAATGATTGTAACGCAACCAAGACGTATTGCTGCTGTTACAGTTGCCAAAAGAGTGTGTGATGAAAGAAAGTGGGTACCTGGAACAGTAGTTGGCCATCAAATTGGTTTGGAGAGTTTAACGAGCGAATCAACTTGCATTACGTATGCCACGACAGGTGTCTTACTACAGAAACTTGTTAAAGAGAAAAATATGAACTCTTATACTCATGTAATATTGGACGAGGTGAATATTAATTTAAAGATTTCTCACTATTTCAATTTATTAAAGGGTTTGTTTGTTCAAAAAAGATTCATGAACGGGATGAAGATACAGACTTCTGTTTGCTAATTGTCAGAAAATTCCTACATATGATATCGCCCAATATCAAAGTTGTATTAATGTCAGCGACAATGGAAACTTCTGATTTCTCAGACTATTTCTATTACGTGTCTCAGGGTGAAATCTTCAAAGCTCCTAGCTTTACAATTGATCAGAAAGTTTTCGACGTAACTGAATACTTTTTAGATGATTTGACCAAAATTTTACCCGGATCCTTACCTGACTTTAATGAACCCGAAATTCAAGACAAAGTTTTACAAGTTGCTGTTAATTTAATTTTGGAATTTGACAAAATGGAAATGAAAGAGAGGAACGAGATAAGTCCTGATGGTTTGGTGAAAAGCCGTGGTAGTGTTTTGGTATTTTTACCCGGTCGATATGAAATTAGTCAAATGACAACAGCCCTAGAATCGCATAAAAATGAAAAAAAATGGAATATTCTGCCTCTTCATTCGGACTTGACAATTCATGAACAACGCTATAAAGTATTTGAGTCACGTGATTGTTACGAAAGAAAGATTATTCTATCTACAAATATTGCTGAAAGTTCTATTACTGTTCCAGACGTTAAATATGTCTTAGACTTTTGTCTAACAAGATATAACCGATGTAATAAGGCTACCAATATCACTTCGCTTGTTCTCGAATGGGCGTCAAAGGCATCGTGCAACCAAAGAAGAGGTCGAGCAGGAAGAGTCTCGTCTGGTAGATGCTATCGAATGGTTACAAAATCATTCTATGAAGAGTTACCTGATTATACAGAACCAGAAATGACGAGAGTTTCTCTAGATCACCTCGTTTTAAAGAGTAAATTACTCGAACCAGATACGCCTCCTACTGCTCTGCTAGGTTTGGCCATCGATCCACCTTACTTGTCAGATATTGGTAGAACAATTGTTTCCCTTCGAGAAATTGGAGCCATGTTCAATGTTACGGTCGATTCAACAAGTGTTGAAGCTTTTGCAGATGGTGAATTGTCTTATTTGGGTGAAATGATTGGCAAATTACCCATTGATGTCAGATTTGGAAAGCTAATAATGATGGGTCACGCCTTCGGACTTCTCGAAGAGGCCATCATTATAGCATCCGGTTTAGGTGGCCGTTCAATATTTGCTACACCCTATCAGCAAGATATTGAATCGTATAATTGCAAATTGAAATGGGCAAACTATAGCCAGTCCGATTCAATTGCCATTCTAAATGCTTACAGGACTTGGAGAGAGAAAAAAAATAGGAAACAATTTGGAGAGTCCTCAGGTATGAGAACGATCAGAGGTAGACTTCGTCGAGACGTTACGAATAGCGAAAAGGAATGGGCAAAGAGAAATTACCTTCAGTATAGGCAACTTTACGAATTAGACCAACAGGTTGAACAAATTAAATATCGTTTGGAATGTGAAGGTATACACATTCGCGTGAAAAGGAAGAGAATGCCACCAGAAGAGGAGCAAATTCTCCTCAAGATTATGCTCTCAGCTTCGTTTTATCCAAACTATTTCGTAAAAACTAACGTTGACGAATGCGATATTAGAAGAGAGCTTTCGGGGCGTAATCCAGATCTTTGCTGCTTACTTAAAGGTTTACCTTATCCAGAAGGTATATTATACAAGGAGAGTCTGAGAACGCAATGTCAAAAACTTTTAAATACTGATGTTCAACTCGATATTGATGGATCGAAAGCGATATTACATTTTCCTAAAGATATAAATAATACATGGCCTTTTCCATCTGTTCTATATAGGGCGGTAAAGTATGGACATATCAAAGGAAACAACTTTAGGATACATCGAGTATCGTCTGAAGAAGAGTCTTGTTGGATGAAACAAATTGATGATGAAAGAGAGCAATTCTCTCTTCAAAATGGATCGCTACGGAGCCCTCTTATCATTGAGGCTGACGATGAATTATCTATACTTTCTCCATATATAGAAAAACTATCATTAAGACCGACCGTCATTATAAATTGTAATTTGTTTTATGCAAATAACTTGGACTACGAAGAGGAGTTGAAATACATTGATAAGATGGCAAATAAAAGTGTAACATATTTAAGAGAGAAAGAAATTCGAACAGGCTCTTTAGTTGCGGCTCCCTATTATAGCAGCGGAAATGTTTGCTATTACAGAGCAAAAATTCGATCTATAGATATTTCAAAGAAGATGGCAAGCGTCTTTTATATTGATTATGGTAATATTGATTTAGTGGAGTTACGGAAATTAAAAGCTCTTCCAGATTCTATAAAAGAAATTCCGGGTCAGGCTTTAAAATGCTGTTTGGCGGGTGTTTGCCCTGCTTTCAGTTCATATACTCAGGAACAAAATCAACATTTTTCTGATTTATTACTTGGTCAAGAATCACTTCCAGTCGTCGGTAAAATTTATTCGGTTATCAACGATGAGATAAGAATTACATTATACATTGAAGAATTAAACGTGAATCGTTGGTTAATAGACCGCAACATTTGTAAGGAATTACCGGAAACTGCTCAATCAAAGAGAGAGCATGAAAAGAGGTCAGAGTACCAAAAGGATCCTTCTCAGATTGAAAGAAATAAGAACTACAAGCTCTCCTCTAACGCTGCTCTGTTGGTCAAAGAATTTGAAGACAAAAGAAAGGATGGGTCGATATTTCCATCCAGGATCGTTAAACTAAAAGGACCTTATAGTCCAATTGAGAGTACATATACAATGATGACCTCAGTTGGAAGTCAATTAACAACAGTCGTGAGCCCCAATTCGGTAAACTCTGTTCCCCTCGACGATAGCTGGCGTGAGGATACAATGCGCATGATGGTTGGAGGAGATTCGATCTTGACTGGTAGAAGACTTCAGATGAGAAGCACAACAATCTTGCCAAATATTAGTGGTTTAACTTCATTAGTTCCACTTCTCTTTTGTCCTTTTGCTGAATATCGCATTAATAAGAGAGGGCAAATTGTCGGTGCTATTTGTGGACTAGGCTACGAGATAGACACTAATAATAGTATTCATCCCGATAACGATATCGAAGTGGAGTTTGATGTTGAATTAACCGAATTGGATTTAGAACTCATCAATAAAGTACGTCAAGCGCTTAGTATAATTGTTGGTAGAAAGGACAATTTACAAGAGTTAAAACAACAAGCAATATGTCAAGATATTCTTCACGATAACCTCCTACTATTGCTACGAAACAAAAGAAACAAGCTAAATTCGAAAGCGCATAGTGATTATAAGACTGGGTTATGGAATAGGATTGATCAGGAGAAGCTGATTTCTGGAGGCTACGATGATATAAGTGAAGTTGTGTTTCCTGCTCATAAACTAATTAAGTTTTAATTTTATCTCAAATATTTTTTGTTTTGTATGTTTTTTATATAGCTAATAAATACACGAAAAACATTTTCATTTCATTACAAGTGTATTATTTCATACACAAAAATTAACATTTTAATCTTCGTCTTCTTCATCACCAGCTCCACCTTGAGCCTTACGCATGTTCTTTCTCTTAACACGTCCTGTAGAAATTTACAATATATTAGCAAATAGTTTGACAGTGATTATTATAGATTTATGATGTATAAATTACCTGGACGTCCAGAGTCCAATGGTGAATGGAGTGAGAAAGCAATATGCTTTTGTGAGTCCAAGCGGACAACATATGATGGAACATTAACAACTTGTTTACGAACGCTGAAATTGAAAACGGTCTTATTATTATATTCACTTTTTGAGTTTTAAAACTCATTTGTACTGGAAAAATGGATGCCCCTTATTGTACTTACCACTAGTACCAAATTATGGGGCGCAGGCGTATGGCTTTAGCCAAATTGGCCTACGGGCGAGTAATTTGCTTACCGAATATGACGCTGTCTAATCAGGACACGAGCGTGATGAATGGACTTGGCCATACCCAATTTGAATACTTGGGTTTGTAGACGACGTTCCAAAAAGTCTTCAAGACGAAGACCCAAGACGTAATCGAGCTTCATTTTAGTTTCATCCAATACGCCAATTCTTACAAGACGTCTCAAGAGAGCATTACCCTCAAAAAGACGTTTTGGGTCTTTATCTTCCAAGGTGAGGAGTTCTCTGGCGGCTTTACGGATTCTGGCCAACGTGTACTTGACTCTCCATACTTCTCTCTTATTACGAAGTCCGTACTCTCCAATGAGTTTCAATTCTTGGTCTAGACGTTCCTTTTCATAAGGTCTACGTGGGGTGGTGTAGGTACGCGAGAAAACGATTGGTTTTCGGCCAGGCATGGTTTTTTCCCTAGCACGTGTTGTTCCTTCGACAGTCCGTGAAAAAAGGACGATTTCCGGTAATGGCGCCGGATCGTAGACTACTATTCATGCGCGCCCTAAATGTTTTACTATTTCCCGATATGAGCACTAGGATATGAAAATATATCAGTTTTAATGTAATTACGTTATTAATAAATTTTTAGTAATGCCAAAAAATGAAGATAATAAGTACTTTCTTTAGAACTATTTTTCTTACATACCGAAGCCTCAAACTGGCGCTTTCTAATGTCAAGGTCACTACTTTTATGCTTTGAATTGCAATTTATCTATACTATTTCATTAAATAGTAGAAAGTTAAAAAGTCGCAGTCAATAAAATTAAACTTGAAATGAGTGACCAAAGAAATGAGGGAAAGGTAGCTGAGTATGTCATCTCACAATCAACCAATCATTAATTAGTTTCATATCATAGGTGTCAAAAAAATCTCATTTAAAGCCTTTGACATGCTGGTTCACTTCGCCATCTTCAGACTTAGACAGTGGATCAGACTTTAATAATCAAAAGGAAAACGTATCTCATCAAGATTTAAGTCAAATGGGAACTAAAACAAACCAAGGATCCTCTTCAGGAGATATTGAAGAAATTGAAGTCACTAGTAATAAGGATAAAGTAAGTTGAAATTCATCTTTAAATCAGTTCGAAATATCAAGACGTGCACTTTTTCCATAGACAAGTGAAACAAAAAACCAATTAAACGACAAAACCTTTCTTAAAAGACGTTCAGCACGTCTATCTGTCAAAATGACAAGTTTAGAGGTAACTTTGATCCTTTCTTATTGATTTTCTTTTCCTTACAAAATAACAAGAGGATGAAAATTCTTTTTTTTTTTGAAAATTAATCAGACAAACTCGTCACTTGATGAAATGGAACCAAAAAAGACGAATGAGAAGAAGAAAAGGAAATCGAAACTAGTCAACTTTTTTAAGAAAAAAGGGGATCCAGAATCTTCGGAAGATGAACCAGAGCCTAAAAAAATTTGCACTCTTTCCCAGGAAGCAATCGAGAAAAGAAAGAAATTTTTAATGAGTCAAGTTCCCGAAACTGTTAAAAGATCTTCTATAGATCCAATATTGTCAAAATATCCTCCTATTCCTTATCCTAATCATACGCTGCAAGGAGAAGACTTTATTTTAACACCTCACGTTAAAAAATTAAGCTTGAATGAAGATAGCAAAAAATATATCTCTCTAGAATCCTCGTCAGTGAGAGATTTATTAGATTTAATTGATAGAAAACCAAATGAAATTCCGGTTTGTATCATATTTCAAATGTATTACTTTATCAGTATCACGTAACTTTATAGAAAAAACAGGAAATTAAACTCGATAAAGATCTAAAGGGATCTTTACTCAAAGAGATTATAGAAAGAAATCAAGATTTCCCGGTGGAAAAGCTTTACAAGTGTCTTTGCACGAAAAGTAAATATATACTTCAATATAAAATCTAACTAAACTGTTATTTATTTCATCCTTTCATCATAGTGAAAACAGCTAATTCAACTTTTATGACTCTTACGAGTTTGTTAAAGCCGACTAAAGCATCTCAAATGCTTGGTAACCGTCAAGTAGTGAAAAAGTTCAAAAGTTGGTTAATTGATTGGAAAAATAAGACTGATGCAGATTTAAAAAAGTTACGTAAAGAGCAAGAGAAAAATGCAAGAAAAGCTGCGAAGAAGAAAGATCCACTTAAAAGAGGTATAAAATAACCTTTTAATATTAGAAGTTTTATAAAAATTTCCAAGAAAAATTCTTTAATAACAAAAAAAAAATATTTTATTAGTTATGGATGACGAGGCGGATGACACTTATCAAAGCTCTGAAAATGAGTATGAAGATCTATCCAATGCTGTAATTATTTCTGGTCCAGTCGGGTGTGGTAAAAGCACTTTAATTAGCACAGTTGCAGAAGAATTAGGTTACAAGGTATATCTTAATCTAATTCCGATTTATCACCTCATAAAAATTACTTTTGTCTATTAGATCTTTGAAGTAAACTCTTCTTCCCTGCGTAATGGTAAAAATGTTCTGGCTCAACTACAAGAAGCTACTCAGTCCCATAGAGTTTGTAACAAATCCGATCCCAGTTAGTTATTTAATAATAATTACATCTTCTCGAAAAATATTAAACTCCCTATTTCTAGGAAATTCCATTATGAATTTCGCAGTAAATCAAAAGAATAAAGTTAAAGGTTCATCTGCTACAATTGACTCGAGTGACTCGACTAGAGAAACGTCTTTACAGTTATCTAACGCATCGCTCATTTTATTCGATGACGTAAGAAATTGATTGTTATGCTTTTTTTATTACTATTTAATCTCGATGTACTTTCAAATAAGGCCGATATCCTCTTTGATGATGAAAAAGGGTTTTATTCCGCGATATCTACAATCATTTTAACAACGAAACGACCTGTTATTATCTTGCTTTCTCATTTACCCGTAGCCTTAGAAAGTAAATTAAATGGATGTATGGTGGAACACTGGGATATGGGTCGACCTTCACCGGTAAGTAAGTTTATTTGTTAAAAAAAAACTAAAATAATCATTTTGAAACAGAAAACTATTGCATGTTATCTGCAATTAGTCTGCCTTGCTAAAAATATACCGACATATTGGGAGGATATGGAGAGAATAGCAGAAAGTCTAAATTGCGATATAAAGAAATGCCTAAATCTATTAGAGTACTGGATAGAATCGGGAGCAAGTTCAAAATCCAATTACCATTCACTGAAGGTAACATTCTTTTGATTTTTGTTTGTGCTAAAAAAAAAATTCGAGAATAACTTATTTAATTAACAGGCAGAGAAGGCAGAAATTAAGCCTGATAAGATTATTGAAAGACATTTATGTTTGTCTGATTTGTTGAATATACCATTTTATAAATTGTCTCCTCTATGTTTCACCGAATTGGTAAGTCAATTAACTAAATAATAAATATTGTATAGTTTATTGTAGTTAAATATTGTAGAATTTATCAAATCGTTGCTTTACTGATTTACTTCAATTGGCCGAAGCTCATCAACTTGACGTTACCGAAAATGTATTAGAAAACTGTCTAAAAGCAACAACACTTAAAGTAGATGAAGGGGAAGAGAAGGAAAAGAATAAAGCTTCAAACTCATTGCGGAAAATTGCTAAACTATTCGATAGCAGATGCATTAATGACTTAATTAAACGCTGCCATCAAACAAACACATCATCTTGTTTACGCTATCAATTAGATGATTCGTCCGAATGCCAGCCATCAATTGAAGAAAAACGCAATGAAGATATCGAGCGAAATATCGATTACTTTGTCCAATTGGAAACAATGAAATGCGCACGATCACTAGGCAATAATCTTGATCTAGCATCGTATCGTTTTCAAAGAAGTAATATCAAATTGAATAGGTAAAAATTGAAGAAATGCATAACAAAGACAAGCTGACACCTAAACTAAAAAAATATTCTCTTTTTCAATGTCAACAGGCAAGCTCAAATACATAATACTTGTAAGGAAATTAAGGATTTATCCTTTACTTTAACCGGCACAAATCACTCTTCAGTTGCCTTAGATGTATCTCCAGCAATAAGAGCTATATGTAAAATCGAGAATGATAGGAAGATATGCAATTCAAGGAGAAGGTTTTAATATTTATTCTTTATTTTATAGATAAATAAATCGTTTAATATTCTTTTGTGTTTAATAGATTTCTTCACTATTTGGAACACAATTTTATTCACCTCAAAGGCTCAACTACTGCAACATACCAGACTTCTTTTCTATAAAATTTAACAGATATATTTTATAAATACTTCGATATATTTTTTTATTTGATATATTATGAAAATATATACCAATATTGCATTTTTATTTATTGAAGATCACTACTTTTAGTAGTGGTGAGAATTAGTTAAACTAAATCTTTTAAAATACATTCTTTATAGAGGATATATATTTATATATATTATATATTCCTCTTAATATTGTTCTGTTTATAATAGTGCGATTTCTTTAATAACATCTTAAATATATCAAGATAGGCCCTTGTCAGGGACTTACTACTCCGAAAAAGCGACACCTGCTGTGTCAGATATGTCACTATGGATTAGATGACTGTCGTTCTATTAATGATAGCTGCACTCTTAAACTGTCTGTGAAAGTTTTAGCTCATATCGACACTTCAGAAAATAAAGATTTCATGAAAACGCAATGTAAAAGGCAAGTGGACGGAAGACGGACAGGAAATGACATACTTTGCGCATGCGCGCTGATCGCCTCGACTAGTTCTATTCCGGCGCACAGCACTATCGATTATCGGACGAAGTAGGAAGGGCTGGAACGAAAATGGTGCTATGTGCAGCGCCGGGCTGTTCAAATCGTTCAGATAGAGTGGATCCAGAACGTCGAGTGAGCTTCCACAAGTTTCCCAAAGATCCAAAAATCTTGAAGGAATGGATGAAAAATATTCGCCGAGTTTTTAAGCTAACACAACACACTCGATTATGTTCGAAACACTTCGAAGAATGGTGCTGGGAAGGTATGAACAAGAGGAAGTTGCGCGAAGAAGCTGTTCCGACTCTTTTCTCCTTCGACGAGAATGTTCTGAAACGATCCAGAAAGGTAGGCCTATATTGTCTTCGAAAGTATTCTATCAAAGTAGGTCAGAGGCTGCCATTGCGCTCGGTGGCTGCTTAGGACAGGTCGAAGAAGTCTAAGTTGTAAGAATCGATTTTAGAACTTAGCGCTGTTTAGCACAAACTGCTTCAAGATGCAATGTTCATCTTACGACTTTTCGACTCTCTTCTTTTTTTAAAAGTCCGTCAAATACTCACCAACAATCAAACATGTATTTGATATATTTGTTCGGCGGATTATATTGTTTAATAGCCATGTTCCAACAGTTATCAATGGGGAATTAAGTCTCCAGAGACCGTTGATAAAGTTTTCCCAAGTTAATTTGTGTTATAATTATGATATAGATAATCAATTAGACTTTTAATTAGATTGCAATCTAAAAAAAGAATTTTTTGTTCAATGAA